TAAATTTTAAGCTCTAGAATAGTATAGAATATAAGTTATCAAGTATTATACTTTATCTCTAGACGTTATAATTTTCTCTAAGGCAAACTTTAAGTACTCTAAGAGTAACTAAGATTCTTAGTATACTATTAAGAATATTCTATTAGAAATATCTATAAATAATATCTATAGAGTCTAGCAGCAAGTAATAAATATATACTACTAGTAAGTTAGAGTATACTCTCTACACGTTAGTATCTAGAGTTACTAGATATTATATGCTTATAGTACGTAGCATTATAATATTATTATACTTAGCTTAGCTATTAGAGTTACTCTAATGCTTAGTTTAGGCGCAGAAACTCTAATATTAGAGTTTATAACCTTAGATTAGTAGTCTGCATAGCTCTATTTTTATAACTCTAAGAAATACTAATATTAATATATATCTTAACGTGTATTATAATATGCTAATATTATATAAAAATTCTAAATAGTATAATTAATAGCGCTAACTCTACTATATCTTTAGCTAAAGTTATATTAAATTTAGCTCTTACGCAGAGTATAAATCAGCCTAACTACTACCGAAGGGCGTAATGACGAGCTCATCAATTCCAGCTACTAACTCGTCTGACCGTCGTACGTTGTCGATGTCGGTGAAGCGAATGCAAAGGAAGTGCAGAGCCGCTGGCAGTACTCTGGTGCACTCATCCATCCACCAGTATACCTTACACATCATTGCCTCTCTCCGGCCTATCTGTAAAGTGACTCGAGAAATGGAACAGAAGCAGTCGCACTCATCTTCTTTGTGTATTGCCATAATACCCAAGATCCGTCTTTTTCCAGTGATGAAGGAATTTCGGATCTGACTTGTTATCGACAGGCCCTGCCAGTTCACCTGCGCATCTAAACTTTGAACACACAGTCTGGTGTCTGCTACACTTGGATCAGCCTCACCCTTGATTTTCAGCCACGACCAACTTGGTATGTTTAGTCTTTTCACTGCATCTTGGTCGATTGCGCATTGTCTGTTAACGGGAATCTGCCACATGAGGCCCCTCCCTAGATCTCTCCGCCACAATCCAGCCACAGCCTCGTCGGCAAGGACACCCCAAAGAATTCGGTGATTCCTGCCAACGCTGCAAGCTTGTCGCCCCCGTTTGTTAGTTGCCGCAACGAGTACGATTTCATCGTCGTTTGCCAACTTTCGTAAAGCATGTCTTTTGACTGCTCTCCATTTCGTGCGACAGCGCCAAGTGAAGGAATATCGAGAGATGTACCAGCCATATCTGTGACGGAATCCAGGCTATCTTCGGACTCATAGAGTGAGGTGCAATGCCAGTACATTTGGTCTTCGGCGAAAAGAATGATTCTTCGACTAAGAACAATTTCCTGCAGCGTCCAAGCATGTGTGTTGAGGACTGCTTCTCTTAAATATTTTCGGCTTTTTAGTGGAGGACGCAAGTACATCTCATGGGCTCGATGTGTGATGTGCGTGCCGATGATGCGCTGTTCGTCGATGGAAATGCGCAGAGTTGGGCAGTGGTCGCGGAAACAACCGCATGTTCCATTCATGCCCCATACGGCTGCTATAGTGCAAGTGGCGCCAGAGTAAACGGAAGCCATGCGAGCGGCTTCGTATTCCCAATCAGACGGCGAGTCTTGAATTATACACAGCGAGTCTATCCAGATAAACTCAATTCCGAATTCTTTTGTGGTGACAATGGCGTCTTGAAACGTCTTCGGCATTGATTCGAGGGGAATGCTGGCCTTGTGCGCTTCTATATTGCCTGTCGTAGTGGTGATAGGCTGATGGTGTCCCCAGCAGTGGAAAAGGGCAACGTACTTGACTCTCGTGTCTGGTGGTAAGCACACGAGGTGAAGAGTGTCATCTGAGATTTGGATGAGACGCGTAGGACAGGAGTAATTCGCGTTCGCTTCAATCTCATTGCATCGTACGTGGCTGGCGAGGCAGTTAGAGAGCCAGGCCTTCGGAACATTAAGACGCGAAATCGACGAGACGCCTGGTGCAAGATTTGGCCACGCACGTGGGTGGGCTTGTTTTGCGAAGTCCAAAAGATTGTTAGTTCAATGTCCTTCTATGTTCCCAATATCAGTACCTGTCAGTAGGGTACAGAATCTGGCTGTTCGAGGCGCCCCTTCTCCAAGCGTTATGTCAATCCGTCCTGCCTCCCCAAGTCTTCACCAAATATCAGCAACTTCTGTCCATGAAAAGCGGTTCTTTGACCAGAATCAACCTACCGAGTTCTTGGGTACAAAACTGCTCGTAGCGACCAAGCATTCTCCCCGTCTTTCCATTTCAGCCCACTAAGCTCAAGATTGCAGATCGCATAATCGCACAACCCGCAATCCTCGGAATATGTCTTCGCACGCTTGCGAGAAAGGCGATCACGCTCCGGATAAAGTATGTCGTCCACTTGCGCCGTGGGTCTATCCAGCTCAGAGGTAATTAATTGTTGGCAAAACGAGCATAGTGGCGGAGAGAAGAGCAGCTTGCGCTCTACTAGTACCAATGCCATTTTATGCTAATAACGCACAAAATAGTCAATGTTAAGGTAGATAAGAGAGTGAAAGGAAAGGCTGAAGATGAATTTAAGGCTTAAGAGTAAGCTTATCTTATCAGCACGTGATGCACACTCTATATATTGTTCGCTAATAGGCCTCCTCTTCAGTCCATCTACTCTCTACTCTCTAGATGTTATTAGCTACTTGCTATGCACCTACGTTATTAAAATCTTAGTTTAAACTATCTAAAGTTTCGATCTGCTATCGTTGAGAAGCAGCTCTTTTCTTAGGTCTACTCTCTTGCTTCCGCTTTTTCCAAACTCCAGCCCGCCCCCAGTTATTCTCTCAGCTTCGGTCTTCCATTTCCACGCGCGATCCCTCTCTTCGCCGCAGCTTTCGCCTTGGAGCACTTTCGCTACATACTTCCCTGCGACGGGCAGGAACTTGTATGAATGAAAGCTTCCACCCGTCGCAATAGTCACGTTGTCGAGAGACTCGTGCGGATGGCGGCACAGAAGCCAGTCTTCAGTCGGCGTGACGGCATCGAAGCAGATGCGCCATCGCGAGGGAGTGTGGGTGGACGTGAAATGCGGCATTGCTTTGCGCATCACTTCTGCGCTCTCCTTCTTCAACCCTTCAGGTACATGCGCCTGGACCATGCGAGGTGGGACGGTGATCTTCTTTCCCGAGCGTGTCGTGGTTGAATGAACGACCTCAGTTTGTAAGTCGTTGATCTTCAGAGTGCGCTTCAGCTGGCTCGGCGGGATGATGTCCACCTGCCCGCCAATGACTACGACAGGCATCTTGGAGTCCATGATGCTCTGCGTTTCCGACTCGCTAAGGGTGTAATACGCGGACAACCGTCCTACCGCGGTGATCTGACGCTCGATGCAATCCTGCTCTGGGAGCTGTAAAGCGTCTTCGATGGGCGAGAGCAACGCGCTTGTCCAGGCGCCCATTGCAAGAACAATCTTGTCGGCGGTGTACGCCTCTCCAGATGATGTGCGCACGCCCGTCACTCGACCTTGGGAGGTATCTAGAGTGAGTTCCGTTACTTCGCAAGTCACGCGCTGTACGCCTTTGTCGGTCGCAACTCTGAGAAAGCTCATCGTCGCGCGTTCCGCATCACACCAGCCAGCTTCGGGGTTGAAATATCCCTTGCCCATCTCAGCACCACTGCAAAGATCCTTGAGAACATCGTACTTCGTCAACTCATCCACGCTGACGTCCCTGGTATAATCTCCGCCTCTTTCCAGGAACGTCTTGCGCACCTTGTCGCCAAAGTCTCCCTCTTTCTTGTCGAGGACGGTCCATCCCGTTTTATGGAAGTGGCCTTGGACCGCCATGTTCCAAAACCATGGATGTATGGCTTCGTTGGCAAGGTTGCAGTACATTGGCGACTCATAGTCTGTACGTATGATGCGATTCGTGTCAATGGCCGCAGCCTGCTTCTCAGCAAGTGGTGCCATCGGCTCCCAGCGATCTATGATCGTGATGCGCGATGGATCCTTGTACTGGTGGCTCAAATGATACGCCGTGGAAGTGCCGAAGGTGCCAGCACCAACAATCAGCACAGTTGGTTCGTCGTTGCTCGGTGCCATCTTGTAGAGGTCAGACGGTATTGTTGATGACAAGGAAGGTAGATTTCACTTCAGTACCATCGTTGCACGCTGTTTCTGGACGATAGTACTAATGAGGACTGGGCCCCGCACGCTGGTGCGGATCCGAAACTTCTGGCGCTTGGCCGACGTGATGGCGGCAACCGGTGGCGAGCGCGGAACACAACTTAAGCCTGTACCAATGTAACAAAATAGTGCTCGCTCGCATAGGTCGTGTATGTGATCCCCACACGACACAAAGGAGTCTACCCAACTCCAAGCTTAGGCATCACGCAACCGTTGTCCCACAACGGTCGCAGTCGATTTTTGAGCCGGCCACCACGTCGCAAGACCCTCTCTCTGCTGGTCTTTAATTATAGAGGAACGTAATTCGCTCGTACGGAACAACAGCCGCGTGTGTCTTCCACAAAGCTTTTGTATATAGTCGTTGAGCTTAATGAATCAGTTCCGGAGAGCCTAGCTCCTGGTGCAAGGATACATGTAAAGTGAGTTAACACTGCACGTATAGTCGTAAATGGTAGTGTTCTAGTAGCATCTATTCTCTACATCTGCGGAAGGTAATCAGTGCGACTATCCGAAATATACTCAGAAAATAAAATGTAGGGTAGTAATAACATCTAGCGGTTCGACAATGAGCGCTCCGCATTTCATCTCGTATGATGACCACAGCAAGCAGAGAAAACCTCTCGCTTAATGTGCAGCTTCAATAGCTGCAATCTTGGAGGAAGTTCTAAGAGGACTTTGCTCTGGTCTGTCGTACATTTGCTCGGTTCTCTCGGCACCGCTTTTGCTCTTGTCGCGAAGTCTTTCATCTAGCAAAGTTGGATATCCTGAACATGCGACGCGCGTATCAATGCATTCAAGACATTCGGGTTTCCTCTTGTCACACACAATAGAGAACGCGTCAGTCTAAGGGCGCAGATGTACTCCGTTGTGATAAAACTACCTTGTTTCGCCGCTCGCGACAAAGCGGACACGCTGCTGAATGCTATCCTGAGCCTTGCATTATGCACTTTTGAGCTCGAGCGGTGCAGTTACGTGTGTCGCTGAAGACTACCGCTTTCGTCGCATGTACAAATCACGTACTGCACGTTTGTATGGCTACAATTCTAGGTCCACGACGAGATCAGGATAATTTTGCCCGTCAGGAGATCTGCCTAAGATCCGCAAGATCTAAATTTCGTGGCTTAGCATTGCTTATGTTGGATCCTGACAAGGCATGATTGGGTGGAGAGAGACTTAAGCCTCTATAGCGCAAAACGAGCGGATGAATCAGCGTCCGCTGACTAGGTATAGTAAGCCTCAATGCATGCTTGCGCCCAGGTGTGGGCTAGTCAACGGGGCAGTATGCAGATGACATGACGACCTCAAGCGCTAGTGTTCTGGTTACCACTTCCGGACATGTAGTCATCTTTGGCAAGCGTGAATTGTTGTATTGTCGAGCGGAAGACTTTCGAGGTCGAGGTGCTGTGCATGTATAAAGTCTCACAACGGAGCCATGAATAAACCCAGCGAACTATACACTCTCAGCGCTGCCCAAGACAGAACCGAAATTTCACTGTCGACCAAAACTACGAAATGCATGCCAGTGACGTCGTCGCAGCTATTGAGCTTGCTTTCTACATACCTACCGCCATTTTGACTGTCGCTGTCTGCTCGCGCCATGGCTTCTATCGGAGCAGCGGGTGGATTTACACGCTGATCCTTTGCATCGTGCGCATTGCCGGTGCAATTTGTCAATTTCGATCCCGCCACGACCATTCGGAGAACATGACTGAAGCCAAGATCACCATTGATTCCGTCGGGCTGTCGCCATTACTTCTCGCAACGCTAGGATTATTGAGTCGATTGTACGTATTCAGAATGTTCTTATTATCTCCAAGCTTACTGGCGGCATAGTGTCGATTTCATAAATGCCAAAACTATTTCGACATTCACGATCAGACATTTTCGGCTTCTTCAACTGCTCATCACTCTTGGCCTCATCCTCAGTATTGTTGGAGGCACAAGTGGAACCATCGAGCCCGGCGGTGCCGTGCAGGTTGCAGCGACGAGCAAGGTCGGCATCGTCTTATACATCGTCGCATTTGTCGTCATGCTTTTCGTCTATTCTGTCTCAATTCGCAGCACATCTGTCATCGCGAAGCAAGAACGCCGAATCCCCGCCGCCATCGTTTTCGCGCTTCCACTCATTCTGGTGCGGCTCATCTACGCCGCATGTGCGGTCTTCTTGCATAACCATCTTTTCAACATCATAACGGGTAGCATGGCCGTGCAGGTTAGTATGGCAATCATTGAGGAATTTCTTGTGTCGGCCATATACGTTGCCGTTGGATTCCTGGTTACGAGCGTTGATCCGAGTGCCCAGGGACCGATTGCAGGAAGAGAATGGAAGATGAAAGGTAGCAAGGGCGTAAGACGGACTAGGAGAACGTAAATGTACGTGATGTTGCAGCATAAAACCCGTGTTGGGGCGATCTGGTGTTGAGCTTGCCCAAATGCAAGAGGCGCGGTTTTCGACCCGCCATTGCTGGCCCTAACATAAATCCCTTGCATCCAATCTACAACACCAAGTTATTCGTATTTGAGTTTTCATGTGTCGAGGTGTAAAGGAAAGTCTGGCGTGACATAGCCTAGCACGCATCCGATGACGTCACTTGCTCGGCCGATTTGGGGCTCCAACTTCAAAAGCGCTGCATCTCATTTCTCTCCAACGGCCACTCTAACAGCATCACAAATCATTCTCGATGATATCAGTCCGCACACCGCATACATCGGTCTTTGTTATGTGTATTGCAAGAGCAAAGACCTAACCCAATCCAATGAGGCTAATCATGTACTGCTATTTCGACAATCCCGGTCACTAGTCCCAGCAGGCCTGCAGGCGATTACATATATGCGCTTCTCTCTCATACCATGCTCTGCGAGCTCGTCGACTTCTTTGACATGCCGTCGCTTTCAGAATCGTAGCTGCCATCCCTCAGGATCTCCGTCGAGTGGAACGTTGGTTCGACCTTCGCTGGCGGCGGTAGCGGGGTCGTCGGTACGGTAGCGACAAAAGATGGCTTCTCCTGCGAAGTCTGCCTGGACGATGAAGTGCGGGATCTAATATAGGAGAAGACTGCTGACGACTTGAGTCTAGACCAGATGGTCGTCTTGGTGAAGATATTGAGCCAAAACGCTGACATGGCCGGCGCACAGCTCACTGCTATCGTGCCGTATAGTTCGATGACACTATTGACTTGCATTAGCGATATGTCAATAGATTGTAGCACCGAGAAAGATTTACGTTACTATCTCAAGCAGAGTCGCGTTCCAGGTCGAATCGATTTCCTTGAAGATCAAGACCCTCAGCCAGAGCGATACTACGCTCATGACAACTAGGCTGTAGCGAGAAAGTCAGTAAATTCACGTTACATGCGGCAGGTGGTAGCTCACATGACACCAGTGCCAAATACGAGCCCCAGGGTGATTTTCTTGATGGGCGAGACTCGCAGTCTCATCAGAACTGGGAATGGCAGCACCAAGATCACCAAGTCGGCGATGCAAGAGAAGACGCCCACGACTACGTGTATCCATGTCGATTTTGCACAACGCGCAAAAACGCCCGGTCCCCACATCTCTCCCATCTTTGGAAGACAGTAGACCCCGGCAGCCACAATGTTCAGACTGTAGAATATAGCCATGCATACGATGCCTATCCAAGATGTGCGTCGCAGCCAAACCACGCTTCCAAAGATCCTGATATACAGGGCTAGGATAGCTGCTTTGGAGGCCCAGAGTGTGGGTGCGATGACAAACATGATTGCTGTTTGCCTTTGCATGACCGGGATGGTGAAGGTCGACATTGGAAGGTCCCAAGTGTGCCTCGCAAGGCCATTGTTCGAATCTACCTTCTGTAAGTACCTAACGGCGCCGACGTATCTGTGGTTTGACTAACTAATCAGATTCAGGACCCAGTAGGCAATGCCTCCAGCGAATGCGAAAACCGCAAGGTCTGTCATACACATGGTTAGCACAAGTTGCATATTCCATATTCAAAGGGGCTGGTATGGTCGCGAAATCGCATTGAGCACTTACAGTCGTCAAGTCGAAGCTTCTTGGAGAGCTTCAAGTTCGTACCAAGCCTAAATGCGAGAAAAATGCCACCAATAATGACAAGTGCAACCCCAGTTCCCAGTGCGCTGTGAACAAGTGTTGGTGGGGTTTCGAAGTTAGGTGGCGCACCCGAAGGATTGACTCCAAGGGGGATCTTGGTCAAGTCTGGCATCTCCATTTGCTGCGGAGCCATCTTTGTGTTAAAGCGGTATACTGATAAAGCGACAAAAATGATATTGAGAAGAGCGAGCTGCTGACTTCATACGGATGTCGAATGTCGAGCAACCTCTCAAATAAGGCATTCGGTCATCGGTGTACTATACAGCAGCATGTCTCGCAATGGATCACCATTATGCCTATCTTACCAAGGATTGTGGTCCGCAGCATGCTCCACAAGCCAATGTCGGACCGAGCTTCTGCCTAGCTTGATTCTTGATCCCCGATGCATACACGATCACGTGCATTATGATTGGTCGCAAAGTTCACAATGCTGTCGATCACCAGCGCTAGCCCTGGTCCCACAATAACCACGTTATCCCGCTGCACGGCAAGTCTGCCTCGCGTGTTCGGAGAACGATAAAACTTGGCGAGATGAAGATGTGACATGAATGTCGAAGTGGGTTCCTGTTTGAGGCGCGGCAAATGAATCATGACGGAGCATCTATGACATTATAAGCCATAGCCGCATCGTTAGTGGCAACTATCGCAAGCAGCAGCGAAGGATTGAACAAGTCCCAAACGTTGTGTCTTCCCCCTTCAATCTCTTGTTTCCCACACTGGCTGTTGAAGTTCTCTGTCTCATCAACATGCTGTCGCTCATTCTCCAGAGCCAAGAAGCTCTCTTGACACTGATCTTGGGCAGCTCTTTGCTCTCATGCTCAGTATTGCTCTCTTTCGTCAAGAAGCATGGCTTCGTGAGTCCGACCACATCTGTACATCCCGCCACGCTAACGTTAGTTGTTCTAGACATCAGCTCTACTGTACCCGTTCCGACAACTCAAACAATGGCTGAATGCCTATCTCTTCATCATCGACGCTCCGAGAATCATTCAAGACGGCTATGACAAGGTATGAGAATCTTCAGTTCAGCTTCACCATAAACTATTCCTAACCAAAATGCAGTCGCATGGCAAAGTCTTTGTTGTTGACAGCCCTGACGTTCGCTACCACCTGGTCACAAACCCGAAGCTGATCGATGAGATCGATCGCGCTCCCAATGATGTCCTATCGCTTCAAGCAGCTGCAAAAGTTTTGCTGCGACCCGAACACTCGATGCACAACTTCAGTTGGTTTGAGAAGAGAGGTGTGGATAGCGCACCTCTGCCTAAGACCGTACGAACCCTGCTCCGCAACGAACTGCCATTCATTCTGCCCAAGACCCGCGTTGCCAACTCTCAGATCATGGACGAAATGCTTGGCGGGACCGGAAAGCGACCGCATATCTCCAAGGTCGTGCGCGAATGCGTCGCACAGACAAACGCCATTGCGTTCTTCGGCGAAGAACTTGCCAACGACAGAGACTTCATGATTGCAGCCGAGGATTTCATCGACAAGACGGTCTACATTGCCGAAGCCGCACGGCTTCTCCCAGGTTTTGTCGGTACTGCTGTCGTTAAGTTCCTCGAATCCCACTTCTCTTCTCAACACATCATCTTCAACGCACTCGAGCCTGTCGCTCAGCGTAGAATTGATGAGCAGGAGCTGGCCAGACAGGGACAGATCGTACCGGAGCACAAAGACTGCATCCAATACATCATGGAGCAGACAATGGATTCGAAGCCATCGCAATGCGAGATAACCGGACCCTGGGCTGCCGGACGTATTGTACACGAGTTGATGGCGCTCTGGTTTGGCGCGGTTCACACCATGGCCATGGCTACAACTTTTGCCATCCGAGATGTTTGCATGCACCCCGAATACCTCCAAGCACTTCGCGCTGAGATCGAAAGTCCTGCATACCTCAAGTGGGAAGCTACCGGCACTGGCATGCCTCTTCTTGATAGTTTTCTCAAAGAGTCCGCGCGCCTGAACCCCCTCGACAACGTGAGCACACGGCGCAAAGCACTCAAACCATTCACAATGTCCAATGGTACGCGCGTCGAAACTGGAGAATGGCTTGCCACACCACTTGCAGCGATGCTCAAAGACTCGGCGAACTGGTCTGAACCAAACGAATTTCATGGCTTCCGACACGTCGCGCCTGCACATCTCGCATCCTTAGCTCGGCTGGGTCCGTCAACATCTCAGCTAAACCAAAACTATTCTAACTCACCCGAAACACCGCGCAAAAGAAGAGCTCAAAACCCACTACACCGTCTCCAAGTCCTGGTTCCAGATTTTCCCCAAATCATGCAAACCACCTCAAGGAATGCTGCTTCCACTCATCTACCCCAACAAAACTGCCTGGGTCGCTTTCTTCATCATGAACGCCGCGGAAGTACAGTTGGAGAACGTGTAATGTGCCGAGGAGTGATTTGCCGATTGTGCTTGCGCCGCGCGGTGGGGCCAAGTAAGCGGTGGAAGAAGAGTGTTCGGGCGCGCAGGAGGTGGCAGTTGACGGTGTTTGATATCCATGGGTGGACTTGTGCTTTCGTTTGTTCTCAATGCTTACATACCATTAATCGCAACTGCATTACATGAGTTTTGTCGCAGTCCGTCTCCACGATTTCACACCACTGACGTGTCACGAATGCTCTTGACATGAATCAACATGACCATTGCCACAAGTTTACTTCTACTCTCGCGTCCCAATTGGATTGCCATGATGACTACACATGCAGGTAGACGGTAGCGAACCATCAAGTCGGTGTAGTGGTAGCGCGGGGTCCGCTTATGATAGTCCCCGAGCTACAGCTGATCTGCGCCGGAGGGCTCACTCCGGCGCTAAATTTAGCCCCTGCTGGACGGGTGGCTGGGAACCTTGGGCCACACTCGTGACCACGTGGACTGACATCGAAAACAATCTCCATCTATTTTCGGGAATTGAGACAAGATATCGGGAATCTTTGACTCGTTGAGTTTGTACATCATTCGCGACAGGGTTGCAGCTGCATCGTGAAGCGGGGTTCCTTCTTGGCGGATGTGCTGCGACTCAACTGCGCCGCAGAGCCTTGATTGACGCCCGCGGAAAGCCTAATCGCTGCATCGCTGCTTTTCCTTCCTTTCTCTTCAAACATCAAAGCGAGTAACTTTACACTCCTCTCGACTCGCCATCGCGACTTACGGTTCAACTTCCCCGACTACGATTGGGATAGAGCAATTCGTCTCTCGTCAAAATATCAGATCAATTGTACATCGACTCGACATCATGTTTGAGCACTTCGCCCTACGTCACATCCCTCCTCTCCTCCTCGCCAGCATCTGGACAGTGGGTGGACTCATGTCCTTCACACACGGCCCCGAAGAAGCCATACGCACTTATGGCCTTTCGGATAAAATCGCATCCTCAAAAGCCGCTTGGCCACTGATCAGAATCGAGGGATCGCGCGTCACCACCATTGGCCTGGCAATCTGGGGCATTTACTTGGGTGGCCATCTCGAGGCCATGGACACGCTGCTGTCGTGCATTGGTTGGATGGCTATCATTGACGGCTATGTGTGTTCAAAAGATGGAGCACCTGGTTCGGCGAAGATGAGGGGGATCTATCAGGGTGTTGTTGCGACTTGGGGATTGCTGGGCATGACCTCTGGAAAGTACTTTTAGGCAATGCGCGATAATCCTGGTGCAAGAAAGAACAATTCATCTCAATAGCATTGGCTATCTATTCGCATAAGTTTCTACGTAACTTGGACATATGTCAATCGTCGAACATGACATCACCAGCAGTGCACACCCTAGTTAATCGCCAGGAACACAATCATCTCCCTATGCATATCTCGGTACTCTTTCCCCCGATATGGTATTCACTCGATACTTCTTTTCAAATTTATGGGGGCGGAAATTATCGCTAAGATATACAAGCATTGTCGGTCTCCCAATTACCCCACACCCGGTCGGTCCCCGAAGTGTCGACCTATGGACAATGTGATTGGATCGGAGCGCACCACCACCAAGAGCTCTAACACATCGGTAGATACTTGAGTCAGTGGAATGCTTGGTAGACTAAACTTGAGCACAAGATCCACCCACTGTTGCTCGTGTGGATGGCGATCGCTGCACGCCAAGATCTGACAGCGGAAAGATCCACATGGTTTGCAGTTGTTAGGTTGAGTGGATGATGATGAGGTACACGCTTGAAAGGATGTGCTTAATAAAGATGAACTTGCGGCGATTGCCGCTTCTCTGGCCCCATCGTTATCTCGAGCCATCGTTCGACAGACCGTTGAACGGTTGAGGACGACTTCCCTCTTATTATCCATCCGTCGTCTTTCTCAACTACCTCAGCTTCCACCCTCATCATGGCGTCAAAACTTGAGAACACTACCGTGGATAGCACTGGGAAAGAGGAAGAAGCGACCGTCATCTCCATTCACTCATCCGAGAGTGAGAAAAACCAGGACGATCAAGAAACACAGCCCTTCAAGCACACGTGGAAACTATGGTGCATCTTCTCAGTCCTGTGTCTCTTTTCTTTCCTATCCGCCCTCGATGGTACCATCATCACAACCTCTCTTCCCACCATCACTGGTGCAATCGGCGGCAGTAGTGACGGTCTCTACGTCTGGATAGCACAGTGCTTCATCTTCTCATCAACAGCACCTCAACCGCTGTATGGGCAGATTGCCAACATCTTTGGACGCCGCAACCCATTTCTTTTCGCCATTGCTTTGTTCGCTCTGGGAAGTGGCATCGCTGGCGGTGCGACAAGCCCAGCCATGTTGATCAGTGGTCGAACAGTGCAGGGTACTGGTGCGGCCGGCCTGTATGTCCTTTCTGACATCCTCATCTGTGATCTGGTTCCTCCGCGGTACCGTGGCCCATATCTCACTGCCGTTTTGTCCACCGCTGGCATCGGATCAACCATTGGCCCTGTCGTCGGCGGCGCAATGGCTCAAGAAAACTGGCGCTGGATCTTCTATCTGAATATCCCCATCTCCGTATTCGGCTTTATCATCATGATCCTTTTGCTCAAAGTCAACCACGTCCAGAGCGCATCCTGGGCTCAAGCACTCGCGAAGATCGACTATCTCGGAGCACTCATCTTCATCCCATCATGCATCGCCATCTTCTACGCTCTCATCACCGGCGGCGTCCAACACCCTTGGTCTTCATGGCGCGTGATCCTCCCGCTTGTTCTCGGCATCGTAGGCTGGGCAGTCTACCATGTCCAACAAGCACACTGCGCCAATCCCAGTACGCCACCGCATCTCTTTACAAATCGCACATCAGCGACTGGCTTTGCGCTCGTCTTCCTAAGCTCTCTCGCCATGTACACAATCTCGTTTTTCCTCCCAATATACTTTCAAGCGGTAAAGCTCCTCTCGCCCCTGACATCCGGTGTGTACTACCTTCCATTCGCACTCGCCATCATGCCATTCGCTGGTGGATCGGGGTGGGCGCTGAGTAAATGGGGAAAATACATTCCGCTGCATTACGCCGGAACAGCGCTCGTGGCAATCGGCGCAGGTCTGTTTGCGACGCTTGACGAAAACTCGAGCCGTGCTGCGTACATTGGATTTCAAATCATTCCGAGCGCGGGTATTGCGATGATCTACACTGCGACGCTACCGAGTACGCTTGCGCCGCTTGATGAGAAGGACGTTGCGACTGCGACTGCGACTTACTCATTCGTGCGATCCTTTGGTTTTGTTTGGGGTGTTACGATGGGCGGTATTGTGTTCAACGGGCAAGTTAATGCGCGGTTACACTTGGTACAGGATGCGTCGCTGCGAGACTCACTGCGTGATGGTGCAGCATATGCTTTTGCGGCCGGCCGAAGTAGTTTGAGCAGTATGATCGACCCTTCAAGCCAGTTGCAGGTTACTCATGTCTACGCTAAAGCTTTGCGGGTGGTTTGGCTGGTGGTCATGGCGGTTGGATTGTTATCATTTGTGCTGGTGCCTGCGGAGAGATCAATAAGAGCTGAAGAAGGAGAATAACACGGAATTCGGGATGAAGGAGAAGAAGAGTGGAAAAGGATCTGTTGTGTAAACCATAGCTGGTCGTAATTGACACGAGCTTCTTGTTATACCTTGCTCAGTATGACAACACCTGCATCACGTCACGTAATGACAAATCCGACATGATCAAGCAATCTGATTTTCAAGCTTCTCCGCCACTTCAATCCCAGGCATCGCAATGTTCATACGGCCCCTTTACAAGTCGATCCCTTCGCCCAGCTTCCCCAACGTTGGCCTGGATTCCAGACAGCTCGTTGTCTTCAGGAAGTTCTGGAATATCAGGGCTATTCTGAGCCTTGTTTATACCTCTGTATTGCCATGTGAGCGTGGCTACGATAGCCATTCCAAGCGCAGCTAAAACAACCGCGACTGCAACAGATGCCACAAGATACGAAGGCGGAATACGGCCAGTGCCCGGTAGGTCCGCCATGATATGGGTCACTCGTAGAGGTAGATTCTGACGTGAAGCTGGTCTTGGAGTGTGTTGTTATATGTTTTATAGGTTCGGAACTGGATTTGCTGTGGAAATAGACTGTGGTGTGACCAACGGATCTTGCAGGGCAGTGTGTGCATGTCGGACTACCACTATTCGCCAACGTATTCGTAATGTCGGAGGAGATGGTGTAAGTTATAGCAGTAAACACTTTGATGGTGGTCCTGAAGTCTGGGTCCGTGGCCGCGAGCAAAGAAGGCTTCCGGTAGTGCTTCGCGTAGAACTTGGAAGAGCAGACTATACTGCTTGCCAATATTTCTGGCGATCCTGATAAATTACTGTGCGCTTCGCAAGATTAGCTCCTTATTTCTACGTCTGCTAAGTTCTAGGAAGCATACTCGAAAGTCGTCCTGTAACATCATTGATGAGGGATATAAATGAGAGCGGTTGTGGTTGGCATGAATTTCTTTTCTCGTTGAATTCCAAAAAGACTGGAAGAATACGGCCGTGCATCACATTGATCGAATGATATCGCAAAGCGTGTAGAGTGATATTGAGGTGTCGGCTTCCTCCCACTGCAACGTTGCTTGCGTACCTTGTGTACACCATAGGGAGGTAAACTTCCAGAATAGCTCATACCACCCATGCTCCCCTGTTCGTGTGCGAGTGACATGGTCGGCAGCTTGGTTCATCGTAACACAAAATTCGATATCACCGTAATCGCAACTGTCAGCAAGACACAACGTGTGACCCTCCTTCATGTGTTGTTGTTCTGCAAAGACACACGAGCTATCAGCCCCTCTGGACTACCCAGTTGTGCAGCATCTCCGCACTGACATTACTCCCGCCGCATACAACAATGACAACCCTGCTCTTCTCGTTCAGATGTGGCAATTGTTTCCGTAATCGACCATTGTAGCACAATGCCAGTGACACGCCACACGCCGGCTCCACCATGATTCTCTCGTCATCCGCAAATCTGGCACATCCTTCGATCGCATCCGTATCCTTCAATACCACGGACGTGACCGAGTCGGATTTTGCGTGTTCATATGCTCTTGCTGCGACGCGTCTTGCGCCTAGACTTGTCGCTATGCTGGTGATTGCGGGTAGTGTCGATAACTCGCCCTTCTCGAGCGACAAAGCCAAGGAATGCGCGCCTTCAGTCTCAACAGCGAGGACCTTTGTATCAGACCACCCAGCCTTACCAAGACCTTGCATGATACCTGAGAACAATCCACCTCCACCAACACTACAGATCAGCGCATCAAGCGGTCCATCGATCTGCTCCACCAGCTCTTCCACCAACGTAGCATTCCCATCCCAAACCTCTTGCGCATCAAACGGCGGGACATAAACGGGTTCTTCGCCCCTCTCTTTTGCTTCTTTCATAATCACCTCCCGTACGTGCGCATCAGCTTCTGCCCACGACTCGCCGATCTGAACGACGTCTGTGGCACCGGAAGCGCGAAGTTTGGAAATCATGTACGCCGTTGTGCTCATGGGTACGACGATTGTTGCTGCTGCGCCGAGCGAGACGGCGGCGCATACACATGCCAGACCAGCATTTCCGCCAGAAGAGATGTAGAAGTGGATTGTACTTCGGTTGGATGTTTTGGCGATGTGGGAGAGCAGAAAGTTGCCGACTCCACGTGATTTGAAGGAGCCGGATGGTTGCAAGTTATCCAGCTTGAGATAGATTTGACTGTAGAAACAGTTAATGACCTGATTCAGGTTTTTTTTATGAGAATGTGCATACCATCCAGCGTGTTTGGAAAGGATGGTCGAATGTATTAATGGTGTTTGCCGCCATGGCTTTGGAAAGTTCTTCTCAGGGTCATTCTGCGCCGCCATTTTGACTGACTTTTTGGAGGCTGGGAAGCTGGTGAGTACTTCACATCCACACTGATTCTCTCATTTAGGTCGTTGATGACTTCGTGTCTATATAGAGAATTGCGCGAAGCGTGGGGCGCAAAAGCGGGCTAGTAGCTCGCAGGGCGCGCCCCTCTTGCCTCGCTTCGTGTCGCTACTCCTTCGCACATACCTTGCTCTGTCAACGACATCAACCCAATTTCGCAACAAAATGCTCTAACATAGAATGTTCGAAAGATATTACATTACACCATAGCGAACTTGGTCAATTTGACACCGTAAAATGCGGAACGCTTCATCCACCGAATCAGTCCCACACGCCTGAATATGTCGACGTTCCCGTCGTCCCGCTGCAATGCAAGGCCCATGACCAACGCAGCATCGGGACCCAACCTCTCAGATATCAAATATGGAATTGGGATATAACTTTCTTCTGGCTCAGGACGTGCAGCTATGCACCACGCAGGTGTATCTGCAAGAAACTCTCCTCCGACGTCTGGGAAGAAAGCGCCTGACATGGAGCCATCGGACGTGTCGAGTACATTCCACTGGTGAACATTGTCCTCTTCTTCGTCTCGAAGCTTGAGTCTGACTTGTAACATTCGCCCACGAAACGCAAGCGATGCTCGGCGTATGGCTCCAAATCGGTCTACCCCGTTGAGCTCAATACTGGAACTTAGGAACTCCAGATCTGTAGACGCAAAATCCCTTCGGTCATCTTCCCACCGATCTCCCACGCCGTAATTCGTCAACATCTGGCTCTCATAGCTCATGGGTCCGTCGAGCGATAGGAACGAGAAGCTAGGAGCTCGATATGTCGTGGATCTTTGTGCATTGCTCGCGTCAGTCATCCGCCAAAGTAAGGCTTGCGGCAAGTGTTCAGTCCAGATGCCAGCCAGGTAATCGCTCGAGGGAAGTTTCTTCTGGAAGTTTTGAGCAAGACCACCCAGCGCTGGGAGTTTGTCGGAACCTTGGGTGAGGTGGCGCGACATGTAGTCTTCCATGAGTTCGTACCATCGGTCTCTCAATGCCACCGGACCATCTGGAAGTACGCCCTCTCCAAGAACGTTTCTCATTGACCAAGGGCGAAAATCGTCAAGGGGCTTGACCTGATGCCATGGTAGTTCACTTGATCCTTTCGCTTCTTTACATTCCCAGAGCACGAGATTTTGAGAGAAGAATATGTTTCTCGTTGACAGTTCTCGTTCCTGTAGAGTCCACGCTCGTCCACGTAGAGGATTTGGCCCATGCTCGCCGTGCCGATATGTGTCGTCACCGTATTCCTGATGCCATTTCATAATTTCTTTCTCGAACACGCGTATGCGATATGGACCGGAGTCGAAGTCGAAGAAACGGCGTTCGTGCGTTATCGCCCTGGGATTGGCCACGCGACAGCCCTGAGTACTGTCACTGGAGCTCAGGGCCGAGAGCGTGAATACCGCATTCCCGTACACCGCCGACATCTTGCCAGCCTCATGAAGCCAGTCATCTGGATCGTCCTGCACAATGCACAAGGAGTCAATCCACAAGTATCTCTCACCGAGATCTATTGTAAGCTTGACCGCATCTTTGAAAGTCAATGAAAGATCGTAAAAGGAGATGCGCCGCCTGTTGATCGCAAGATTGGCGGCTGTAGTAATCATCGGGCGCTTCGAAGGTGGTCCCCAGCAATGGCTCAAGGCCACATAGGAGCTGATAACATCATGGCCAGTAAGCGTCACTAGTTTGGTGTCTCTGGATCCGCGAACTGCTTGCACGTCAAGCAGACGTGTTGGCATAAAGCTTTTCTCGGGTTTCGAGCACCCTTGATGGTTTTTGACACAGTCTTGGATCCAGGTAGACATGATATTAACATCCCGACACGGCTGGCCGAGCCGCGCCTTTGGAAGGTGCTCTATCACATGTCAGTCACTTCCTGAACGATGGGAGGGAATTTGCAAACCCCAATCCCCTGGAATACGGAAGAAGTATGTATGTGATACGTCATGTCCATTAATGCTAATGACCAGCGCATGTTTAGTATCGAGGGTAGCTCGTCTCAAGTCCACGGGGATTTTACTTAGCCATGGGGAATTAGCCATCCACTTTACCTCAGCACCGTCCATCAGACAAGTACAGAAGGGACAGCCAGCGCGTGCATTCCTCTCAATTGAATCGATAGAAAGGTGGATTCTTTCCTTATGATCGGGCGCGGGAGAAAAGAAGTCATGGTCGATTGACTGACAAACCGCACAGAGAGACATGGTGTGTACACGTGCAACATCAAGCCAGAGTGAGGTTACTCAAAGGCACTCACAGCAGCAGTGGAAACGATTCGAGCTTGAACAATCGTGAGGGGTATCGGAGACGCCAAGACTTCCGGTGAAGGAGTGCATGCGCCGATAACGCGTAAGGGCATATATCACGAGCACCAGTAACTTTATAGAACAACGGATCTATTGCTACATATCTTCCAATGTCCGGAACGCCCAACTTTTTGATTCTCGATATAGCTTCCTCAGCGAATCTATGCCCATAACACAACATCATCATCGCCTCGCTATATCACCAGCCACATGGGAAAAACATTAGGGAGATCCGTCCTCCTTGCCTATCGTGACAAGTGGGATATCGCGCTATGCAGACGAAACGATTTTACATATAGGAAAGACGCTTAACCGACAGAGATGCACTTGATGTCAAAGATCAAGTCGGAGTTGGCTGGGATGTCCGGGGGCGCGCCCTTCTTGCCATATGCAAGCGCGGCGGGGATGGTGAGGCGGCGCTCTCCACCGGGAGTCATGCCAGCGACACCGACATCCCAGCCCTTGATGACTTGGCCGACGCCGAGCTTGAAGGCGAATGGCTTGCCCTTCTTGTTGGCTGTGCAGTGTTAGTAGGTATCCATTTCGACCACGTCAGATGAGGAGACTTACAGTCAAAGACCTTGCCGTTCTTCAGCTTGCCGATGTAGCGCATCTCGACGCGGTCGCCCTTCTTCGCGGCTTTGCCCTTGCCCTCCTTCTTGTCCTCGACTGTGACGCCGCTGACGACGCGCGGGCCTTTCGCGGCTTCCTTCTTCGCCTCGGCCTTGGGAGCCTCAACCTTAGTGAGCGGTGAGCCTGTGGGACCTAGCTCGAGGTTTTTGGCGAACTGTACCTTCTTCTTGTCGCTGCTAGGAGCGTCGGCCTTTTCGGCCTTCTTTGCGGGCTCAGCACCGGCAACGGCTTGGCCGTCGTTCTTCTTCAGCTTCTTGGCCTGCTTCTTGCTGACCTTCTCGTCGCCGTTGGCCTTGCTCATGAGGTCGTCGAGCGTGGCGTCGTCCTCTGACTCAGCCGGGCGCTTCTTGTTGGCCTTCTTGCTGGTAGCAACGAGCTTGGGCACCTCCTCCTCTTCGCTGTCGACCTCAGTGATGCGGGGGTCCTCGAGGTCGTCGAGCTCATCGGACTCATCCTCGTCCATGCCGTCAATCTCGAGCTCGTCCTCGTCAGAGCCGATGTCGTAGCCAAGCTGCTCGAGGCCATCGTCCTCGTCATCATCCTCGCTGTCTTCCTGCTCGGGGAGTATGATGTAGTTGCCGGTGACGTAGATGTCGTGGGTACCGTTGACGCAGAGGTAGACCTCTTCACCCTCACGGACGGTGATGTCAAGCGGCTGCTGGTAGTGCTGCAAGGTGTTAGATGGTATTTTGCAGAGTTTTCACAGCAATCTTACGTTCTCGGGGTTGAGCGTGCACAGGACAAACTCTTCGGGCTCCTCGTCGTCGTCGTCCTCATCCTCGTCCTCGTCGCTGATGTCGTCGTCGTCGGTAACCTTGGCCTTGCCCTTGGACTTGCCATTGACGCCGTTGGTCAGGCTGTTGTCGATCTCCATCTCGTCCTCGAGCTCCTGCTGCATCTTCTTGGTGAGAGCGGCCTTCTTGGCCTTCTTGGCCTTGACGGGGTCACTGGGGCCGCCGTTCTTCTCATTCTCGCTGTCGTCCTCTTCAGACGACTCGAGCTCCTCGGCGGGAAGTGCGCCAGCTTCACGGAGGCGGGCGGTGATGGCCTCAATGTCCTCTGGGTCGTAGTCGTCCTCGTCGTCCTCGTCGTCAAAGTCCGTGGGCACACGGATAAGCTTCAGAGTTGCGCGCAGGACTTGGTTCTCCTCATCGGTCTGGGCGGGCGCACTGGGGTCGAGAGCCGCCATGGTGATGCGGAACTACTCTGATCAGCAAAGCTCGGCATACGGCCAATGCGACAGAATTTGACGTCTCCGACATCGAGCATGTCAAAAAGAAAATTTCCGTCGCATTCTATGGCAGTTCAGATGGCAGATTCGGCTACTTACTGCAGCGGAAGGGTCGATCGAGGCAAGAATGGGAATACCGCCGGCTGGGACGCGGCGGCCCCAGACACCAGCAGCTACAGGGCCGGACATGGTGATGGTGGAGGAAAAGCTGGGTGCGACTTGATGCGCTTTTCTTTTGCTTTTGTGATTCGGGTGTCGACGGGTCTTGCCTATGCTGGGGATGTGGCACAAGCAGAATCAGTGGGAGGAGCTGGACTGAATGCGCAGGAACTTCGAGTTCTTGGGGACCAACAGCTCGAAAAAAAGATATGCACCTAAGCACTAGCGCGCCTGACCGCCTGGCAGAACCGGCAGACCCACCGCTTAGCGCGAACTTACGCGACCGCGACACGAGCCATTCACTCCCCGCCTCGCGAACACCGACCACGACGTGATGCCGCCGGGAAAACCTCAACACCCCCCCAAATCATGGTCGCGGCCCCGATGAGCGCACTCGATCCTCCCTGGCCACCGTTACCATCGCCACGCCACCATGGGCTCGCGCCTGGACAAGAACAGTGAAAGCGTGCGGAAGCGCATCGAGCAGCACACCTTCGAGAGTGAAGATGGCGACGAATACAAGGGCTCAGCGTTTGGCGGCTTCACCGACTACTTCAGACGGAAGAAGATCAAGCTGCAGAACCTCGATGCCGACATGCGCGAACAGGCCGGCGACAAGCCCCCCATCTTCAAGGGGATTGTGGCGCATGTCAACGGCTACACCCAGCCGTCGCTCAACGACCTGCACACGCTCATCGTCCAGTACGGCGGCGGCTTCATGCAGTATCTCGACGGCAAGACCACCGTGACACACATCATCGCAAGCAGCCTCACGCCGAAGAAGGTCGTCGAGTTCCGCAAGTACCGCATCGTCAAGCCGGCCTGGGTGGTGGACAGCATACAGGCAGGGAAGCTGCTACCGTGGAACGAGTACCGCGTGGTCGACGAGGGCGAGAAGCAGAATGTCTTGGCGTTCGACAAGGGCAAGGTGCTGAGCCAGGCCAACGTCAAGGCGAGGGGCTACCGCGACCAGACGGATGCAAGCTGGTACACTGGCCAGCTGAGGGCGAGCCAGGCCGGTCCGTCGAGTACGCCCACGCCAAGCGGACTCCCCCGTTCGCGCTTCTCGAAGCAACGACCGCCCACGCCTGATGATGACATTGATGATGACCTCCCTCCTTCGCACCAGCCGGAGAGCGGCCCTCTCCAGCAACAGCCCAGCAAAGAGAAGACCTCCACCGACTTGGTCACCCCGCCGAAGAGCAGTCCTACGATTGCGCCTCTCCACGACTCGTTCGAGGACAAGGAGCTGGACGAGGCACTTCATGATAGCCTCTATGATGGCCCCCCACCCGCTACCCAAAAACCACCGGCCGCCCCTCAAATAGCCCCCGGCGTCTTTGATGACCGTGTCATGGACTTTGTCGTCACAGCGAATAACGTAGCTCCCGATGGCCGGCTGCTTACTGCTGAAGAACACAATGCTATCCTACTCCGCGACCCCAAGATCCGCAAGTCGACGGTAGTTGATCCGAACTTTCTTGAGCAATACTACCGCGAATCCCGTCTGCATCATCTTTCCACATGGAAGGCCGATTTGAAGTCGCAGCTGCAAGCACTCGCCAGCGAAAAGACATCCAGTCAAAAAGCGAAACAGAAGCGCCAGCCTGGTGCGCGGCGATACATACTCCACGTCGATTTCGACAGCTTCTTCGCTGCCGTCAGCTTGAAGAAGCACCCGCAGTACAAAGACAAGCCTGCCGTGGTAGCGCATGGCCAGGGCAGTGGGTCCGAGATCGCCAGCTGCAACTATCCAGCCCGCAAGTTCGGTGTCAAGAACGGCATGTGGATGAAGAAGGCGCAAGAGCTGTGTCCTGACATCAAGATCTTGCCATACGACTTTCCAGCGTACGAAGAAGCCAGTAGAGCCTTCTACGACGCCATCCTGTCAACTGGTGGACTTGTCCAGAGTGTCAGCATTGACGAAGCCCTGGTCGACGTGTCAAACATGTGCATCGCCGTCGGTGGTGTTGATGGTCGTACCACGTCTGAAGGCAGCACCTACCGCGAGCAAGCCAAGGCCGACGATATTGCAAGGTCACTGCGACAAGAAGTCAAGGGGCGAACTGGATGCGACGTCTCAGTGGGTATCGGTGCCAATATTCTTCTGGCGAAAGTGGCACTGCGCAAAGCAAAGCCTGCTGGGCAACACCAAATCAAGCCTGAGGAGATACTTGACTTCATAGGCGAGCTCCAAGTTCAAGACTTGCCTGGTGTCGCGTGGTCGATCGGAGGCAAGCTCGAAGAGATCGGCGTCAAGTATGTAAAGGACATTCGCGAGTTGTCAAAGGAGCGGCTAGTCCAAGTGCTTGGTCCGAAGACTGGCGAGAAGCTGTGGGAGTACGCTCGTGGCATCGACAAGCAAGAAGTGGGCGAGCAGGTGGTGCGCAAATCTGTGTCTGCTGAAGTCAACTGGGGGCGTTCGTTTCGAAAACCAGGAGCAGGCCGACGAGTTCATCACTAGTCTATGTGGTGAGCTTCAGAAGCGTCTGCTCAAAGGAGAAGGTCAAAGGCAAGCAGTTCACGATGAAAGTCATGCGACGGTCGCCCGATGCGCCTCTAGACCCGCCGAAGCACCTTGGACATGGCAAGTGCGACACCCACAACAAGAGCTTGGTCCTTGGAGTGGCCACAAACTCAAAAGAGGTCTTGACCAAGGAAGCGCTCGGCATTTTGCGCGGCTTCGGCTTCACGCCCGGCGAGTTACGAGGCATTGGTATCCAGATGACCAAGCTTGAATCGATGAAGAGCGCGACAGACGGCAGTCTTGACGGATCTCAACGTCGACTTCAGTTCAAGTCCGGCAAAAAGGAACCCGTCAGCGCTTGCAAGGTACCACCGCCGGTTGTTGACGATGATCCCATCCAAGATGATCCAGAGACGCCCCGAAAGCCCAAGGCTGCAGTTGAAGAGGAACAGATAGCTTTCGGTGCTCCAGAGCTGAACCATTCCACCCCATCACGACGGCCACTGAACGTGATGGGTACTCAGTTCATCATGCCCACACAAGTCGACCCGAAAGTGCTTGCTGAGCTGCCTGAAGACATTCGGTCGAAGCTATTGCGCACACGTCAGACGTCGCCATCACCTGCATCGAGAGATGGTATCACAAGGACACCGACAAAGCCTCTACCGTTCTCAATGACTGCCTTGCCAGCACAGTCCCAGCTAGATCCCGAAATTCTCGCTGCTTTGCCGCCTGAAGTTCGTGCTGAAGTCCTCGCACAGTATGCTGCTGGCGCGACATCAGCTTCCCCATCCCGAAGACCTCGCCATGCCGACCAAACCCTACTCCCACAATCACCTCGCAAGAACAGAATCATCGGCATACCCGCCAAGAAAGCCATCGTTTCCGTCAAGCGCGGCCGAGGCCGTCCGCCCAAATCCGCCATGCTCGCCGCCGCCGCCCAAGCCACCTCCGTGAGCAAAAACGGCAAGACCCTGACGCAAGCAAACTTTATCTCCCGCCAGAATCCCGCGCGCGAAGCCGTGAGTCGCGAAACCTCCGTCGGTCCTTCCAACGCCGCTGACAACAGCGGTCCAGTCCCCGCGCCTAAGAAGCCCTCCGACACGGACGGCCTCGATCCGGACATCCTCGCCGCCCTGCCCGAAGACATTCGCCAAGAAGTCATCGCCGAACACAAGCGCAAGAAACTCCAAGCTTTTAGGCTCGCGGTAAATAAAGCCAAGCCGAAAGCTGCTCCGCATGTTCCGAGACCGGTTCAACGCATCAAGGTACCAAGGCCTCCGCGGCCGACGTTCACGACACAGAAATTGAGCGAGGAGCCGGACTTGAGGCGCGCGATGAAGGAGTGGATTAGGGAGTTTGCGGAGGAAGGGCCGTATAGAGAGGATGTAGGTGCGTTGGTCAAGTATTTGGGCAAAGTCGTAAGGGAGGAGAGGGATTTGAGTAAGGCGGTGGGCGTGATCAAGTGGTTGGTGTGGGTTGTTGATGATCTTGGGGAGGAGGGTGTAAGGGGGGAGAAGTGGGAGGAGGCGTTGCGCAGGGTTAAGGATGGGATTGTTGGGGCGGCGAGGGAGAGGGGGATGGGTGCTGTTTCGTTCGATTAGGGGTATGGGGCGATGGGAAGGTGTTCGGGCGTTCAAAGGTATACCACTTTGCTATTTCTGTGTGAGTGTGACGACGTTATCGTAGCTATGTATAAGATATATGAACCGCTGCACCTATTTCAACCAAGTGTACACCTGGGAGTATCGTAGGGTATATCGTCGTGTCGTGTCGGGGTATCCAAAGCCAAAGTCGAAGCCAAAACGCCAACCATCCAAATTAAAATCGCAACATCAGTCCATCATCCATCCATCACCGCCCCAACCTCCTCTTCCTCCTCCTCCCCACCGCCAACTCCCGGCTCCAAATCCCACTAAACAAATCCTCGCACTCGTCTTCATCCTGACTATCAAACTGTATCTCATCCCCCTCACCACTCTCCTCACTGCCAACCCCTTCCTCTTCCCCATACCTCCTCTCCTCCCACTCTACCCCTCTAACAACCCTCCCCGTCTCCAAAATAAACTTCCCAACCTTGTATTTCTGCCCCTCCTCCACCGCATCCACATACTTCCACCCGAGCACCGTGCCGCACTGGACGCACGAAATGTCCGCGACCGTGTGTGCACCAGTCGAGAGTTGGCGCGATACGGGTTTGTGTGTGTGCGTGTTGGGTATGGTTCCTTTGGGCCATCCGCTGCCCCAGCCGCCGACACCGAGAAAACTCCCGATGCCGTCTCGTAAACTCGATGGCGGTGGAGGAGGGGCGACGAGATATGCGCGCCCGTGCCGACCGGTGAAGCCTTTGGATATGATGTGCGTGACGGGGAGTAGGTGCGTTAGGCATTTGTTGCAGTGGAGGTGGGAGGTCGGGGTGCTGGTGGTGAGGAAGGAGGGCTGTGGGGGTGAGGATGAAGGCGAGGAGGTGGGGGATGTGCTGGTTGTTGAGGTTGAGGAACGCCTGCGGAAGGGCAGGGAGGGGAGGAGGTAGAGGGGGAAGGGGGTTGGTGAGGACGGCATCGTGGCGGTGTTGAGGCCTAGGCGTGTGGTTGCTTCAGCGTCGCTGTGGTATGTAGGTGTTGATAAAGAAGAGACGAGAAGAGAGACGACACCCGGCGTTCGATTCTGTTAAGCTTCAAGATCCTATCGCGTGGTCTTCACTGTATCGTCAGGCGCGGGGATTGTATCCGTCTCATATCACTCGCGGCACGTCGAGCAGTCTTAACAATCCGACGGATCAGTGAGGGTCGTCTAGCTATGAGGAAATCACAGCAAGTTGTTTCGTGGGTAGAGGAAGGAACCAGCTATATTAAATGAGTATCGTAAAGTGGACAGGCTTCCTATCAGCGCCGAAGCGCGATAGCCTTTCCTTTGAGGGGTTGTTGTCAGAGATGGTGCAGGTGACGTGTGGACCTTATCGATAACGCTAGCCTACCGATCAGCCACTCCCGCGCAAGGTGGGGCGGGGGAGTCGCGTCGAGTTCGATTCTTCAGCATACAGGCGGAAGACTAGAGACGAATCGCCATCGGACCACAGCAGCGCTCTGGGCCTGACAAGCACGCCGTTGCGCACGGTACGCTGACGCCGACATCATTTACACTAGACCATCTATATCCAACTCCGCCTTGCGACGCCTGAACCGAATCTTGTTGCTCGGATTCAGAATCGACATAACTGCGGCCGGGTGCAGAGCCTCTAGGCTTGCGTCCGGTGACAATTCCCAATCATATTTTAGCAAGAGGTGGCAGAGAGCAAGTTTGAGCTCGTTCGCAGCGAAGAAACGGCCCGGGCAAGCGTGGTTTCCGTGACCGAAGGTTAGGTTGTCAGCGCTAGTGGCAACTAACTGGGACTTGACGGCGGTGGCAGGGTCTTGTCGCCAGTTGTAGTAGCGGTAGATGTCGAACTTCTCTGGCTCCGAATATGACTTTGAGTCGACCATGTTGCCCAAATCCACAACAACTCTTTGACCTTTCTTGATCTCAAGACCATCAGAGGTGACAACATTATCCGTGGCCATCCTTCTCAAATTTACTGCAAGGCAATTATCAGCAATCTGCGTTCCTTCTAGTGAACATCAGGACAGAAACTTACGCATTTGATCTGGTTTTATCCGCTGTGTTTCTTTAAGCGCACTGTCCATGAGCTTCAGGTTGTAAAGCGAATTCTTATTCATGCCCTCGGCTGTAAGCACCTCAATGATTTCATGTCGTAGTGGCGTGATTAGATGCGGCTCATTAGAAAGACGCGTCAATACTTGACTGAGCAAGCCTGAGCTCGTGTGAATTGCAGCGAATGACAGGTTTAATTGACAGTCCACAGCGCTGTATGGGTTTCCTCGACTCTCGATTTCGGCCCACTCGATCGCGTCACTGAAAATCGGGATGGGCGTGCCCTTGCGTTTCGCCTCGGCCTTGAGCTGGCGCCTACGTTCAATGACTGGTTCGAGGATACCGCGTGCCTCGTTATATATCGCCAGAACATTTTTGCACTTCTTTGAGAACCGAGGCATCAAGAACTTGAATGCACCCGGACATACAGTCATCAGATTAGCTGCCTCAAAAGACTGCACTGTCCAATCTCTTGTTACGCGGAGCCATGCTTCGTTGCGACATAACTCTTCCCCAAGGAAGACACGTGAGGATATGCGAGAGATCAGGCTTAAGACGTCTTTCATGACAATGGACTCCGTCCATTCTACTATACAGTTAGCCAAGATATAATGTAGTGTCTGAAAAGGTTACATGGACTCTCGCCAAATATATGTTTGATAGCAAAGTTCGTCTCATTCGAAAGTGGTACCAAGATCTCGTCTATACAGGCAGCGTTAGTAAGGCTGTATTAGATGTGTTTACTGTCAAAGCTCGTACTTATAGACTTTGTGAGATGCTTCCTAGCTATGTTCTGCCCGATCCATGCAAGCCCGTATGGTGAGAAGCCAGCAACATCAGCGTGAAAGTCCTAAACCGGTATAAGTATACATGTTCCCATAACACCAGTGTGTCGAGCTTACGTCATGTACGGCCGGTGAAAGGGCTAGTTTTTTCTCGAGATGAATGCTAGTAACACGATCTGCCGGAAGGATAAGATTATCTCCCCAATCCGTGATGAGTCTGTATGGCCTCCCACCGTACCGCTTTCTAGCTTCTCCAAGAATCCTGTTCCCATCCTTTAGGAATTCTATCCGTTTGGAAAGTTTTGTCTGGAACCATCCAGGAGGATTCGCTAGGGGATACTTTGAGTTGTTATTGAAGATAGTGTACGCTATTGCGCTGACAACTACAAGCGCTACCGTAGCAATGGCGGGCAGGAACCGAGCAGTCAAATCCAGGGATGCATCCTTGAGATAGCCTGGAGCGTGCGAAGAGCGAGGATCTGACATACTGAGAAAAAGCGAGACTGATGATATCGTTGGTTTCAGAATAGCGCAGAAGAACTGTTACTGAACAACTTAGGACATGGAGCATTTATAGCAGAGAAACTTCCAAACTTTCGTCCGCACAATCTACCGAGTCTAATTACACCCGCCTATTGGCACTACTAACTAGACTTTTTTGAGGAAAGGTCAGCGGGATTTATTCTTCGACAGAATCCGACATAATGTGACTCATAAAAATAGAGTTCTATTTGCTGTAGGGCCGTCTTTAATAGCATGGGTACAGTGTCAATAGACCGACCGACGTCTCACCATTTCATCAGTCAGGGTTTCCGGACAAAAGCTGGAGCAACCTTTACCGTGCGCCAACGGGTGCCGAGCCGCCGCGCTAGGCGGGTCATCTAATCTCAACGTTGTGTAACCAACGAGCTGGTTAACCCACCGAGCTGGCCGAAAACGGCTTGGCATAGTCAACTTATGCTGCGCATCTTTAACTTCATCTCGCTATTAAACGAGGAGCATAGGTACATCGTCCTCACATCTGATTGATAAGATGTCTTAGTATCCTTCTTACACGTTCGCGTGTCGTTTCTAGTCCCGCCACAGTTCTTACAGCGCCGTGCAGCTGGTTGAGCTCATTCGTGATCACCTCCACCACGAGCCGTCTTGGACCGCCCAGTGTCTACCGGAGCTTCCGTAAAGAGCCGGGAAGCTTCCATTATGTACAGCTGATTGCTGCTTGCCCCATCTTTCCATCTGATCTTTGTCCATCTGTTTCGAACAGCTGTGTTGATCCGATTACTGAAGCCGAACTGCGAACACTTTCCTGCTTTCAACACTGGCAGTATTAACGTTCGTGCGATGGAATATCTTCGTCTCTTGCGGGTTGAGACTTGATGGTGCTTTCTTTGTCTGAATATTTCCTTCCTTGGCTCCTTCGCGGACTCGGGTGCTCTTCCTCTCTTTACGACTCTCAACTTCTTCACCTTCTCTTCCATCATGGCTCTCTCAATCTTACTCCTCAGCAACCACAACACTGTTTGCGGCATATTACTAACCCACAGGGATTTGAACCAACCGTCCATCTGCCATCGTCGCCAGCATGATGTCTCTCGTGCCCACGCGGAAGCGAAAGGACGCGCACAATCAACGATGGGCTTCTCGCAGCAAAGAAAAGGTCCGTGTCGTAGAACACTCGGGACAGGATCTACTAGGCAACAGTTCCAAGCCCGTTCAGCCGCGCACAAGCACACCAGCCAGGCGGACCTTCATCAACATTCGCAAAAGCAGCATCCGCATCTTTTCTCTCTTTCGGGGTGGCAAGAGTGGGATTATCACTCGCCTCTGGTTCGAAAACTTCGCTAAAAGACACTGCAGGTCCTGTCACAAGCTCGGCAATGGCTACAACCAGCGATGGCTCCGGTTCAAGCACCCAAGACAGCACGCAGCAATCAGAAGCCGTCAAAGCCATCATCCACCATACCCTACAAAGCTCCAGTATCCATAATCTCCCGACACTGATACCTGAACTCACCCTTCATAACCGAGGCTCATCTCTCTTACAACTCACCAATGCCGCCCTGTTCGATGGCGAGTCCGAACCTATGATGGCACCTCGCGACCCACGTCCCAAGGGCCTGCACACCACCAGATCAACACCAGGCTTATCACGGCAGCTTTCTTCCAAGATATCTAATACTCTATTCCATAATGCCACTATCATACATCGCCCTAAGTTGAGCTCGCGACCTAGCGTGCAGACGACTTACTTCGAGGACACGACACCGAAGCCTCAAAATGCTGATCTGTCGTCGCAATCTCCAACGTCAGAGATACCTTCGCTACCATCGCAGGTCCCAAGCGCTCTTTGGAGCAGTACCGACCCACTCAGTCAATCGACAGCGCCAACTTCACTCGTCTCTTCGGGTGCACCCATTTCCGCTGAAACAACACACCGCAACCGAGACTCAGGCCATGCTCAAGCCGGTGATTCTCCCGATTACGGGCCATCGGCAGAGCGCATCACATCCCGATGGCTAGTGTTTCCCCGTCAGGATGCACCGCGACTGGCCAAACCATCAGTAAAGACCATCGAGAACGCCGCAGCTGCCAAGGTCTTCTTTGAGTCGCACTTCAACCAGCTCCTTGGAGCAAAATTGACTCCTCGCTCCATGCGTCGTCGCAATATGGAGCGCAAGCTCTTCGCGATGGCGCTGTCAAATGAGCAGCGACAACAGCAACGCCGAGCCTGGTATGTCGCGGAACATCATCATCTCCGCCAAGTGCGCATCATGAAGTCCAAAACACTTATTCGGCAGAGTATTAAAGGTGTTCATGTTTCCAACTACGACATTGTCAGAGTCCTGGGAAAGGGCAGCTTCGGCGTCGTGCGACTAGTGCGTGAGAAAAGCGAGCACAACAGCAGCTCCAGCGGCAGCGAACCTCGCTCCATCGATCATGTGGATGGTAGCTCGGTTCGCGGGTTCGAAGGTTTGTCACCACCACTTCAAAAGATCAAGCAGGTGTTCGCAATGAAGGTCATTTGCAAGTCCGACATGCTTCGCAACAGCCAGGAAGGCCATCTTCGAGCTGAACGAGACTTCTTGGTAGCATCGGAGAACTGTCGTCGGGTGGTACCACTAATGGCAGCCTTGCCAGGACAACACAAACCTTTACCTTGTCATGGAGTACATGGTTGGCGGCGACTTTCTCGGTCTGCTTCTCCGTGAAGATATCCTAGATGAAAACGTCGCAAAATGGTATCTCGCCGAGATGATCCTCTGCATAGAGGAGGCCCATCGCATGAACTGGATTCACCGCGATGTCAAGCCGGACAACTTCCTCATCACAGCGTCTGGCCATTTGAAAATTTCCGACTTTGGCCTCGCGTTTGACGGTCATTGGTCGCATAACCAGACGTACTACAATGAACAGCGCTACAGTCTTCTTCGCGACTTAGATTTAGAGGTCCAAGGAGACTCTCTAGACATCCAAGAAGAACAGGAGCGCGAAGAAGCGAGGCGGACGTTGGACATGATCAACGGAAGAATGCCAGCCAACAGACCTGTTATCCCCAAGCAGGAAGGAGCGAACGGTCCCATTGTTGACTGGCTGAATCGCACACAGAAGCGTCAGTTCGCGAAAAGTGTCGTTGGTACCAGCCAGTACATGGCGCCTGAGGTCATTCGTGGCGAGAATTACGATGGACGCTGTGACTGGTGGAGCATCGGCATAATATTATACGAGGTGCGTACGACGCAAACTCAGTGCTTCGTACCTTATTGATGGTATCTAGTGTCTTTACGGCTGTACTCCCTTCTTCTGCGATAATCGTCAAGCAACCAAAGCACGCATATTGGTAAGTTTGTAGGTTCGCTTTTATGAGCTGCACTGACTTGATCAGGATCACCGAAGATGGCTTCGATTCCCACCGGAGCAGAGATTCGCCCGTCCTAACATTGATCGTGTACCTCTCATGCCCGTCTCGCGTAATGCCATCGACCTCATGATGAGGCTTCTTGAAGAGCGTCAAGATCGTCTTTCGGCAAAGCGCTATCGCGAGAACGACTGGGTGCTTCGTGACAAGGCGGTCGGGGCACGTCGCGCACGCAACCTCAACACCACCGGGCACATCGTATACCCGAACGACGCAGAGGACATCAAGTCTCATCCTTTCTTCCGCAACATTCAGTGGTCGACATTACATATGACTCGCCCACCATTTGTCCCACGCGTCCATGGGGACCAGCCGATCACCAAGTACTTCGATGACGAAAACGAGATCATGAGCGCGTCAGACCACCTCGACTCTTCCAGCTATGAGGTCGTAGATGAGATTGTTATGCCCAAGCCTGGAGACAATGACATCACGCCTACGGTTCAGTCAACCGCCATTACTGCGCAAGCCGCGAATACGCATATCAACGACTCGGTTCAGAAGGTCAAGCGACGCAGGAAGGAGAAGAAGAGGCCCCGCGACAAGTTGCTTCGCGATCCACATGTCGGACGTGCGGTGCTTGAGCTGCGCAAAAAGGGTGCGTTTGTTGGATACACGTATCGCAGACCGATGTTCTCGCTGCCAGAGTTAGACGAGCAGATTGCTGTTGTTGCAAGACCGCCGATCACAAGGTCTAATATGGCTACCATGAGTGCATGAGCGCAGTAAACCTCGCTGAATGGTGGATTGAAGATACCGTATTGTACAAAATGCTTTGAATGCTATTCTTTTCATCGAAGCGCCGCTGAGCAAGAAAACGATCTTCATGAAGCACCAGAAGTGGCAGTCTAGGACGATGCTAATGTAACAGATTCGTCGAACATTCAAACTGACGACTAGAGTTTGGCTTCGGCTCTCGAAGTTCCTTTGTCGCCCTTTCTAGGCTCCGCGATCGCATTTGAGCTCTCCGGGTCCCATCCAGCGATTAGGTCTTCGACCACATTTGTTTCGTCTTGACCCCATACCAATCCGCCAACATTCTTCCAGTTGCCACCAGCATCTTGCCGCAGGACTTGATATGTTGGCACGCCACAGATGCCCTGTTCTTTGGCCGCAGCAGTCAGCTCGCGAAGTTTTGCTTTGACTCCAAGATCATTGGCTCTCGCGATAAGATCAGCGCCATCGAAGCCACCTTTTGTAAGCACATCTGCTAGGACCTTCTCATCGGATACATTCTCATCCTTCTCCCAGCACGCCGAGTCTGCATATCGATTAGTGTCAAGAAATGTCAAAGTTCAGGATGCCACTTACATAGCAGCGGCACACTCCTCGGCTCCACAATCCCAACCCTCAACACAGTAGGCGTCCGAATTGGAAATACACTCGCCCAATTGAAGTCAATTCGCGCAGCTCCAGTTCCCCCTTGAGCATTTACGGCGTTCCACCACGCCGTCCAATCCACATGGTCCTGCCTCGACCACTCTCTTTTTGCCTCGGATGTAGCTAGCATAGGCATATTCGGCGCGCCAATTTCGCGGAACAAGATGCCCAGGAGGAATGGCTTCAGCTCGATTTCCAGACCAGGGAACTGGCGTTGGAGGCGCGCGAGTTGCGTGTACCCGAGAAACGCCCAGGGCGAGCTGAAATCGAACCAAAACTCCAGTTTCGTCTTGTGCTTCAATTGAGTCGGGGAATCGAGCAGAGGGATACAGCGCGGCATCAAACTCTGCAAACCCGGTACACTCGCCCACCCTTTCTCTCCCTTCTTTAGGCTCAGTAGCGTGGCTTCAACGAAATGCATCCGATCCTGACCCCAGAAAAACCTTCCCTTGCCCCCATCCGCCTCTGGAATCCAAAAGCCCGGCACGCCAAATGCGCCGCGCTCAATCGCTTCTGCTGTAGCACTTTCCAATTCTTTCCGCGCAGCTAGATTCGCAAAACATGCTTCATCCAAACCGCCAATCCCGCATTCTTTCGCTATGGATACCAGGACGGAGGGATCGGTCATGTCACGCCCGGAAACCCAATACCCATTGAAAAACCCGTGCATCAGTTTTTCCCGGTCCCCATCGTCGCGAACGCAGTACAACATGCGTAACGCGTTGACGCTCTTCATCGGATGCGCTGCAGGCTGCTTGAATCCTACGCCGTACCGGCGCAATGTGCGCCCCATGGATGCGGCAGTCACACGCTTCTTGGTGGAGTTGAAGACATCGGATGCAGAGCCGGCTGCGCCTTGGGGCGCGGCTGTTGAACGGTATATGGCGCCTAGCAGGACGGGGCGGAGGGTTAGAGTAGTGTTTGTGCGTGTGGCGAGAGCGCGGACTCGGGTTGAGGCAATGTAAGCGAAAGGGCAGGATATGTCGAAGTTGAAGGTTAGGGTTGGGGAAGGGGGGGACATTGTGGTGGAGAGCGGATTGCACGAGTGTACACAATCTTTTTTTAGATCCAGGATGGGGGTTGCGGTTGGTTTAGATCCTTGGGGTAGACGGTGGGAAATGATGGTCTGTTAAGTCGTGATGGGCTAGTCTCGGATACATACTGGGTAGTGTGGGGTAAATGCAGGTACACTTGTCTGACAGCCGAGGTACGTGCATTACGTGCGCAACGAGATGGTCTTGTAACTGTACAAGACGACAGCATCATTTTGAAACGAAGGTTCACGCTCCGAAAGTTAATACGGAGCCTCCTATTATTCCTGTCCTTCATAAGAAGATAAAATTTCGGTCGTTGCACGTGGTTCACACAGGACTTCAAAGACGTAAATGGCAAAATTCCCGTGTACTATATTTATATACAAGGATTTAGAAGTGCACAAGATGATCTGCCGCCTAGGTCAACATTGATTAGCTTCACGCCCTGTACCGGCTAGGCACCGCAGCCTTAAGAAGCTTGGGGAAGTTCGGCGTTCCAAGACCAGTCACTGGATCCCACCCAGCAGTCGCGTTCCATCCCGCATATGGGATTACTGGGCTGCCATTTGGCGGCCCGTTAAAGCGAGCATGACCATCGCATCCCTTGCTTCCACCGAGAACAATGTCATTTAGCGCGTCTGAGTTAGAGTAAAGCAGTGGGTTTAGGAATCCCAAGGTAGGCTTCTTCGCCTTCAATCGCGCGTCGTTGAGGAGACCAATCACACCGGCGAATGCAGGCGCGGAGGCAGAAGTACCTTGGAGACCCTTGAGCTTGCCCTGGTCGTAGACGCGGAAGCCATATCCCTGGGTTGCAACGTCGGGGAATCCACGGCCGTGGCGGTTGAAGTATGGCTTGAATTTCTCACCGAGGTGGTGGAAATACGCCTTAACAGCATCGTCCTGGTACGATGGGCGCTTCCAGTAGTCGGAGAAACCACCAGATGAGAAGCCGGTTGCGGTCTCGTTGAGGTAGCGAGTCGATCCAACCGAGGTGACAAAGGGGCAGGCAGCGGGGTACTGAGGCTGGAACTTGGTCGTGTTCTTGCCGTCGTTGCTCTGGCATGCGGATCCAGGGCCGCTGTCACCAGAAGAGAAGATGACGGAGACGCCACGGGAACCGAGTTGGGCGAACAAGTTGCAGACGGAGAGAGCGTATGACTTAGGTACACTCTGCTCATTCTCGCCATAGGATGTGGAGATGACCTGAGGTAGCTCAGACTGGGGAAGTTTGAGCACACCCTGAAGGAATTCAAGGTAGGGCTCGTTGGCGCTGTCCGCCTCGTCAGGTTGGTCTAGGTCAGCGACCCATGGGCCGCGACCACCGGTGCTGAACTCGGTGACGGGAAGAGGAGCGCTGACACCGACAATGTACTGCAAGTCCAAGTTGGCCTCGCCACTGTCTTGCGTGGTGTTCTGGTCGTTGAGACCGCCGCTGAACTGGACGACAGAGAAGTTCTGGCCAACTGCTTCGGGGAGGAAGGCCTTCTCGAAGAGGGCGAGGTCATTGTAACGCGCGTACTGCTCCAAATACGAAGCAAAAGCGACCTTGGAACCACTCTTGGGATCGGCCTTGTAGTCAATCTTGTAAAGAGTCTTCAAGCACTGGGGAGTGATGGTGGCATCGCAGTTAACGGTGTTGTTGGCAAGAGCAGCGAACTGAAGACCAACAATCTCGTGCGCAACCTCGTGGTTTTGGCGGATCGCAGCAAACCGAGTAGTGGGCTGGATCAAGTTGATGTGTTCTGCAACATCATCTGGTACAGAGTACTCGAGTGTGCGAAGGACCTTGCGGGGCTTGGCCTCCTCGCTCACGTACCAAGCGAACTTGGTGTCGAGCATCTTGTTGGCAACGCCAACGGTCGTCTTGAAGGTGACCCAGTCGCTGTCAATCTCAGCGTCGTTGATACCGGCGGCCTTCAGCCATGCAGACACAGAAGCGACTGTCTCGCTGCTTGGCTGGATCATCCTCTTCATCTCCTCATGCGAGCCATAGTGAGCACCATAGCTCGGGTGGCTAGGCGTTGAGATGTCAATCACATGTTGCTCGAAACCTGCAACATCGCCTTGCTGAAGAGCAATCTGGAGCTTGACGATCTGCTCATTGGTAGCAAGACCTTGCATCTTCCATCCTGCATCGACGTCAGTAGGGATTGTGCGTGTGAAAATAAAGGAACATACCTTCCGGGGTGCTGAACAGCTTCTCAAATGGCTCAGCAAGAGCGCGAACCGCCAGGAGAGAGCCAACAAGGAACGAGAGGATGGGCGCCATCTTTGCCACCGTGGGAAGTAGAGCCTGAGTTGAGGGACCTGGAGGCGATGCAGATCTTCTAACCCCCAGCAACGTATCTCCTTATATACTCTCAGCACGGAACGTGCGTATTGTGCATCCGAAGCAACTGCCTTCTCCGGTTAGCAAGATTCATAACGATGTTCCCCCCAGGGTCTCTAGTGTATCCAAGGAAAGACTAGAGCCGACAAGCCTCGCCGTTGGTTCTTGTCGAAGCTTGGGTAAGGACGAACTACCTTCCATTTTGGGCGCAAGTGCACGATAACAGGCTGTTCATCTCCGCTACTCATGCGGAGTGACCTGTCGTTAGCGCAGAACACCAAAACACTGGCAGCGATACGGGTCCTCTCTCGGTTATTTTGGTGTGTAGATGGCGAATCCTTCGCCAGCAACCAGGTACTCACGCGCAACCTTGGAGGCTTTCCAAGATTCTATGGTGGCGTCGCCCCGAATCAGGAACGTACCAGGAAATGGATTTCAGGCCAGCTCTGCGACTCAGATTGCGCCGATCTTGCCACCGCAGGATTTACACACATTGTTTCGCGTCCAAAAATAGGTGTTTGCACACGAGAAGCGGCGAATAATGTAGTGTGAGATGTCCGATTCGTGGCTTTCCAACATAAGAAAGAAATGTGTCTGGGACGTCACGTCTCCGAGGCCCCCTGAGTAGGGCTGCGTTGAGGGATGCCACTTTATCGCAGACGTCGCAAAAATTTGATGTTCTCGGATCACCTTCTTTGAGTCCAAATGCACCCGATCTCGTCTTCCCGACGATGTCAAAATCTGCGCGAGCTTCCCACCGCGCGTGAACAACTTCAGACAAAAGCCATGAAGACACGATTCATCCGTTTCTAGTCGCCTTGGGATCTAGAAGTGCAATTTTCATATCTCAGATGCGCTTAGAAGCAGGATACGTAGTTCGCCAGATCGTTTGGTGTAAGGAGTAAGTTGAGGCTCAAGGTGTCGTAATACGGGCCGCATCGGGGATGATTATTCCCGGCGGTCCGAATCACCATGCGCAACCCGCACCTTCATCAATAAAAGCATCGCTCACTGGTGGTCTATCATCACATACCGCGATACGTATCAAACCTACACAGCGTAATAACCACGAAGAATATAGACAAGAACGACTAAACGCAACAACGTCTTTAATGTATGAGGTTTTCAGGCTTAAATTACGGACTTCTACGAAGTATGACCAAGAACCATCTGGGTGCCTCGCGCACTTGACTGTAAACTTTTGTTACAGTTATCACAAACCACTGTTGAGACCATCTCTATGACCACCATCTACCTGGAAAACATTTGTGCCGTCCTTGGATATCGGCAACTCCACCAAACTCCTTCGATCTCCTGGCAGCTCCGCATAGGTAGTGTGGGTTACCGTTGCCAGCTCCGCAGTACTCTTTTCGTACTCCTCAGTTGGTAAATCACCAGGCATCTCTTCTATCTTGCCCTCTCCCATCTCCGAAGTTTCTGGGTTTGGTTGTCGACGGCGGTAGGCCAAGAATAGACCAAGGATGAGAGCGATGACTACAACGGGGACGACCACCGCAACTGCGATTGTAGTCGTTCGATCACTCGAACTCTTGGGAGTGGGCGTAGATGAAGGTGTTGTGGCAGCTGAAGCGACCGAGTTCGCGGACGAACTCGACGTCACCGATGAACTGTTCTGTGTCATGCTGGACACCGCCGAGCTCAATGGCGAAATCAATGTTTTTGCGGGAGCCACACCCGTGGTCGAAGCAGTTGCAGCTGCACGTCATCATTAGCATTCGTCTTCGAGTTGTAAGCAGTCGGATCTTTTCACTTACCGACCGGTGTGATTCCTCGAGTTAAACCCATTTGGCAGTACTTGGAGAATACATCCTGGGCAGAAGTAGCCTGTGCCTGATCATTACAGGCAGTCGAAACATCGGCACCAATAAGGCTGTTGTAATGTGTAGAGCTGTCATAGCAAAAGCACACGTATGAAGTCATCTGAGATCCATCACCACATCCCGACGCCATCGCACGAACGATAGCGGAGACTGGTGGTACTGCACATGACTGCAGTTGGTAGTACTCAGGTACTAAGTCGATGAAGATCTTGGTTGCGACGACGCTGCTACTCCTGGATGCCAAGACTGATCCTCGGGTACTGACTGTCGTTGACATGGCGGCGATAGCCAGTTGAAGTTGATTCTTCAGGACTTGGAAGTTTTCTTGCAACGACCTTGAGGCAGAAAATCCATGGGCTACTTCACGTCTCAGAGTCCATGGCCGGTATATCAGGCCAAGTCCGTTTATGTGGTGTCACATTGGCACTGGAGGAGCTCTCGCCTGAGCCTGCCAGTACCTGGGGGCTATGGCTTGAAAGCAGAGACACATCCAACGACCACATTCTTGGCCTCCCCAATGACGATGTGCTGGTAGAATTGAACCTGGTCGATTTACGCGTATCAACGAATGGAAGTGGCAAAGATCTCTATCGTTGCAGATCCTTCGGTGCGGGGGCTGCATATGCAGTTTATATCGCAAGGCTGAGACTTAATTACTTTTTCCTGGCGGCCTAGGGAGCATGACTTCGGTATGCTTGTTGTTGGAAACCTTCGAACATCTCCTCCAGAATTATTGTCCATCGTGAGCGGACCCCGCGCACGTGAACAGTAAGTTTATTAATCGCTACGCTCGTGTTCGGCATGATGAAGAAGAGTACCGTCACGCTTGTGGCCAACCTACAGTGCTGCCCACCTAATCGGGAACCACCTTGGCCCCAATACCTTCCGATACCGCCGAATCCAGTTCAGCCACCATGCGCGAGGACAGGCATCTTTGCAGGAATTACCATGAAGTCCCTCAAGATAAGCGCATCGCAACCCAGAGTTCGGTCACAGCTGCAAATCAGAGTAGTGAAGTCCATGAACCGAAAAAATGAATGGTCAACGTTCGTCGTGCGACTATGGGATGAGCTGCCACCAATCACATCGCGTATACCGTCCCGTCGTGCGTCGACCGTTTCAGCCGCTGCAATCAAACTCGGACGAGTCCCCGCTGAGCACGACTGACACTCAGCGAATAGTTCGAGACATAGTACTGCCAAGATCCTTGGGCGACGGGACACTTCTTCTCATGCAGAAGCCTTCGGGAAGAACCACTTTCTCGATTACCGAACCCTGGAGTCTTTCCGCTAATGGCCTTGGGAGTGGCGAAGTTGGCGACAAATTGCTTGTGAGAAATCGGCGCGACCAGATTGTATCGAGAAACGTCATTCTTGTCTTCGCGCTCGTCTGCAAGGGGGCAAACTCCACTATGGACTGTACTGCTGCCTTCATCCCAAAAAAGAAGATCACACTCTTCTTCTCCTTGTGCTAGCACAAATCGGGTTAGTACCGGACGCATCTGACCCGCTGAAAGTCTTACCCCTTCGGCGATCCTGTCCTTCACACGCCGTGTCCTGTGTGTTGCTTAAAGAATCTGTTCTGAGGAGACAGATTGGGAAAGCCATTACCTTTGCCCGCTATAGCTTCCTACTCCAGACGACGCTGTGTCGGAACATATTTAGCGCTTTCCAAATCTCAATACTCTGGCCATCGATTGATGTCATCCGTCATTTCATATCTTCGTGTCCCGAGGTCTGCTTGACTGTAAGAGACTTCCCCCCGCCGCCCATTTACACTGAACGTTCTCGGGGTTGCCAGTGGCGTAGCTATGAACATGCGCAGCTCGGACTGCGCAAGGCTACGCGCGGCTGAATTTGGGATGGCCCAACGTTCTAGCTCAGGAGATCTCCAGTCGAGAACAACCTTCTTTTCCACATGCGTAAAGTAAGACTTTGGAAAGTGAATCTAAATGCATGCGTCTTCATCGCGAAGACAGAGGTGTCTACTGCAAATTAGGGCTGCCTACCTCTACTTATTTTCCTCTCAATGACATGTTTTGATACGCTATAAGAGAAGGTCTTCCTCGGCCATATTTTTCTTGGAAGAGCCTCAGCTGAGTCCAAGGCGCCACAAAATCGCCGGCTCGTAGCTCGGGAAACATAAACACGCCGGTCCGTTATATCACTACCGCATTATGCTAGCGATTCGCGTACAATGCCACCATGATGCTTCCCCATAAAGCCTCGTTCGCTTGTGAAGCCTTGATTTAACTCTGGTATCGCGACTTCACTCACACAATTTTCGATCACCATGCGCGTCTTTGCGTGGCTCATTGTCGCTCTCGCGCCTCTCACGGTCGCTCAAGGGATCAGCAACTCGGCTCGTTGTGGCCCGGCTTTCGGTCTGACATGTAAGGGCAGCTGATTTGGTGACTGCTGCAGCCAGTATTCTTACTGTGGATTTACAGAGGTGCGCAAGATCCAGTATCTATGTCCGCGAGAAACTAACCTTGTCTAGGCATATTGTGGTCGTGGGTGTCAAGCTAGCCATGGAGTCTGCAAGAGTAAGCCTTTCCCACACATTGGTCTAAGCAAGTCTGTAACATTATCCCAGACTCAATCTCTCCTTCTTCTACAAAACTAAGCACCGCCTCTCCAGCGACTCGAACAGCGTCTTCATCCGCGCCTTCGGTGACGCTCAAAGTTACGACCAACGCTCGATGCGGAAACCTTAACAATGCTTCACCCAAGGGCATGACCTGTCTTGGCTCGAACTATGGCGACTGCTGTAGTCAGTACTCGTACTGTGGATCCACTGATGCGTACTGCGGGAGTAAATGTCAGCCCGGATTTGGCCGTTGCAAGGACAGCTCGTCAAGGTCATCTTCTGGCCTTCGTTCATCCACGGAGTCGATGAGCTCCCCGTTATCGTCATCCATCCGCACACCGTCGTCCATACCCTCCTCCTCGACTTCTCCTACTGGCTTATCAAGTTTGCCTACATCCAGCAGCTCAAGCGCTCCTCCTGTTCCATCTGTGGCTGCTTCAAGCTCCCTAGGCTCTGATGTCTCTACGAAGCCATCCAGTACCGCCTTCCCTCCCACCGTATCTTCGAGTTTGAGTTCTGCCTTCTCTAGTCCATTATCATCTTCCGAACCTTCCTCATCGACTGCTTTTATAAGCACATCTTCTACCGACACTACGAGGCTCATCTCCAGCTCAGCCGCTAGTTCTACAACTACTCTGACACCTACTCCGGTACCCATGTCCATCATGGAGTCCACGTCGGTGTTTGCTCTCTCGTCGTCAAGTCTTGCAAGTTCGAGCACCACGTCATCAGAAACTAGTCATACTTCCACGACCACAGTTTCCCGAGTGCTCTCGTCATCGAGCTTTACTTATAGCGAGTCTTTTACTTTAATGGAGATAACTCCAACTCTTTCGCTACCCAGCGTTACTATCAGCTCAGACATTAGTCTGTCATCTAGCACCATTACGGATAGCCCCATCTCCGCGTCGGCAAGCGGTACAATAGCATCTTCGGTGGATCCTACCAACAAAGAGAGCGTAACGACGACTTCGGACGAAAGTCCATCTCTCTCAACTACTGCCTCGAGCGTATCCTCAGATGCATCCGCCACTTCGTCTTCGGCAGAGATTTCCCATTTAAGTACCTCGACCGCAACATCTATAATGGAGGAAAGCAATTTTTCGATCACTGCAAGCACAACCTTAGGTATGGGTAGCTCAGATAGTTCAGAAGCGTCATCAACGCTAGTGATAACGAGCACCTCTGCGGTCACTTCGGAGAGTTCAATCATGTCCTCAAGCTCAGCTATTGCTCCTGATCTTGGATGCAACCCAAGACCGAGAGCTACGTGTAATCGCGTGCGGGATTGTCCAGTGTCCACCAATGCATTAGTCGCTCCCTCGTCGACGTACCGTAGCGTACCAGTCGCTGCCGCATCGAGTGTTCCGTATCAGAAAATCACTATACCGATCAACAATCTGACTGTTGGGATTGAGTATGTGCTCACCTTCTACAGCGCGTAAGTTTTAATGCTGTCTACTCTCGTGCTCTGGTCTTTCTGACGATCGGCAGAACGGAAATTTTGCTATCATCCGGCTCTAATAGCTGCTGTAACATAACAGCATATATGGACAACATAGCAATCTCTCGGTATTGTGTAGGCTATTACTACACTTTGGCATACATACAAAACGGTCCCTACGCCGCCGCTACCTCAAAACTCATTAGATCGCCGGCTATCATCTACCGCCCCACGGTGCCGAATCCTACACTACAATTCAACGTTGTTTGTCCGGTCTCTGATACTAGCGTGACGGTGGGCGCGCCGAAATTACAAGATGTCGCTCTCGTCCCTCGTTGCACTTGCGTTGAAGAGAATCTACTTCAATCACTTCAAACTCAACCTCGGAACGCGGCCTTTAACGGTAACTTTGCCGATTACGATGCAACTCAAGAAAATCCGGTGCTGGGATGGACCAGTCAGGAGAGCTGGAGAGGTCAAGTTCTACCTGTGCCGTATAGTGGTACCAGTCAGGCAGTCGACACAAGTAACAAGGGAGCTGTGTTCGTGCATTATATTTCCCCTTGAATATCACAAGTCTGACCATGTTGTAGGGTACTATTCGGGCCTTTCGCATCTCTGTATAGAACGATCTCGGGTTTAACTCCGTTCGCCCCTTACAGTAAGTTCCAATGCCTTTTCGCGTCTATCTGGACGTACTAATATATCATAGATGTCTCTATTCTCTCCAGGTAAGACTCTTTACAATAGCAGTTCAAAGTTTTGCTATCTCGATCAATCACTAACATAATGTCAATCAGCTCTCCTGGTGTAAAGAATGATTGCAATTTGACTGTCAAGTTCGACGACAAGATCATACTCGCGATGCCCTTCTCGGTCATCGCTCTCCGCGCGTACACACACAATTTCACTATATTGTACCCAAAGGCCACCGCTGGTGTCCTCTGGGTGGGCAACATTTGTAAAAACGACTTCAACGCTACACGGAGGGGGAATGAGTACAACGCAATCCGGATTGACGATGTATCTTTTGCGCGCATTGGATGCGATGATCCAGCTCAATCTATCGCAAGTATCACATCGATGACCTCTGTCTTGACCGTACCGACTGGGAGCTAGAGTGCAACTTAGCCTGTGACGCTCTACACACATACCAATATTCAGCGAAAGATACCTAGCATCTCTAATAACTAATGATTCACTACTCTACTTCTGAGGCTCTCTTGACACTTCTAGCGCGGTTCTGAACGCCTTTGTGGCGAATCCCAAAGACTCTGTGTGGGTGTGGCGTGAAAAGCAAAGTTCACGTGGCACACCTTTACCAGCGCGTTCGCGCGGTCGCTCGAGCTTCCCAGACTGGCCGCTCTTTACATGACAAATTCCAACCATAGTCAATATTTCTCACGTAACTCTTATCGAGTGGAAGCACATGTCACCTTTTCGCATGGAAAGACCACATTTTCTTCTACCAAAGACGCCCGATCTTAGCTCAAAAGTTCTAGCTCAGACTTCGTCAATTCATCGACATCTTCATCGACATCTTCATCGATAGCTTTCGCGACCTTATACAAACCGGCGGATACCTATACCCAAGCCCAAAGCTCTAGTTCTGCATCCTTCACGACTTCCAAATTCCAGGCCTTCGATCCCAACTCATTGAATTCAATCACCAAAACTCAACCCTCCAGTTCCGACTTGCTCATCACGTCAAATTTCAAAGCCGTCTATCCTATCTCCATTAACTTGACTACAGAAATCTTAAAGCTCGCTATTCCATTACGACCTTACCATTATTCAATATCAGATACCCCTTATCTAGGCGCGGCCGCGACAGGCGGAATAGCGGTGATTGCTACAACAGTTGGTATTGCTCTCATTCTTACGGGCACTTGTATAGTATGGGGATAATGCAGTACAATGAAGGAGTAGAGAAGCGAATTGGAAGCGCATGAAGCAGAGATCAAAGGGGTGGGCGGCTGCCAGCTTCCGTCCGTGACCTGGGAACTACTCGGGGACAACCCATGCCTGCACGAACTAAACTCTGATCGTCCATTATCTAAGTTTGATGCAATGCTAGAGGTACATGGGAGATAAGAGCGAAAAACGAATCGTTCGGAACTGGAATCCCTGACGATAAATATTGTGCCGAGTAGACAGCGAGTGCGGACATAAGGGATCAGAAGGGAAAGCCCGGGCGTCTAGTGCGCGAACAATATGAACTATAACACATCAGTCGATAGTTTTGTTGATGATCTTGCGGGGAACGTGCTGCGCCGCTTTTGCGCATGACGAGAACGTTGGCACGTCCAGTCATTGGTCGACAGCAAACCACAATGCGGCACAGTGCAGATGGACAATCACTACATTAACTTCTACATGTCACGCAGCATATGGGAAGATGTCCCTGAGTTTAGCTTAAAGTCTTCTGTCATCGTCTGATCGACTGGATGGTGATTAAGTAGTTGCCTTCGGGCGATGAACTTTTGAACCTAACCGCAATTATGCAATCCTCTTGGGACTATGCACGATGCATCGTAAGTCGGGAAATTCACGTACTGATGCCAGGACTAATTTCGGCAGGAATCATGTCTCGACTACACTCTGACGTCCGCGGGCATGATTTGCGCAGTCAGCAAATACGATTGCATGTGTCTCAAGAGGGAATGGATCACGCAGCTGCTGAACAGTGAGACGCCGCTATCTTGTATTGTCAACTCATGCGCGACGCGCGCGCAATCAAGTATGTAGCGAGGCCGGTGATTAGATGACAAGGCTTACTTGCTGCAGGCTTCGTCAACGGCGTGTTAAGAATGTGTGCGTCTCAACAAGTCTTCATCACATCGGTCATCGATCCTACGAACCCGCTTGTAAAGTATCTGCCGACAGGCACAAGCGCTATATTACCACCTTATTATTCGACGCCTCTATCGACGTCTTCTATAAAGGCTTCCACATCTGCATTCGCCCCAACAACGCTGTTCACATCAACAACGGCACCAACGTCAGCACTGAGTTTCTCGGTTTCGACAACAGGTGTAGCACCGGCAGCGGGCGCGTCTTCAGGGCTGGGTCCAAAAGCCACTGGCGGTATTGCTGGCGGAGTCGTGGTGGCTGGGCTCGCCATCGCCGCTCTCTTGATATGGTCCATCATGCGCAAGCGCAAGCGACGCAATGATTCGAAAGATAACGACTATACAACTGGGTATCCGCATGAAGAGCAAAACGGGAAATCCCAAGACCCGTCTAGAGACCAGGATGTCTATTCAGCAATTTACCAAGACCACAATGCAGTTCAAGAATTACCGGGCGACGATCCACCTCAGTCACCGAATAGCAACCGCTTGTCAGAGCTTGACTCTATCAGACCGGTGTCAGAGCTCGATTCGACAGAGACGGGTAGCGAGCGCTGGTCAGCTGTGCATGGAGGCCCGTGTCGTTTCACCAATGCTCCCGGATGTCGCTGAGATTGGCGACGGATCACCGTCGCCTCCCGCTGAAAGACGTTGCGTCGTCGTCGCAAGAGTTACTGAACTTGCCCAGATAACAAACACGCATCGAGCAAGCGAACGGACGAGACGTTACCGCTAGCAGCACCTGCTTCAACATTGGTATAAGGAAGGTACCCCACGATGTAAAGTTTGTCTTTCTCACATATCTTTCTGAATGATATCCGAGCGTAGCACCGCTTCGGAGGAACACGCAAGAAAATGCAGGAAACGGCACACGTTCTTGGAGCGGCTACATCTACGTCGTGCTCCGCCGTGGGTAACGCAAGTGAACAAACCACGGCAGGATAATGAGTGCTGTTAGATGAGGACACGAGCCGCGAATGATTTGAGTGCCCTGCTTTTGTTGAGCATCTACTCTCTCTCTATTTTTATCGAAGCGCTCTACTGCATTGAAAACGGTAACTGCATGGCCGGCGAACCGCTGATCAGGGGAGTACGTCTGTTGCAGTATTCTCATTAGCGCACGCACGATGCAAAGCAAAACAAATCAGGCGACTCTTTTCAACGATCTGACTGGGTCCCTTTTCGCCGGTGCTGCGCCGTTTTTGCACGACACTACACGATAATGTGGACACGGCCAATGATTGGACGACGTTTATCACAACATGTGGGGGCGGCGGAGTACAGATGTAAAACCACTCCCTATGTTTCTACTTGTTACTGTGCATGTGGCGCGGTACAGATGAGTTTCATAAAGAGTAATCCCTTCTCGTGCGTTCGAAAGTGTGGAATTGAAAGAATGACTGTGAATCGAGAATTTTCTCAACGCAATCTGAAATTCCCTTCAGTATGTCTTTGAACTATCATGAATGCAAGGTGGGTCTTTTCAGAGCTTGAATGATGCAATGACTAACCAAATTAGCGCGATTGCCTTGAAGCATATACCCTTTCAATCTACACTCTCACATGTACGGCCACGGACTTTCTATGCGTCTGCGCCATAACAAGCCTGGCGGAGAGGCTGTTTGATACAAGTAAAGCAGGAGGCTGTATGATACAATCATGTGAGCAGCAGGCGCAATCATGTAAGTTCATTTGAACACATTTAAGGATTAATCTCAATTGTTACAGTTATCATCATCGAAGTAGCATCCACATGTTCACAGGCGCAAGTGTATCTCACTTTGGACTCCGAGAACCCTTTATCCCAGTTCGTGCCTACCTACTCTGATCTCGCCACTACGAGTTCGGGAACTGCTTTGTCGACGTCTGCCGTAGTAGCATCTACATCTGCATTTGTCCCAACCACTGTCCTTATCTCAATCACCACTGCAACCGCCCAGACGTCCCTGTCGACTGCTGAGTCAACCTCGATATTAAGTGCTGCGACAGATGTACCGAGTACTTTCTCGGCACCAGAAGCGACTTCGTCACTCAGTCCCAAAGCGATCGGCGGTATCGCAGCTGGAGCCTCCGTAGTGGGACTCGCTGTTGTCGCATATCTCATATGGTTCGTAATGCGCCGGCGAAGAAACAGCAACATCAAACATGAGCAAAACACAATAGAGCAACCTGGAACATACGACCAAAAATCCCAAGGAGACGGAACAGAGAAGCAAGAAACGTTCCCTCAAGACGTGAAGGTGATTTACCAACATCACAACGCAATCCAAGAACTCCCGGGCGACGACCCACCTCAATCATCGATGATTTCCGAACTCGATTCAATCAGGCCAGTCTCCGAACTCGAGTACATCGCGTATAACGGTGATCGTTCGGCAGCGTCACCTGGAGCCAGAGTCGTGTCGCCGATACTGCCGAACATTGTTGAGATGGGAGAAAGAAAGTCATCACCTCCACCAGACGATGTTGCGTTGCCAGCGCAAGATGGTGACGACGGTGCGATTCCGGATTTGTCTGACAACAACCGCGCAGCTGGCAAGCAAACGGATGAGACGTTTCTGCCAGCACAAACAGAATAATTCATCCCGAGCATGATGAAAATTCCTCCGCAATCTTTCACGCGACCCAATATGGCGATTTCACATAGAGTGATCACCGTAACCGCTCCATCTCTTCCCCGGCCTTCGCTTCCAGGTTTCTTATGGCCGTCATGGTCCGCTTTAACTGTGTCGCATTCCGGCAGTTCACTCATGTCATCTTCAGTCTCCAGCTCAAGAACGAGACCAACATCATCCAACACTACCACATTGTCCCTCATCACTCCGACAAATAATCATTTCCAACGACTTTCAGGCACAGCGCCACAGATCGGACTGGCAGTGTTTATGGTCGTTGCCGTCATCGCTGCAGCTAGCATGATGTGGCATCTCTTTGGATGCTGGCGTGGCAAGTACAGGAGATGGGTTGAGCCAGAGGATGAGCGTGGCACACAACTAAAAGATCTGTATACGCTTCCGCTTAGTCTAGATGGAGATGATTGGGTGGCGATTGATCTGAATGACGTGGGTGATGCGAAGGACGGGAAGGTGGCGAAGTCGCTGTGAGGTGTTAATAAGGGTGCGCGTGCGTGGATGGCGTGGCTGAGATGAGCTGGAACCCAACATGGCCCGCAATGAGCGGGTTTGAATATGTATAATTCCTTACGGCGCTGCATGCCTATTTATTACACAATCTCCGCAAGCTAAACTGGTGCATCTTTCTGTTTCGACCTGTGCTCTGCGGCAGATTTAGCGACGATGCATTATCCCCATGTCATGCACCCGGAGACCGATGCTTTGCCCTTTGTTGGCTTTTCATCAACTGTCCAGCAGGCATCACTGACTTCCGGTATGAGTGATCAAGAAACACCGTCCAGCATAGGGGACGATTTCACTGTCCCTCTATCTTACGTGCCGACGACGACGACGGCATCAGACCCGGGAGGTGAACAAACATCCATAACGACGACCTCCGGCACGACCTCCGGCACGGAAATTGAAGGACCATCGACCACTGAAAGCACATTCACCGTACCTCTGACTAATTCACCAATGTTAACACAGACCGTCACACCGCCATCCCAGCCTACCCAACCCGGTGCGACAAGTACACCCGACATCTCCACCATCCAATTCCAGTACCCATGGGAAACCACCATCCCACCGTTCTCTGCCCCGTCAACTCTTCTCACAACAGCAATTCCATCGCTGATCATCACAGTGCCAACATCCGACTCTTCTCCAACGCCGTCGTCTTCGTTGAGTGCGGGCGCAATTGCCGGTATCACTATTGGTGCGATCCTAGCTACCGTGTTTGGTGGCGCAGCTTTGTTCTTCTACTTGTACAGGAAGAATGAGAAGAGGGCGAATGAGTTTGAAATGCATCGTGTGAAGGGAAGGGTGGATGGAGAGAAGGTGGATTTGAGTCCGGGAGCTTGAGGAAGTGTAGATGGGGAGGGGATGAAGTACGAGGAAGTGCAGCGATGATAGTTAATTGCGTGGTGTCTTCTGTAACCCCAAAAAGAATTGGAGCTATGTTTAGCAGTATGATTCGTGTGCGTCTAGCTTCTCGCGCCAAAATAAAAAAACCTGACGAATGGAAGGTGTGAATGGGAATTTTGACAAATTGAATGGGAGAATGACTCAGAGGTGCTTGTTTGATCAAAGAAGAAGTGCAGAGCTACACAACGTGGTAAGACTGAGTCTAACGAGGAAATGTAAGTCGTAGATGAATCTGGTCGACTGCTTGCAGCCGCTGAGACATTGTAAAGTGCGCCTGAAACGGCTGGTTGACAATTGGACCCTGCGTCAGTCATGACCCATGGAACAGCGCGCGAAGAAGAGTTCAACACACGACTCGATACTTACAGAGTACCTTCCTTGTGCGCGCCATTAGAACCACACTACTCAAAAACGACCTTTCACATGACCATGACTCTTTGTTCCCCGGGAACCACGGGACGTCGTGGTTGGCGACCGAAGATTCCAGAGAACTAGCGTCATTTCCCCGCCCGGACCAGTGTCTCCACTTTCCTTGGCACTGTGAACTTCAACTCACTTCAGCCCAACCGCGCCTCCAACGTCCACCACCTACCAACGCCAGCCCTCAACCACCACCAGTTACACCAAACAGCCTCAACCGACACCCGTCGCACCACTCAAACTACCCAAAACCGCCTAAATCAGCAGTTGTGGCAGCCTATCGCAATGGCCATCTCGACAATGAAAAGAAACAGTAGTAGGCAAGTCAGCGCCTACCATGGGGTTGCGCCTCGCAGGCTAATCCCGTGTGCCTGCAGTAGTAGTAATAATTCCGTGCACTCGAATGCGTCGAGCGTAGGCGGCGTGCGCGCGTCGTGCTACGCCGTCAACTCCTGTACGGGCGCCCTCCAGGGCTTCCAGTACACTACGGGGGCTTTCGGGGCTGGGTGGTGTTCCTGAGGTCAGCTCGGTGAGTCACTCCCCATATCTCCATGTTTGATAGGGTTGGTGGTTTTGGGTGTGTGCTAATGCGGCAACAGGGCATACCATCCCCCCCTTCAAGTCCCCCCCTCGCCGCCAAACACACGCCACGCGCGCGCCGAGGGGGGGCTGCATACACCATTACGGGAGAGTGTGAGAGACTCTTCTGCGAGACACTGCGATCTGTTTTCCTGGGTGAGGGGAGCCAGATTTGCGAGGACTCGCTTGTATTGGGTACGCAATGCAAGGTCGACGGCTATCCGGAGCGTCTGATGGACTCGCCGGAGCCTGAGACCATTGCTGCGGATAGTGGCGTTGTCAGCGACTGGATCGAGATGTGGGATTACGTCGGCGGCATTCGATTCCGTGGCTTCGTCGCGGACAAGGATGGCGAGAAGGCCATGTTCGTCTTCTTCGATCAGTCGGTCGTGGCTGGAGATCTCAAGGCTGGGTGAGTCGCATCATTCTTCTATGCTCCTACCACCTTGCTAACACACCCAGCCTCATGGCCCTCCTCGAACTCTGCGAAGTCGACTATTTCTCCTGCGACCGCCTCGTTGTCTGCATCGACCGCCACGCCGACACGACCGCTCGCGACTCGCTGGTCAAGGACCTCGGCTGGATCGGCTTCTCGCTGACCACGCTCGACGACTTTTCCGAGGGCGCCGAATTAACCAGCGATAAGTGGTTGTTCATGGATATGGAGACATAAACACTGTCGTTACTGGATACGAGAAGGAATGATGACTGTCACCACAACACGGTGTGGGATAGGAGTTTTGTTCTACGTTTTTGGATACTGAGAGATGTTGTTTTGATATATGGATCGCTTCATGCTGGGGAAACTGTTTAATCATGGTACATCTTTCATCAAAAGGTTGCACGGAGTTTTGGATTCGTAAATTCTTCCGCCCTCGAATCAATCTAAGCTCGTATACTTTCTTACTCAAACTCCCATTCCCAGCTCATTGATCCACTTTTCAGCCCAATTGCTCTACCAAGCACACCTTTGTCATCATCATCTTGCTCCTCATGCCTCGCCAGCCCTTGCGCCAACGAGCCCCGCGCCAAAACGTTGCCCGGCTGCAATAATCACTCAGTACCGTATTCTTGCCATCATTCCTTTTGTGCTGTCCACGTTTCTTCCGGCTATCATTCATCTTGTGCAGTCTAGTGTTCTACCTAAGATCCGCATCCGCATCCGCATCCACCATGAGAGCATCCATACCCTCTCCGCCAAACTCATCCCCATCGTCCTCGACCTTCTCCTTCTCCGCCCTGCCTTCCAGCGCGCGCATACTAGCATTGTCCGTGCCGCTGATTGCGAGTTGTTCGCGCTTCTTCTGATGGGCGCGCAAATCTTCGTAGCTCCACGAACTATGCCCTTCGCCCTCCTTGCGACTCCACGGCTTGCTCATGTCCTTGAGGAATGCCTTCGCATTCCCCACAGCCTGGTCGATGGACAGTTTCGTGGATTTGGCCTCGAGGCCCTGCTGGATCCATTTCGGCAGCTGTGTGACTTTCTTGTTGAAGCGCTTGTCGGCCAGCACCATGATGCCGTAGTCGTCTTTGCCGCGGATGACACGGCCGAGGCATTGTGCGGCGTGGCGCATGGCGTCGAAGGAGAGGAAGTCAGATTCTTTAATGCGGTATGTTTCGCGCAAGAATTCGAGCCGCGCTTTTAAAATGCGGCTTTCGGTGTATTGGTACGGCACGCCCATACACAGCACCGTGCGGCCGTAGTGATGGTCAAAATCAATGCCTTCACTAACTTTCCCGCGCGCGACGCAGAGGAGGACGGCGCCCCGGCCGTTGTTGCAGGCGGTGCGGAAGGTCTCGAGTGCTAGGGCGGTTTCCTGGGCGTCGGGGGTTTCGACGAGGATGAGTTTGTATTTCCACACCGTGTCGAGGATTTCCATGCCTTGCCAGGCGGAAATAATCGACTCCATGTAAAGGTAGGAAGGGAAGAAGACGACGACGCCATCGGGAGTGAGTTTGCAGAATTCGATGAGCAACGTGCCGAAGTTGCGCTGGACTTGCAGGTCGTTGCGGTGCTCGAATTGAGAGGTTATTTGGTTTTGGTCGTTGCCGCGGTCGACGATCATGGGGAGGAAGGTCTTGCGGGTTAGTGTCATGGTGAAGGATTCTTGCACGACGGTGTTGAAGTTGAGCATGCGCGGGTACATGTCTAGGGGACTCATGGTTCCTGATGTGACGATGACGGAGTAGAAGCGCTCGAATACGGGCTTTATGGCGATGGCGGCATCCAAGCACGTGAAGTGCAGGACTGGATTCGGCACCGTTGCAGTGGCTGATTCAAATGGCTCAAGAATCAACAGGAAGCCCGTCTCGTATGTCGCGACTAGGGTTGCGAACGTCGCAATATCCTGCAAGGGCTGATAGTCTTCGATGTTTGTGAGTTCGAGCGTCCGTACGAGAGAAGTCAAGCGCTCGGCGCAGAATCGCAAAGGCTTCTTCTCGATGAAAGTGAGATCACGGAGATGCTGCAGGAAGGATGGAGGTGTTTCGGAGATGACGTGGAGAACCTTCATACGGGTCTTCAGGTACTCAATGAACCGTTTGAGGAAGGCTACAAAATGCTCTGCTCGCCGTATATTGCCTGGTACAGCTTCTGTGAGTAGATCGTCGGGTAATGCCGGATTCGCCATGAATGTGTCCTCTTGCCGTGCTTCGTCTGCCGTTCTGAGGCCTTCGACTAACTTTGCATATTCGCTTTGCAATTTCTCAGCGTCAGTGGTTTTCATCTCGGTGATCTTGCGATCCAGGTTGTTGACACCCTTGGTTGCCTTTCGTAATGAGTCCTCGGTGATGTCGATGCTGAGAGATTCGATGCATACGTTGTCGATGTTGTGGGCTTCGTCGAAAACTACTATACAATCCTTGGAAAGCTCCTTTGATACGCGATCCGCAATCTTGGGGTCAAGCAGGTAATGGTATGAGTAGATGATGACGTTGCAGTAGGCCATCATGCGTCGCGCCGAGAAGTATGGACATTGCTTGTGTTTCTCGCCGTACTTGAGTAGTCCGTCGAATGTAAAGACGCCTGGAGGTACCAAGTTGTGCGGCTCCAGTAGATCTAGATTGTCGTGGTAAACACATAGATCCACATCCTCGCCACGCTCTTTCTTCTCTTTGACGAAGCCTGCCGTTAAGCTTCTGCACTTGGAGTCGACAACGGTGCCACTCTTCTCGCGCTTGACAGTCGGATGCAAACACAGGTTTTTTCGACTTGTCAGACCAAGTCCTCTGAACTCTTCCTCGTAGCCGAGCTCTTTCGTCCGGTACTTCATCAGGTTCTTCAACTCGGCGAGTGCCTTCTCGATCTCGGACATAGTACGAGAGCAATAGATTAGTTTACGCTTCTCTGGGTAGTGCTGTTGGTATGCTACAATGAGGGATAGCAGTGAAATAGTCTTTCCCGTCCCCGAAGGCATCTCTAGGACGCAGTGCCCGCCTTGGTCTATCACATGACAAGATTAGTCGTTGATTCAGCTCGTAAAGTTGGGGTGACCGCGTACCCAAAGTCTTTTTGAGATCGCACATGTAAGCATATTGCTCGGGATAGACGGATGGGTAAGGGAATAGGACTGGAAGCCCGTCAATGTGGAACAGCATGATGAGTTTCGTTGGAGCCTGAAGGAAACTATGGCGTTGGTCGTGATGCGTTGATTATTATGACCAGACGGCCCGCCGACGGGTCAGAGATGTCGAGTGAGTACGGTCTATTATGTGACTAAAAAGTGCATGCGTCGAGTGGGATGTGGCTTTGGAATAAAATCGTCGTGGACGGATTATCGATGAGCGATTCGACGGTGCATGGTTGAACGCGCGAACGGCTTCGCGCTAGCACGTGAGCTCTAGCTGCGCTGGTGATAGCGTCCGACAGGGATGGTGGCCCACCTGGGCGCCGGCGCCCTTTGCCTGTGCGTCATCGTTGATCCGTAGTAGTTCGTTTGACTTGAGCCGCACTGTGAATTGCTAGACGCCCTTCGCGGATTCCGTGTGATTACTATCTTGTTGCTATCTAGGCTCTGGCGCGGGCTGTTCTTTCCTTATCCCATTGAACCATCTGGGCATTCCAGCGACAGACATTTGCGGAAATATCCCGACTTCTGCACGAGCAACACCCCGCCATGAGCAAACGTGCCGCCAAAAGTGCCAGCAGTGCACGCGCAGCTTCTACCTTTGGTGCATCCACATTCGGCTCCTCGCCAGCCACCGCAACCTTTGCCGTCGCATCATCACAACTGTCCTACGTCTCGGAGCCGCCGGACTTCTCCGCCATCTCAGATCCCAATGTCGTGGTGTACTTCCGGAACCTCTCCAAGAAAGACAGCACAACCAAGGCAAAAGCGCTCGAGGACATACAGGCATATGTCGCGAAGGAGTCGGCAGTAGAGGAAGGGCTGCTCGAAGCATGGGTGGCGTAATGCGCCCTCTTGTACATAATATTTCGCGTAGGAATAATAGTTGTGCAGGTCAAAATCTACCCGCGCACCTCGATTGACAACGCCAAAGCCGTGCGCCAGAATGCGCACCACCTGCACGGCCAGATCGCCGCCTGGGCCGGCAAGCGCATCGCCAAACACATGCCCCAGAGCGTCGCGGCGTGGTTATGCGGTCTCTACGACAGCGACCGGTCCGTGGTGGAAGCTACCCAGAGCTCGCTGCGGCAGGTCTTCAACACGCCCGAGAAGATCCAGAACATACGCAAGGCATACCAGCAGCCCATCTTGGAGTACTGCAGGGACGCCATCGACAAGGAAAGCACCGCCACGCTGAGCGACGAGCGGAACGTGACCCCCGACGACGCAGAGGCAAAGTACAGCCGCGTCATATCGGCCTGCATATCGCTGCTGGGCAGCTTGCTGTCGAATCTACCGCGTGAGGAGCTGTCCAAGTATCAGACCGACTACGAGGCATTACTGGGAGACAAGAAGCTCTGGGAGTTTGCATCCTCGAAAGACGCTTCGATACGGCGGTCACTGCACCGCTTCCTGAAGACGTGTGTAGCCAAGGAGCCCGAGGCTGTCAAGGCCAACCTCGAGACCATCAGCAAGTCGTACCTCTCTGTCGCCCTCAACTCCGACCAGACCAATTCGGCATTTGAGTACATCGACGCCCTAACAGCCCTGACGTCGGATCATCCCACCGCGTGGACCGAACACTACACAAGTAAGACAGCAGTAGACCGACGCCTGCGTCAATTCTTGAAGAAAGGATCGCAGTCAGGACCTCGCGACTACTGGGCACGGCTGACTGCTCTGTTCCACGCCATTCCCAGCGATGTGCTGCCTCGCAATGCCGCAGATTCCGCTGAGCTTCTGGGCGCTCTACAGGGTGGAATGATCAAGAAGGACGAGCCCAAGCACAACTATGAAGTCGCATTCGGAACTTACCTCGATGTTGTTGCGCTTCTTAACGCTCGCCTTGACAACGAGGACAAGAAGAAGCTGCTGGATGAGATGGTACTGCCGCTGTTGACACAATATCTCCAGCCATCGGTGGAAACGTCGCAGTGGTCACTCCCATCAAGCGCCATATCAGTGCTTGCCAAAGCCGCCCGAATCGATGGCATGGCGGCTGCACTAGCTGAACAGTGGCCAACGTACACGAAGCAGCTTGTTGATGCGATCAAAACCTCGGCCCCAGAGCAATCAAAAGACTACGAAAAGTCACAAGTAGCCGTAGGTCGGCATGCAACACGACTCGCCACCCTCCAAGAACAAGCCCTCAAGCACGAAGCTTTTGCGCCTGTGCAAACCGTCTTCGCACACGCGTCTGCAAATGTGGTCACTGAGGCACTGAGCGTAATCAAGAGTCGAAACGGCAAGCCATACGGGGCCGCTGAAGCCATCGCGGCGATCCTCAAGCGTAACAGCGCCATCCTAGCCAGCACCGAAACTCAACAAGAGCTCGAACTGTTTCTCCGTGAGCATCTTCCGGCGTTAGTATCGTCACCATCTTCGATATATCTGATTGAGCTACTGTATGCGTGTTCTGCCAGTCCAGATTTCCCCGAGATGTGGAGCAGCACGCTCAAAACCATCCTGCAAGAGCCCGAGTCATCAGCCAGGACGAAGGCTTTGGAGGCAATTCTTACTTCTCCAAGGATACCAGCCTCGTTCGACCTCGCTTCGCGTGATTCCGAACTTCAAACTTTCGTCAAGAGCAGCGTGCGCGAGTCTGTAGAAAGCTCTGGGGAGTGGGATTCGTTCAGTCGTATCTTGCAATCACCTGCCAAAATTATTGCATCCGACACTACCGACGACATCCTTTCCTACCTCACACAGTCATTGACTATATCGCAACAGGCACCCTATTCCCTGCAAGTTCTACGTCACATTGTGCGATCAAACCCGTCCATGCTACGAGAGTTCGTCGGTACTCCCAAAGGCTCCAAGCTTCTTCAGGGCTTGCTCCTTGCTTCCGAGTCTCCTAGCGACGAGATCGCACAAAGCGCCTTAGCTGTGAATGCTTCTATCCAGACGATGCTTGCCTCCGGTTCAGACAGCAAGCAGTCGATGTTCGAGCTTATCCAGCAAGGCCTTCGAGAGGCAACACCCACTTCTGTGTCCGTTGAAACACTTGTTGATCTTGCTAAGCAGTGCATCACCGCTGGCCAAGAATGGGATGTCCTGAAAAATGTACTTCCGGTCGTGCACGATTGGGAGATATCTTTGGCTCCGTTCCTAGATTCTCCACCGAGACCATCGCTGGCCATTACGAACCCTCTAGGTGGCGCGGTGTATCTTGTAGATCAAACAGCTTCTTCAACCTTACCCAAGGTCCCTCGCGACGCCGATGGCTACTCTGCTGCGTACCGAATTACACAGTACGTGACCCGCTTACTGCAAGAGACAGACCTATTTCCTCCCGAGAAGATCCCAGCCGAACTGAGAGACAACTACCTTCGTCTCGTGGCGCTCACCATACAACTGGCGGATGATAATCTAGGGCTGGCTGGAGCCAACGGCCTCTGGGTCAACTACAACGCCGAAGCCGAAGCTGATGCGATGACGTTCATCTCTGATGCGCAACCCTTTGTCACCCAGGAGCTAAAATATCTGTCATCGGAGTGGTCTGACAATGGCCTTCTACCATGGGCTACGCAGCTGCTGAGCAACGTTGAGGCCACGACCTCACCACGATCCTACTACACTGCTCGGGCATACAGTGTGCTTATTTCGGATGCGATCGAGATGACAGGCTGGCGTAACGCGGCAACACCATCTCTTCAGGATGGGCTGAAAGCTGCTCGGAAAGAGAAAGCAATCATGCCCATTCTCGCATATCTCAGCGCCTTCAAGGAGCCACTGGCAGCGGCAAAAGCCTGTGAGCGGATGTGCAATGAGCTCATCGCCGATCTCACTGGCGTAGACATTGCGCAAAAGTCCGACGAGGCTCTTCGCCAACTTGTGCAACTGAACAGCGTGCTCGGCCAGGAGGGCATAATCGAAAGCATTGCAAAACAACGACTCGTTTTCTTTGTCAAACACGTCGTCCCGTGGGTTCAATCTGCTGAGGTCGGTCGGCCTATCAGAGCTGAGCTATGCCGCGCTTTGACTGTCCTGATCCCCATCATGGGGGATATGTATGGCGAGCACTGGTCCGATCTACTAAGCTCCCTTTCCGCTTCTTGGGTGTCTACCAATGGCCTCGACAATGAGACTGGAGAGGACAGCTCTATCCCATTTGTCCATGCATCCCTAAAGCTTTACGCGCAGCTTCGAAGCCTGACGCAAATCGAGGAGCCAAATGATGATCTCATTGACGCCTGGAAAGAGACGGAGCAAGCTGTCGCTGATGGCCTCATCAACCTGCTTAAGCATTCTCAACACTTCCCCGACGAGTTTCATCAGCCTCTCAAAATGGTCAACGATGTGCTTTCTCGACAAATCGCAAAGGTCTCACTCAAAAACCTTGAATCTACCGAGGAGCTGTTCCCTCTGCTATATGTGGAATCGCAGCCTGTGCAGCAAACTGCGTTCAACATCCTACACAAGCAAATCCCCGAGGCCCAGGAACAGATCTCGGTTGATGCAGCCCTAGAGAAGACGACAGCACGTTTACCCGAGGAGTTATTGTCGCTCATCATCGACGCGCCCACGGTTGCTGCACTTGCGGAAGCCAACTTCGAGCGTAACGTGCCGCTGCCGCTGCGAGGCTACCTGTTAAGCTGGCTACTTGTGTTCGATCACCTTGAGCACGCATCCTTCAAGGTGAAGAATGACTATGTCGAGCACATCAAAGAGGGTGAATACCTTCCGGGTCTACTGAACTTTACTTTTGACTTCCTTGGCCATGCACACAACAAACCGGTGGACGTTTCGAAGCTCAACGTTACCACCTACGAGCCGGATGTCGAGCCACCCAAACGCGACCTCCAATGGCTATTGACGCATTTGTACTTCATGTGTCTGCGGCATGTACCGTCTTTGACGAAGGCCTGGTTCATCGACTGCAAGTCTCGAGCAACAGTGGTGACGCTGGAGCCATGGACCGAGAAATTCGTAAGTCCACTCCCATCCTGCCCTCTCCACCATACTTACTAACACCTTCACAGATTTCTCCACCCGTCATCTCCGCCGCCCTCGATTCGGTAACCACCTGGTCCGCCCAACAAGACGATACCTCCCCCTTCACAGTCCGCGTCGCCCCGCGCGCCCGCGAAATCACTGCCTCCTACCTCATCGATGAAGCCACCTGCAGCATGCGCATCTCCCTCCCACCTGCCTTCCCCCTCGCCAATGCACGCATTGACTCCCTCGCTCGCGTCGCCGTCAACGAAACCAAATGGCAATCCTGGCTGCGCACCTCTCTCGGCGCCATCACCATCTTCAACGGCAGCATCATCGACGCGCTGACTACGTTCAAGCGCAATGTCGACGGCGCAATGAAGGGGCAGGTTGAGTGTGCGATTTGCTATAGTGTGGTGGGCAGCGATAAAAGACTTCCCGAGAAGAAGTGCGGGACGTGCAAGAATCTGTTTCACGGTGGGTGTTTGTGGAAGTGGTTTAAGAGTAGTGGGAGTAGCAGTTGTCCGCTGTGTAGGAATCCGTTTAATTATGGGGAGCAGAGGAACTAAAGGGCTGGATGATGGGTATGAGGGGTTGTGGCAGAGTGTGTAGATAAGAAGTGAGTGAAGGAATTTAAGTTCATCGAATCATGCGGTTGCACTAAACAGGTCATGAGTTCGAGGTAAGGAGTCATCAACATTACCCCCCAGCGTCGTTCCAGAAGCCTGGATCGAGTAATGCTCATCTCGTCAGCGTTAGCAATTGCAGTGCACTTCTAGCGCTGTTCCAGAAGACGCGAGTTCACTGCAATTGCTAGCGCCAACGAGACGACCTCCACACACTACGCCCGATTCGTCAAAAAAATCACGCTCCGATGTTCACATCGCTGTCACCAATCCAACCTCGTCCTGTACTGATTGCAAAGTAAACAAGCCACGACGTTTGTCATTGAGCATACTACAAAGTACATGTGTAAGTCGTTTACCTGATTTTCGCATAGCTACTTACATGTACTTAATCCAAATCAAAATTCAGTTCCATCGGCCTTGCTATCTTCCCATCCCCACCTTGTTCGCTGCCTCATCCTCCTCATACGTCCGCACTTCATCTGTGTCCGAAAAACCCACGTTCCGCGCACTCCGCGGCGAATCGCCGCGCTTGAGACTGGACTTTCGTGGCATGGGGCTGCGGGGAGAGAGGGCCCAGGGGTTTTGCTCGAGTTCGAAGAGCGCGGATGAGCCTGCCGGCAGTGGAGGTGGAGGCGGAGGTGGAAGGGGGGATAAAGTATGGTACGAAGGTGGAGGAGATGGAGAGGGCGCTGGAGACATGGACGAAGGGCTCGGGCGTGAGGAAGACGTAGTCTGGCTTGAAGTGGCCAACTTCTGGGCGTGTGAGGCATTTGCATGCTTTGAAATTGATGAGCAAGCGCTGGATGACGCGGATGATCCGGATAGCGGTGATGGTAGCGCAAGCGGATGCGCAGGCATGGGGAGCGGGTGGCGCGGGGAGACGTACTTCGTTGAATTGCCGGAGGTGTCTGTCGAGCGTGCTGGAGAATTATTGGTGCGTCGGAATGGATGGATGCTAGGGACTACCGGGCGCTGAGTCTGTCGACGGGTCGAGACTGGTGCATGTAACGTAGCCATGGACGACACGGCGGAGTGAGGAGCAGAGTGCCGTGGTTCCGGCTCTGGATATGCGCCAGGTATCTCACGCGGCGCATCAGGCTTTGATGGTTTGGCTGCTCGAGTCGCTGTGCTCGGTGAGTGACGTGTAGCTGGAACGCTATGCGAATCGGAGAATGGGTCCTGAACTGCAGCGCCCCACGAACCACGTGCATCTGCAACGTTGCGAGTTGCTGCATATGCACTGTGTGCGTTGGTGGTAGGATCTCGAGGCGCTGCGCCCGAAGACTTGCGTGTATCTGTAACTCTTCGTGAGTCGGTGGAAGGATCACGAATCGATGATTCATGTGCGTCTTTGACACAGTGCAAATCGGCAGACGGATCTCGCGTTGTAGCACGGTGCGAATCCGTGACGAGTTTCCGAGACACTGGGATCGACGGCCCGCGCGTATTCATAGTGTCCTGTGGATCGATGAATGGATCCTGGATCGATGCTTTTGTATCCTTGATACGGTGCGGATCGGGGACAGGATCTCGATATCCTGCTAATGTCACAGGCGGACAGGAGGATCCCGTCGAAGCCGCAGATGATCCAGTATGTCCAACCGACATCGGATTCTGCACGGTTGGTGGGATCTTCGCGAGCAAGTCCTTCCTGACACGGTCTTCCTGCGATGCAGATGGTCGCGGGGGCCACGGGGTCTCGAGAACTATAGGGAGAGAATGATGCTGACGATCTGAAGGTGCTAAAAGCGGGTCAGACTGAGCTACTGTAGGTACGAGGCCAGGCTTGGAAGTATTTTGTGTGTCTGGTAGATAGAACGGCTGAGCGTGCTTGTACACGGAGGACGATGGAGGGTACACCGGCGTACCCGTCTGCTTGGATAGATTAAGGTGGTCGTCTCGTTGTCTACGAGGTTTACCGCTTCGTTCACGTGGAATCTTATTGCCGTCTTTATCTCGTTCAGTGCGGTAGCCCATGTCGCAGGTTGTAAGTGTAACAGGGCAGAGGTGTAAAACAGTGATTGGAGAGGGTTTGTAAATTCTGTCGATGTTGACTTCGAGATTATCGTTATAGGTGCTTGTAAGTATTCTAGTAAGGAGAATTTGGATGTTCTTAGTATTCGATAGTGATTGTGAGTGAATCCTGAGGCAAACTTTCCAACGGCTGCCTGCTGGACCACTGCACTTGCCAGAGCCTATTTGTTGAAGCCTTGATTAGTGATAGTATTCTGTTAAGTTTCGAGTGATTTAATGTGAAACCTATTTCATTCCTTCCATAATGAATCACGGTCTACATGGAAAGGCAGCACTACCATATGCATCACTGTTCGAACTTTGAAGCATTGTCAAGTCTCCAGCTTCGCAGTTGTGTCTTACCTTCGATATAAATATGAACGCATTACACGCTTCGAACTTTCACTTCAGGCTCAAGCGTAGAATTCCGAAAGCGCGCTTAGTCTGCAAGGCTACCATATGCGCGCACCATACCTAGCTGCCATGTGTGTGCTGGGAAGAACGCAATTGAAAAGTCGCACAGTGTCAGAAACTACCAAGCTAGAATCGGAGTACATAGTGTCTTAACATTGACGCCAAACAATTACGTCTTTGATAAGATGGGTTCGAAGGAAACAGTTAGTGGAAGACAGCAGTGGGATTACGTCATCGTCTTAAAATGCATGAGAAAGACTAACTCCACCAGGCTTCTGTTCCCATGATCCACTTCTCAGAAGTGCGACTGCATCAAAACAACAAAGCTGCCGAAGCGTTTACATTCGACACCGCAAGCAGATTCTTATCGCGAAACTGGAGAATACCACCTCCAAGTCTGCCATCCGCGGCCATCGCTAGGAACACACAGCCGATTGAACAGCGTATACCTACCCAAAGAAGCTACATGTTTTCTCAAACTCTATCACAGTTTCGCCGTTGGACTCTGAGAAGTATCTCGGAGATGAGTTGTGAAGTCCGACTATACACCGAGTAAAGTGCGAAAGAGATGCCGTTCGATTCGAAAGTGGGCTGATTCCTTTCGGGCCTTAGTCTTGTTTGGCCCAATGCAGACACAATCATGCCACTTTCACGAATCTCGTGCGCCTTGGACTCTTCGCATTCACCAGTCCGTGGGCGAGGTTAAGGTTTTGTTTGCGGTGTTTAATTCTGGTCGCGTGCACTCTTTGGTGTTGTGCTTCATTTTCGTCTGTCGTCCTAAATTTCCTCTCCTCCGACTGTCCCTCACTATTTTGACTCTTAATCTTCTACTCCGCGCAGTTTAACTCTCTGTCAGCCACTCCGCATTTCCGACCCAAATTACTGCCAATTTCTGCGCATCAAAAGCGCCACCAACACCAAGCACAGCCACAAATCCGCAACATGCTCATAACCCGCGGTTTCTCGCTGACGAACTTCGTCATCGGCTCCTCGGCGCTTTGCTTCCAGATATTTGTGTTATATCCATGGCACCACAAGCTTGATGCAGAATTCACCGAACTACGAAAAGAGCACGCTAGATTACTGGAAGATACGCACAACAAGCACCGGAACGAGCTTAAGGGTATTCGCGAACAATTGATGTTACTTAATGAGAGGAAAGACAAGAGTGGGAAGTGGTGGTGAAGCATGCACCTGAGAGCGCTGCTAGTAACTAGAGACCGTTCCGACTTTTGACGATGTTTACCACACTTGGTAGGACACCTCACCCACCTTCGCATAGTATACTAATCAAAGTACAGGAATCATGGATTATATTGCCAGTACTTTGCGCACCTAGAACTAGTAATGATATTATTTCTCATTGAACTAGTGGCTACATCCTTTTCGCCACATCCTACAAGCCTCTACCATCCAACGCATGAATCGAAGCTTTCTCGCTTGTCCAACGAAGAAATCCGCGTTTAGCCGTCCCGTGCCAAATGCTTGAGCCTAAGATTTTGGTCATGACCTGCGCTGCGCATCACGTGGTAGGTAACCAATGATTGCACCAAACAATGCTTATTGTGGCCAGTGCAACCGCTTTACGATGTCTAATCACTTCAGTAGCGTGCATCGCGTATTCGATGTAAGCCTGACCTTGTGCTTTTTAGCAATTCGCGAAGTACACCTCTCGTTGCACGAGGATCAGTGCCATAAGCGCAGACTCTCTTCGAATTGGCCCACGGTGCAGATTTTGCGGACACTGTATTGGTGATGGTTGTTCAATGTTCGCCCGAGCTATCCTTGTTCAGTATCTCAGGAGCTGGTTCACTTAGGCGAGCACGTACCCTGCTTCTTTACGCGCTGGCGCCTGAAGTGCAGTAGAGCTGTGGCGACTAGTACAAAAATGGGCGTACAGGTTGCGAAAAGAGCAAGAATGGCAATGATATTGTCCCTAGACCAGGTCATGATGAGGGAACTGATATGAGCCGACTTCAAGGCTGGCGCGATCAAGGACAGTTTAATAAAAGTCTAGCTGTGCCGCTCGCCGACCCTGAGGACTTAACATAACTCAAGCAAAATCAGATTTCCGTCCGCAAAGGCAATTCAGATTTGCAGTCCTTTCCCAGGCATTTCGGATTTCAAAGATGCGTGTCAAGATAGTTGGGGCTATGCCTGCGGTAAGTATCATGCAGCACGCGATGCAGATGCGATTGTGACGACTCAGCCTCACCGGTGAGGGACAAAGCAGATTTGATCTCGCGTACCCATCGGACTGGCATACTTGCGGGCTGTCATTCGTCGAATATACATGCATTGTATGTGGCTGATTCCAGATTTCGTCAGCGGGATGGAAACCAGATTTCAGATGTCATCTCCATCACGTGCTTCCCCAAACAATGTGCCCCGCTCTCAGCCTGATGCATGGAATATATCTTCGCCAAAGACATACCTTTTATCTACTGAATCCAAGTCCTCCACCAACATATCACATACTCATACAACACAATGGAGAAACGATATTCGCAGCGAATTCCAGAAAAGAGGTGGCGGGTCCACAAAGACACCATTCACCGCCTGTACGTGACAGAGAACAGGCCCTTGACAGCTGCAGGCGGTGTCAAGGATATCATGACCACCAGACACAATTTCTCGGCAACGTAAGTGTGTTTTGCGAAACTTCATCACTATCTTGCCTGAGTGAATTCATATTGATCTGCAATTAGTAAAGCACAGTACGAAACCAAGCTGAAGAGATGGGGCTTTCACAAATACAGCCCCGCAAACAATCGTCAGTTGCCCCTTGGACCCTGGACAGTATAACCTCTACATATGAACTGACTGAAACAAACAGTTTTGCCGCTCTCACGAGATCTGGTCTTCAGACCACCCTCCCCTCATCGTTCAAACCCACGGCCCGATCAATTGAGACGCGCAACACTTGTATGGCCATCAGCCTCGGCCACAATCACTAAGACAAAGCCCAGGAATTCCGATTCTGATCTGGGCAGGATTTTTCTCAAGGACATCGCATCGAGCTCGACCACTGATCTGAGCACGATCGATCCATTTGACTCAATTTGCCAGACATTCCTCAACGTAGACTACATTGCCTCGACCACTGGATCACTCAACTACGCCTCTAGCATGTCTACTCACTCACAGAATTCCGCGTGGGAGATTGCTGCTGAAGAATTCCAGAATTGGGATCAACTTGGTTTAGTTCCTCTAGAGAGTACCGATGCCGGCCTATTCCCAGGGGAAGCAAGCCAATCGCGCTACTCCTTCCTACTTGATTTCGCATATTACCTCATGCCAACTATTTCTCAAATCTCGCGTATGGTCACACCTTCTTCACACCTGGCAATTCTGAAGACCAGTACTATTATGAGGTCTGCCATCGATTCTGTGCTCGAGAAAAGGTCCAGTCTGAGCACATCACAGCTTCTCAAACGACAAACCATCGAATTCCAAATCATCTATACCGTATTTCATAGACTCATGAACGACAACATCGGATTCACACTCGCACAACCAGACACAGAATTCGACCGGCTGTTCAAAGCCAGTGTGGAGCACATCCTCTCTCTGGGCCCGCAGTTCCTCGGCAACGCTATCGATTCGATATCATCTCTTTATAAACCAGCTTTATCACAAGGCCTTTTTACTGCCGCATTGATAATGGGTAATCGCCCCGTTTTGAGAGCAATCCTAGATCGGGTCGATCTTGCAAATCAACCTTTTCACACTTCTAAGTACTCCCGAGGCTATCCATTAGAATACGCGGTGGAAAGTAAAGATCTCTTAGCCGTGCAGATTCTCCTTCAACATGGCGCCGATCCGAACAAACATTTCCACTTCCCCATCGCAACAAGCTGGTTTTACTTCAAGAGAGACAGTCATGAGGATCATGATACTCAGATGCTTGCATTGCTACTGGACCACGGCCTACGAATAGGAGATATGCATCTGAAGGATATGTTAATATACTGGACAAAGGAAGAGTTTGAGTTGCTGGTCACACATGACTTGGACCAAGCCCTCCGGTTGTTCCTTGAGCATCGTCTTTTGCCATCTCTTTTACTCCGATCTGACTGGGACGACTCACTGTCAAAGATCCTCAAAGCCTTTCTACAACGAGGAAAATTGGATAGGGCCATATCTACAGACGTCTGGGAGTCGATTCTAACCGAGTGTCTATGCATAGCTGTCCAACTCAAGAACAAGTCGGAAACCCATCTCCTGCTTGAAATGGGTGCTATTCCAGACGCCAGCTGCTTGGTTAGCTCTGTCCTCAGCAATGACCTACCTCTTCTGGAACGCTTTCTTGACATGGGTGCAGACGCGAACGCTCTATCGAACTCAAAGCGTACTTACGCATCAGATCCACATTACATATTTACCGCGCTTAGCGAGTCGATCGTAAATGAATCTCAAAGAGCGTTTGAGGTATTCAAAGATCGAGGCTTCATATGGGAGCTTGCTGAGAATAGACAAAGTTTCGTGCCAGCTCTCATGGCAGCGTGCGATATAGGGAATGTTGCTCTTGTAGGTACACTCCTTGCGACCCGAAAGTTCTCATTAGTGCATATATCCTCCTTAATTGAGAGTCCATTGCTAGATCTTTCCTTAACTCTGGAGAGAGCCATCAGGGAGGGACATGAATTTATCTGCAATCAGCTTCTCGCCGCCGAAATTCTTCCGACAGCGTCCTGTCTCGAAGCAGCTTATCAAACGAGGCAGACAGCCCTCCTTGTCACTATGGCAGACTTGGTTCCTCCCACTGCGCGAATCTTTTGTGGAGTAATGGGAAACGGAGACAAGGGGGCTCTAGAAGACATGTTCCGCAATGGTCTTCCCGTGGATGATGTTCACAAGTTGAACCCCAATGACGCCGACACCGAAGAGCTCAGCAAAATTTTTGGAATGTTTGCTGACTGGAAAACATCGCTGCTGGCGGCCGCAGTGTTGGGACAGAGCGCAGTGGCAGTGGAGGTTCTGCTGGCTCATGGTGCACAAGTCAATACCTTACAACGCCCGAAGAGCAAATACCTGTACGCAGGTAACATGCTGCTCACTGCGCTCGCTGCTGGTGTCATAAGGCGAAATTTTCCCCTGCTCACTGAGCTCTTGTACAGGGGAGCGGATCCTTTTGACAATGGTGCCATTTACGTCGCTACTGTGTACGGACTGGAAGACATCATCAAATTGCTTCTTCTTAGATTCAAGCATCGATACCCTCATGGAGTCAAAACGTTTGGCTCAAATGCGCTCTGCTGGGCGATCGCTTCCGGGAGTCTGCCACTTGTTCAGTTGCTTGTCAAAGATGTCGACATAAGCGGCATAGTGGACCGGTGGATTCCATCTAGTAAGAAAATTCAATCCACAACATGGCCTTCTCAAATACGCCGTACAGGTTTACTGCAAAAGCCCAAGATTCTTCCGATTAGGATGGATTATGTTCCACTTCCAGCCCTCCCTCCACCCCCTCCGCCCCCTCCATACTCGATTCGAAGAGAACACGACAATGTGCCCTTGCATTCTACAAGTCCATTGGGTGAAGCCATCAGAATAAGTTGCAGCGTAGGCGCTAGGCCGCAGATGTTGCATGTTTTGTTACCGCGTATCAAGGATTTTGACGATGTAGTCGTATTTGAAAACATGCATGGTTGGTTGAACGGGCTTCTCTATGCCATCAGCCTCCGCTCGCTGGATACAGTTCGTCTTCTGGCCGAAGCTGGCGCCGACATACACTTCCCAGCCCGGCGCATTATCAGACGAACAGCCCTTCAATTCGCAACAGAGCTTGGCAACAAAGAGATTGTGAAGTATCTATTGGGGAAAGGTGTCAGTCCGAATGAGCCACCAGCATCGAAATCAGGAGCTACTTCGTTACAGTTAGCAGCCATTAAAGGATATGTTGGACTGGCATCAATTTTGACGGATGCAGGAGCCCACGTCAATGCCGAGCCCGGTTTGCTGTATGGCAGAACAGCTTTCGAAGGCGCCACAGAGCATGGACGTATAGAGATGATGGTCTTTCTTGTTCAAAATGGCGCGGACCTTCTCTGGAACAATAGACAGCAGCATCGACGTGCTGTTCAGTTTGCCAGAGAAAACAATCAACATGCTGCAATACAGCTCGCAGATGAGCTGCTTGAGAAGGTTCTGGCAAGTCAGGCAACTGATTTCAGAGCAGATGGAAGTGAGTGGAACATGACTGAATTTGGAGAACTTGTGGATTTTGATTTTTAGGACCGGCTTGCCTCTTCGTGCATTCATTGCGCTATTTCAAGTTTCTTGTCATTCTGCGTGGTAGTGTTTCTTGGCACTTACTGTTTCTCACCAAGTGTAATAGATTTCGCCTCGGGGCTGCTTATATGGCTACTTCAAATATGAAACTGTTGCTTGAGTGCAATCTTAAAACGGAGAATTCAGGCCTTGACCGTGATTGCGAGAGACTTGCATGGAGCACGACACGAGCAAACAACACCAATACAATGAGTTTCGCGAAACACTTTGTCTGAACCGCTACTTGTATCCATCAATGAGACCAGACCGAGCCCATAAATCGATGCTGCCATTTAGGGCCGTGTCTTTTCAACGTCAATCGCCCTTTGGTTGAAATTTCATTGTGAGCTACAAGATAGATAATGGTTTTGCAAGTAACACTATCCCTCGCCCTTCAATACCCCCGGCCCTTCACAATCCCCCCTCACCTCACCAAATGGGTGCCGCTGAAACTCTTTACTCACTCCTGCCGTGCGGACTATCCTTTTTCAACGTCAAGAATAGCTTTGCTATCTTACGTATCGGCGCAGCAGTCTCTCCACAAGCCTTCGAAGTCTTTCAAACACTAATCGCAAAACCCCCAACGGGTCGCGTTCACTCTCCTGTCGTCAATCTAAAAGCACGTCCACCAATGTCTGATGGGAGTACAATACTCTCTCTACCACCATTCATAGAATGATTGAAGTAACCTCGCAGCACTCAATCGACACTCTTCAGACAAAAACCATTACGAAATACACATTTCGATCACTCTCAGACTTCACATCTGCCTCCGTCCAAAAAAGCCCTTTACTTGCACTGATTTCATGTCTCGCTTTTTAACCTCTACTATATATACATCATTCACTTTCCCTCCCTACCTCCCTAAACACCGCCCGGCATCTTCCCCTCCCACCCCCTCTTCTTATACCCCAGCGTCCCCGCCGGCACAACCCTCCACTCCCTGGTATCCCCGACCCGTCCTAATCCAACATCCCTCCCCTTCCACCCCTCACCCCTGAGTCCTCTCGCCAAATTCCACGCCCCAGTAATAACATCATTCACACCCACGCCATTGAACTGATTGCCTACAACGCGCAACCTGCCCTTGAACTCCTCACCAATGCCACGTGAGAAATCTCTCAGTCGGTCTTCGTACCCGACGGTGTATTGCGGGATGCAGTCGCGGCTGAGATTTATGTAGGACGCAGTAGGTTCCTGAGTGATGCCCAGGTGTCTTTTTACAACACTTTTCGCCATCTCCAATCCTTCTTCCTCGCTGGGGTAACTGGCCCAGTCGTTCCACCAGTGGCCGCCGAGCATGACGGTGAGTTTCGTGCCGGGGACGGAGTCCTGCCCGCGGATAGCGCAGCTGTCGAAGATGACGCCGAGCGCGCGCTCGGGGTTTTGCTCGAAGGGGACGGACTGCGGGATTAGGTAGCCGAAGCCGGCGGGCGTGAGGTCGGGGGTCGGGTAGAAGAGGTTCACGGTTTGGACGGTGATGTAGGGGGTGAGTGAGGGAGAGCGGAGGGTGGAGATTACGAGGTCGTAGTCGGAGGACTTTTCGTTACCGGTGGTCTGCGGGGAGTTAGTCTGAGAAATGTAAGGGATAAGAGGGAGGGAGAACGTACGCCTGTGGTTACTTGGACGCCTGGTTTGCTGTCTTCGAGGGGCTTGGTCGATTGAACAGGTCGCTCGGTGTAGATGTCCACGTTGCCCGTCTTCTTGACTGCAGTCGCTAACGCCTGGTATAACTGCTGCAACCCATTCTTGAAGGTAAACGTGCTCGCCTTCTTCAGATTCTCGACGTATTCATCCTCCAGGTCGAATTCGTCGTTCATAGCCTGTGCTGCCTCTACATCGAACGGATGCGCCAGCGTCATGAGCTGTCCCTTCTCGTCTTGCTGCATCTTGAAGTATCCAGCCATTGCGCTGCCATACTTGCCTTCCAGCTGCCACGCCGTACTGAGCAGCGTCTTCGCACTCAAGTTCCATATATCGCCAGCATATATCCCGTGAAAGACCGCCGAGACGAGATTGTTCGCAAACCTCTCATCCACCCTCCTAGCCAGGAAACTCCCCACCGTCTCATCCGTCATTTGATCCGGGCGTTTCGGTACCATGGGCTCTTTAATCATGCCAAACGCGCCCGCCATGATCCCACTCCTCCACAAGGAGATAAACTGGCTCAGGCTCGGCATCTCCGCGGGCAATTTATTCAGGCGATCCGGATAGTAGATGTATCGATTCTTCGCAGCCGGTTCGTCGCGGTATGTATACGTCATGTCCTTGACGAGGTCCAATTCCTGACACTACAACACCAATTAGCCTCACCTCCCCTCTCCCATATACACAGGTACGAAACATACCAAATGCGCCGTAACAGTCGCATTCCTCAACGTCCTGGGCCCCAATTCAAACACCACCTCCCCGCCCTCAACCCCCACCTTGCGACTCTGAATCCACCCGCCCACATCCTTGCCCGCCTCGTACAAATGGATCTTGCTCTGCGGAAATTCGCGCGAGACAAAGTACGCGCTCGACAGGCCCGCAACCCCACCGCCCAGAACAGCAATGTTAGCGGGATACGCGGCCGTCGACGAGTACCGGTGTTGCGTGCATAGTGCCGGTCGGATGGCGGAATGCCTCAACGTGGATGAGACATGCCTCGTAAGCCGCATTGCCGGTTGTAGGGAGCGTGGGATGGCGCGGGTTTGGAGAGAGCCATTGCGGGACGGGGGAGTGAAGTCGACGTTGCGGGCGTGGAGAAGTCCGTGCTCGGCCCGTCATTGATTGAGCTTTTTTGGCGGGAGCTCAGCCCTACCGCATGCATGATGGCGTCTTAGCTCGGCGCGTCAGGAACGGGTATCCGTCACGAATTGTTTTGCGTGGTGGGAGAGGTTTTGTACAGAGAGAGGCAGCCACTCAAGGCCACCCAAGAAAGCGAATAGTCCATTTTCCCGGTAACAATGTCACCTGGGTCAACTGCCAGACCCCTTCGTCTGTCAACGCCGCTGCATCTAGCCATGCCGTATCCAACACTATAGTACACATGCTCATCCACCCTATGCAGCCAACCCCGTTCCCACCGCCAATGGTATCATGTCCTTCAGAATTCCACTCAAATGCCCTCGTCAGTCTATGACTGCACATCCACGCTCTCATTCATTGGTGTTTGGCCAGGGATGATGGACTCTTCCGGCATATCTTCATCCACAAACTTCCTCTCACTAACGTGCTCTTTTCCGTCGCCTTCTTTTTGGGCGACCCACTTGTTGGTTGTGTTCTTCTTCTGTCCGGGCTCGTGCTTGAACGTGCAGCGGGGGTTCAAGCAGGGGTTGAACTTGCACTTGGTCGTTGTGTGGTAGTACGGGCAATCTGTGACAGCGCAGTCGCCGCCGTTGCGGCAAGGCCGCTCGGTGGGATGCTTGTACGGGCAGTTCTCAGGGTCGCGGCAGTTGGGCCAGAAGGCGCATTCTTGCTCTGACTGGAACTTCTGGCGCTGTGCTGGTGACGGGTGCTTGCCCACGCACTTCTTGTTTTTGCACGCGGCGCCAAAGTCGCACGTATCGTTCATGTCGACAGGTGTGGCGGGTGGTGCAGCGGGCGATTGGTGGACGAAGTGGCAGTCTGGGTTGGAGCACCTCAGGTTAAACTTGCACATGGTCGAGGAAGGCTCTTGGCGGGCTGTCTCAACCTCCATGCCGTCGCCATTGCCGGCCGCAGCGTCTCCCATGGTCTCGTCCTGGCCCTCCTTCTTTGTGAACTTGGTGGATGCGTGCATACCACCACGGTGCGGTCGGTCCATGCGTGACTGGAGCGACTTCTTGCCACCGCGACCGTTCGTATTGAAGTTGGGATTGACGAATCCACCTGGCGTAGCCCCTGAGAAGATCTGCTGCATCATCTGGGCTTGTTGCTCGTACATTTGCATCAGCGCCATCTGCTGCTGCGGGTTGAGACCGCCGCCGGCCATGCCGCCTTGAGAGGCCATTTGAGGCATCCCTGGCATACCGCCCATAGGCATAGCGTTCATGCCCGCGCCCATGTTCAGGTTGGCGTTGCCCATGCCACGGCCATTCGCCATGGCTTCCATACCGCGTCCGACGTTTTGTCCGCGGGGACCTCTCGGTGGGGCACCGGCATGTGAGTTGATTCTTCCAACGCCACCACCGCCTCGGACACGATGTAAGGCGTCGTCGCTGCGCATGTTTCTGTTTATTTGGTTGAGCATGCGGCCGCCGCGTGCAGGACGCGCTGCTTGTGAGCCGCTGCCGTTGCGCATGGCGCGTGGGCCGGTGGGACTGAGTGCTGTCAGTACACGTCGCGCACGAGTGAAAGGGGGCAGAAAATGTAGCTACTTACACGCTGCCAGATGCCGAGTCTACGCCCTCCATGTCAGTGTCTTGTGTTGGCGCAGAACCGTCATCTAATGCGCTGTTCATCTGCTCGTCGTTGGCTGGCGCGTTCTGTGCATCGCCGCCACCTAATTGTCGCTTCAACACCTCGATCTGTTCGAACAGCCATTGCGCAAATTGCTGTGTCTCTGTGTTTTCCGGGCCCAAGTCAAGAAGATCGCTCGAGAGTTCCTGCGCGACTTGTGTCTCGTTCTTGTCGTTGGCCAGCATCAGGAGAATGTAGTCGAACAGCGTCGTGTCGTCGCCGCCCGTCGTCCACCCGAATTCGGCCAACTTGGGTTGCACGACTTGCTGGAGCTGAGCCGCCAAAGGCGACTCGACTGAGAAATCGGCCATGTCGAGGAAGTGGTGCAATAGGAATGCGTCGAAGGACTTGGAAGAGAGAAAGGTGGTAGAAACAAAGGGAGCACGGAAGGCGCGTCTTCAGATGCGGATTATCGTCGCGCTCTTTTCGTGAAGCGCGTGGAGATGACTTCGTAACTCGTGAAGGGGTTTTGCGCGTGGTGCTGTGGGTATGTTCGGTGGCTGTGTGATGGCGCGCAGTTGTCTAGGAAAACGGGCTCAAGTTCCAAGGTTGATTGCCAAGCAATGCGCACGTGACCCGCGCGACCTCGAAGTCAGAAAATGCAGGTGCTGAATCGTCGCTAGTGACTCGGACTATGAATTGTGTACTGGCAAGCCAGCCCTACTCACGCATCGGCACTTCAAGCCTTGTCATTGCGTCGATGCACGTCTAGCCTCCGCAAGCACGATTGAAGGCCGTCACGAAGGCTGTCATGGATCCAGTCACTGATTCTTGATGCATTCATGGATCGACATCACGCTTCCTGGTTGGCGAAAGAGATAGGGAGTCTGGGAAGGACGCGATATGAGCAGAAGCCATCCTAGGACTGCATGGCGAATCTCAAGTTTCCTTTGCTCGTATTGTCGGGATCTCCGCAACATCGCGCTGCGACCTACAAGCAGGCAGCCACTCGCTTTTACCAGCCGCTCAGGGACAAATTGCGGAGCTTAAGCGATTTCAGGAACTCGCAGCTGCAGGCAAGAAGGCTGACGTGCAGCCAAGTGACTACCAGCAAGCTTGGGGTGGAGCAAGATGCACATATTGTGCGACCCCGGTTCTCATCGTCCGATGCTCGCTCGGGTCTTGGAAGTGTGACCTTCCTTTCTGGCTTTCCTCACGTCGCCATACAACCACTGTCAGCTGTCTCCGGTACAACTTGAACTGAACGACATGATGATAGTCTCGCCCTTCTACGTTGACAGTATTACATGTACAATCAGCAAGCGCACTTACGCGATTCTGATGGCCAATCACAAGCTAACCTATAAGGCGATATTGCGAAGGATTTCGCCCTGCAGTGACACTAAGCTAGATGCACCCATTATCGGTGAGAGTAGTCGCTAATGTAGTAGTGGGCTGCTTACCGGCATGAAACTCCTTGTGAGGGTTCCAGCTCATCAGTGGACCTAGACGCTATTGGCACTGCTCTCTGTGTAAATTGGTACCCTAGAGTAGCCCACACCTCTTCAATAGCCCGCCAGTCTAAGGACCAGGTAGAGTGATTTTCTTGGCCGCCATCGACAATGAAGCTCTCCGGTGGTATCTTGCTAGGCGCATCGATCGCAGTCGCCTCTGCGGATCCTTTTGAGCCACCTGACTTCAATGTGACAGATGCCCTCATTAAGAATGGCATCGATGTATCCTCTGTGCCAGGTCTGGCAGGTCTCGTCGGGCGCTCGTCGAACAACGGCTGCTCAGTAGCTGTATGTTCAATCCTGTTGGCAAACAGCTTCGGTATACGTCAAAGACTAATATCATTCGCAGTGCAACAGCCTCAACTTTCTGTTCGGAAATAGCAGCGTGCTTTTCGAAGGCAGCTCAGCATACGATGCCTTCACTGGCGCATACTGGTCAGGCCAACAGGGCCAAGTCAACCCGTTCTGCATCTTCAAGCCTACAAGTGCACTCCAGGTTTCGACGACTGTTCTCATATCTCGATTGACGCAGTGCCCCTTTGCTGCTAAGAGCGGAGGGCATGCTGCTTTTGCAGGGGCGTCCAGCATTGAAGGTGGGATCACAATCGCTCTTGACAAGATGGACTCAATAGTTTTATCATCGGATAAGAAACTTGCGGCCATTGGACCTGGCAATATTTGGCTGAGAGTGTACGAGACACTCGAAAAGGAAAGCTTGGTGGTTATTGGCGGTCGAGTAAGTGCCCAACTCTATAGACCACGACGAGCCGTATCAGTATTAATCCACTCGTAGGTACAAGACATCGGCGTGTCCGGACTGACTCTCGGTGGAGGCATCTCTCACTTTGCGAATATGCGCGGCTGGGCATGCGACAATGTGGACTCGTACGAAGTCGTGACAGCCTCTGGCCTCATTATAACTGCCAGTGCAACAAGCCATCCGGATCTCTACTGGTCTCTACGAGGCGGTGGGAACAACTTCGGCGTCGTCACGAAATTTAAATATAGGACATTCGCCCAAGGCCCAATGTGGGGAGGCCCGCGCTTGCTTCTCGAGCCAGAGTTTGATGCAGTATACACAGCATTTACCAAAATTGCCCAAAACTCAGCCAAAGACGTCAAAGCAGCCCAGATAGCTTCCTTTGGCGTGCAAGCTGGATTTAAGCTCTGCATCACCGAGATCGAGTATGCGGACCCGACTCCTTGGCCCGCAATCTTCGACGAATACAAAGCCATCCCCGCAGCCCAAGACAACACAACCATCGCCAATCTGTCTACGTTGACGCGCAACTTGGGTGGCGGACAACCAACAGGCGCCCGGCAGACGTACTGGGACTGGACCTCCAAGCTCGACCGCGACTTCATGAAGTTCAGCGTTGACACGCTGTTCGAGCTCGTATCCACCATTGCCGATGCCCCCGGCGTCCTGCCCGCCCTGTCGTTCCAAGCCATCACCGTCCCGGCAATGCAAGGCATGCAACAAAACGGCGGCAACGCCCTCGGACTCGATCCCTCTGGCGGGCCCATCCACATCGCCAACCTAGCCCTGAAGTGGGATGACCCGGCTGACGACGAGCGCATGTACTCGTTCAGCAATACCTTGTGGACGCGGCTGCGGGATGAGGCGGCGAAGAGGGGTTTGCAGAGGGATTTCATTTACATGAATTACGCGTCTCCGGTGGCAGGATCCAATTGGTAGTTACGGGGAGAAGAATAAGAACAGGTTGAAGCAGGTTGCGGGTGTGTATGATCCGACGGGTGTCTTTCAGAGGTTGGCCCCGGGGTACTTTAAGCTGGAAGGGAAGCCCTTTGGTGAGTTTCCAGCCTGAGCTTTGTAACGAAGCAGGTCTCGTGTGAGAGTTTGTGCTTTCCAAGATATGTATAAATCAATTCGGACCGATCACGTGACTGCAGCACGTCTACAACTGTAGACTTCAGACTATGAAGGTAGTATCCATGGGCATATCTCAGCATTCTAGCACCCTTATATACTCTTTACCAACTCTTTCATCTGCTGCTGTATGTTCAACCCTCTTGGATGTCACTGTCAAACGTGGTTGCCGTGTGACGATTGCTCCGTCTCAGTTTCAACCGAGTGCTAGTTTTTGTCACCTCCAATAATAACCGGGAAAATAATACAGCATTATAGACTCAAATTACTTCAGTGCAGTCCGTCATACGTACGCGGATGTCGTGGTCCCAAGTACTGCAGCTCCGGCTGCGATCCGCGAAGGAAGCACATCGAAACCCGGGCGGGCTACGACGACGGCGCGCCAAGCTCGGAAGCTCGGACCTAGAAGCTCGGACCAGCACTACGTCTTTCTCCAGGGCTTGCCTCGTCTACTACTTTCAACATCATCACCAGCTCCACCCACAACCGCGATTTGTCTCACCTTCAAGTCCCGTAGCACAACACCACAAAGGCAGCCTACGATCTTTACAAGATGTCCCGCGGTGGTGGTACCACGCTCTACGTCACGGGCTTCGGCCACGGCACCCGCGCTCGCGACCTCGCCTACGAATTCGAACGGTACGTTTCCTGAACCTCGCCCAACTCGACCGTCGTCCTCCCCTCCCCGTCCATCTCCGTCTCCTACAGTATATCCTTCACCCCCGCGATGCTGTCTCGCCGGCTCGATGTCGCGCGACCCCGTTCCTCCCGTAGCAAACTCATCGCGTGCGCGCCTGCCCGCCTGCGCGCGCTCCTTCCTCGCACCCTCCGCTCCGATTTCACCACTAGGCTATCTCTGACAACCTCCAAGCTACGGTCGTCTTGTTCGCTGCGATATCCCTGCGCCGCGCTCCGCATCGAGCAGGCTGTAAGTGCATTCCTGTCCCCAGCCACAGGCAGCCGCTAACCCGCCAGCTTTGCATTTGTTGAGTACGAGAGCCGTCGCGATGCCGATGACGCGTACCATGAGATGCACAACAAGCGCATTGGCCGCGACGACTTGCTGAAGATTGAGGTGCGTCCCACCTCAGCCGTCTAAGAGCTTGACCTGTTCTAACAGATTAGGTGCAGTGGGCACGCACGCCTCCGTCCGCATCTTGGCGCTTTGACTCTGGCCGCGACCGCCCCCGTGGTGAGCGCTCTGAGCGCGGTGAGCGCAGCGAGCGTGGAGGCCGCGAGCGCTCTCCTCGCCGCCGAAGCACGTCTCCTCGCCGCGACCGTGAGGCCTTCTCTCCTCGCAAGGACGACCGCCGCGAGCGCGACTACGACCGCCGTGACCGTGACCGCTCTAGGAGCCCCAACGGTGACCGCGAGATGAAGGATGTGCGCGATCGCGAGGACGACCGTGGCGACCGCGACCGCGATGAGAGGCGCGAACGTGACCGCGAGGCCGACGCTCCTGCCGCCGAAGTCCGCAAGGGTGAGCATACCAATTCCGACTGCGACGACATGATCTGATCAACGACAGCCGAGTCCCCTCCTCCTCCAGTCGTGCATGAAGACCTCGACGTTGCTGAGTAGAGCTGAGTTCCTGCTCTTCTTGGCGCGCTTGCTCCGGCCATTGTGGTGGTCTGATGGTCTGCGGTCACTATATTCACTTCCCAAATTGGTTTAAGTATCGGTGTTTGAGTAGCTGAAAACGGTGCATGGGCTTTGTTCTTTCTTCGGTTGGCGGCTAGCTATACTGCTCGGCCTTGCCACAGGTTAATCATATCAAGTTCGAATCTCACATTGACGATCGATACCCGGCGATTCCCTCTCGAAGCGATCTGCTTTACTGTTCACGATCATCGTCTCGACTCGGTGACCCATGCTCTTACTGTACTCTACTCGATCGATTCGTAGAACGTCGAACCTTTCCTCCCTCAATCCCTTTCATCGATTCACCCGCGATTCTGACCCACCCGATCCACCCGCCGTACCCTCCCGATGCGAACACACCCACAAAGGTTTGTCCATTCTTTCCTTGTTCTTTCTCAATTATGCCGTGCTTGTGACTCTTTCTGGTGTGGGAGCTTTTGAACATCCCCGTGGTCGCCACTGATGCCATGACAATGTACCAGAATGTGATTAGCAGACCCGACCTTCCATGTAGTAAATGAACTGCCATACTGATCACCGATATGAGAGCGCAAGTTTGCCGCGAAATACTTTCTGAATACTACCTGCCCCGTTCCATTATGATAATGACACGCTCATGCATCTCAATCCTCACCAAGATAATACACCGCCTTACACCCTGGCCCGAAAATCTTCTCTACCCACGGCACTGGGTTGTCGCTTTCAATGTACTTGACCTCAGCCTCTTCCCACGAGAGAGTAGACGGTACGACCAACGAATCCTCCCCAGTCCTCCCATTCGGATGTGTATAACCCTTATCGAAGACTAGTAAATAATAGAAGCCCTTGCTCATGTCACCATTGCTTGGACGCCAGATCGAGCCAGGGATGTCATCTTTGCTGATCGAGTATGTTTTCGTGTAGAGGAGTGTGGGATCTAGTTGCCTGCGGAGATCAGCGGGCGTGCGGTGGTTTGAGAGAGAGAGCGAGTCGCCATCATATGGGGCGAAGTGGATTAGTATGTCTACTTTTGTGTGGGAGGACATTGTTCGTGTTTGCATGGAGGTGTGGACATGGTATAGGGTGGGTTTATATGGTGCTTGGGAGCGGAGGAGTCATCAGGGGAGTGGGGTGCTGGGAATGATACAGTATTACATTCTCGAATGAGTCTCTACATGACTGCATTTCTACATGTTATGCATCTGCTACGCGCATGAGTTGCTTGAGTCGACAGTATCTATGAGCCACACCTCTTGTTGCGTGTCCCGCTTCAGGGACGACATTTCTGTTTCCGGCATTGCTTGCAACATGCTCTTGGGTAGTAATATGTTGTCAGCATATTATAATAATCTAGCGTCAGTTATCGAAACTGAGACTTCTTCTTATGCTGTATGACTGTGCATAGCTATAAATATTGTTTTGGGCCCGTAGAAAAGGTCTGCACCAACAGTTACAGATTACAACAAGCAACCATCACAACGCAGCTACAGAACCCTCACTACTATAGATCTACATAAACACTTCGGCATACAGCATAGTTAAAAAAATGACGTCTACATCGACCCTGAAGATGAAAATCTACTTGGCACCTGTAGCCTACGTAGAAGGAAAAGTATTAGATTTCAAAACACCCATAGCATTCCGCAAACACTACGAGAAGCCAGAGATAAAGGATACACTAGCCGTCATCTTCGTCGATGCTCCCGCGATCGGTCCATCGATAAAGCCAGCGGATGGAAATTTGGAGAAAGGCTTCAACTACGTTGCATTCTACGGCCCAATGAATCAACTTCATGCATCTACGAAATGGTCCCCTTCGGAGTTTGTTCCGCCCGTTCCTGAATGGGATTATATGCATGTTCGTTTCTCCGACAAGAAACGTGAATGGCTTCACGAGGAGGTTGTAGGGGACAATTGTACGGGGGTCTATTATGTTGGGGATGACGCTCCAACCAGAGATCAAGTCATATATGAGGACGAACATTTGCAGAGCGACGGTGAGTAGAAAGTGGTGGAAAGGGGGTTTTTTTTTCCTACGTAGACTCGATAGCTTTGAATTCGGGTATACACTGGCGTGGAAAATACGGCACCTTGTGAACTTCAACAATCGGGCTTGTTTTGTGTTCATTGTTGCCTCTGTACGTTAAGAGCATGAGTTCAGTGTTTTTCTAATGAATGTACACCAGCCTTGTGTCTCAGCAGATCGTGTTTGTTTATGCTTCGCGTTCCTTCAGTGCTATGCTTGGTACTGAATAGTATGCTTTAACCCATGATCCAATGAGCTGTAACACGCTTCTTTCCCTGGCCACTGACAAGACAAGGCAGCTGTACTTGGTGTACATAACATCCGCCGTTGATACAAATGGCTTTACGGTCAAATTGCCCTCCAACTCTACTTCATCACATCAAAACGCCTACTGTATCAGTAGGTATGCTTGTTCCCTCTCGTAAGATACGCGCAAGCGTTTGCTGGTCAAAATATTCGTGTGGCTGGTGCGCAACTCGTTGATGAGTCAGTCAAGATCATTGCCATGCCGACTGACTATACCCGAGGATTCGTCACATCGAAATGGACATGTGTAGTGGTGATTACAGCTATAATGGCCGTGAAGCAATAAAAGGGCAGCAAAAATGATGTGCACCTTTGTATCAAAAATACTCATTGTCAAGACTGTTCTCTGGACTCGCGGTGATGACCAGGGCGAAATCCTGCTCCCAACATAAGAGTCTTGAATCTGCCGGCGCAACATCCAAACGTTGAGCCAGATTTCACACAGCGTCAGAGCCTGACGACCATAACTGCAGAAGCACATGACCAACGCTGAACCATCATCGCGATTGAAGAAGCCAGTGGCCGCTATGACACTTAGTACGGCTCCTAAGGTCACTAGTCACGTTGATCTCACTGCCCAGTTTCCAAGCAGTTGTACTCAAGCTCCTGAAACTTGCATTTAGTCACCCCGATATGCTGCGTTTCTTCATAGGCTCGCAAGGTCATGACCATTTTATGACATGCTGCTGAGCATACGTCGAAGAAACGTGAGCAAAAGAGGCAGGATTGCGCAAAGCTTTCAGTCGCAGCGCAATACTCATCTCCATGACTTAGTGTTCTGATATAAAAGGCTGCTTTAAATTGATTGAACGTTGTTACTGCACACCCTACATCCAGGTATCACCTCGTCCACCGCATATTGATTACCCTCCAACTATTTCGAATGACCAAAATCTCTGAACCCACTTCCAAAGTGGTATCGGAGCATACTGTGGAAATCGCCCCTCCCTGCATGCTTATAGTTAGCCTTGCCCATGATCTCCCCGTCGGCATCCCAAATGCAACATTCACAAACCCAAACGAAGGAATCGCGGCCTACATGAAGAGATCTACCTTAGCTCAGGCTAAAATTATTATAGCTCACACTCTTTTCACTCAACCAGAGATGCGTTGTCCGCAGATAGCCAAGGGTAAGGACTGCACGTCTGGCACGTGCTATCTCATAACGTACAGTGTCGAGAACGATTTATACGACTGTATAACGACGTGGAACCACAAGTTGAACCCGCCCGAGAAATACGCCACGTTGGGGGAGGAGATCGTGCTCCGATCCTAACACTGATGTGTGGAATGCTGTTAAGATGAAAAGGCTCCCAACAATGGACGCATTCAAGGGGATTACTGGCATGTGGTTTGTTGGAGGTCGAGTAGCGCATCAAGAGAGTAATTCTCACAGTGATGAGGACCTTTACATGAGCAATACATGGCGTTCTTCTAAGGGGTAGCTAGAGTAGGCTGAATTCTAACCATTTCATATGTTTATAAGATTCGTTGTTGTTACATACCAATTTCCGCTATATTGGGATTGATCTGCCTACGTAGTAAAGAGTTTACAAAATTATGGCAACCAATCCTTCGCACTGTAGGCTGCAGAGGAGCGCCCTGCACCGCATCCATATTAAAAGATAGCTAGCTATCATCACTCTTTATTGATTGCCGTTGTTTATGCTCTTCATAGTTCTGATTCTAGTTACTTATGTTAGACTCAATTGTTGAAAACAAGAAATGATCTCAAGTTGTGTGATTGTGACGCACAGTTTGCAGTTATTAAGGTATTCTTTTTTTGTGGGGAGTTTTCGCACTACTAGGATCTGGCAGTTTTTAGCTGTGTATGGTTCGTTGAAAGGCATGGCAGCATTCAGAGGCACTGTAGTCTTTGCACGAATCAACAAGCTTCAAGCAGGTAGCTCGCATCTACGAAAGTTGTGGTTAATAAAACCCTGAATTCCCTGTTTAATCAAGTGATGATAGGCGTAATGCGGGGGCTAGAATGTGGGTATTGCTTTGATGATGATTGCACAATTGGAAATGTCACGCATTTCTGGTGCCAGAGATGACGAGAGCCCGAGTGACGACGATTGATCGACATACTTTGACTGTATAGATCTTTATGAGGCCTATCAGGGAGATGCAAAGTCTTTTTTGGATCAAAATTCCAATAAACGAATCTTCACCTCCTATCAGTCCAACACCATGGCCTCAAATACGGAAACTACCAAGTGCAAGCTCGCGCATCACCTGCTTAGCCAAACCATCAACTACACCATACATCTTGCACCTCTAGAAACTGACCAGCTTCGTATCGGCTATTCTACTCTTAAAATTCCCACTGGGAAGTGACACATGGAATGTTGCGATTCAACACCTCTCCGACTCCAGAATTCCTATGCAGCAACGCTTTGGCAAAGGATCTGTAACTTTGAATTACCTTGGTGAGGGCAAACATCCAAGCTTGAGAAAAGGGCAGTGAAATTGCGCCTGTACTGAGCGCAGAGACCTAGTGTGGGGGAGTAGCCAAGCTACAATATTTTGGAGAAGTGGAGGAAAATGCATCGAATTTGGCCTACGGTGTTTCTGCCTCATTTTCATACTGTGCATGAAGTGCTAGTCAGAAGAAGGGCAGTTGCACGTTATATTGAGATAGCAGTAGCTTTCGTTGACAGCCTCTCCCGCTCCAATCTTGTTTGAGAATATGAAGCACGGTTTAACAACAAGCGGTATGATACAGTCTCTTAGTTTACCTGAACACGCTGAGTAGGTATCCTGGGTGATCAAAAACGACAAGTGTCTGTGGCTTTAGAGACATGGGCTGAGAAAGCTTGCGCATAATTGACGGGGATGAACTGAACGACGTTCAGTAACGTCATCTTGCTCTAAAGAGTCGCTGTGGCGCATATGCTAATTGGGTCTCGCAGCAGTAGCTTAGTAAGCAGGAATTGAACGAAGCTAAAAGATGAAGGTGTGGAGACTGCTGTCTTCGCCTTTGCTCACCACAGGGCTCGCAGTGGTAGTTGTTTTTGGGCGCATCAACACATTCTGTATCTCGCTGAACAGACTGCGAATATTCTGGTGAAATGGCAACTGATGGTAATAGGCTTTTCAGTTCGATCATTGCATTTGCTTGTAGACCCTTTGACCTTCGCCGCCGCCAATTTGATGCGGGAATCATTCACCCGGGGCCCTCATCATCGCCCCCACATATATAATGTTTCATTATTCTTGATTTACGAATTCGTATCGCCTACTAGAGATTCGGGAGACCGTGACTACAGCTACGATATGCTCTTCAAAGTAGACCTTGTGGATCTGTCGGGTAGTTGAAGCTACGGAAAAGCGGAAGGCGCGGATCACTTGACTTGGCGCAAGCTGGCCCCGTTTCATAGGTATCTTCCCAGGTCCTAAGGATGGCGAACCGGTAGCTCAAATCGCGTTATCGGTGTCTTAACGCGTCTGGCACCTCTCATTTCCACGTGACCTGGCCAATTTTGTTATAATGTTCTTTACGATGCCAGCACCCCCTGCGATGGACATGTACCAGGTCTGCCTCGACCTGCAGGAATGCGTGCGGCTTCATGGTACCGAGTTCACGCGTTGCTATTGTGACAAGGTAAGCAACAGTTAGCCCTTTCTGTCGGTGAATGCAACTGGAGCGGAAAGTCCCGGGCGGTTGGCCTGGCTCGTGTCGGGAAACACAACGGTTATGAATAACGCAGAATAGGTGTAGCCTATCTGAAGACAGTGCACAGACGCGGTCCAATCTCGGAACTCTAAACGTACTCGGACCGAACCGGAAGTACTGTATTGTTAAAAAAGATTCGGGCCTATGTGAAGAACATGGAGGCATGTCTGAGGGTATTCATCCGAGTTCACTGTATGCAAATGGACCAGGGTTACATCTGATGCGTCAAACACATATAGTTATCTCATTAACGGCTTTGTGTTGAGTGAATACCTTGACGTTTTTCAACACACAATTGTCTGATCGTTGATACAGTAAAACACGCATTGCATATAGCAGATTATCAATTACTTGTACGAAAGAGAACATGTCTGAACGCCCTCAATCCAAAGTGGACACGTCCGATATCCATATTATTTTGGAAAAGAGCCATGAGGTCCTCCCAAATGAGCGCTGCATTCGCCATGACTCGCTTTCCCAATTGCAGGCACTGCCCAATCATTATGGTGACTCTGCCATGCGGGAGAGACAAAACGCCAGGACTGATGAGTACGACAAGCAATTGATGTACTGGGTCGAGCAGTTGCAGACAAGCCGTCCGGCAGAGATGCTCTGCGACAAGCCCCGACCGGCGGCTCTATCTGGACAGGCTGGCACTCGATCGCTTGAGATCGGTGGCCCGCTATATGTCCAACTGCAACGCTTCTGTCAGATGCACGGAGTGTCGCAGTTTGTAGTGCTGTTCGCTGCTTTCAGGGCGATGCACTTCCGCCTCACCGGTCAAGAAGACGCGACAATCGGCACTGTGAACGCAAATCGGGCCGGATGGGAGGTCAAGGACACGATCGGAGTCCTTGCTAATATGAAATGTCTTCGCATCATTGTTGGAGACGAGTCCTTTCAGGAGCTGGTTAAGCAGGTGGACACAGTGGCCGCTGCTTCCCAAGCCAATGCAGATGTCCCTTTTGAGATCATTGTCTCGAAGCTTAAGAATGACCAAGACTTTTCTCGCCATCCTCTAGTTCAGCTTGTATTCGCCGAGCACTCCCAGCGCGATTTAGGACCCCTGAAACTGGGGGGCATAGATTCGGAGTTTCTGGGCGATGGGAAAGCCTTGAAATTTGACCTGGAACTTCACTTCTACCAGCAGATGGACGGCATGTTAGGCACTGCCCTATTCTCGACTGATCTTTTCGCACCCGAGACGATTGAGAACATGCTCTCAGTCTTCTCCCGTATCCTTGAGTCGTGTCTAGCCGACCCGAACGCAGTCATTGCCTCCCTCCCGTTGATGCGTGACACCGACTACTCGAAGCTGGACGAGATGGGGCTTTTACAGGTCGAGAAGACAGCCTACCCGCGCGACTCGAGCGTTGTAGACATCTTCCGCGAGCAGGCCAGGGTTTGTCCATCCAGGGTCGCTGTAAGGGATGCCTCGACTGAGATGACCTATGCACAGCTGGACATGGTATCCGATGTGCTTTCGCGCTGGTTGTATAAGCGTTCACTGGCTCCCGAGACACTGGTAGGCGTGTTCGCTGCTCGAAGCTGTCAGACTATTGTCGCGTTGTTGGGCATACTAAAAGCCAATCTAGCTTATCTGCCTTTTGATGTTAATGCGCCAGCAGCACGAGTGGAAGCCATCCTTTCTTCTATGCGAGGAAAAAGGATTATCTTAGTTGGAGCAGATGAGCAACCTCCCGATGTCAAGGCAAGCGACCTTGAGCTTATTAGCATTGCCGAAGCATTAGATGAGCAGGCTCGCGACGATTCGACTCAGCATACGCTTACCACGCCACGAGGGCCGTCCGCGACGAGCCTGGCCTATGTTATGTTCACATCAGGCTCAACGGGACAGCCTAAGGGAGTTATGGTGGAGCATCGCGGAATAGTGCGCTTGGTACGAGACAACAACCTTGTACAGCATCTGCCATCCTCCCCCGTCATGGCTCATATGGCGATACTTGCGTTTGATGGATCAACGTGGGAGATATATGCGTCTCTTCTTCGCGGCGGGACGCTAGTATGCATCGACAGAATGTCGGTTTTGGATCCTGAGGCTGTGCTACGAACATTTCATCAACACCATGTCAGGACAGCCTTATGACACCGGCTCTGTTTCGATATTACGCTTTGCAATCTTCTGGAATATTCTCGGAGCTTGATATGCTTTGTCTGGGAGGTGAAGCACTGCTCCCAAACGATATGCTTTCTATGAAAGCATTGCAGATTGGCAAGGTCGTTAACGGCTATGGCCCTACCGAAAACACGACTTTCAGCACCTCTTTCCTCATATCGAAAGATGAAGAATACACGAACGGGGTACCCATCGGTCGTGCGCTTAGCAACTCTGGCGCTCATGTCATGGATTCGAAGCTACAACTTGTGCCCCTTGGGGTGATTGGAGAGTTAGTTCTCACGGGCGATGGTCTGGCACGGGGATATACCGACGCTCAGCGCAATATCAACAGGTTTCTCGCAGTCAAGATTGGGGGCGAGACAGTCCGGGCCTACCGGACAGGCGATTACGTCCGTCACCGCCCCATCGATGGCCTGCTAGAGTTCATAGGCCGCATAGATGGCCAGGTCAAGATAAGAGGAAACCGAGTCGAGTTGGGCGAGATAGAGCAGGTCCTCATGAGCCACGCAATGGTGCGAGATGCGGTGATGGTCTTGCAGCGACACAATGGCAACAACACTCGCCTCGCCGGGTTTGTCACCGTGCACGCGAATGATGAAATGGTAGATGAGGAAACCCAAGAACAGCTTCTCGACTTCCTTGAAGCCCGCCTGCCTGTCTACATGGTTCCCAGCACACTTACTATCCTGGATACGATGCCTATCAACCAGAACGGCAAGGTCGACCGCAAAATGCTTGAGCAGCGGATTAACACGTAATCAGTCACCGCCCTGATGATCTAGAATAGCCGGAGACAGTGGAGGAGCGCTTGATGTATGTAAACAGTTTATAGTTTAATTTCAGCAATGATTGAGCATAGTTCGCAACAATCGCTTGACTGAGGCTGAAGAAGCGCTGATTGAGCCGATGAATAGCCGCTTTTGATAGGCAGAGCAGTATCGTGCCGAAGAAGTCTCGAGATGTTTTCGTGTTCGGCGTACACTGGGTGTTCTAACCGATGCTTACCTTTCGCCTGCTGCATCTTGGAAGACTTAACAGTCATTCCCCGTGTCAAACTTCCCAGAAGCTTCTTATAAGATAGGGTACATGTCTGATGCAAGTGTTTTGATGTGCGATATGCTCTCATGAACACCGACAGGAGCATGAAAAAGAGATGAGCCCTCCAATTAGGCTCAGAATTACCCCCATGTGGTCGGCTTCCAAAGATGAATCACCCAGCGAGGGACTGTTTGCGTTGCCATGAAAACTCCGATGAGTGCACTGAAATCTAGTCACTATTTTTCTACCTAGCATCATCGAACAATCCCTCTCGAGTGACCATGATCATAATCATGCGACGATTTCATGATCCTCATGATCCTCCATGGACACCGCCTAGCTCATAGTACCAATTTCCACCAGTGCTTCTTTGAAACATTCCATCAACCTTTCCGTAAACCTATCCTCTAAGACTGTCCTAATCGTGAATACCAGCTCTCCACTGCTATAAATTCCATGGACTTCGAACGCAGATGCAAATCGAACACTTCGGACACTTTCTGGCTCTGAGTCTGGGGGTAAAGGCAGTATCCTCCACACAGAGTTTTCTTGCTTAACCTGCTTGAAATCACCGACAAAATTGAGGAAAAGCTCTTCCAAGGGTTCTGTTGGGAGACTTTTGCCAGCTGGATGTAGGTATCGCGAGGCCATCGATTCCCAAGCGCGATCCGACAGGTTCGTACTGGCATCTTTGACGGCCTTGACCGTTGCCGCGAGTCCGGGAAGGCTCTGTTCGGAGTCGGCTAGTCGCACAGGAAGCAGTGTAGTGAACCAACCCACGACTTGACTCAATTCTACTTCAAGCTCTGCGGGAGCTATACGTCCATGACTTGTGGTGACGCAGGGTGGGAGAGAACGATCTGGAAAGGCTTGGCGGAAGCCGTATAGTAGTGCCGCAATTAAAATCTGGTCTACCTTGGCCCGGAATATGCGATCAGCGGCGCTCAGAATCAGCGAGCTAGTAGTCGCATCAATGGTGAGGGTTCTGATGTTAGGATTTGTCGTGATAGCTTCGTCGGTCAAACCCCAGTATCCCAGTTGCGGACCAGTAACCTTGTGATGGTGGGGAAGAATGGTATCAGGATGAAGGTGCTTTTCTGCGTATTTGCGTTGAGCAGTCAGCCATGACTGGAATTCGGTAGATCTCATGGGTTGTAGCGGCCGGTTTGATAGAAGATCGCCCAGGTCCGATATGATTATCTGCATAGACATGTGATCCGAGACGAAATGATGCGCGCTCAAGAACACAGATTGAGTATGGTCCGTTAGCTCGAACAGCGCGACAACGAGCATGGGCCCTGCCTCCACATTCAGTCGTTCTCGCTGGCGCCGAATGAGGACCCCTACTTGGTCTTGGTGAATGTCTTCGTAGCTGGCAAAGTGATAACACGCGCTTGAGTCGGGCTGAATACATTGTTCGAACACATCTGAAGCCGTTTTTGTGAAGCGGGCCCTCAACATACTGTGCTTCTGTACTATGGCTCGGATAGCGGCTTGAAGTTCTTCAGGTGTTATGACTCGAGTAAAGGCAAGAAGAAAAGGAGCATCGAAACAATACTCTATGCGATGGTGCTCAAGGTACCACTGCTGATTTGGTGCCAAGGCAAACCGAGTGCCCTCAGTAGTCAGCTTTTGACTCGTCTTAGAATGACTCCTGCTCTTGATCGCAGCAGAGATACGTCGGATGGTATGCAGCTTGATGATGTCGGATACTTGGAGATTGATTTCCAGGTCTCGAGCTTTTCCAACAGCTTGCATTGCGGTGATGGAGTCGCCTCCAATTCGAATCCAACGGGAATCAAGTGAGATTTCGCGTACTGGTACAGCAAGAACCTCACTCCATATTTTCCGTAATGCAGACTCGGTATCATCGAATGGCGTCTCCATAGTTTCGACGGGTTGACCAGGCTGTGAATGCAGGTGCGAAGTGGCCAAGGCTGAAAGCTTTCGGTGGTCCACTCTACCAGTGGATGCTAATGGTGTGCTAGCCAACGGAAGGTAAACGATCCTGATATTCGATCGAGGTAGGAGGTCCTCCAGATGCCCGTCCAGTCCAGCTGTCATCTCTATGACTGAGTGCTGTAATTCGCTTTCTGACATAGTGTTTGCGCCTTCCAGCACAACGAAGAACACGATTGCATAACTCTGTCCGTTTGACGGAAACTCTGCAATCACCCTGAGAACTCTGCGTTGACCTGTCTCATTCAGATGCCGGACTATGCGCGAGCACAATTTATCTGTCTCGATCATGAGCCCACCAAGGGTAGCTTGATTGTCTTTGCGTCCAACGAATGTCAAGGAACCGTCTTCTTCGTATTTGACCAAATCCCCAGTGCGATATATACTTCCCTCTCGGCCACTCTGTTGATCGCCCGGTACGCCTTGCAGGAGCCAAGGTGGATTCTTGACGAAGGCTGCTTTTGTCTTCTGCTCGTTGTCTAGATAACCACGCGCAATCAGTGGACCTTCAAGACAAAGCTCTCCTATGCATCCAATGGGTGTCAACCGATTCGTGGAAGGGTTGACGACCCATGAAACAGATCCGACTGCGGTGCCGATATGTGTAGGGTTATCGAAGTCCTTCATGAAACACGCAAAAGTAGTGCTCTCAGACGAACCGTACATATTGCTCACCCGAGCCACTGTACTCCTCAATTTTGATACCAGTGCATCCGCACCTGTTTCGCCGGTGAGATTGACGTTTTCGAGGTCGCCAAGCACTTGGCTGTTTACGTGTTCCATAATCGTTGGAGTTGAATGGATGTAGTTTGGTTTGAAACGACTGATTGCTTCAGACGCATTACTCTGTAGGTCTTGTTCTGTGGGAAGTAGGATGCAGCCGCCATTGTGAAGTGTGTGGAGGAGATTGAACCAGAATGCATCGGATGAACAAGACGAGAAATCCAAGACTCTGCTATCGGGCTTCATGTTGAGGTCTCTGGAGTGGTGCACAAAAGCACTGCTGAGATTACCGTGTGTTGCGACGACGCCTTTCGGTGTCCCCGGGGTACTGTATGTGAAAGTTACATAGAGTGCGTTGTCAGAAGATGTTATTGAGCGCTTGGTTGTTACTGTCGCAGTAAGGAAGCGTTCAACTTGTTCTCGACTGACCATGACGACAGGAACGTTACTAAGTTGGCAAACGCTTTTGTACTGCGCCTCCGAGGCCATCATGACCACAGGACGAACTGTACTCAAAACCGCCTGTATTTCCTCTCTTGACTGCGAGACATTCAAAATACACGCAGCCCCACCCGCTTTGATAACAGCCATAGCTGCAACAGGTGTAAGACAAGATCTCTCCAGAAATAGAGGTACGATTATTTCCTGCGTAACGCCCAGATTGATCAAATGAGACGACAGACCCGTGGATAAGTCATCAAAATCTCCATAAGTCAATTTACCGTCCCAAGCGTCGACAGCGGGTGCCTGGCGCTGATTCTGGGCTTTCGTCGAAAGAATGTTGTGGACGCATTCGAGCGCTGGTTTAGGGACCGAGTAATTCCAGTCCCAAATCGATCTAAGATCGGCATCACCAGCTTCCTGAACTTCTGAAACCGTGGTAGACTCTTGCAGACTCGGTGAGCATACCCGCTGCAAGATATCCTGGAAATGTATGGCCAATCTTGATATCGCCCGACTATCAATGACGTTTGAGTCGAAAACGAATTGAGCTTCAATATTGTGTTTGCCCTCCGTAACCACAAGCAGTATTCCGTACGCACTCATCGGATGCTGCCTATCCTGGTGAACGAACCGACTCGATTTGAACAGTTGGCTTTCCTCTTTTGCTTCCGGCAAGCTATCTTGGAAAACGAGCTGGGTCTGATATCGGCAAGCTGCATCTGCTTCGGGGCTGACTTTGGCAATCGTTTGCAGACCGGTTTGCTCCCACTGCATTATCTGTAGTCCTTGGTTTTGGACCTTTAGAAGAAATTGACGGACCGTATTTTCGGGCTCCACCTTGATGCGTATAGGGAAAGAGGCAAGTGTAGGCCCAGCGATACGCTCGATGCCTGGTATGTTCGCTTGCCTGCCGTTCGAAACACAGCCGAAGACTGTATCAGCTCGACCGGTATACAACGAAAGAATGGCCGCCCAACTTGCCCGTACTGCTGTGGCTAGAGTGAACCCCATAGGAGGCCCTGGAAGATCGATGATATGCCGATGCTCAGCGTCCGGCTCCGGTCTGTAAGACGCCGCCGGTAGGCTGGGAAAATGCTTCACGTTCAAGTCGGAAAATTGATTCCTCCAGAATGTCAACCCGGCTTCTGAACGGGCCTGAGGTAGTTCCTTCACAAATCCATCAAATGACAGCAAACTTGGGCTAGGAAGTCCAAAGTATATTGACTTCAGCGCATCAATAATGAGGCTCAAGCTCCAGCCGTCGTAGATAGCGTGGTGTAATACCACCTCCCAGTACCACGTACCGTTCGATTTCTGCCGGACCCCAACAAGTTGAAGTGGTGCTCCTAGTGGCATACTACCCTCCAAAGGGTCCTGATAATGTTCATCCTGGTCATAGGCTATCCACTCAACTGGCTGGTTGACTACGACTTGAACAAGTCCCCGATTTGGTATATCGACAATGCGGGTCCGTAAGATTGGAGTATTCGCGACCAACTCCTCCCACGCTCGCTTGAAAAGTTTAATGTCGACTGTAGAATGCAGTTCCAGTTCTGTCTTTCCAATGAAGGCATTGGACCTTCTTGAAGTAACAGCGATCATGCCCTCTTGCAGTGGCGTACATGGAAGAATGTCCTCAATCTGGGCCATAGGTATACCAATAGCCCTACATGCGTGATCGCGAGCAGCGTCGACATAGTCGCGAACCAAGGCGAAGGCAGGTAGCTTTGAGGGTTCTTTCTGTCCAACTTCACCCTTGACGACCATGTTGGCTAGCTGACCTAGGATAGGGTTCCGGAAAACGTCAGCTACTGTGATCGCAAAACCTTCATGACGTGCAGATGCGACAAGCTGAATGGCTCTCAAGCTATTGCCCCCGACCAAGTGCCAATCGCTTGTGGGTGAGAGTGAGCTTTCGGGAACTTTTAGCACATGCGACCACAGTCGCTGCATTGCTTGTTCTCTCGGATTCGGTGGTAGTATCCTTCTCTCTGTCAAGACAGAATACGGTGAATTAGGTGACTCGTGACGCCAATGGTAGTTCTGCAGCACTTCAATGCTCAACCTTTCACCAAGATTGGCCAATCGCTTTCGGTCCAGTTTCCCAGAGACGTTCAGGGTTAACGATTTTGTTGGAACATAATAGTCGGGAACCATATACGCCGGGAGTGAGTCTGCGATGCTGTCTCGCACAGTTGTAACCCAATTGCGTGGTCGTGGAGGGAGCAAATCATCTACGCTGCTTGTCCCCATCGAATGCGAAACTTTGGTGTTGGAAGCAGCTTCGGACATGAATGCAATCAGCACAGGATCCAATGAGCCATTTGGCTTGCTAAGAACAACAGCTAGTAGCCACTGTGCATCTAAATGACGGCGGATGTGGTACTCAATCTCCTCCAATTCGATCCGGTTTCCATGTAGCTTCACTTGAGAATCCTTTCGGCGCCGGTAAGATACTGTTCCATCCGCTTCCTGAACAACAATATCGCCAGTCTTGTAGAATCTGTGAGTGGAGGATAGTCCAAGGTCTCTTACCCACGTAGGCGGAGACTCAGCAGAGATGAATGTAGCCTCAGTTTGTGTAGGGTTGTTGAGATAGCCTTTGGTCACGACTGGGCCTTCAATCAATAGTTCTCCTGTGCCGCCGATTGGCTGGAGGACATTGTGGTCTTCCTGATCTACGACCCAGTACCGCGCACAATGCGGGCGACCAATATTCAAGATATTTTCGGGCATCACGACAGGACATGATGACAAGCAAGCAGTCTCTGCAGGACCATAAGCACTCAATAGTCTTACGTGGCCTCTCCAGAGACTGAAGCATTCCTGTGTGATAGCCTCGCCCCCCAGTGCGAGTGTTTGCAGTGAGGGAACGCGGGCTGGTATGAGCATCTGCGCTAGCGAAGGCGTCATGAATGAATAGGTCGCCTGGAATTTGTCGATTGCGCCCTCTCGATCGTTTGTGCGCTCCTCTTCTGATGGAACACAAAGTGTTCCCCCATATAGTAACGGCAAAAAGATTTCTCCGATGCACTGGTCAAAAGCAAAGCTGGAAAACTGCATCATCCTTGTACTCTCATTGATACAAAGCGGATCACCTAGATCCAGAAAGTTTCCGAGGATGTTTTCGTGGTTGACCATGATGCCCTTGGGCTGACCAGTGCTTCCGGACGTGTAAATCACGTAAGCTCCATCTGAGGGTTGGACAGCTACACTTCGAAAACATGTCGAGGTGGGAAGATTTTCGATGTGAGTCGCGTCAAGTCGAATGACTCTGTATCCCAGTCCAGCAATCTCTTCACCTTTTGAGGAATTGCTCAATAGCAGTGGTGGATTGACATCGTGCAATATTGCAGATAAGCGGTCGAGGGGATGATTGACATCCAGACCAAGCATAGCCGAGCCCGCCTTCATGATGCCCAGCCTTGATTGGGATTAGATCAGCATTCCTTCCGAGTTTCCAGTCTATGACAAACTTACATAATTACTATGGTGGCAGTGGACTTCTCACATAACAATGGCACGACACTGCCCGGCTTGACCCCGTAGTGTTCAAGTTGGGTTGCGAGCTTATCTGACAGACTGTCGAGCTGTTCATAGTTCAGGTTTCGGTCCCAAGATCGAATCGCCATCGCGGCTGGCTGACGGGCTGCCACTTCACTGATACACCCATGGAGAGTTGAGTTGATTCCAACTGGGGCTCGAGAGTTCCAGCTTTTAAGCAAGTGAACATCATAGTCGCTGAGCTTTTTCAATTGCGACAATGTGACCCCTTGCTCTACGGAAGAGCTCGACGCTAACTGTATTATCGCATGTTCGTACTGGCGTAGAGTAGCATCTACCTGATCATTCGACACGATGCGAGGATCGAAGCTCATGACAATTGCTGTGCTTTCCTTTTCCAAATTACAAGTAACGGTAAGCTCAGCTCTAGCCTTGGGCAGAGTGACTTCCACAACCGGTATCTTGAGAGGGTCAAGCACCGTCCGTGATAGAGAGCCAGTCTCTCCTTTATTGAAGTTCACATCCAGGAGGCTATGAAACGCCAATGCCGTGTTTGCATTCTCGCTGACAGCAAAGTTCGTGCCCATGTGAGAGTAGCGGCAAATCTCAGCCCAATGGCTTCGCATAGTTCCTAGAATCTCCGAAATCTGAGCATGGGGAGGTAGTTCCATCAAGCACGGCATTGCCATGTCTAATGGACCGGTCATTCGAGAGACACCAGGTACCGATGCCTCGCGTCCTCTTACAAATGTGCCAAACAATACCGTCTGTGACCCAGTCAGTCTGGATACGACAAGTGACCAAGCGGCTTGAACAAGAGCCAAAGGATCACTTTGGTCAAGGATTGATTTCATCTGTAATCGCTTAACTGCGATTGTTGTGCCTTTGGTATGATCTGCGCGCGCTGGTGGCCATGTCGAAGCTTCGTCAGCTGATCTTCCGAGCCATTTCCACCAAGCGCGACAGTGATTAGATTCGGCGTGATGAACAGACATGTAATGCGCAAAGCCATTCAGAGACAGCAGTCTGTCAAAGGTCCCCCCCTGGTAAGCCGATTCTACGCAGGAGAAAAACATTCTCAGGGTCGAGTCATCGTGTATGGCGTGGTGAATGGAAACCACAATGTGTTGGTTATTGTCTCCCTCAATCCGGTCAAAATGACACAACGGCCCACCAAATCGAACGCCACGTCTTCCGTCTAATTCCAGACACTCTTCAAGGTCGTCGTGGTCCATCCAGCGTGGGCCTGACTTCAGAACTACCTGGAACAGGCGTCCATCATTGGAAACAATTCTGGTACGGACCGCGGGGACAGCAAGCGCTGCGATGTCAAACACAGCGCAAAGCCTTTCTAGATCGGCTTCTGTTGTGAGCCGAAAGATATGTCGTGTGAAGTTGCGCTCTTTGTCTTGCTCCTGCCCCGAACGTTGGAAACGCTCAGCCTGAATGGGAAGACAAGGAAATATGTCCTCAATCCGGCTTTTTGTTGTCTCGCACTGAGAAGCTGCTGCCCGTCGAATATCATCTGCTGCAGCTTTGTCAAGGAGTGATAGTGGCGCTGGTATAATTGGTTCGGGCTCTGCTGATCGAGCGACTGCGACGGCTGATTTGGAAACGTCCTCAAGGATAAGCTTCAAAGCAAGGTGGAAGGTTTGTGAGACTTCCGTAGCTACCTCGTCGGATATCTGAGAAATTCGATAACGGAGTCTATAGCTAATGCTGTCTTTCAAATTCAGGACGTTGACCACAATCGCAAACTAGATCGCCGTTAGCAAATATGGCATAGAGTTTGTGTCAGTGCATTAGTCATATCTCCGTAGGATCATTCACATTGGCCAATTTGATCTTGATAGGGCCATCGGCCAATGCAACGTTATCAGTCCAGCCGCGCTGGACTGACAAGGTGGTATTAAACAGTGAAGCGGAGCCTAAGCCAAGGGAATCTTGGAGCGCGCCTAGTGGACATATTGGATAATCCTTAAACTTGGCCGTATCCCGTATAGACGCCACGCAGAGATCTTTGACTGTCGTGTTGGGTAAAATATCAAACCTGCATACGAGCATGTTTATGAGAGGTGCGACGATCTCTTTTGCTCCCTCAACAGTGTCGCGTCCGGAGTAGAGAGTACCGAAGCACACAGTCGCAGCGCGAGTGATTCGTTTCAGTGTTAAGCCCCAAGCTACTTGCATGAGGTTGGCTACAGTGATTCCCTGGGTCTGACAGAACGTGTGAATCCTGCTTGCATCTTCCAAGGTGGTGTCGATGTATCTGCTGGCTTCAAGACCCGACTCAGCACCAGGATCGGAATCAGATGTTAGCACTAGGCAAGGTCGAATTCCTCTGAGGTATTTCTGCCAATATGACCGTGATGGCTCTTGTTGACCTTCAATCCAAGAAAGATACTCAGAGAACTTGCGTCCCTCCTGGAGATGTCCATGCTGTGAGTAGGCAAGGCCCCACTGTTGTATCAATAGAGCAACAGCAGTAGCATCGCAAAGTGTATGATCCATCATTAGCGTTGCACTAACAACCGATTCATTACCCCTTTTCAGTATTAGACGATGATGTGGTTGGGCTGCCGTAAAGTTGGGTCTTCGTAAACTTTTTGACACCTCTGATGCGTCGTGAATAATCGATATGTCGAGCGTGGGGTCTGAAAGAACAACTTGTTGGAAGGGCCCAGTTAAAGCAGGACAGCTGATGAATACCGTCCGGAAAATGGAGTGAGCCCAACACACAGCTCGCCAAGAGTCGCTAATCTTTTGAATATCAAGTGACTCGTGTGGATCAGACGTTGAGAATATCAATTCTGTCTCCATCCAGTAGGGGCTGTCCTCAAAGCGGGCCTCCGCTAATAGCATACCCTCCTGCGAAGGAGAACATGGAAGAATTTCCTGCACAGCAGAAGGCTCGATCCCGATAGAAGATAAATGCTGATTGACACTACTCAAGCTTGGATAGTCTGTCTTGAGAAGACGCATATCGTCCAGCGTGAGTTGAGGGTTTTTATCCGCGAAGTGCCTTGCCATCGTGTTAAGAGATCTCTCCATCTCTACTATCCAGCGCTGAAGGCGATCCTGGTGAGAAGCTCGACCATTGTATTCGATATGAAACTGGAGACGCTGTTCGAGGACGATTGCGTTTACGCTAATCAAACTTGTGGAGATGGAATCTCTGACAGGCTCTCTACTGTTGGCAGGAGTCATGGCAGGTACAGATCTAAAGAGGCCATCAGGTTGTTCGAGTTGCTGCAACCGTCCTAAGAAGTTGAAACAAATCTCGAGATCACTTCTTCGCAGTGGATCTGGCCCTGACATGCGCGATGCGAACGCGGCTTGATTGTTCTCAGAACTTCGTCGATATTGATCTTTGATTGCTGCAACGACGTGCTCAATTGAAGACTCCGCGTTTAGTGTGGCCAGTACGGGGAATATTGACGTAAACCAACCAACCGTCCTTGAAGCGTCCAGGCCAGTATTGTCAGATTGTCGACCATGTGTCTCGACGAACAATGCAGGAAAACCACGATCAGGGAACACATCCAAGAATGACTTGACCACAGCCGCGAGAAGAAATTCTGTGGCTGTTGTATTGAAAGCCGTGTTGCATGGCCCGAGTAGCATTTGAGACACGGCTGGATCTAGGCAGAAGTCCTTTCGAACGGGACTGCCTTGAGTAAACTTCTCGATATCCAAGTCCCAGAATTGCAAGTCCGCACGAGGCCATTGGTCCAGGCTTCCTGACATTGAACTTGATTGATGTTGGATCCAGGCAGGAAATGAAATACCGTTGCCTAGCGCTGTCGTTGACTGGCGTATGATGTTTTCGAAGTCTTGTAAGATGATACGCCATGATACCATATCAACAACAAGGTGGTGCGCAGCTAGAAACAATAGTCGTTTTCCGCTGGAAACTTCAATCAAATCTACCGAGAATACAGGGCCAGTATGTATGTTCAAGGCAGCCTCACTTTTTTTTATAATGTCAGAGGCTTTGCAGACATCTTCAATGGTGTGAGAGCGAAAGACCAGAGCGGAGTCAGAAGCTGAGGCGATTCTCATCATCCAATCTTCATGCTCCGTTTTGGCGAATCAGGCGCGCAACATCGAATGTTGTGTTGCGATCATTTGGAATGCATCTCTTACGGTCGTTGTGCTAGTCTCCGATCGGAACTCCAGTGTGAGGCATTGATTGAAATAGGGACTACAAGCAGGTCCTGAGTTATGAAGAAAGAGATGTTGTATGGGGCTGACAGAGCTTTCAGCGGTCTCTTGTGGAATTTCAGCGATCTTTGTTGCTGTGATCTGATCTTCTCTCAATGCGGTGCTCGCTACTGTCGCTAGGTTACGACTCTTCAAAAGGTTTGCGGCGTCGATGAAGTACCCGAAGGCCTGGAGCTTGGCGGTCACTTGCATAGCCTGGATGATGAAAATGTTAGCACTCTTCCAGCAAGGTCAATCCCTGCAAAGCATACCGTAACAGAGTCTCCGCCAAGACTCAGGAAACCAGTTTCACGGCCGATTTCAGAGATCGGCAGCGCTAGCACATCGCACAAAACAGATTGAAGAGCCTTCTCTGCTTCAGACTCGGGTGCTGTCAGTGGCTTCCCAGAGTCTGCGTGAATGTCAATCACCGAAGCGGACCCATCTCTTTGAGAAAGCCACTCCTTGATAGCAGTGCGGTCAATTTTTGTAGACATAGATCGTGGAAGTGTCTCTACGACCGTCCAGTATCGTGGACACATATACACAGGCAGTCTAGCCATGATAAAGTCCTGAATGTCCTTTAGATCGTTATCGGCAACGCGCAATACCCCTAGCTCTCGGGCTTGGGGAAGTGTTGGGTCCCGAAGTGATAGAACCGCATGAAGAACAGTGGACCCTCCTGTTACAGCCTTCTGTGCTACCACCACAGCACTCCGAACGTTTTCATGTGCCAAGATTGTCTTCTCGATTTCACCCAACTCTGTTCTCTGCCCATTAATCTTGACCTGGTCGTCCTGTCGCCCAATCAAACAAATACTGCCGTCAGGGTTGTACTTTGCCAAGTCTCCAGACCGGTAGAAACGTCGGGTCCATGGTGGTTGACCGGACCGCTCCGGTGCCCATATAGGCGTTTTCGGGAAAGAAGCAGCAGTTTTTGCATCTTCATTCAGGTAGCCTTGTGCCACGCCTGGGCCCTCAATGACAAGCTCGCCAACTGCTCCGATCGGGACAAGCTCTAACTCTTCCTTTGCAGCATTCACAATCCAGACTGAGCAGCAGATTGGGAAGCCAATGGAGTCAGGGTACATAGAATCTGGTGTCAATTGCACACCTGTACTGATCATCGATGCCTCGCTGACACCCCAAACATTAAAGAATCTTACTTTGGTTCCCCAGGTATCAACGCCTGATGCATCGACAGCCTCGCCTGCAGAACCAACGACTTCTAGGGTAAGAATATCAGCGGGATCAAGTGTGCGCAGCACCGTCGGCGTCAGAGTGGTCCAGTTGACTTTGGAGGAATTGATGTATGCGGAAAGGTTGCCTAGGCGATCACGTTCAGATGGGACACAAATGGTACCACCCGAAAGCAACGTGCCGAAGATCTCGCCTAGGGAAGCGTCCCACACATGCGATGCAAATTGCAGGGTACGTGTTCTTTGCTGAAAGCCATAGTACTTTGCAAAGGCCATCATGACGGTCGAGAGACTTCGATGCTCTAGTACCACTCCCTTTGGCGTGCCTGAACTTCCACTTGTGTGCAATATGTAGGCCACGGATTCGGATGAGCTGTGCGGGAGGATGAGCGGGCCTGTCTTTTTCAACGCTGCTATCGAGGCCTCGTTGACTGTGATGACATTAGGAGCAAGGTCAACAGATTGGGAGCGTTCTATGTCCGATGTCAGAACGAACTTGGCTCCGGTGCCCTTGATAAGATTTTCTGTCCGGATACGAGAATGTTTAACGTTGACTGGTACACACACTCCGCCAGCTTTGAGTGTGGCAATACTGGCCACGATCGCGAACAACGAACGATCAAGATAGAGAATGGCAGTATCGCCAGTGGTAAATCCCCTTTGCACTAGGTCGTATGCGAGCTTACTTGACATGGCATCTAGCTCAGCATAAGTCGCGTGCCCATCCCAGGCTTCAATGGCAGGGCGGCACTCCTGTACCAGGGCCTGCTTGCTAAAAAGCTCGTGCAAACAATTGTCATAGATAGGAGCATATACTGAGTTCCACTTTGATACAGTCTCTAGGTGGTAATCACCGATCGGTCGAATTTCGTCGAGTGTGCGATATTGTGGATGACTGGTAAGATCCTGAAGGAAATATTCGAGTTGCTCGAGAAGCCTTTGCACAAGATCTTTATCCAATATTCCGGAATCGAAGTCTGCATCAACTTGAATGTGATCGTCTGTAAAAGCAAGGAAAAGTGCCAAGCTGTAGTATGATGGATCTTTAGCGACATCCAAAACGAAGTCCGTTGTCCCACTAGCTTGTGTCAACGAGCCAGCAGAAAGGATGTTCAGCACAGTCTGGAATCCAGTCGCAATTCTAGCGTTCTCGCTTACACGTGCAATATTGGATAACCCATACTGCAAAGCGTTGCTTTGAGCAAGTTTTCGACGCTCGCGGAGTCTGTGCGTGAGGTGTGATTGAATCGTCACACTTCGGTCCAGGTTCATCTGTATAGGAACGAGAGTTGCTGTAGGTCCTAGTGTAGAGTTGACCTTTCCAATACCAGTCGTCCGGCCGGACATGACGAATCCGAAAGCCACGATATCACTTCCAGCATAGCTTGATAACACGAGAGCCCATGCCAACTCAATGAACGAGGGAATCTGGATGTGTGGAACGTTCTCAAGCGATGGCAAGTGGATGGTAAAACTGGTTCGATCTGATGCTTTTGGACTCTGTCCAGGTTTGATTGAAGGATAAATGGTGGCGGGTCCGTCAAACCGAGAGGCCCAGAACGTGTCCGCATTTTGCTTATCGATCGCTCGGCAGTATTGAACGAATTCCTTGAACTGAGCACGTTCAGTCACTTGTTCGCCTTTGGAGAGCCTCATGACATCCCCAAATAAGCTTTGTGTGCTTAGGTAGTCCATGATAGCATGGTGCATGAAGAAGTGTAGGGTACGATCCACAAGCGCGACCCTGAAGAGCGGGCCAACAAATGACGTTCGCTGGGCCCTTTCCTGCTCTTGGTAGTCCTCCAGGGTGTCGTACCTTCGCTCAACATCTCCTCCATTGCGGCAGACTACTTGTACCACCCCGAGGCTGCAAGGAACGATACGTGTGCGTAAAATTGTGTTGCGTGCCACAACGCTAGCGACAGCCTCACAAAGTCGGTCGGTATCAGTTGATGAGGAAAGAAGCAAAGCCCGATGATAAGTGTAGTCGTGGCTGGTATGGCCTCCGGTATCTACGACAGTGGAAAGCTGGAACGCGGTACATTCATAGATGTCCTCGATGTCGTTTACAGATATTCCACAACTCTCCGCGATAGTGGCCAATTCCTTCGCGCTCAGTGCCTCAGGGGAAATAGGTAGACTTGTTGACATGTTTTGAATTTGAAAAAATATAGACGTTGCACATTCGAAAGCGAGTTTTGTTGAGGATATGAAAGTAAAAAATTGCTTGTAACGGCAACGATGGAGCCTCTTTACGAAAGTTGTGTTATATGTTGTTCACCCCGTCCGTGAACTTACTGCCTCTGCATACGGTGTGGTTCGTGCATGAACTCCTGTCGTATCTCGGCGCTTGGAATCTTTCATGGGTCATTCCTTGTCGAACTAATCGCTGAAAACCTGTGAGGGATGATAGTATCACCAGGGAGCCATGAGGCAAAACATGTCCACCTGATTCGGTCCTACAGTGAAGTGATTGGATTCGGTCCTTCAATGCGGTCTTTTCATTCGGTCCTTCCGAGCGTCTTTCGAATCGGTCAGTGTTTCTTCGGTTTCGATCTTCACAGTAGTTCTCAAGTTCGGCTCTCAGGAATCGTCGTGTAAAGACACAACTTTGCATGTTATGAATAGTATACCTGATTAGTCCTGTTGCAAATGCCGTATCACCTCGATGTGAAAGACTGGGTTTGTAGAGATGCAGAAGAAGCTACATGTTATGATTGAGAGCTAGGCTCAAACGTTCTTACTGATACTAAGCAAATCCCTAGGAGCTGGCATGCCGTGTTTCTCTGCCTACATTGCCATCCGCTAGCAGGGAACTGCGTTCCATGTTAGTTTGATCACGAATCCTTTCCCCTTATTAGTTAAGACATCTCACGCACATATAGCGCTAATCTTGATAGATTTGGGATATATTGCAATATGCGGGAGAGACATTGGTTTCCTTGTTCCATGCGGCAATATGCCACCGAGCTCCTCATGTGTCCTTTATCGCGGTTTCCTACTACAGGTACGAATCCCGACCCGTGTCTCTGCATACATATCGTCATTCATGTCAAAGATCAGTACGCGGGGTCAAGATAGCCCCACGGTTCGTGACACTACGGTAACATACAATGTCGTAAATCGTACGATGTCAGGTATTAAGGCTATGCAAGTGAGTCTTAAATCTTACAAATCAGGGCAATAACCTTTCGTGAACTCTCGCGATGATCATGAGGACTTACAAGCAGTCAGTAAAAGTAGGCCACTTGACGCAAGCTTAAGAAAGCTTATCCACGTCCTTGGCTCTAGATATCTTTTGTTTGTTATCGGATTCCAAAATCATTTAGAAATATCTATGTTGACATATTTACACTGATCCTGGATGTAAAAAGCAATTTGTTACGCAAGTGAGTACTTCACCTCGGTTTGTGTAACTTTTGCCGCAATTACGTATCTAGCTAAGCTTACTGAGAATTACAACCCAGTGTACCCGATCTCGCGTTTTTGTAGACGTCTCTAGTGCTGACGAAACTATTACCCGAAGATATTGTCGGGCCTTCAAGTTTCGCATTCCACTGGAGCATCGCGATTGAGCGGGCTAGCCGGCGCGACCCGAACTTCCAACGGGTTCGACTGTAAGTTCCCGCGATGTTCAAGGTTCTGAATTGTATCGGTACGACTAAGTTCGGTCAGTTAGATGCTAGCTCAGGCCTCTTTTAAGATCGTCAGACTAATTTAACAGTGCAGTTCGCGCACAAAAGAGTGTTTGAGGTATTATTGTAAATACAGAGTTTTAGTAGCACCTTGGTATTCGGGCGTATTCTTTTTCTCCCCGAACTTCGAAGCCAATTAGTGAGCTGAGCACACTACAGGGTATCTAAACGCCATGAGGGACGTGAGCCGTTGCTAACACTAGTGTATCACGTCAGAGCAATTATTGTGTCCGCAGCTTTAGTCCTTGACGACGCTTATCGTATCGAATGTTCATTGGTATCGCGATGATTTGTTTGTAGACCTTGAAGTGATCTGTTCGAAGAGGTGTAGATGCACCGTTATTCAAATCCTTTGATGTGGAGTTTGCCTGCGAATCTGGCAATTCGGTTTCTTCTTCGGACTTCATTAATGACACCTTGTTGAAGATCTGGTCCGCAGCAAACCTGCAGCGAGCTCCTTTCTCGGTAGTTAACTTAGTGCATACTGACTGGACTGAGCATATGAGATCGGATTGTGACACTGGTCCGCAGCATCCGCAGTTATGACCAGGGTATATGCCATCGTTTGGACACCATGTATAACCCCGCGAATTAAGCTAGACTTGGCTCAGGCCTCAACTCTCGGACAGATCAGCGATGTTATGTCGGTGAAACACATGGCAAAGGAACCGCAGTAGAGTTTGCGCTACGGCGGGGGTGGACCAAACGTTGGCAGCGCATATTGGATACAAATACAACTCTGTCTGTCAAAACATCACGTATTCACAAAAGTGGACATTGTTCTTCGTGGCTCATTAACAGATCAGCTCACTAAATTTGCTAAACCGTGTTATTTTCTCATCTTTGACTTCGGGCAGTTGACGGGTACGCTGCAATTTTCACTCTATCATTTATCAGCTACATCTTTTGACCAGACATGTCGCCCGGAATCCTTCTAAACGACTGGGAAGGTAGCACTCCCTCACCCAGCGGTTCCAACTACCAGTTTGACGATGCTCCCACTCTAAATACTGATGGGGCTGAGCCGATCGCCATTATTGGGATGGGTACGTTCACTTTCTCTCCTTCGCCTGCTAAGCAATTTGGAAAAATACATGTATCGAAGAAAATCGTCGTTGTTTTGTTCTTCTAATGTTTCTCGTTCATGCTGACCACTTTTGTACGGCAGGTTGCCGATTTCCTGGGGACTCTGAGACCCCGGAACAGTTCTGGGAGATGCTTTTGGAGAACAGGAAATGCTATTCGGAGCCTCCCATCTCCCGTTACAATATCAATGGCCATTACGCAAACTCCAGTCGTCCAGGGTCCCTTAAGTCTAGAGGGGCCTATTTCCTCTCGGACACCATATACAACTTTGATCCTTTGTTCTTTGCTGTCACTCCCGCGGAAGCAGCTGCCATGGATCCGCAGCAGCGAAAACTAATGGAGTGCATCTTTGAGGCCTTCGAGAACGGTGGAATACCGCTTGAGAAAATCTCTGGCACAAACACTGGTGTAAGTCGTTCTTTTATCAGACGTGAAAGGAACAAGCCAGCTCACCATTAATTCTTTCCTCAGGTGTATGTTGGGAACTTCAACAATGACTACAACATCATGGGTCTGAAGGACGGTGATCACCCTCGCCCGTATGGCATGATGGGCGCTGGTGTTACGCTCCTGTCAAACCGTGTGAACTACTTCTATAACTTGCTCGGGCCAAGGTGAATTGAACGAGTCCTCGCGACTGCGAAAACCGGCTGATCATGACTCAGCGTTACTATTGATACAGCTTGTTCATCCTCCGTTTATGCTGCCCATCAAGCTTGTCGCGCTTTGGTGTCGGGAGAGATCGACGGTGCGATTGTCGGGGGCACGAACCTTATCCAAGCTGTCGAAAATCATCTGGGTACGCAGGAAATGGGCGTTCTATCCCCCACGTCCACCTGCCACACTTTTGACGCTGCCGCAGATGGCTATGGACGAGGTGAAGGTATTGGTGCAATCTACCTCAAAAGATTATCTTCTGCGGTTCGAGATGGCGATCCCATTCGAGGCGTCATTCGTGCGACAGCTACAAACGCTAATGGGAGGACGAGTGGAGTCAGCCATCCCAGTGTCGCCGGGCAGGAAGCTGTCATCCGTGCGGCATACAATTTTGCTGGAATAAATGACTTTGGGGAGACCGGTTACTTCGAGACACACGTGAGATGCATGGTGAATCATGAAAACAGGAGACTTTGCTGACACTCCAAGGGCACTGGCACCGCGGTCGGCGATCCAATTGAGGTGAAAGCACTATCTAATGTCTTTTTGCCGGACCGAACCCATCGAGATGAATTTCTGATCGGCGGAGTCAAACCGAACATTGGACATGCCGAGGCAGCCTCCGGAATCGCTTCCATAATCAAGGCAGCATATGCCCTAGAGACAGGCATAATTCCAGCGACGATTGGCATCAAGAATTTCAATCCAGCGATTGACTTTCGAGATGGGAAGGTGCATGTAGTGCAAGACAATCAGAACTGGCCAAGCGGATACGACGTCAGGAGAATCAGTATCAATTCGTTTGGCTATGGCGGCGCCAACGGACACGTCATTATGGAATCCGTCGATTCGATTCTTCCGGGGCATCAGTCTTTCAAAAAACGCGGCGCGGATAGACAGGACACAGCCTCTGACTTGGAAACTGGCGAAATGGGCTCTGATGGAGTCGTTTTCAAAACCAAGACAAGGACTCAGTTCTTGTTCCCTTTCTCGGCGCACGACGTCACGACGCTGAATGCCAACATCGACAGCCTCCGCCAAGTCTCGGAAGACTACGACGTGGAAGACATTGCATTCACTTTAGCCTCTCGCCGCTCCCGTTTCTCGAATCGCACTTTCTGCATTGTGAATAAGCATTCTGTCATGGACGATCTTACCGACAACATGATAAGGCCAGATAAGCGCGGGGAAGGTACCAACATTGCTATGGTATTTACTGGTCAGGGAGCCCAGAATGCACAGATGGGCATGGAACTCATGCAGGACTTTCCTTCTTATCTGCGTACGATAAGAGAGCTAGACAGTACTCTCCAATCTCTGGGGCAATCAGCTCCTTCTTGTGGACGTATCGAACGCGAATTACTCAAGTCCAAAGCAGAAAGCTCTATCGACCAGGTTCGTCTATCTCAGCCGCTCTGTACAGCGGTACAGATTGGTCTGGTTGACCTGTTAAACGGTTGGGGGATCCGCCCTTCCGCGACTGTTGGGCACTCCTCCGGTGCAATCGCTGCAGCCTACGCTGCGGGCTCAATCAGCAAGAAGGATGCAATTCTGACTGCTTACTTTCGCGGTTTGGCTGTCGAAGGATTGGCTACTAAGGGCACGATGGTAGCAGTTGGATTAGGGGCCGCTGAGGTTGAGCCCCTATCTTGAACCAGGTGTTCAGATTGCGTGTTACAATTCTCCTCAGAGTGTTACCCTGAGTGGCGATGATGAGCCAGTCCGCTCGTATATCGGCGAAGCTTCACCGGGACAAGGTTTTTGTCCGCGCTTTGAGAACAAATGGTCGTGCCTACCACTCTCACCATATGGCAGCTGTTGGGGACGAATACATGCACAGCATGATTGCAGCCATGGGTTCATACGCAGCTACAAAGGATAATCGACTTAACGATTTCGGCCAAATTGTTTACGCATCTTCAGTCTTCGGTAAGGTCATGGGCAATGGATTTGTTCCTAGCCCTGATTACTGGAAGCAAAATTTGGAATCTCCCGTGTTATTCACCCAGGCCGTAGAGAGTCTGCTGATGGACGTTAAACTGAAGCTAAACACGATAATCGAAATTGGTCCCCATTCGGCACTCGAAGGTCCCATACGCCATATACGCGATAAGCTCAACAGGAACGCGAAAGAATTGGATTACATGGCCTCACTTGTCCGGGGTGAAAATGCTACTACCCGGCTGCTAAGTGTTGCCGGAAGGCTGTTCGTCAAAGGATACAACGTTGATCTCGAGGCCGTCAACGCCATTGAACGCAACGAGGGTGACATCATCAAAAGAGTTGTTGGGAAACCTCTGGTAGACCTGCCACGGTATAACTGGAATTATAAGAAGGGAACAAACCTCAGAGCCGAGAATCGCCTCAATGCCGAGTACCGTCTTCGCAAATTTCCCCGTCACGATCTTCTTGGCGCAAGGGTTGTGGGAACAATCCGTAGCCAGATGCAATGGAGAAACCTGCTTGACGTAAGTGATCTTCCATGGCTTGAACACCATTGCTTGGGGCCCCAACCGGTGCTTCCCGGCATGGCGTACCCTTGCATCGCTGTTGAAGCAGCTCGACAATTCTTCAGCGAGTTTCGCCCCCTTGAAGGGAACTTTTGCTACGTCATTCCGCAACTCACGGTGAAGGCTCCTCTCAACCTTCCACCGACTGGAACCACGATTGAGATAATGACGAGCATGCAATTTCAGCAACTTTCGAATTCTTCTCTTTCAAGGTCCGTAGCCAGTTGGAACATTCAAACCTACGCAAAAGGCCTATGGACAGATGTGGCGTTCGGGACAATAAAGATTACTGAAGACCAACTGGAACTTCCATTACTTTTTGACGAAGCGACAGTTCAAGAGCCCAAAGACACACAAATCTGGTATGATCGGTTCGCTAGTGTGTCTCTGAATTACGGACCTGCCTTCCGTGGATTATCTGATCTCCGTGTTAGTCCCTCCAGGAACACCACGACCGCACTGACTAAGCTCCTGCCAGTGGGAGCCAATCCTAACGACACCGCTTATCTTGTCCATCCAGCCACCTTGGATACCGGAGTGCAAGCTGTGCTCATCGCACAATCACAAGGCTCTCCAAAGAATATGAAGCAGTCGCACCTTCCAGTCAGCATGGTGAACGTCACATTCTGGTCATATAGCGGCGGCCAAATTCTGTCTGCTCGACCAGAGGAAGGAAGATTACTGGCTCGTGGGGAACGAACCAGTCTCAGACAAATCAATACCGGGTTCCAGCTTCTAGATCTCAATGGCAAGCCCCTGTTCTCTTTGGAGTCCATGGATATGATAGCTTATGCCGAGGCTCCCAGCTCAGTTTCAAACAATGATCGCCATCCTTCGATGCGCATCCTTTGGAAGCCGGATGTTGATTGTATCAATGGAAACTTGCCGGACAATATCTTTGAGGGTCTATGTACGAAGTGGGCACTTGCCAGTGGCCCTTCGGCAGGTGAGGAAGCCCTCGATCCTTTATTTACGAGGACTCTCGATCTCGTTGCACACAAACAGTCTGGCTTGAATATTGCGCTCTTTGCTCGCAGCAGTACAGATGTTGCGACCATAATCGAGAAAAACCTCGGGGGCAAGTCGTCGCTCAAGCGGTACCGCACTTTGGTTGTTATGGTATCCGACGACGATGACTTGCCTATCCTAACCGAAACGTGCAAAGAATTCCGCCAAGTTTCGGTCCGGAAATGGAGTGTCGAAGAAGATGCGAAATTTGATTTGATAGCACTTCCGCAAGCGTCCTCCATCCCAGATCCTGTCGGCCTCCTTACAACCTTGAAGAAAAACATCATTCCAGACGGACGGCTACTCATTAGCAATGGACATCATGTAGAAGGAGACATGGCCCGGCCAGTGCTTGGCGCTACAGCTGCCTACCCTTCTGCGCCTATGCCCTACAACTACTCGCCTTTTGAGCTCTGGACAAGAAGTCTTCAAGAACAGGATATTTCCACTGACATCACGCAATCTACGTCATCTGGATGGACAATTCTCTCTGCAAAGCCAAAGGTCGATGTCAAAGTCTCCAATGTGATCATTCTTTCTCGTCATGGCGGCTCCGAGGCTGCGAAAACGTTTGGGTCGGCTTTTACCAATGCTTCAGTGGCTGTTACATACACCGACTTGAACAACCCTAATTTCGTACCAACAACTGACGCTCTGTACGTATCCGTGGTTGAGTTTGGCGAAAACATCTTCAATTCCCTTTGTGCTACCGAGCTGAAAACTTTGCAACTTATCGCCGCAACTGCGTCTACCGTTTTCTGGACAACGACAGGCAACTTACTTGCGGGTGCAAATCCCCATGCTGCCGCAGTCTTAGGTCTTAGCCGAGTCTTGCAAAGTGAGTACCCACGATTGCACTTCATCACCATCGACCTGGACCATGAAAACATCGAGTTGGGTGCTGCTCAGACTCTAGACATCATAGGGGCTTTTGACCCGAAATCGGGCTACCAGGACACAGAGTACATCATCCAAGATGGTATTCGCCATGTCAGCAGACTTTCCGAGGATAGGACCCTTGATGATCTGTACATGACGAAAGCGAGAAAAGAGCTTGTCCAAAAGCCAGTCGACTCGGAGCAACCAGTTCGTTTGGCAATCGACAAGGTCGGCCTCTTCGATACCTTGCATTTCGTCCCATATAGTCTTGATACCACGCTCGAGGAAGGTGAAGCTGAGGTGGAGGTCAAATCTACCAGCTTGAACATGAAGGAATGGGCAACCTTTCGTGGTCATTACCACTCGACATCACTTTGCCAAGAAGGATGTGGTGTAGTTCGCCGCATCTCACCAGGCATTTCTAATGTCGCTGTTGGCGATCGTGTGTGCTGGGTATATCCTGGAGAATTCAGCAACATCAGGCGCATTCCTGCTGAGCTCATCTTAAAGATCCCCGAAGCGGACACTTTTGAGCAAGTTGTCGGTCTTCCTTTGGCGTTCTGCACGGCAGTCTACGGTCTCATTCACTTAGGACGCCTTCGACGTGGTGAGAAAGTTCTAATTCACAGCGCCACCGGTGGTGTTGGTCTCGCAGCCGTTCAGATCGCCAAGCTTCTCCAAGCAGAGATTTTCGTCACAGTCAGTACCGACGCCGAGAGGTCCTTTCTTGTTAAGCACCATGGTATCAGGCAGGATCACATATAAGTTCCAAAGATACGTCTTTCGCCTCATGAATCTTGACTGTCACGAACGGTTATGGTATCGACGTCTGCCTGAACTCCCTTGTTGGTGAGAGACTAAGAGTTTCTTGGTAGCATCATGGCAGTTGACGGCCGCTTCTTCGAGATTGGTCGTCATGATATATTAGATCATGGAACCTCGATCTGACCGTATTCAGCCGCAACACGTCATTTAGTGCTTTTGATCTCAGCCATCCCGCGAAGCAGAGTATCATACCCCAGCTTATGGCCAAAGTTCTCCAATTCTACCAGGATGGCATGATTACTCCACACATGCCGCTTCACCAGTACAGTGCTGGTGACATCGCCACTGCTTTTGAGCATTTTGGTGATGCAGACAGAATGGGTAAAGTAGTCGTCAGCTTCGACAAGAAGCCTATTGAAGTAAGCACGTCAGACGAGTACACTATGCCAGGAGTAGCTGACGCAAATCAGGTTCTACCCAAGACAGTCACTGCTCGATTTAGAAGTGATGGCACTTATCTCCTAGCTGGATGCCTCGGTGGTCTAGGGAGAGTGATTTCTCGTTGGCTGATCGACAACGGCGCCCGCAATCTGACCTTTATCGGTCGTTCTGGCGCTGAGAGTAAGGAGGCATCAGCATTTGTTGCGGATCTTCGAGACCTTAACATCGTTGTGCACGTTATACGTGGAGATGTAAGTGTCAAAGAAGATGTTGAACGCGCTGTCGCTGCTTCTGGTCTTCCAGTCCTTGGCACCATTCAAGCAGCAATGGCAGTCCAAGATACCCCTTTCGGGGAGCTCGACATCAATAAGTGGAACTACGCTCTCAAACCCAAAGTGCAAGGCACCATCAACCTTCATGAAGCACTCATGGAGCAACCGCTGGATTTCTTTGTTATGCTCTCATCCGTCTCCGCAATCGCAGGTACCCCAACTCAATCGAGTTACTGCGCTGCAAACACCTTTCTCGACTTCTTTGCCCGTCACCGGAGACAACAAGGTCTTCCGGCAACAACGATCGTTTTACCCGCAATATCTGAGGTTGGCTTCCTCTCACAGATACAAAGAGTTACAGACAACCTGAATTCACATGGCATCAATGACATCAACGAGGAAGAGTTCATTGATCTCATGTCAATTGCATTCTTGCCTTCTCCGAAACCATCGTGGATCGGAGATGAGTCCGCCGACTCCTTACTTGTCACAGGATGGGAGCCAACCAAGACCTCCGTCGATATCGAGGCCAGTCAGCCCCGCTATTGGCGCAATCCTCGAGTTAGCCTTGCTCTAGCATCGCCTGAAGATAATGTCTTGTCATCGGGAAACAAAGCTCAGAGCGATTCACCCACATACGACCATCAATCTGTTCTTGAGGCAGTGCTCAACAAGTTCTCAAAGGTCTACTCGATTGATATTGGGGATATCGACGACATCAAGCCGCTCGTTGAGTTTGGAATGGACTCTATGACAGGTATTGCACTTCGCAACTGGGTTTATGCTACCTTTGGTATCGATGTTCCAACCAAGGTCTCACAAAGAAGATTCTTGCAGGTCTATAGTGTCTTGATCGCGACTGAAGTAGTTAACCTAGCTTATTGTTGTTTTATCTGGCTTAACCTTACACAATGTTTTCCTTGTCCAGCACCTATTTGTGTTTTCAAAGCCCATATTCAGCACATTGATAGAATTTCAAACACAATGGTGCCCACAAATATTACTCTCACTCTGTCAAAGGACTATCCAACATGAAAGTTCGCATGAGTGGTACCTCTACCGACATTACCTCTTTCGTAGACCCTTTGTACTTATGGTACGTTCAGACTGCAACAAAGGAAATGGGAAATGCATGTCCCTGGTCTTACCACACTGCTGACAGTCCTCCGCCTTTCTCTGACTCAGTTGCAGACGCATCTTCTCCACCAGATCCTGTATTTTTGATGCTAATTTTCTTCTCCTGAGAAGCTCAAACTGCACATTACAGAATTTGGCCAAAGCAGTTTGGTAGGATTCTCTCATGTCTGCTACGATTGCCGCGTGAAGGCTCTTTAGGAATGATTCCATACTAATAGTTGATGTCACTTTGCCTGTAATAAGGTCACTCAGTAAGATGTCTGCAGCCATTACAGCACATTCAGCGACAGCGAGGTTGATTCCAAAGAGAGATCCACCGCGAAGAGTCCAAGTTGCGTGTAGGCAGTTGAACACAAGGCCTTGACCAGGGTATGTTAATGCATAAATACCGCCTACAAGATGTTCCTCGCAGATCGGATATCGTGCACTGCGGTTGGCTGTCCTTTCGTAGACAGCTTTGTTCGGATAGTACGGGTATAAGGACCAGAATTTTATTTGACAGTGGTCCATTGCCGTAGCGCCAAGGTAACCTCTATCTATCTGAGGTCAGTTCATGCTCAATGCGATTAAGGAAGAAGCGTTACCGTCATGAATGTCAACGACTGATCCAAATGTTCCAATGTTTGCTTGAGCTAAGAAAACACTATCTTCATCTTCTTGCTGATACACCTTGTAGTGCTCTTGGATATGTTGAGGTAAATAGAGTTTGATGTTTCCCAAAGGTATGTTGACAACGTATTTAGGATATCCCACAGATGTACCCCGACAGAATGTAGAGACAAATTGCGGCTCAAATTCTAATGGCTGACCATTCCTGTGAGCTTCATAGACCGTTCCCTGCTTGATATGTGTGATCGCAGTTCCCCAAACTGCCTCAAGGTCTAAGTCGGGGCATACATCCTTCACACAGAACAACTGAGGAATATTGTCTTCCCAATCCGTGACCTTTGCATCTTTGAGGGGTCTCAATCTTCCGCTCCGAAGCCCATCGATGAATGGCTTCACATTCGGGAGTAGGTTTGTGCGTTCTGTGGAAAGGAAGTTGGCTAACGCGGTTGGGTCATGCTCAATGCACTTCAGATGGGTGACGAGCGTTGATGAGTTTTCCGACTGAGCTTCTGCTGCAACAGCAAAATCGTCTATGCTTGCAGCGCTGGGTCTATCAGGTGAAGGACGAAAAGACGCACACTCCTTTATGATAGATTGAGTAACGTTATTCTTCTGCTCCCTTTCCAGCTCCAATAGTGTAAGACCCTCCCTTTTTCTTTTGTCTGCTTCTATCTTGTTGGTCAATTTCTTGAGGTGTCTCTCAACCTTTGCAATCCAGAAATGCATGTCCTCATCTTTTATTACCCCTGGTTTGGCTACAAGCAAATGCTTGATTTTTTTGAAGGCATCTTCATCGTTTTGAGACTTTGCTCGATGCTCCCGGTAGGCCTTCTGTACGTCCTCGAAATTTGGGAAAGCCCTGCGTAGGACTACGACTGGCGGAGTGCCTCTGTATTTCCCTCCTGGGAGCGTAAAAAGGCCTCGATCAAAAAGAGCTGTATCATCGAGAACTTTCGCAAGCTCTGTCCAGCTCATCATTGCTGGATCAAATGTATTAGAGTGATCCATCATACGAAGCATCGACTTTCGAGTTTTCGAGTTTTCGAGTATCGAGTATCGAGTATCGAGTGTCGAGTGTCGAGTGACGAATGTCGAGTGTTGAGCGTCGAGTGTTGAGTGTCGAGTGTCGAGTGTCAAGTGTCCAGTGTCGAGTGTCCAGTGTCGAGTGACGCTTGCGTGCGTTCTTGAATCCGGATTAAGTGCATAAAATCATTAATTCAATCGTAGCTTAGTATCCGCAAAGTACCGTGCTGAGCCGCTGAGTTTCAATCAATATAGTCGCTTGCTATGTAAACTCATCTAGTACAAGGTTTTGATGAGACCCATGTAGTGAAGATAAGCATCGGTGATTTAGGATGCTAGCGTGGCAAATCGAGGCAAATCCATCCGCACCCGCTAGGCGGGTACGAAGTACCGATCTTTAGCGTCGACCCGTATACCAGGGGCAGAACGAACGAGTTCATCTATTACAAACTTTAACTAAAGTCAACCCTTGAACCTCCCCATATCACGCTAAAATTTGCTAACGAGCCGTTCGTGGAGTGGATCTGTGCGTTCCTAGGTGCAGGGTATCCAAACGCTAAGCAGCATCCTGGATATAGAACTCAAGTAGTCGATCCTTCGCCACGAGTTCTCATGACTTCAGTCTATTTGTTGTTGAGAAACTGTAAATTTTTAAACCGGTTGAGTCGCCGCCTTTCCTCCGAGATTTTAGCTAAGAGGCGGCGCTCATTTCGGCACACACTCATACTGGCTCAATGCGTCCAGGATGCTGGACACGCTGGTTGGTGGTCTGAAGTCTACTGCGTCGGTCTCTTTTAAGACCACCTTTGCTTTATTCTATACAACTAAACCTAGATCGGGTGCGCTATTAATGGTTGGTCATTGTCTGCCTTGAATGACGTCCGTTGTGGCCCGAGCGCATGAGTACAGGTGCTCATCTGGGCAAGGAAGGAAGCGCCAAAACTTTCGAGCATAATTTGTGGAGCCATCAGAATCGATTTCCAAGGTCTAGAGAGACTTCTACAAGGCGTACCAATGCCGATGTGGCACGGAGAGAATGTCGTAAGACCTAATACTTTCGAATAAAGCTGCACATATTCGCCATCGACCAGTGCTTGCGTTGAGGTTTGATGATCGTTAGCTTCATCTAGCCTTAACAGTCGATTGATTGCCTTGCATATTTTCGGGCGTTCTTAGTGCAGTGAACTTGAAGGGGCGGAAAAACACCACCAGAGCAACACGCTGTTTCGGTGCTTGACGATGTCCTCGGAGTTTCGCGAATCGGCAGGCCCATTGTGCGACGATCATCACACTTGGCATACCGAGACATTACAATCGTATACGACGTATCCATAAATTGAGTGATGATATCGAAGAAGAACCCCAAGCTCTACCTAAACCAACGGACCAATAAACAAGCCGCATGACACGAATTGCTTCTCAGTCCATTCCCACAATTTCTCAGCTAGTGCATCGTCGTTGACCAGGTCTACCCCGCAGATTCTCTTCTTGAGCGGCGTGTAATAAGCACCCGACTCTAATTCGTCAGCGCGGCCCGTTGCGGCCCATAACTGTCCGAGTGCACCCGTCTGCACGTCGGTGAAGAACAGCCGAATCCCTATATTAAACATCCAAGCTAGGTAAGGAACCCGTTTTAAGTGGTTTTTGACGATACCGGTATTTACAACGCCAGGGTGGAGGGCCACACATATGATCTTTGGATAACGATTTGCCATGCTCTTGATGAAGTACAAGTTCGCCAACTTAGACTGCGCGTAGCGAGCATTCCCGGAAATCTCCGCCATCTCGGTTCTCAGTCGCGGGAAAAGAATACCGCCTTTGGGAGCAAACTTGTAGCCTTCCGAGCTAAGCTGGATCACACGCACGTCGCTGTCCGGCAGTTCTGAGGTCTTCTCCAGCAGTGGAAGAAGGAGCCGTGTGAACAGTGCAGGGCCCATGTGGTTCGATCCAAACTGCATTTCATAGCCATCTTCGGTCAACCCAGGGGGGACGCCGAAGAGCCCTGCGTTGTTGAGGAGTACATCCAGGCGATCGTATTCTTGCAAGACTGAAGCTGCAGCTTTCTTGATTGAGGCGAAGGACGAAAGATCCAGGGCTAAGAAAGCGATTCTCGACCCAGGAACTGCGATCTCGATCTCCTTGATGGCGTCTTCAGCTCTACTTTGCGATCGCGCTGCCATTATAATTTGACGCGGCTCATGCTTTGCGAGTTGGAGGATCGTCTCTTTACCCAGTCCGCTGTTGCCGCCCGTTACAAGTATGACCTTCCCGGCCAAACTAGGGATGTCTTCGTCTGGCGAGAAAGACATGCTGAACAGGAGAATCCAGTTGCAAAGCGATTTGAGGGCGTGGGGCAGTTGCAGTGAAGAAGGAAGCAGTTCCAGTTAGCTCATCAATGATATGGTAAAGCGGTAGTAATCTGTTCCATATCCTGCATAGAGTGGGTGTGAGAGATTGAGTTGTTCCTTCTGGACGTAGATGCAATGTGACTTCCTAGCTGCGTACAGCCACGTTGCAAGGTCGTACAGTCTGATGAAAGCAGCCAGGAATGCTGAATTGATGCCGCGTTCCCGCATGCTTTTCTGAACAACGATGCGCGCATCCAGTGCATTGCGCGATACTACGAGCTTTCGGCTATGACCACTGGAATGCTTCAGACATGCCGAAGTCTTTCTCGGGGTTCGAACGTGAAGAAGACTGCAGTCAAGTCGCTGCACTCTTGATCGCAAATGGCTATACGCTCTCTGGGATGAGTTTTCGTATGGTATGATAGGCCATGTTGTCCCGAATCTTCGAAGAATTTTTACTTTTGTGAATGATACAACCAGTGCATCATGGTGTGTATTCACCACCACCTGTCGCATTCCGATGCGCGCGACAACACTGTGCACGATTCAATTACTTCTGGACATTGAGCTATTCAGAGAGTTACTTGACAGGCAGATTGTGTACAGATATGTTTTTACAAAGTAGGGGCGAAATGGCGTGGTAGGGACGCCAACAGCGAGGAGTGAAGTGCGATCCACTTAACGGCTGCACCCGTACCCGGCGCCGCTTCACTGGGACGATGCAACCGTGAAAATATGCAAATGTCGACAGAACGAGACATATGCAATGCGGTGTCGATCGATAACAGCGCGGTTGCAGTTGCCAGGCGATGAGGTGACATGATCGCTCTCGATGGGGGAGCGAAGTGTCTGCCATGGCTCGTCCCCTCTCAATAGTGCCTAAAAAATCGCCTCCATGACTAGAAAATATCAAACAGGGTTTGGGAACCAGCTGAGAACACCTTCTGCTATACGTACCTAAGTCTGCCGAGGTGAGCTTCGGGCTTTCATTCCCAACATTCCCATATTCTGCTGAGTTGGCTTCTCAGGTAAATATGCTCATGTGTGACAGCAGCTCAAAAGAAGTAAACACAACTGAATGAAAGCATCAGATGTTTGATCCGGATGCGTCTGATAAGCTTACCAGGCGTTCCGAGCTTGAGTGCCTTTTCCGTAGTACCCAACGAGTATATATGGCGTCCGCGAGCCTACCTTTACCCGCAACTTCGATTGAATCCATAAACTACTTCTAACAATCATGCATGCCCTACTCTACGCCGCCGGTCTACAAAATCTTGTCCTCTTGCCCGGATCCCCCAGTTACATAGACCGCCAGTCCTCATACTGGGCAGCCAACACCCCCTTGCACCCGAAATGCATCGTCCAGCCACGCACGACAGAGCAAGTCTCCCTGATTATCAAAACACTCGCCAAAGTCAAAGGGCCTCTTGCCATTCGCAGCGGCGGTCATACGCAGTGGGCAGGTTCCAATGATGTCCATGATGGTGTCACAATCGACTTGGGCGAAATGGCGGAAGTAAAATACGACAAGTCATCGAAGCTAGCTTCAATCCAGCCTGGGTCACGATGGGGCAATGTATTTCAAGAGCTTTTGAAGCAGCAAGTTTGCGTGGCTGGTGGACGTGATGGCAACGTTGGTGTGGGCGGGTTCCTGACTGGCGGAGGGAACTCATTCTTCTCCGGTCTCTACGGTTTCGGCTGCGACAACGTTGCCAACTTTGAAGTCGTCCTCGCCAGTGGGGACATCATCAACGCGAATAGCAGCTCCCACAGAGACCTCTGGATTGCTTTGAAAGGCGGCTCGGGAAATTTCGGCATCGTCACGCGGTTTGACATGTACACGTTTCCTGCACACGATCTCTGGGGAGGTGTCCGCGCTTCAATGAGAAGCGAAGGAGACGCTCTTGCGCAAACCATGGTCGACTTCACGAATGGAAATGACAAGGATCCACAAGCTGCGTTTATGTTGAGTTTCGACTACAATCCTGCTGCGGCACCGGCGGTTTTCGTTACCCAGTTGATCGTAAATACCAATGGATCTGCAAATGGATCGACATTCGAGCAGATTGAAAAGATTCCAGCAGTGGCAGACGACATCAAGGAGAGGAGCATGGCTAGCATGGCTACTAGCTACAGCCTTCCGAGCGGCCGACAGTGAGTGTCTCAGCACCTGATCGATCGCCACACATCAGCTAATCAACGCATCAAGGCAAAACTGGTTCTCACTCACCTTCAAAAACGACGTCAAGATCATCAAGCGCGTCAGTGCGATGCACGACGAGCTCGCAGCACAACTCTCGACATTGATAACCCCCCAAAACTTCTCGACGTCGTGCCTCTTCCAGCCCATGCCAAAGCTCATCGCCCAGCACTCAACACAGCGTGGAGGCAACGTCATGGGACTTGATCAGGTCAAGGAGAACGCGCTTCTATGGTCGATCGTCGGCTCCACGCAGACACCCGCAGAACATGCGATTATGCGGGAGAAGCTGCTGGCTTTCGTCGCAGCTGTAGAGGCTTACGCTATGTCCGAGGATCTCAATGTCGATTGGCGCTACTTGAACTACGTCGATTCGACGCAGGATCCACTCAAGAGTTATGGGCAGAAGAACGTTGACTTCATGCGTGACGTCGCGGCGAAGTACGATCCAAGTGGCATGTTTCAGAAGAAGATTGTGTCGGGTTGGAAGATATCGAAACTGGATGCGCAACCTTGATAGATAGATATGTATTAAAAGCCAATGCCGAATTTATTTGCAGCTTTCGCTTGGCTGTCGTCGCCATTTAAGATGTGGCAGAGGGATCGGATCGCACCTCAGTTGCTGTGAGATGGCAGCTTTCCTTCTGGGGTCAGCTCTCCCATTCATTCTCCACGCTACTGTTCTGACACCTCTTAATACTGCGGAACTCCTCCCGACCTATTGCCGCCAAGTCGAGAAGCTTGCGAACTCATTTACAAGTACTTGTTTGAAGTGATGTGCGGAAAATCGCGATAGTCTCAGTCACACCCTCCCATCTTCCAAGTCCTGCAAGTACTTCTCCGCCTCCACCCTCAGCGGATCCGCACTATCCAAGATCCTCCTCCGCACTTCAACAACACACCTCATAACCTCTAGCGCCTCCTTTCGCTCACCCACAGCCACATAGCTCAAAGCCAGCGCACACTCCGTCCGCAGCCGATCAGGGTGCGTCTCCTCCAAAATCATGCGATACATCTCCACGACTTGCTTGCGCAGCTTCAAAGCCTCTTCATGTCGATCAAGCTTTGCGAATGTATCAGCGAGGACGCATTGCACGGCGAGTAGCTTGTAATCTGTTCTCACTTTGTTGCTTTCGTGTATTGTTACGACGTGTTGTAAGACCTGGAGAGACTTTTCGAGCTGCCCGTCGACGCCGTACGTGCGACCGAGTTCTTGTTGTGCAAGGAGGTAGTCGGAATGGGTCTCGGGGAGTATGGTCTTGTAGGACTTGACGACGTCTTCTAGTAGTGCTAAAGCCTCTTTGGTCTGGTTATCGGTGGCGTATGCGATAGCAAGGACGTGTTGCGCACGAAGAAGGCTGTGAGAGGCGGGTTGTCCAGGGGTCCGTTTATGTGATTTGACTACTTCTCCCAAGAACGAGACAGCTTTGGCGGTTTGCCCAGTGAGGTTGTACGCACGTGTAAGTTCATACTGGGTATCAGCTAGATAGTCATGATATTCTCCCTCGTATCGAAGCAACTTGTACGTCTCGACAAGGCCTTCTAGAAGCGGGACAGCTCTTTCTGGTTCGCCGACGTCGTTATACGCTTGCGCAAGATCGTGCCGAGATCTGAGATCATGAAGTCTTTGAAGTTTCATAGCTGGCTCGCGCGTTGTGGTGATGTGCTCGAGTAGCGTAATCGCTAGCCGTGTATTGCGCAATTGAAGTGCTGCCCTATATGTGAGGACCCACAAAGTAGGAGAGTCCGTAGGTAAACTGTGTTGAGTGACTCCAAGATCTTTATAAATCGCTTCGAGTAAGGCCTGCAGTCGAATGTAGTCTCTGACAGAATTGAGTAACGTTCCACTCAGTACGAGTAGGGGCAACAATACACTTCGTGGTCCATAGAGGAACAACATCGCCGGGCTAGACGGTATCAAGCTTTGCATATGAGGTAACATCTGCTTCTCGTGTATTTTCCAGAAGTTTGCGGCTTCATGGGAAACAGGAGGCGAAAGTATCAAAGTGCAAGCAGCTGAGAGCCAAGCTCGTTGTTGCTGCTCACATCCCAAGCGGTCTTTGGCCCACGCATGGGCAAGTGGATGCATCGATAGTTCATCGCACCCTTCAGCCCGATTTCTCTTTACCAAGGATAGTGAAGTTAGAAGAGAACATGCGTGTTTGAGCCGATGATCATTCCACAAGGGCAGATGAACATTTATAAAGCCGGGAAGCTTATGAACATGATCGTGGCTCAGGACATCCAGGTTGGGGAGCACTTGTGCTTGAGTCTTATTATTCTGCACATGTCTATTCCACGATTTTCGGAAACGCCAGGCAATGCGAGATTGAGATTGGCGTGGTGGAGTAATGCTAGAAGAAGGCTCGCGTTGCGACACTGCCTTAGCTCCCATCCAGGCCTCCTCGAAAATCTGCACCGGTAGCGTGTTGGCATGAAGCATGGCAAGAATAGCGAGTAGGTCGATTGCATCTCGGCTGACCTCGGTGTGGTGGTTCTCTATGCCAGTAACGGATGCCTCAAAGGTCGCGTACACATGTCGGTACCTGGATTGCTGTTGGTTGGGATGATGTTCGAGAAGTTGTTTCCGGCGATCCCGGAAAATTTGAGGATACTGTTCGAGCCGGCAGTACCCTTCAGCAATGTATGCACCAGCCTGTACTATTGCAAGCGTATGCGACCCGAGCTCATGGACAATCTCTTGCGCAATTGCAACATGCGCAGGTCCAGGCTCTTGAGATAGTTGTGCCGCTTTTAATAAAAGCTGCGTAGAGTCCGCTAGTCCAAGACCTTCGAGAGACTCTGCTTCGATGGTGCTATACCTTTTGCATTCCGGGCTTCGAGAAGTTAGTACCACAGATCCACGGTTCCCAGGTGGCAGATATACTGCGTAGTCAAATAAGGGATCATCGGCGTTGTCTAGGACCAGCAGCCATCGCTTCGTTGCATTCGCGAGTAATCTTGTTGAGTCGGATATCGTTTCAGTCGGGCATTGTAGCATTGTTGCAATCGCCGCAAAACCGTTCTGGGCAGTAGACTGACTGCTAACGTCGACCCAAAACACTCCCCAAAAGCTTTCGCGCATTAGCATAATGTACGGAATAACGACATGATGTAGTGTCGCATACCTCTCCCGCACCAGGTTCGCAAGCTTGATGCAAACTTCACTTTTCCCCATCCCCCCCATCCCGGTGATCACAATCCGTGTTTGCTCATGCAAAGCGGTACTGTCGCGGATCAGGGCAGCCTGGAGGCGCCCAAGAAGCTTAGATCTTCCAGTGAATTGACTGGTGAACGCACTCGGTACCATCCAATGCATGTTGGTGAACTGGTGAATTCCAGCACTGTCCTCAATTTGGATCTCCTTAAGCTCTCTGGAGAGCCGCCTCAGCGCACTTGAACGGCCTTCACCGTAGATGAGAGGCATATAGATACCGAGAAGACCAAGGAGCGAGTATACTTGATCTTCTTCGAGCTTTGTCTCCCTCTGCCGAGCCCAACGCTTCCTCTCGTCGATCTTGAACATTTCTAGTGGCGTCCCTTGCAATGCCTGAGACGGAATGCCTGTGATACCAGCTATCTGCTCCTGCAAGGAGACCCTATCACCCAAGAAAGAACCGTTTTTATCGAAGAATTGGACTGATGTCGGAGCTATTAGCTCCTGTAATGTCCACCCACGCTTGAACCATCTGCTATTCTGGAGGTCTGTCGAAGTCGATGAGGAATGGGCGGCTGGAACATCGGTAAGGTATGCGTAACACACAATTGCATTTCGATACCATTTGAACATGGAGTTGATAGCTTCGGTCAGCTCTGTGCTGTTTTTCTTGTCAATGCAGCAAGTGTCAACCCAAAAGTAGTCCAGACCGTCCAGCTTAGCCCGTTGTGCGCAGAACACGATCTTGTCATAGCCCGACTTGCTTTTCCCTTGCTTGCTCTCGAACTCGTCGAATGTCACTTCCTGCCCCTCCACCCAGGTATGAGAGAGAATTGCATAAGGCGGCACCTCATCGTTGCCAATCAAGTTCCTTGTTAGGATGAGGCTGCCTTCACCGTCGTAAGTTAGCAGTCGCATTGCTCGATGATCGAAGTACGCGTTGTGGTGAGCTACACGGCACGATAAGCCAGATCAAGCGTGCAAAGTCGTCATTGCTGCCCTAAGATCATTGCCAGCAAAGGAAGCGAAAAAGAGACACGACTTGGGGGAAAGTCTCTCGTGGGAGTCGTGGTGGGAATCTGACATTTGTCGCTCGAGGCTATGCAGCGGGAGGAGGCACAGCTCGCTTGTGCATTACAGGCGCCAAAAGATTGGACGAGAATGTACAGCGGTCTGCACAACCATGGTCTCCGGCAGGGGTATTGAGACTGCTGCAGGCATCACTTTCGTGGCAACTGAAGGCCGCCTGGCAATGGTTCAAGTTGCCGTGCGATCATTGTGCCAGCGCCTATGGTCAGGACAACTGCGCATCCCTTCAGCCATGCTCATCACAGATGAGCAAAAGCAACCGACGGAGAAGAAGCAGATCTGGGAACAAGCAAATGAACGAAGGGACGGTGTCAGGAAGACGTAAAGACAGGCGTAGAGTAGGAAGCTGTCGCGTCGGTCCACATCAGGACGTATGGGCCTCTTGTGGAGCGCAATGCCACGGCATCATCGTAAAAACACGTTGCGCACTGTGGAAAAGCATGGGACTGCGCCCTGTATGGCGACGCATCGCGGACTTCGGCGGTTTGCAAACGTCAACTGCAGAGGTGGCAGATGGTGTCTGCGTCGCAATGTCGCAGGTGCTGACCTCTCGGTGTTCGGAACTAAAGCTGCATGGCGCCTAGCGTGATTACGAAAATGCACAGCCCCCAGCGACGCCACTGCCGCGCGACATCTCGTGTACCAAGTGCCTGTTACCCGGCAGAAACGTACACAGTTCGCATCGTCGCATCTTCTCTTCCTGCTTCTCTTCATCTTTGTCTTCATTCATTCCTTGTATTCGAACTTCTTGGGGTTCTCAGGCGACACTGCTTTGCGCAATCACTCCTGACCTACAACCATCCGAACTCAGTCCGGCTGATCACCAACTGCCCAGCCGACGGCGCAACGCCTGCCAACAGTCAACGAGAACGCCGCTTCGCAGCTGAGACCTCCATCGCTCCTTCCTCACTCCAGCTGCCCCTCAGCTGCCCCTCAGACCGTCGCTATGCAAAAAAACGTACGTTGTTATCCCATGTCACTTCCGCGCACTGATGCCTCAACACCACGCTGCGCCACACCCCTTACATATCGCGTCAAATGGCCTCCCACCTGACATCAGCATAGGACGCACCTCCCGCTTACCCGAATGAGCCTCCGCAAGCATATCGCGGAGATCAGACCCAAGTAGGCTACTACAATAACCAGGCGCCCAACAACGACTACTACCAAGGCTCGCCCAATCCATACCAGCAAGGCCAGGGCTATGGCCCACCGCAAGGCCAGTACGGCCCGCCACAAGGCCAATATGGTCCACCAGGGGGGCAGTATGGCCAGCCACAACAACAAATGCACTACCAACAAGGCCCGCCACCCCAGGGCATGTACCCGCAACAACAACAGAAGGGTGGCGCGGGAGGAGGCCTCTTCGCCGGTCTCTGCGCGGGTCTGGCATGCTGCTGCTGTCTAGACTGCCTGTTCTAGACGGAGAGGTGAAGAGGACAAAGCGGTGAGCAAGACGCGGCGATAGTCGCAGAGGTGTTGCTGCAGCCCAAGGCCGATGTTTGTGGATGGCCCATCGAATTGTATTTTCCTGGTTTTTCGAGACCCCCACCGGTAACGCGTACTCGCCTGTATCTTTCTATAGAATACCTACTAATCTCCTATGTATGACTATAATTTGCACCAATTGTCCGTCTATCCGCTTTTGTCCAAGGAACGATTGCAACAAAATGTTCCACCTGGTGAAAAAGAGCTTACGTAAAGTCCTTTTTCGCGACTGCCCATCCGGGTACCACACTAACAGGTCAACCGTCAAGATCTCCGAAACACCACAAATCCATCATCACACCATTGCAGATGAGCCGCTAAAGCTCCCTTGTCTCTGCGCCATTGGCGCTTGCCAAATGCACTGTATGTTCCGTCTAGCTCGCCCCGCACCCGCATCGGACGTCCAGCCGCACAACTTCCCCCACACCGCTGCGCCGGCCCGTCAATATTTCCGGCGTCTAGAAAACGCCATTCCGAGACAATTCACCTTTTCTTGTTCCATTGTGCACTTTCCGCCTTTGTGAACAGTGCTTTGCGGTTGCTCTGCCTTCATGAAAGCTGGCTGACAGTCCGAAAATAGCTCAGTCCAACAGCAACCAACAGCACATCTCGTGGAACGCCGCATAGTTTCGCCATACAAAGTCGTCGCTCAGGCGTGTTCGAAGGAAACTCGTTACGTGTTGAACTCTGAACATCCAAGCATTCCCGCCAGCCTGGGTTCTTTGTGCCACGCTTCACGACCTCTGCTTTCGGAAGTACCATCGGAATCTGTAGCGCAAACGTACGTCAAGCTGCGTCCCTGCAGAGCAATCATAGTTCAAAACGACACTTTTGAACGTATAACACCAGCTTCCGCGCAGGAACAAAGTCAACTCAAAGCTGCGTTTCAATCCAAGCCAAACACAGATTAGCACGAATTGGACCAGATATCGTTTCCATTAGCATCATGAAGTACGCCAGCATCATCATCACCATGGTTGGTACGATTACCCCTGCTGTACTCTGCCTTCCCGCGACATCTTTCACGCGACAATTTCAGCTGCCCACATGCGGCGCAGTAAGTTCCCGCTAAACCCTGAGCTCGCAAAACAGGACTGACAACGCTCACAGGAAACGTGCCTCACTGCAACAAACGGGCTTTTCAATGCATGCGAGCCTCACAACTTGGCATGCCTTTGCAGCATGGAACAGAAAGGTATCAGCGACTATGTCACGCTCGTGCAGCCGTGCATCGACGGCGACGCTGGTCATGATCTTTGCACTGAAGGCGCAATCTACCGTGAGGACTACACGGACCTACCAACACCACAGCGACCATACTGACTCACATCACAGAATATAAAGATCTTCTTACCACTGTTTGCGCCGACGACTACTTTGGCAACAAGGTCGTCCAATTTACAGATCCCGAATAATCTGGTCGCATCAAACTTCCATGCATTTACAGCGCCCACTCCATCAGCATTACATACACCACGATCATTAATCTATAATTCCATCACCCTGAATACTTGTTTTACAGTCATTTGATAGTCCATTGCTTGTTAGGCGTTAGCGGCAAACGCTTGGGTGGGGCGACCATGTATGTGAAGATTGGGCGTGCGCGCATCTTCCAACACCTCTAAACCTGACCTCTGCCATCATGCTGGCTCTAACTTCTTGCAGCTTCTGAGCAATCTCGTCACTGTCCTCTAGAACTTCGCTAAAGCGCCACCTTCGTGGTCGTGATCACCTCATTAGCGCAATGACTATCTCGCCGAAGGTTCGAACTGCATCGACATACGAGCCTCCTCCCGATGCTCAAGGTCCTTGTCAGGTCAGCCCAGTCACACCTCTCCACATTCGCATGCTAAAATTGGCAGATCTCCAAGAAGTGTACCAAGAGTAGTACCGGGGAGATGCAGTCAAAGCCTGGGCCGCCAGACTGCGCCAGCAACGATCTTGGTTGCATATGTGGAAAAGACCCATCTATGGACGACAATACACTATTCGATTCACACTGTCTTTTCCAGGAGTGCACAGATACCCTTGCGCGCCAAGGTGAGTTCCGTCAAGGTAAAGGTGTGGCGTCCTGCACTTCAGCTGACCGTTGCTAGCGTTTATGGCGGCCTTTTCCATGTCCTGTCTTGAGAGCAAGCAAGATCTCCAGAACATACCTAACGAATGGAAACTTTTCGTGCGTTCAGATATTTCTGGCAACACTCCAACAGTCTCGAATTCGGACAGCCTTACCACTAGCTCATCAACGGGTGTAGTTTCCACTTCAGCAGCGCATCCTACAATACTGACTACCACTATGACTAAGCCTGAAGCTACTGTTGTCAGTAGCACCACATCAGCCTCCTCAACAACTACCGATCCAATAGATTACGCGAAGCCAATATGCGCAGTAGGCATCTGAGCCCCCCAGCCTTCCGTTGCGCCACTGACAGGAGCTAGATCACCGAGAGCTGCCTAGTCGACCAGAACAGTAATGACCCGTGCAAGCTCGAGAACCTCAAATGTGTCTGTAAATTCAGCAACTCCCTTGGCAGCAGTACATACTTCGACCAGGACTGCCTTTGGAAGAATTGCATAAATACTCGAGGCAGAACAGGTATGCCTTCAAATCAAGACGATGAACGTGAACATAGCCTGACATTGCAACAGAATGGTTGGAGGCTTTTGCAGCAGCCTGTATGGATGACAAAATACCGATCCTTGACATCCCCTTCGCGATGGCAGGTACTCATGCCAGCATGGTACGCCAATACCACGTCGACTTCAACCTCGATCTCCATCTCGGCAGCTCCATCTTCCACCACCAGTATCTCCGCCGTGGATGTGAAGCCAGTGATCTTGAGCGAAGGAGTCATCGCCGGTATAGTGGTAGGATCTCTGGCAGCACTAGCCCTCTTCCTCAGCCTCAGCTGCTGGGCCTGGCGCAACCACAAGAAAGCGAAGCGCAAAAGTCGTGAAAATGCAACACTCGCCGACGCCATAAATCCCCACGGCGTTGCAGCAAGGATCGACGAAATAACGCACGGTTCACCACAGCACGCCAGCATCCATCTCGACGACAGAACCAAGAGTCCGCTCCAGCCTGCTCCGAACATGCAACATGATTTCTACGGCAACTTGATTCCCCGCCGTAGCTCCGACCAATACGGCTACATACCGCCCATCAACCCCACCATGTCTGAACTAAGCTACCATACCAACCCAACCTACAATCCGACTCCCTCCATCGTCGAAGAGCACTACATCCCGGACGCCATTCCCGCACCCTTGAATATCCGCTCCCCTCTTAATGCAAGCAACTTGCGAACTCAAAACGCCACTCCCATCCCCCGTCACCAGATTCCGGATGTCTACGAAGCGTACAAGCCGCGCGCACTCAGTAGAAGTGATTCGCGCAGACCCCGGCCCAAACAAAGCCAGGACAGTATGGGGACGACGGCGGTGACGGCAAGCCCGGTGCAGAGGTACAGCGCGGACGGATTTGGCAGGGCCGAGTATGATGACTTTGGGCAGAAGATTATCTATCGCTAGGGCGATGCGATATATTCGACTCCCTGCACGCCATGGTCGATTGGAAATGAGTGCATGGTGGTACGGGTTGGGTTGGGGGAACAAACGCATGGGGCTTGGTGGGACGAGCGGAGGACTGTGCGGCTTCCCGTGAGCAGGCTCTGCGTTGATTCGTTTGTGCAAGCGGGGAGGTTATTGGAAAGGGGATATGGCGGTCTTGTGTCATGGTGAGACAACGGGTGAGCAAACACCAAGTAGGTCGGTGTTATATCACCCAGCTTTACTTTCCTTTGTTCTGCAATACCATCAATCCAACATCTCTTCTACTCAAAATGGTAACAAAGAGATTCTTCGTTCTGCTAATTTGGTTTGGTTGCGCGACTTCACAATCCGTGCCGTTTTGCGACAAAGGAAATGCCCCATCTAACTTACCGGATTGCACGGTAAGTCTACCCATTCCCAGATGCACCAGTAACAGAATCTAAATGCGAGATCAGCGTTTATGTCTTGACAATGAGAGCAACGACGGAACATGCGCCAGCAATCTCTCCGGCTTTTGCCAACTGAGCAGTGGCTTCTCCAATTTCTTCACCCTCTGGGGCGATTGCTTGAAGACGCAATGTAAGAACGACGACGACAAGTATAGTTCGTACTCAACTCCCCAATGAGGAAGCAGAAGCTGACGGTATGTAGAAATCATGGATGAGTGGAAGCAAGCGTGTATGGCAGCGGTGCACGAAGACGACTTGATGACTGCGGACATTGGATACTGGAGATCATATATCAGCAGACCAGTACCAACAAGTGCGGATAGAGGCGACCTCGACGACTCTGACTCCGGCTGTGTTCTCGATTCCGCAGACTTCGAAGGAAGATGAGAAGACGAAGACGACCACGACAGCGACTGCCACGTCTGCGCCGGAGTCAGAGTCGAAGCCAGCGACTTTAAACGCACCATCACCGCCACCAGCCGAAAGCTCCACTTCGAAAAACCAACCAGCTTCGAAAGCATCTGCTCCGGTACCATCTCCCGACCCAAATCAAACCACTCCATCAACCCTCGAAACGATAATCTCAACCACCGACCTCGCATCCCCATCCCCATCCCCATCCTCATCCACCCCAGCACCCACCCCTCCACCCCCGTCATCAACACCCACAATCGCCGGCGCCGCAGCCGGCGGAACAGCCTTACTCGCCCTCGCCCTCGGCACCGCCTTCTACCTGCTCCGCCGCCGCAAACGCGCCCAATCCCAGGCTTCCACACCCCAACACTGGGCCCCGCAAGGCGGCGTGGGAAGACCCACTCTACCCGACATTAGCGGCGTGTACGAGAAAGAAGGGAATGGACTGCAGCGATATGCGAATCCTACACGTGCTGTGGGTCGAGGTCATGTGCAACAGGCTTCAGTGCAGCAGGGCTCGATTCATCATCATGCCTCCACTGAGCGGGTGAAGTTGAATGGCTCGCCGTATCCAGAGTTGAATGCGTTGTATCATGAACTGCGCTTCCCGCATCATGAGTTGGAGTCGCCGCAGCCGCAAACTTCGCTGCAGCAGGGGTGGGATGGAGTGAGCGAAGTGCATGCGGAGAGTCGGAGTCTCGTGAATGAGTCGGAGGGTGGAGGGATGGGTAGGAGGATGGAGGGTGGGGAGAGGGGGAGATATTATGCTGGGAAGAACTTTTGATTGGGTCGAGGAAGACAGAGAGGTATGCTTATTGCATGCGAAGGTGATGTGACTGTCAGCAAGTAATGGCTATGAAAACTACATCTACTTCTGCTCAAATTGCACTTTCATTAATTCAACGATGCTATTGTAGCATATTCAACCCAGCCTCTGCATTTCTAACAGCGTGCGCGTCTAGTCGCACAGCTAGAGCTCGTAATACAATGTCACTGGTCGAACTCGATGATGCACCCCGTCTCAAAGGTTACACAGGCAATTCCACACCGTAGCACCAAGTCATATCATCGTTGCATATATGCCACATGCAGCGTGTGCTCCGGCGTGACTGCGGGAGGAGTATTGATTTCCTCGGCTTCTTGACCCAGTGACTGGACTCTTGATCTCTAACCTGGAACGCTGGGTATTCAGATTAGCCCGAGGCCTAAGCGCATGCATAAGGAACGCCTTTCCCAAACTCAATTGAGAAGTTTGCGCATCACAGTCAGCTGGTCCTGGGTGTGCATGTTATGGTATTTGAGCTTCTATGTGAACTTGTTTTTCCGCATCACTTCAGTGTACTCAACACAAATGATCTCAGATCGGCGACCTCTCGTCAGAAAAGTGATACAGCAAGTGCACCGCATGCATCTGTGCGATAGAAGTGTATGTCCTGCTCTCTTCCCGTCGCGTACTCGCAGGATAAACATTAGGGAAACACGGACGTTAGCCAATGTGGCATCTTTGTGCTTGGTTCATTCCAAATTGTTCTGTCCTTTGGAACCTGGTATAAGAGTGAGATTTTACTCCGTCATGAGTTTGTCCACATCTGGAACCAATCCTCACTCCTTTGACATTACTTTGCTCGGCAACCTCGCATACGGACAATCCTTACATAGTCGAAACATAACTCATACAGTAAGTAACTACATGCACAGATCTCTGCGACATTCAAGCAACTACTTGAAGACCACAAGAAAAGCTCACTCACCACCCTCCATCAGCATAACCCCATCCACCATGTCAGCCACCCTCATAACCTCCGTCCTCCCCATCTCCACGGCCCTCTTCCCGTCATCAGCTTCCACCGCTACACCCATAGATGATTGTGGATGCCACCTTCACGCACTCAGCGGCCATGTGAGGTCCGCGGCTATAGCAATGGGCTCGATCATTGCATTTCTCATGCTTGTAATTCTGTTCATGTGGTGTACCAGGGGGACAGATAAGAAAAAGCCGAAGAAGAAGTCGAAAGAGGCTATGCCGATGCGTAGATATAATTGAACTGTTTGGGGGAGGAACTAGTGCTCTGAAAGGGCGTGGGAAGGTTGTATGGCGGGTCGCAGGAGTAATGCAATTTAATATATAAGACCGTGCTTTGGAATATCATCTTGATACATTGTTGCTACAAGATCCTGAAGTTGCTTCTTCCATGAGCCGTAAAATAGCAAACATATTACTTTGTGTGCTGCGCAGGCTGAGAATGTATTAGTAGTCGATCAAGATGATACATAGGTAGCCCTTCGTAGTCAGTCACTTCCAGTGGGCCAGCTTGTGCGACAATCCTACCTTCTCGGCGCAGTTTACCGTATTATTTCAAACACCATCATGGATGATTTGAATATGAGACATCGAATTTTTGCCCAAGAACGTCGTTGATGGAGACATGTGAATGATGACTAAGATCACGTAATATGTCATTCATCACGGTAACAGTCAAATAACATCACCCCGTCATTGAGATAATCTGAGTACCGGCGTGTTCGCGGTGTTTCTATTACAATCAAAAGACGCATCGATTCATCTCTCGATTTTGTCTCTCGAGTCGGCTGGTAAAGTCGCGCTGTTGGAGGCCAGTTTTCTGCGCGCGAGGGTGTCTTGTGCATGAGGCCTGAGAAACTTCCAACGTATTGATCGAGCAAAGAAGGAAAGTCCTTGCAGATAACGGGAAATCGCGCTCCCAAGGTTGCTTGTTTCTGCAGCCTAATCACCGCCAAGCATGCCAAGGTGAGCACTATTTGGACGCGGAGAGTGCGGGGTCATCTTCTTCGCCCCCAACGCCTCCAGCACATGTTGGTCCAGGAATACCCTGCCGCAAACGACAGCTGTAGTGCGCTTGGGAATTCTAGAAGATCTCCACCTCGACCGGTCACCCACGTTGTCCTGTCCTACCATTCGTTCCCGCTCATGGCGAAGCTATTTTTGGGCCGCCAGACTGCATGCCCAGGTTCTTATCTGCAGGCTTGAATGTATTCCAAGACTTGCTCTGCGATGTTGTATGGTATGTACTGATGTTGCGGCGCAGTCGTCGAATCGGAGCTGTTATTACATCACCACTGTGCAGAAGATCGTCGCGGTGTGGACGGGATACGTGCTACTTTCGCAGTATGGTGTAAGCTGACATAGCCTGCCTTATCATATGTGACTGGGCGGGTTCGAAAGCAGCTGGTCGAAGCCGGAGCGCTGCATAGTGATAAAGAGCGAGGATGCATCTCTGAAACACCGACCTTTTTATCCACCCAAGTAAAGTCCATTGTATTTGGTTTCACGACTGCGATGTCGTACCAGCCGCTGAAATTGCAGCACACCGTGGAGGTGGAGCCGGTGCATGAGAACTACGCGCCCCCCTCGCCTATTCGTCCAGAACATCAAGAATTTCACGACTTTGCATTTAATCCCACGAGCCCTAGCCCAGCTCTTGCTTTTGGCGGGACCAGCCATCAGTTGACGAATGAACCCCGAACCATCAAGCATGCTCCTACCTGGAGCTCGTCCACCAACACTACAGCTGTAACGTCCGAGATCTCTAGCCTGCAGTCCGATGGCAAGACAAAGTCAGGTCGCAAGGCTGTGTTGTCCCGAAATGATACCTGGACCTTCGAAATCTTGGCTCTCATAGTTGCGCTTGCTGCTGTTGCAGCTATCATTGGCGTAGTCTTTCGCTACAATGGGCGCGCGTTGCCGGACTGGCCTCATGACATAACGCTCAACGCTCTCATAGCTTTACTTGCGACCTTTGCTAACGCCACAATATCCGTGTGCCTGTCCAGTGGTATATCGCAAGCGAAATGGATCCGCTTCAAGCAATCCGCAGCCCCTTTGTCGGACATGGAGGCATTCGATGATGCGAGTCGCGGCTCTTGGGGTTCGATGAAGCTATTGGCAACTGCCCGGGGCGGGTAGGTTATCCTCAACCCGTATTTGAATGCGTCGCTGACAAGTCTTCATCAGCTCACTTGGTACCTTCGGAGCTATAATTGCTGTGGTTGGCCTTGCTCTTGGACCATTTGCTCAGCAGATTGCGACTTACAAGGTCCGTGACGTCGAGAGCGATATTGGTGCCATTATTCCAAGAGCTCTCAACTACACAGGTGCCCTAGTCGGCAACACGAGCTCAAGTGAGTACTCACGATTGATTAAGTTGATGCTCTGTTAATCTGGGATAGCCGGATACGTGCCCATTTTGCCTTTGAAAGCCGCGGTGTACAACGGGTTGTTCGCAGAGAATAACAGACCGGCTGCGTCTTTGCCTTTTACATGTCAGAGTGGCAATTGTGCCTGGGAAGCTTTCGAAACCCTTGCCGTCTGTCAAGAATGCACGGACATCAGCTCACTCGTCACACGGTACTGTCCGCCAGAGATGGGTGCGTCACCAAACATGTCGACATGCGGCTGGCAAGTGCCACAAGGAGCGCATCTCAACACCAGCTCCGACGTGTTCAGCATGACATCATTCATTCCTTCGGCGTATGGCGATATGCCCCATTCCACCATGGTCCGAATCATCTTCATGGGTACTGAAAAGCACGACGTTGCAGATGCAGTAAATCCCTGGGCAAAGCAATGCAGTCTCCAAGCTTGCGTGAACACTCTAGCCTCGTCGGTCACAAACGGTATACTGCAAGAGAACATCACACATACCGTACTAAATCGTACTGTGGTCGATATCAGCTCACCTGGCGACTCCGACTATGGTGTCTACATCAAAGGCGACTCCAAAGAGCCATATCTCTTGGGTATGGGTGCACTTCTCAGCATACGCGGCTGGTTTAGTGCCATCTTTACGAATGGTTCTGCAACTCGCACAACCAGCGACTTCTCTCGCAGCATCACAGATTCAGATCGTGCTGTTGTTGTGAACCTCACTGTCGGTGTCTCATCGGGAGAAACATTCTTTGATACCGACATCGTCACTGCGTTCTACTGGAATTACTATGAATACCCGAGAGGCATTGACATGCTCATGAGCGATCTCGCTGTGTCGATGACCACCGCCTTTCGAGGTTTCATGGGTGCTGTACCCACCAATGGCACTTCGATAACGACGGAGTCTTATGTCCACGTTAGATGGGGATTCGCGGTACTTCCCATCGCAGTTGTCGTTGCGTGTTTGGTATTCCTTCTTGCTGCAATGGCCATGACGCGGACTTCGAAAACGCAGCTTTGGAAGAGCAGTGCGCTTGCTGCTTTGTTCCATGGCTTGGACAAGGAGACAAGGGAGCGATTCCACGGAGAAGATGGATTGCATATGAAGAAGAGACAGGCGAAAGCAGTCAAGGTCAGGCTGTACACAGACAGCCGAGATGAGACTTTGCTGGGGTCACCGCAAATGTCTGAAGAGACAGGGCCAAAACTCCGACGATGGAGGAGGAACACGCAAGCCTAGGATTTGCATAGGCAACGGGATATCTACGCCAAACTCAAACATACATTTCAGTCGTAAATCGGAGGTTTCTCCATCCCACATCACTATTTTATCTTGAAATCGTTCTGCTGCTCAACTGAGCCATTCCATGTTATTGACATTAAGTCTTACAGCTTGACCCGTAGGTGACACTCGAAGACTCATTTTCACGGTGACGAGATTGGGACGAGTCGTAGCCTTGATGACCTTAGGAGGAATCATGCGCTGCTTTCAAATCCACTTAGCGCTATTTCAAATCAGTAGTCTCCAATATACATAATCCCTGCAAAGCTCCTCTAGCTCAATACCTACTAACTCCATATTAATCATTCCGCACCCGACAACAATGCCTGGACATTTCACAAATGTCGTCACCACTTCTCTCACTACCTGCCGAGCTACGAAATTAGATCTACGAGTACGCACTATTCGAGAGCGATGGGCTCTGCGTGGAGACTGAGAGCAAATCAGAACGAGATCAGATTGTCTTTGCGTCCAAGACGTGGCCTCGGTCGATAAACCAGCTCAAGTTCGTCAACCATCAATTACACCACGAGACAGTTTGTTCGAGGGCTGATGCTTGTCCGATCAATCGCCGCAAACTTCTTTCTCGCACAAGGCGCACTGACTGTGCTAGTGAGAAATCTCAGAATAATTTTATGTCAAATTGAACAGGGTTTGGCTTCTGCCTACTGACGACGTTCCACTACACGGATTTTAATCCGACTTGAGTGACGCACCCAGTTCCTCTAGTCGCTTAAGTCACGACTCTGGAAACGATGGTTGCTCCGCTTATCAATCAATTAGTTTAAACGGCGCTTGAACGACATCAGCTCCTTCAACTTGAGACTCTTCAGCCGGACCCTGTCTATGATGAATCGATGTTTTTGCGCATAACCTTTCTGCCCTCTTGTCCACATGTTCTCCTGTTTAGACTCGCCATATTCATTAAGAGTTCCTCGATAGGGGTTGCGGGGAAAGTACTCACTTCACTGCTACGCTGGACTTCTGCAATGAGAGATTCGCTAGACAAGAGCTAGTGTTTTTGGAGCTGATAGAATACTTGTTGCGACGCGGTTGCATTATAATGTCACTTGTCCGTTTGAAAATACTGAAGGTTGGTCTTTATAAACTCGATTTGAGATCTGCTATAACTACATGAATCAGGGCAGTGTTCAGCGCTTCAACGTCTCACTTGTCTCGTCCGCTTGATCGCCATCACCTCACTCAATGTCTCTAGCGATATCGGCGTCTGCTGTGCGATTTAATTCGAGCAAACGGATTGCTTATCTCAGTCGCTTGCACCGTGTGGCGTGCGGCCCTTCACCTGACAGGTACATATTCCAATTGCACTCGCGAGATAGAGGTGAGAAGGTAAGCTGCATGAGTGCTCGAAATCTCTATTCTTATATCTCAGAAATTTCAAGGTCTACTCAAGTCTATATTGCCTCGCTGGACCTCTCGCTTGTCGACTGTCGTGGTTCATTTATCCCCGCGGTCGGTGGCGCGTTCCAATGCACCTTCACCTGTGCCGTATCACAACGCTCCCTCCCGTGGTCGGCTCGTCGTATCTGTTTGTTTAGATAAGAAATTCCTGCGCCTTTTGACTACGGCCGAGATCGGCACTGCTGATATGAAGAAGCTCTGCTCCCTTCGTCCCTTTCTCTCCTCCACATCCCACAAACCCCCAATCATATTCGAATCTATCCCCACAGCCGGTCAACAAAGGTCTAAACTCATGATGACTTCGGTCCTTGTCTTTTTGCTGTGCGCAACTTACCTCGCTTTCGTCGCCTCCGCCGCTGCTATCACTGGCCGTAGTGCCTCAAATGTCTCCAGCAACCCATTTGTATGGGCTTCCCTCGGCGACTCTTGGGCAGTAAGTTCTCATAATTACCTCCGTCATGCTGATCTTCTTTACTGACCCTGCGCAGAGTGGCGTGACCTATGGTCTTCCGGGCCGCACCAACTTCGACGGTATCTCAGACGATTGTATGCGCAGCAAACAGGCATACTCTGTGCAAATTAGCGGCGAGAGCACCTGGGTTCCAGGTGAACGTCCTCAAGTTTTCGCCTTCCAGTCTTGTGTGGGCACTCCCTTCACCGGAATTGACCGCGTCCCCTACAAAGGTCACGTTCAGCTGGCCGGCATTCCGGCCGACATCGATATGATCATGCTTCAGGCTGGCCACGACAGTGCGAACCTCGCCGCAGTTGCCGGTGCCTGTGTCTACAAACAGGGCAACTGTTCGCAGGAGATTGCGCGGGCGTCTAGCTACATCAACGGCAAGGACAAGGACCAGCTCTTCCAAGATGTCCTGTCGAACATCGACAGCATCTTCGGGCACGAAGAGGTCAAGACCAACGACCGCTTCCAGCTCTTTATGCCTGGCTATGTCCAGGTGTTCTACGCAAACGGCGGTGAGGGTGACTGGTGTAGCAATGCTACCTTTGCGGTTGTTGAAAATGGCCCACTTTTGAGCCTTGAGTTGCGCAAGTCCATCAACCAGCTGCTTCAGGATCTCAATACTGGCATCAAGGCTGGCATCGCTGCTAGCTCTTACTCTGAGCGCACTCATTTCATCGACGTCGACCCTCAGTTCAACGGCCACCGCTTCTGCCACCCAGAGCACACAATCATTGAACAGTACACCAGCGACAAGGTCTACCTCTGGAATATGTCGCCTGCAGAGGCGAACGCCACTGATCCGGGTATGGCTCTCCGAACCTTCCACCCCAAGGAGATTGGCTACAGGGCCATGACCAACGCCATCATCCAGAACCTCAACACCCAGTACGGTACTGTGACGGCCATGGAGTCACCTCAGTCGGCTGTATCCACAGTGGCGTACGAGAACTCGATACAGATTCTTTTCGCCGAGCACAGAGGATACCTTCTCCTGGTACGTCTTTCAAGGGTCCTTGGGGGATAGCAGTCAGTCCTTGCGGGAAGCGAGAGAAGTTCAAGTTGAGTGCCGAGGACATGCGAGAGCCAAGACCTCACAAGGACCTGTCCCTCATGAATCCACCTCGGATACCAGCGGGTGCGAACTGGCAAATCGAGATTGAAGGCTGGTCTGACGATGACCGTTGTTGGGATCGCCGGGGATAAGGATGGGGCTGGTTCGCTTAAGTGCGGAAACCCGCCATTCTTGGACTATCCGATCATGCCGGACCCCGGTAACACCAATGGGATCATCCGCTGCCTGAATGGAGACATGGTCGGTCTTGCTTTCCATCGCGCGTGGAACGTCGAGTGGTAGGTATGTTTACCTACGTTCATTGGTGCGGTACCTGGGTATCACGTATACTCTAGGATCAGCAGTATAGACGTCGCAGTAAATTGAGGTTCCGGCCATGTGTAAAAACAGTTTTTGATACTTCAGTCGTTTAAGCTTGGGCCATGATATTGTGAATTCGAACAGAACGCCGATCATGTACATTTCACGACCTAAATGTTTGCCCGGCCTTCGACCATCCGTGCATCAGCAAGGTCGCGCCTCCTGTTCCTGGGCGCACATTTCAGCGTAGGTTGGACGATTTTCTGTCGCATCCGGTCACTCACAAAGAATCCTGTGAAATCTTGAAGCGCTTGGCCGTTCATGTAGCTGCTCAAGTCCACACAAACCTGCGTCCTAGGAACTCTTGCGACCGCCGACGTCAGCCGCTAAACAGTCACATCCAGAGGAAAAGACCGAGCTACAGCACAGAAATCCTCAATATTGGGTCAGTCGATGTATCCACAAATGCTACCCAATTATTAAAATACTCATCAGTGAACACTGAAGCGGATTTTGTTACACTACGCGTCGACAGTCCTGCACCGTGCTGTACGCTCGGGCAACAATCCGAGGGCGATGGCACAAGAACGCGGTGATGATTACCGACCAGCAAAAACAAATATTCATCTATTCTTTGACCTAGACTAAGTCTACATATGTGTATTTGAAGAAAATCAAAGCTGAGCGCGGGACCAAATCCGTGAAAATGAATGCAGTGCATAAGCGAAACTCCAATTGCCAAGACGCTCAATATCTGTATGTGACTTGTGGTGAGGACAAATCCTGACCTCCAGAAGGTGGCGATCTTGGCTTTTGCTGTCCTTTCTTTCTTCCTCTACCTGGTGGTGGCGAATCAGTACGGCCAGGGATTTGGCCATTGGGAGAACACCCCCCACAGACCGCGTGCTGGCATACTTTCTTCATTTTTCTGAACAAACAGTTCCGGGTATCGTTCTCTTTATTGCTTTTGCATTTGCAACACCACCATGTTGGCCAAACATTCGACCCCTGAAGCCTCAACACTGTCCTGAAGGGTAGATATGATGTCCAGGGAAATCTACCCCAGGGTGGAATTTTGAGAGCTTGATCAAGACCTAAGCACCACATTGGAGGTTCCTCTTCTGCTCGTTGAGTCAAACATGACTGGCTACACCGCTTGTGGGGACACGGTATGTGTCTGGCTGCATGAGGGTTTGGAAACCCACATTCAGTTTTGTACATCTCGTGCGGAATAGGAGGATTTCCTTTCCTACCAACAAGACATTGACAACAATACCAGACTTGTCTTGGGATAGGTGGTTGTATGGGAGCAGCCTGTTGTAACTGGCCCCGTGCAGATGAGGCGGTCGTAATGTTATACAGTGACATTCGGGGGTCTTGAGGAGTCCTTGGCGGAACACTTGAGGCAGTCGTGATATTGGATAACGACATTTGAGAACCTGGAGGTTGAGCAGTGTTACTCGAAGAACTTCCACCAGTGTTTTGTCGCCGTGGTGGAGGTTGAGGGGGTGATTTGGACGCGCCACGTTTCACTCCGCCGGGGGTAGTCTTGGACGACGAAGACCCGGTGGTCTTTTTACTATTGTCTGAATTCTCTTTTCCATTTTTCTTGCCATTTCCACTCCCACTTCCTATTCGGAAGCTGCCAAACATGGTGGGTATGAATGTATGGATGCTAATTTGCCGACTTGAAGATAACAATCTAACCAGTAGATTTCCGAGGTTGATTTCGTGGCTGGTTGAACGCCGTGGAAGATAACTGCAAATTTTCTTGTATGGAGGATATTGCTGTGTGAAGTGGAGGGAAGTATGATGATGAGTGCTGTATGAAGAAGATGTTAGAGCGCCAAAAGCGCATGCTTTATATACCACAGGTGTGCTACTCAAGCGCTGTGAATTCTTTCAGATACAGTTTGCAAGATCACCAACGAGAGAATCATGTTCGTCTTCCCGTGAATCATACCTGATTGCGTTTTGCAGTGACATGTGATCTTCACGCAACACATATCAAGAAGCGCAAAGTGAAGGAAATCATTCAATTCTTTCGTAGAATTCGAATCTTCTGGGCCTCAACGCAGAAACCACATCAATGCAAGGGCTTGGCGCATTGAAATGTCCGACACTAGAGACAACGATGCACACGCGAAGATCGCCAGCATGACCAAGAATCAAGTGATTGTTAATGGACGTATTTACCATCTGCAGTCAATGAAACGCGACTATTTCTCTGCCTGACTTACATACAAATTTCACGCCTTGCTTATTCTCGGCTCAACAGATTTGTCAGTCAATATGTCATGCTGGGGTGAAGCAACTGCTCCATGAGCGCGAGAAACAACTCTCCTTCTTCGTACGTATGTATTCATAATTTATCGGAGCCTTGGGACAGTAGCAGTGAGTTTCGACCATCCATAACCCTGTATCCAATCATTAAGTCTTGATTCAGTGCATTCTTGTTACATGAGATCATGTGCATCGGAACTCTACACAACTTTTCAATTCCAACGCCATATCGTGCAATGATCTCATTGTTCATAATTTCAAAATAGAGTATTTGTGCAAACAAACAATCAAGATCTGCGCAATGAAAACATACAATAACGCCAATAAATCCAAAAAGGTAGAAACCTCAAGATGATTAGCGCCAGTAGCAGCCCGTACATTGATCTCCTCAGTGGTCGCACACATACTTTCTATATGTGCCTTTATTTAATATGTGTTTGCATATCGAATTCGTGTTGCGCTTCCTGCAGTCGTCATGTCCTTGTCTAAGACATGTACAAGAAGGCCACGAGAAGACACGCCTTGTGCTTGCCCTTGGTGAAGAGGATGTTCCTTTGATCTGTTGACGCGGAGAAGCTGCATTTTTTCCCGGAAGCGAAGAAAATTTTCCTTGTGATCGTGGACGTGGAGATGGCGATGAAGTCTCCGGTCGATGACTGGTAGCAGGTATTCCAGCTCTTGCTAGAAGAGGACGGGAAAACGACGGCCCAGCGTTGGGTTGAACAGGCGGGAAGACATGTCCAATATCAGTTTGATATCTTGTCCGAGATGTGCTACCTCTAGTAGAGAATTTTTGTATCCGTATTGTACTTATTAGAGGTCTCTGAGCGTGACAAGGTGGATGTGGTTGAGATGTCCAGGCCAGCAATTTTGCGCCTCTAGGGCAAGTTTTATGAGTGCATGTTGTTCGCGAACGCTTCGTCCATCTTGCTCCTTCTTTCGTCTTCCGCGATAAATTCGCAATATTGCACCCCCAGCAAGTGTAACCCGGATAACACAAGTAGTTTAGGGATCTTAAATAATCACAGATTCAACCTGAATGTTTACCCCACGGTAGTTTTACATTTTTCTCCTGGACCCTTGTCGAAATTCCTCGGATTTAAGGACCGATGGGATCTGATGCCTCTGTAAGACGCACTGACCGAAACACGTAGCCGTCCTGTGCAAGCACGTCGAGCATGTGCCTTTTTGAGTAACCTAGCGCCCTTCAAACCCATTGACCCTCATCAGCGGCATTTTGGTGGGCATCGACACTGTCTTATTTCTTAAACAGAAGCAACAGAAGAGTATTAGTTCGTCTCGCATGCCACCTTGACCAGGAGGATCTGCAGGCTGGGTTTGTCTAGAATGTTGGACTAAGTCAGATTCAGTATGTTTGGCGCCGGCGATTGATGCAGTCGCCTTCCCTTTGCCCTTGCCACCCTCGGGCGGTGGGATGTTCGGACTCCCACTCTTGGGCTTACTTCCACCTCCGAAACTATGCCACATACAGTATAAACAGCGTTCCAAGGTCCGAGTTGAGAAGACCCAGCCAGTGGATCTGGAAGAGGGGCTTAAAAGAACTTTCGGGAAACAATGTCTGGATTTCTAATCAGCTGTATTTGAGTTACTAGGCTTAAGAGTTCTTGAATATACTGGAAACGGTTCAAGGAAAGAGGGTGTAGATGCCAGAGGAGCAACACATTACATGTGCCCCTGGCTTCGCAACAAACACTGAAAGTGTCAAGCAGTTGTAAGATGCACGATGTAAAAATGGTCCGCAGTAATTCGAAGGAACCTTGTCACTGACTGCTACAGCAGTGACGGGTGCTAATCAAGACACAGAACTTGGAGGGCGATTTGGGAAATGCGATCGTGCGTGACGATATTTTGAACGATTGACAGCGACAAAGCAGTGAAGACTTTCTGTTAGATGATCATACATATACAAGGAAGCCGTGCGTAATATGAGTGCATCAACGAAGAACTTATCCAACACAACCCGAACTATCATCACTGATTTTAGTGATTGAAAAGGCTGCAACAGAGACGCAGTGACTCAACAAGGATGGTAGCTCTTCTTAAGTGTCACTAATACGAATTGATAGAACGTCGAATGCTAATTAGGGCAGCTACGTATCTTTACGTGTGTATTGCAGCGGCAGATCAGTTATCACCGTGCATGTGCTTTAAAAACTATAACACAACAACATGTGGATGGTGTTTATGGTCTTGTATCCAAACAATTATCTCTGGATCATTGCTCGCATCCTTGCCTCAATCCCGCCATTTCTCTCTAATACCGTCTTCATTTTAGTATCGATTCTATTGATAAGCCAAGTATCCCAAGCAAATGCTAAATGCTCCAGTACACCCAAATCTGGCAATTGCCTCGATATAACATCTCTTGGTGACCGCAGATCTCACGTGAAGTCGTATTCGGACACTCTCATTTTCCAACTATAGGAACTCTCGCCTTCTCAGCCTCCGCATTGACACGGTCTTTACAGATTCATTCCATTGTGCTAGGTTTCTGCAGAACAGACGCATTTAGCTTGTCAGATTAAGAGAGTCTTTGAAGATCCAGAGGTAAAGCAAGCATGCAGACAAACAAATCCAAACATGCTGATAAGATATATTTGATATGACGCTGAACATTCCAGAAAATGATAAACAGTCTACGTTTATTGGAAACGATCTCGACTGTTTTGGCACCTCCTGCAATCCGAAATTCTGTGCGAGCACTGCCATGCGGGCCATTCGAACTGCGCATCATACCAGTGTGAACATCGCTCTCTGTCGTTAGGCACCGTAGAATGTTTGTTGTTTCTATCTCCGCACTGACAACAAAGCCATAGATCGACTGGCGCCATATCTCCTACTCCCTGTCGCTGTGCAGGTGGAGAAGGAGAGGGAGTCTTTGATCTGGGACGAGCAGATGATGGCCCGGCCTGGGAGCTCAATGCAAAGTATGGTGGATCTGCGCTTATTCGAGGTGCGAGGGAACCAAACGGCAATATTGGCTGTGTTGATTGTTGGGGTGGCTGTGAAGCTGGAGCTGTGTACCCTCCTGGTAGTGGTGCTGGCTGTCGAGCTAGTAGATGCCGTTGTGTTTGAAGTGGAGGTGTTTGTTTCCAAGGCTCTTCTGTTAGACAGCCTTTGCAGGGTAGATGACTACAACCTCCTCTTTTGTGGAGGCCTTGTCTACATTTTGCCCAAGAATTCCACCGGAACCATGGATCCCCGTTCTGAAGATTGTCCCTCCCCGGAAGCTCTGATTTCTCACACATGCAGCAGCGGAAACTTGGGTAACACATGAAGTCTAGGTATCGGAAGTGCTCGTAGTCCCATCCCCTATCATCTTTCCTGCCATAGGCCCACGGCAGATCGATTCTTATCTTTTCTTCTCTTGTAGCGAGTCCTATAAGCCAAGCTCCGATGGGATCTGATGCCTTTTGAACGACGCATTGATGGTTACATGAAGTCCTGTCGTGATTGCAGACTATGCATTTGTCTTTCACAGTGACTATGTGACCCCAATGCCGCACAGGTGGATTCTTCTGAGGAACTGCCACGGTCTTCTTTTTTAGGCAATTGCAACAGATGAAGATTTCATCATCTTTCATAGGAGTGCTTGGTCGCGGTGTTTGTCGATCCGGCGGCGTTGATTGGGGTGCAGCACGTTTCTTGCCGGCCGCGACTGAAGTCGTGGCTTTTGCCTTGCCTTTTCCACTCTCAGCCGGTATATCTTTTGGACTCCCACTTTTACTTCTACCTCTGCGGTCGTCCTGCCCGCTTCCCCGACCACTTGGGCTTCTACTCTGCCTTCCACCTCCAAATCCTGGGCCACGAAGCATTGTCTTTTCCGGTGTTCTGATGTCTTAATGAGGGATAGATCCAACCAGTAGATCTGAAAGAAGGGTTTGATATAGGTCGTTCAGGGAGATGATATTCGATGGTCGCTCGTCTTTGAAGATCGAAGACGTGAGGTAACGAAGTAGAAAAGAGTCTGTCCGTGTGAATGTGTATTTGGATTTCTGAGGAAGTAAAGTGCTAGGTGCCAGCGCAGCAGTTTATATACCGTGTTTAGCGTATTGTGAAGAGATGCTATGAAGGATCGAGGTTTGCTGACGTGAATGCAACAAGATACTGTCACCAAAAGTTGTGACTGGAAAAGGTTCTCAGTCATCTATTACTGGAGCTGGCGCTAGTTCGTCACAGCCTTGGTTGACAGACGCTTCCAAAATTTATGACGCGAGAACACTTGTGACGGTTCAGCCGTGTGAATCCAACGAGCGCGCTTGAACATTTGAGCCGTCGTAGCGTCTTGCGTATCTCGGTCGTAGACTTTCCGCATGAGAGAGACACAAGCGTGACTTTATTGATATATTTCGTTTAAGTGCTAAGCCATCCCAGAAATCACGCACTGTTCGCTTGTAGATGTAATATGGACTCGCCGCAGTCATTAGCTGTGCACAGTCACCCCGTCACATTCACCATCAATACCCATGTACTTTGTATTCACAGTCTTTTAGTGCAGCGAAAAGAGCATTTCGTCATCTTCAGAATTGAATCATGTACAAAAGATCTGCTACAAGGTTGGAATAAAGGGAATACTGGGGTCGGGCTGAAACGTCCACTTCTCGCAGTGTGTCCCGCAGTTCAATGAATTGTGGGGGCATCTCTGACATTTCATCACCCCCAAGTTTGCTATGTCTGCCTGAGGATGTCCCAGTTGCTGACACCATGTGCAGATCCAAGCCCATGATAGTTTCGGTGGAGATGTTGCCGGGGGCGTTTGAGGTGGCACCAGGTGTGACGATGCAGGCTGACGCGCTGAGAGGGGGGACGGGTTTGCTTGAACTGGTGGTAGATACGAGGGTGTGGCCTGGTGCGAGTGAGATGTCGACTGATTTGGTTTGCGCGGCTGATCGTACGATGGTGGCCCGCGCTGCGCTTGCGCAGGCATATCAGCCATCCCTTCATGATGCTCTTCTGACCAAGGTTCAGTGCGACAGTTCTTGCATGGCAAATGGTCGCAAGACATTCCGGTCGTATTGTTTCTTCGGCGACATCTCGGGTACTGGAATCTTTTGCTGAGTTCTTTTGTTCGCGAGTTAAAGGAAGGGTGGTCGTTGTTCCTGCATTTACAACAGAATAAGCCAGGCCAGCACTCAAACTCCAGGTACCGAAAGTTGCTATACGTCCAGAGCCTTTCCGGTCCGACTCCCACGGAAGAACCGAAAGTCTGTTCTTCGCAGCAAGTCCGAAAATCCAAGCTCCAATAGGGTCCTGTGCTTTTTGAACTACGCACGTTTCATCGCACATCATATGCCCACAGTCCATACATTGATCATTCGGCCTGGTTCCTCGCCCCTGGCGCGGATTCTTTGCAGGACTAGAAGTTGTCCGGGCTTTGAGACATACATAACATAAGAGCATTTCTTCTAATGGCTAAAGTTGAACAGTTACTGAGGCTGTAGATCGGCGGGGTGGTGGAGAAGCTGACTCGGCGGGACGCTTCCGGGCGCCCTTTCCAGTTGAGGGTGTCATAGGTTCCTTACCTTTATTGTTGCTTATTGGAGATGGATTCGCACTTCGCTTGTCCACAGGACCTTTTCCTTTTCCACTTCCACTCCCATTTCCCAGACCCCATACCATTTTGAGCGGAGGTGGTGTGCTAGGTAATATTTCGTAACGCTAATCAGGGACGCAACCGGTGGATCAGTGGTAACAGAAGTAGGCAAAAGTCGAATAAAAGAGGCTGTCGAGAGTCTCCGGGACTTATGAGTGAGATGCTAAAGGCGGCTGAAGAATTTGTGGAAGAAGAAAGTGGGAAAGGAAAGAGGGTTTTTGAGTACGCAGCAGGCTCAGAGGGTGTGATGTGAATTGATTGACATGAATGGTTAAACCATCGCAATTTGCGCGCAGTACCGCGGTGACTTGAACCCGAGTTAACTTAACTCTCACAGCACGATGGTGAATTATGACTCGACATCGCGGAAAAGTGCGAGTTCAAGTACCGGAAGCCTGGCCAAAACATGAGCCTCGACTGTAAGGTCCGTCAAGTAGAGACATGGCGACTCTGACTGATACTCGCCTAATAGATCTTCTCGCTCTACACGAAAAGTGGTCGTAGTGAATGCTGCAATGGTACTAGAAACTGGCAGTGACAGCGGTCCCCACGCACAGACCACCAACTTCCGGATACCGGCACACAGTCACACCCTCCCATCTTGCGATCAGCATCTCCGACGTCGAAACAAGCTTCTCCAATCTTGATCTTCGCACAAAGCTTATACTTAGCAGATGGAATTCGTTCGACATCGAGGCTCTGCTACGGACTGCGAATCCTTCCCCGTCACGTCCAACTCTCCTTTCGCCAGCTCAACGCCCGATAACCCATCCGGAGCAGAGGTCCTTCGACGAAAAGCTATGTGGGCGTCTCTAAACCCGAATTGTCCATGAGACAAGACATACCAGGGTCGCAATACTCCATACTGGTGCCTCATTCAACATTTCACAACATTGTCCGGCGACTCTGAAATCGTGAATACGTGTCCATAAATTCGTATGCTCATACAAATCGTCCCAAGAAAAAACCTGTTATATGCAAATGTACCCAGTCCCATGCTAGGTATCTCCGAACGCCTCGCTTTATGACAAAGAACCAAAAACAAGACAACATCATGCAAGTCAGTCACCGATCCTACCGATACGCCGCATACTCTAGCTCCTCCCGCCTCATACCCGGTGGACTATGCGGCATCGGCATCGGGGCCGGCAAGCTCAACTTCCTCGTATCGACCTTGACCTCCCTGAGATCGACCTCGCGGACCAACTCATCTGCATCATGGAACGTGCCGACGTGTTTGACCAGCGCGTCCACGTTCCGGCATATCGCGTCGACGTCGCGGCCCTTGCTGCAGATAATGCACGCGTACTCGCCGTCGGGGGTGTGACACTTGAGTGCGAAGCGCTGACCGAGTCTGAATTCGCGCGTCTCCATGATTTCTGTCTCGTAGCCCTGCTCGATGATTGTGCGTGGCGTGCGCTTTCCAATCATCCAGAAGTCGTCGGCTGTTACGTCGAGGGTGACGCCGCAGGCAGGACATTGGCATGGGCCGCCCGGTGCGAAGTTTGCGGACAGCGGTTTGTCGCGCGCGTATTGCAGGTCGAGGCTGTAGCGGCAGAAGAGTTGGTCTCCGGAGTCCATGATGGCGGTTGGAGCGCGTCGAGGTGGTGCTGATATTGATCGCGGCGGTGAGGCGGAGCGGACGGAGTTGCCCGAGGACATGCGCTGTTGTGCTTGGTGTAGGGCATCTAGGGAGCCTTCGCGGGCGGCGTTGGATGCGGCGATGAGCTTGGCTTGATCGGCACGCGTGAGCTGTCGGTCGTTGTTGAGAGCGTCTTGGAGGACGTTGATGACAGTTTGCTGGAGGGAGATGATCTGGGCTTGGAGCTGGTTTTCCGCAATGGCTGTGAGCTGGTTAGAGATATCCGAGGCGAATTGGTGTGGGACTTACCATCACCCTGCGCAAATCTGCTGCCATACCGGCCAAATCCGTCGTCATACATTCTCTGAATCATGGCTGCGTCTCTGCTCAGAACAAAGCCCACATCGTCATTTCCCCGGCCGCCTCCACTACCTCCACCGCCGCCATTCTTCAAGCGATCAATCTCCTTCTGTCTATCCTCGGCCCTTTGTTGCGCCTTCTCGAATTCGTCCTTGAGCTGCTTGATCTCGCCGTCTTGTTGTACGTCACGTGCGCGCTGTTTGTGTTGCTGGCGCTTGTCGGAGACGCGGTCATACAGGCCCATGGACGCAGTGAATGTGCCGACCAACGTTGAAGCCAGAGTGGCCATTATGAAGGTTTTCTGGTCGCAGTGTCAGCAAGTGCAAATATCGGTTGCCGGAATTTGATTCCTCGTACTTTGAGGTTCTTCTCCTCGATCCATGATGCGTAATTCATCTTTGCGGTTGCGGGAGCAAGCGCGCACGATGACCGGATAGTCTATGTGTATTGCGTGGATCTGAGGGTGATGAACTGTTCTCGTGTATCGCGTGTTAGAAGAGGCTTTGGCTTGCCGGTGCTGACGTCGAACAGTGTCTATATCCTCTAAACCGGAAGGATCCTGCCCAATATCGAGAAATTCAAAGGGCCGACGCGGGGTGAAAATGAAGTAAAGCCTCCCTCCCGCCTGCACGCGTGATGACGCACTGTCTCAAGATGCCCAACTACCGTGCGTAGGGCGCCCCACGGCGCAGGATCGTCAGTGCAGCAGAAACGGCGGGCCCTGATTGCTCCATAACTCGCGCAACATCATGGGGATGCGGAAATGCTTCGCAGACCGCCAGTTCGATGTCGTGTTTCGGCGCTTTACGTCATACGGCGGGTACGAGCGAATGGCTGCCGCTACTTTCTAGCCGTCTTGGTTTTAGCCAGTAAGCGAATGACTGGGAAGTTGGGGACAGATGTACTGAGCCCCGTACATTTGTTGTCCAGGGACTGAGGCCAGTATCTGTACCTGCAGAAGTTGTTGGTGGTGGAGAAGGCACATCATGTTCATGACGTCGCTCAGAGATAAGCGAGCCTCAACGACACCTGCTGCGTGAGAGAACTCCTCACGATCATGATCATGACACCAGCGACTCGCGCACTAAAGTAGTCAACCAGTACAGAATTGCCATTGGCATCCTTATCTGCGCGAGCATGCGATGCGGGATCACATCGGAAAAAAGATAAGCTCGGTTCTGGCGGGGAAGACGTTTGATCAAATGGCGGAGTGCGCTAGGCGTAACTTCGGGCAATGTCTGACAGCTGTCAGCCTATTTCGATGTCGTACCACATCATGTATCACCTATAGCTTTGCGGAATCCGAATGTTTCAATTTGGCTGACACGAAATCTCTCATGCTGGGCTTTATCCAGTACTCAAGAGGCGAATTCGACGACGACGCTGCTCAGGACTCTGCTCACGTGCGAGAGCCCTGAGCCAAGGGATCCCGGGATGTAGCTCACGTCAGGTGGGCGTATCATAAATTGGCATGTCAGATGTGCTCCCTGGCTGAAGGCTGGCAGATTCGAGTTCTGGTAGCGCGATGAAAGATACTTGAATTCATTGTCATTGAGTGCTCGAGTAGGAATAGGTAGGTAAAGGCATGATCAGTCAACCGACCGACCGAAACGCTGCGACATCCAACATGTCGTGCCTATTGCTATGACGTGATACGCAAATGGTATATAGTTCAGATGTTGGCAACGTCTTCGATGATTCAAGTCAAATAGAGGAGAGTCCGTTTGAAGGTTGGGCGGATGGAACACCTGGTCTGTGCGCTTAGCGTCACTGGTAGAACGCGTCAAGTCGCGTCCAGGAAATCCATTAAACTTTACGCGACTGGAGGAGAGACACCGATCAAGACTCAACGAGCCTCTACTTCAGCTTACAACTTCTCTCACTGTGAATTGCCTCACCATCTAGATACCCGCTTCGCGCACACATTTTCACCATGGCGTCCAGACCGGAGATGCGAGAGGAGGATGAGACGGGCTTCTGCAAGTTCTTCCGCAACCTGCCCGAGAAGAATGAGGATACGATTCGCATATTCGACCGCAAAGAATACTACAGTGCACACGGCGAAGATGCGGTCTTCATAGCAAACACAGTAAACATATGATTTCTGATTGTATGCAAGAGCCATACTTACACTCGCAGGTTTACAAGACAACCGCCGTCATACGAAAGCTGGGACGAGACCCGGGCCTGGACTCCGTGACGATGACAAACATGGTCTACCGCAACTTCCTACGAGACGCCCTCTTCAGACTCAGCAAGCGGATAGAGATATGGCAGTCGCCCGGCCAGCGGATGGACTGGAAGATGGCGAAACAGGCATCTCCAGGCAACTTACAAGATCTCGAGGAGGAGCTGGGCGGTCAGATTGAGAATGCGCCCATAATACTGGCGGTGAAAGTTACTGCGAAGGCGTCCGAGGCACGCAGCGTGGGTGTCTGCTTCGCGGATGCCAGCGTACGGGAGCTAGGTGTCACCGAATTCCTGGACAATGACCTCTACTCCAACTTCGAATCGCTACTCATTCAGCTCGGCGTCAAAGAATGCTTGATACAATTAGATGCATCAAAGAAGGACATCGAGCTGAACAAGCTCCGGACCATCGCAGACAACTGTGGATGTGCTGTAGCAGAGCGGAGTGCGACGGACTTTGGCACAAAGGACATCGAGCAGGACCTGCCACGATTACTCAAAGACGAAGCTGGCACACTACCTCAGATGGATCTAAAGCTTGCTATGGGCGCAGCTTCTTGTCTGATTCGATACCTCGGCCTCATGTCCGACTCATCGAACTTTGGGCAGTACCAGCTCTACCAGCATGATCTCTCACAATACATGAAGCTAGATGCGGCGGCTTTGAAGGCGCTGAACCTCATGCCTGGACCGAGAGACGGTGCCAAGAACATGAGCTTGTACGGACTGCTGAACCATTGCAAGACACCAACCGGCAGCCGACTGCTTGCACAATGGCTGAAGCAGCCGCTGATGAACGTGGCAGAAATTGAGCGGCGGCAGCAGCTAGTCGAAGCCTTCGTCAACGATACTGAGCTGAGGCAGACCATGCAAGAAGAACATCTGCGCTCCATACCGGATCTTTACCGCCTCTCTAAGAAATTCCAGCGCAAGGTCGCAAATCTGGAGGATGTCGTTCGCGCATACCAAGTCATCATCCGATTACCTGGCTTCCTCAGCTCGCTTGAGTCAGTTATGGACGAGAAGTACAAGGATCCACTTGATGCTGAATACACCGACAAGCTGCGGCAATTCTCAGCCGCGTTCGGGGGCCTGCAGGAAATGGTCGAGACAACCGTCGACCTGGACGCACTTGATAATCACGAGTTCATCATCAAGCCCGAGTTCGACGAGGCATTGCGAACGATCCGGAAGCGCCTAGATAAGCTCAAGCGCGACATGGAGTCTGAGCATGCACGCGTTGGTGACGACCTCAACCAGGACACAGAGAAGAAACTCTTCCTAGAGAACCACAAAGTACACGGATGGTGCTTCAGGCTTACGCGCAATGAGTCTGGCGCTATCAGGCAGAAGAAGCAGTACCAGGAGATTCAAACGCAGAAGAACGGCGTCTACTTTACGACATCGACATTGCAGGATAAGCGAAGAGAGTTTGACCAGATGTCCGAGAACTACAATCGCACGCAGTCCGGTTTGGTCAACGAAGTGGTCTCGGTCGCATCGTCGTACGTGCCGGTAGTAGAGAAGCTGGCGGCGGTACTCGCACATCTTGATGTTATTGTTGCTTTCGCACACGTCTCAGTCCACGCGCCAACCTCGTACACTCGCCCAAAGATGCACGCTCGAGGCACTGGCAACACTATTCTGAAGGAAGCACGTCATCCGTGCATGGAGCAGCAAGACGACATCTCGTTTATAACCAATGACATTAGCTTGAAACGCGGCGAGAGCGAGTTCCTCATCATCACAGGTCCCAACATGGGTGGAAAGTCGACCTTCATTCGCCAGACGGGTGTCATCGCTCTTATGGCGCAAATTGGCTGCTTTGTCCCTGCAGCAGAAGCAGAGCTGACCATCTTCGACTGCATCCTTGCGCGAGTCGGCGCCAGCGATAGCTCAATCAAGGGTGTGTCAACATTCATGGCAGAGATGCTTGAGACGGCCAACATCCTCAAGTCCGCCACCAAAGAGTCGCTCATCATCATTGACGAACTTGGTCGCGGCACCAGCACCTACGATGGTTTCGGTCTTGCCTGGGCTATTTCGGAGTACATTGTAAAAGAGATCGGCGCCTTCGCACTCTTTGCGACGCACTTCCACGAGTTGACTGCGCTCTCGAACACCTACCCACAAGTCGAGAATCTTCACGTCGTTGCGCACATCTCCGAAGGCACTGAAGAAACTGACAGCGGCGTGCAAAAGAAGCGCGAAGTCACTCTCCTCTACAAAGTCGAGCCTGGCTTCTCGGACCAGTCATTCGGCATTCACGTCGCCGAGCTCGTCCGCTTCCCACAGAAAGTCATTAATATGGCGAAGCGCAAGGCCGATGAGCTTGAAGACTTTTCGGGTAAGCATGAGGATAATTTCGAGCAAGCCAGCAAGGAGGAGGTCGAGGAGGGAAGCAAGATGTTGAAAGAGATGCTGGCGAAATGGAAAGAGGAAGTCGAAGGAAAGGGCTTGACGAAGAAACAGCAAGTGGAGAGGATGAAGGAACTTGTCCACGAAAACGAGGCGCTTCAGGCCAACGGGTTCTTCAAGGGCATACAAGCGTTGTAAACCTCCATCTTCGTTCCAAGGATATGTCCGGCGCATGGATGCAACAATGGGTTCAAAGCAGGCGGAATGATTTCGGCGCCAACAATAGCATAGCGATACCACAATTGTACTTATTCAACGCGATGGCGTTTCAATCATGGTCTTGAAAGTACGGCGCCACATTACTTAGCCACACCCAGGGTCCAGGACGTCGGTAACGCGTGGACCCCGCCATCCCACCTCCAGCTTGTCCCCCAAGTCCGACCATAGCTCCTAACCACAACACTCGCATTCAACACGACAAGCAACACCCTCGCTGCATCCCACGTCGGGCTCAAACCAATACACACATTTGCAATGGCGCCGGCGCAATCCTTAGTTGTATGTCGCAATCCATGGAGTGGTGCAGTGGTAGGCTAGGCAGCTAACATGATCCAGGCCAAGCTCAAAGTCCAGCTGAAATTGAGCATATCGCGGTTACGCATGGTGCAGCAGAAGGATAGCGCAAAGTCGAAGCAGGCGAGGAGAGAAATGGCACAGCTTCTTGAGGTACGTGGCATTCATGCTGATGCGCGTGAACAGGCAGCTAACAGATGTCAGGTCGGCAAGCTCCAATCCGCACGGATACGCGTCGAGAACATCATACGATCAGACATCACAACCGAACTCCACGAGATCCTCGAACTATACTGCGAACTCCTACTCGCGCGCTCGCAGCTGCTCGAATCAAGTACCACAACAGGCGCAATACCACTCGATCCCGCGCTCGAAGAAGCCGTCCGCAGCATCATCTACGCCGCACCCCGCACCGAAGTCAAAGAACTGCACACGGTGCGCGCCCTGCTCGTCGAGAAGTTCGGCAAGGATGTAGCCCTCGCGAGCATGGAAGGCGAAGGCGTCGCCGAGCGCGTCGTCAAGAAACTGCGCGTCGAAACACCCAGCGAAGAACTCGTCGACGCGTACTTGTCTGAAATCGCGCGCTTCTATGGCGTCCCGTTCGGCGCATCGACGTCCGCCACACAAGAAGATGAAGACGACGATGATGAGCCGAGCTCTGGCGTGCCGGTGCTCGCGGACGACGACGGCAAGGAGGAGGAATTGGTCAAGGCGACGCCGCCGAAAGCTGTGGGCCCCCAGAGCCCGTTGAGAGTGGTGCCGCCGAGTCCGAGCACGGATAACGTGGCGCCGAAACTCAAGTTGCCGGGGAAGGCGGAGAAGGTGGCGAAGGAGCCGAAGAAGAGGGAAGATGGGCTGGGGAAGATTCCGGATGTGGATGAGTTGGCGAAGAGGTTTGCGCAGCTAAAGCGATGAGGAAGGGATTAGGAAGTTGATATAATATATCTCCTTGTGATGTTAGTATAGACTGCCTCCCATGAGTAAATAGCGGAGATAAAGAGACTCTTAACCTCTCTATGGTCTTACTGCATTGTGGTTCGTACGCGTCTCAGCGTTATACCGTTTGGTAAGCCTTCGCCGCTGTGGAACTTTTCTGGTTTCGTTCGATGAAGTGCTTCATGTTGTCGGCTGCAACGCAACCCACTGTCCCATCATGTCAAACGAAATACTGTATGTGTTCTAGATTCGAAACACATCAAGGTTCCCTTGGTCCCATTCTGGTCAGTTATAGACTTCAACTGTGTGAATGTACTTCATGTAGTCGGCGGTGCTATATTAAACAGGCGCAGCTTCCCGTCACTAGCGTCAGTTAGCGGGGCACGCATACGTCACCCCACTTCAGCTACCAAGCTCCAACATCACTCAGCCTCACTACTCGCACGACACCTCGCCACGACCCGAAACTCAAATACCAGGATCCAACCACACTCCTGCTGCTTCATCCCCCAAGCAAGCAAAATGTCACACCCCGACAACAACCCATGGCAAGACGAGTCCAGCGCAACCGGCGGCAACCACCAAGGCTATGCGAATCCCAACCCCTACTCAACATACCAGGATCAAACACAGTCCCGTGACCCATACGCTGCAGACCCCCATCAAGGACAATACCAACCTCCCTCTAACCCTCCCCCTCACCAACAACCTCTGAGCTCCCACCCTCCAGAGCGCTACTACGGAACTGGCACCACAACCCACGACGACGCCGGCTGGGGCGAATCCCAACCCTACCAGCCCCCACCCCCTCAAGTCCAACAACAACAACAATCACCATACGCCCAAGCCCCTCCCCAACCCAACCACCACGGCGAAACACCCCCCGGCCTGCCGCCACGCCGCTCGGCCACAGACATCGCGCTGCCCACAGGCCAGGACCGCACGCACCAGATCGAGGTCATGCAGAGCTACGAAGCAGCGTGGAAGGAAAGACGAACACGACCAGAATGTGGAGATGCTGCAGCGAGAGTTCCCGAAGATTGATGGGAGTTTGATTGCGGCGATTTATGGTGATAGTCAGAGTTTGAGCGCGACGAGGGAGATGTTGGGGGAGTTGGAGGGATAGAAGGGATGGGATGGGGGAAGGGGTGTGAAGTATGGGGTGTGAACGGGAGGAGAGGGACTGAGTGAGGATGACGGATGAACGTAGGTTTCCATGTGATTTACCATGAGCAACATTAGCTACGAAGCACACCTGTTCGAGTTCCAGATGCTCGAGCGTCGAGGAAACATGTTTGTTCCCGTTCAGTATCAAAGTGAGTCCATATCGCTGGTCTTGTCCATCAGAGATGGCTACAGGCTCAGAGTTGAGGGCGCTGAATATGTCATGTGGGGCTCTGACACTGTGGCCTTTCTGTATCACCTTGTGGTATCTGCAAAGTCCCAAGGCCAACGCGGCCGCAGGATGAGATATCATCATCAGGGGCGCTGTTAGCTTCAGTTGATATTATTCTAGAGTTTTTACCCTGGCTCTACGTCACTCAAGCTGGGTGTCATACTTGACAAAGAACACATGGGGGCGACAGCTAGTCTCTGGTCGGTCTCTCGAAAATAACACCATGCAAACCTTTACGGTGAAGAATTTAAGATACGCTGGACGCGTACAATTGATCGTTCGTAAACAAGCCAGAAATTTCCACTCTCACTGCTCCTGAATGGTCTGGTTCAAGTAGATTCTATTTAGGTTGACTTGACCCGAGCAGAGACAATTTCCTACTCCTGACTGCAGTCGCCCTTTTCATGCACAAGCTCTGAAGTGACCTGAAGCACTGCCACCGTGCTAAATACCGTCTCTAATCCACCTCTGCGCTTCAGCTGTCCAAAGTCTGGCCCCGTCTCTCGGTGAATCCTTAGATACGATATGACCACCTACCACGCCCCACTCTTGCTCCGCGGCATCGCTGAACTGCTGGGCAGGCAGGACTTTATTAACCGGGGAGAATCGAAGTTTGGGAGCCTTGGTCGCGAGGAGTTTGAGTTCATTGCACGTCGCGACACCAAATAGTACTTCCAACTCTCTATCGAGCTCACCGTTGTCCATAATGCCACTATCATGGTGCTTGTCCAGATGTGAGATATCGGTACCTCTAAATAGGCGCATTATGATTGAGGCCGAGGTGACGAATGTCGAGGGAGAGGCGAAGTCGGTACCCTCTGTGTAGGCAAACCCGGGATAGTGGTAGTCGACGCGTATATGGGGCAGCACTTCGCAGAATTTGAATATCTGGCTGTTCCTCATGTAATCGTCTGTCCACTGGAATAGTGGAGTTTGATAAAGTGTATAGTCCGGTATGCAGACGCCTTCCAAGGCAATCTGAGTAATCCAGCGTCGCCGCAGTCGTGTGCATGAGCCCATGAAGATCTCCATCGCTGTTAACCCGCCATTGTCGGCCGGGTATGGATACTCTGCGAAGGTGAGCCGGTTGTATTGGACCTCTAAACCAGCTGCCTCCTTGTGAAGTTGTCGGTTGACATACTGCAACTGGTTTATTGGATAGCCTCCATGTTCACCGTCAACCAACATGAGCGGCTTCTTCCTTTACAATTCTTTCCGGTTGACCAGCTTACTTTGATACCGTCCGTGAAGGTGAGGGTGAATTCGTAGACCTTGTTGCGGAGCTCGGCAGGAAGCTCGAGAAAGGCGAACGTAGGCTTTTGGAGTCGTTTCGTGGCTCGGAAACGGGCTCTTTGTTGTCTTCCAGGCATTTTCTGGAACGTCGAGTGCTCAATCAGCTGTTGATCAAATGATGGTTAGTTTGAGGAGTCTTGAAGAGAGCGGTCGGCCCCCAAGTGAAAGTATTGTGGTCAGGTGACCGCTTTTCACGTCTGCCACACCCGCTGACTAAAGCAAAGAGAATAGGCTATAACAGTGGCTTGGAAAAGACCCCGGGGGTTCAGAGTGACGGTAAGAGACGTAGTAGATGTGTGCACGGCCCGCTTTTGAAAGCGCTAGCGTTAAGCGAGGCGCTAACCCGCGTCGCCTTCGTAGCACCGCACTCCCACCGCCCTGTTTCTTCCTTGACACCAATCCGATCACCTCAACAAATGCCAAAATCTTCATGGCTCATAGCCGCGGCGGATTCCCTGGACCTCAGCGAGTCATCACGCTCACGGCAAATTCATAGACTACGAAGTCTGCACTGGGCACAGTACGACTTACTTTACTGGACACGATGAGCTTCCCGATGCGACAAGCCACCCAACGCGACAAGGCAGCTGAAGCAGCCAACAGCATGATCACGCAAAAGCACTGGACACGACAGAACTATTGACACACCTACACAACTGGACGACTGAACACAGCGACGCAACATACAACTTGGATACGACCATGCGACAAAGGCCCTCAGGATAGCAACGTCACTGGAACCATGGCAGACATTTCCGTTGACTTGTATGTCGTGTTGAAAACAAACTCAGTTTGTTACTTTCCAGAACTCACATCCCACACCGTGAACACACCTGGTAGCCTCTCACAAGATGTCGCATCTTGTAGGACGCGAATACGCCTTCGCTATCCTACTGAGTATTTTACCCGGCGCATTTTGTCATGTTACCGGAAAGGTGAGTAACCGCTCATCTTTCCAGAAGAGACCTTGAGACTGCGAACCTCAGGTCTTAGGTGCCCAAGTTGGGAATGCAAAGAGGGGCATCTGGCGCTTTTACCGGCGTTACAGATCACTCAATGCATTTTTTGCCCATCTTGGGGATGCAAAGGGGCGCATCTGACGCTCGGACCGGCGATACAGAACACTCGATGCATTGTTCATGAAACCATGTTGCTTCCATGGTGTGGCGAGCGATACGATTCCGTCACTGTGACGTATTACATAGTGCAGGTCTAGCTGTGAGGGTGCATGTCTGCCCGCAGCAGTCATTGCTGATGATCCTTTACACGGTCATTAGAATGAGCACAATGTTCCTGTCCAGTAAAACAGCAACCATCCGGAAGCTTTTTACTAAACCTCTGCGTTAAGCAGTTTGTTCTCGGAAACAAGGTTGTCCACACAATCTTGGCGGACTCGTTATCCGCATTGACTTCCAATCTTTACAGGTCTGGAAGGCCCTTTCTACCCAGCGTCAACAAGGCTGGAACTTGGCGATGTTGCTGTACCGCTCGGGGATCGTGTTGGACCCATTTTATGAGTCTTTCACGCGATCGGTGTTCTGGCTGCACTTTGTGTGCGCCGTCTACCTCTTTTTTTTTCCATTGTGTTGCATCCCAGCGGGAACAGCGCGAGGAAGGAGACTATGGCGTAGGTCGACGCTACTTACTGAATCGTATTGCGGCAGATAGTAGTGCTGCACTGTCACAAGAATTAGTACTATGCATGTCTGTTGTCCCTGCTAAGCCTGTCGCCTGTACTGCGTGATCTTTGGCCCAATCTTGCTGAGATCGGAAGATGACGTCTTCAACTAGGCACGAAATATCCGCATAGTCAACAAACAACGGAGCCGTGCTTATCATATCGAAGCCACACCTCTTCAGTCCATGTACACCTCCGCAGTCGAAATCTGCCACCTCATCCTCAGCCTCAAATAGTTGAAATTGCTGTCAGAGGGCGCAGCATTCTTTTCTGCATAGCATCGAGTATATATAACGCGACCAGTTTGGCATCCGAAACGAGCCATGATATTTGCTATTATACAGATAAATAACATCAAGCTACAGCACCAGGGGCTCACTTGATGCCAAACCCTACGTAAGCTTGTCGCAACGAGATCGTGCTATGCCACCACCGCATGCACATTAACCCATGCTCCGTATGACGCGTAGCAAGATAGGCTATTGCCAACGAGCACCTGTTTATCAAGCAGACAATTTCGAGCTTTGCGACTTCATAGATAGTCATTGTGACGTGCTTCGGCCAAACTCGCACACGACGCACCAAAAGGCTCTCTATTATCAGACTAATCTTTTCCTACGGCTCATGTCACGCTTAAATCAGTTCGTGGTTTTAACATATCTGCCAGGCCTCATTATCTTCTATAGGGCGTTTGGGAGATGCCACGAAGAGTGCTGGCGGCCACAACATTGAAACCACTTTACATACGAGCGCATTCGCATCATGTCGTCAGCGCGCCGCTTTGGAGTGACATTAATACATATCATTTCATCGGCACCAGTTCGCCCATACGCGAGTTTCGATGCTTCGCAACAAATAGAGCCAGGCGTTCTCACCAATGTACGCAGCGATCTTGGTGCAAACAAATGACATGATGTACCGCCGTCTGTTTACATATAGTGACTGGAGACATGGTGTAGTTCCTCAGAAGTTGTTCCATTTCTGCCTTTTCTCACACCCAAGTAGTATCACACAGACGTTCTCAACGTTTGATCTACGCACTAGCCTCAGCCGTACCCTGCCTGCCCGCCACACTTCCTCCAATCCACCCTCCTCTCGGATCCTTCACTTCCCTCGTGCGCTCATTCTCACCCGATTTACCCCATCCGCCACCTCCGGGTGTATGAATAATGATCCTCTCTCCAGGTTTCATGGCCGCTGTATTTTTCGCACCAAGATTTATGAACCTGAACTCCTCCTCTCCGCCTTGCTCGACCTTTTTCTCAAGTCTAGCAACGCTACTTGGCGTTGATTCCTGAGAGGTGGGCTCGGTTGGCTGCTGGGTATCGGAGTTCTTGTCGATGGCTTTCTTGTCGACTTTCCTGACCCAGATGTTGAGGCCACATGCGGCGTCTTCGCCTCCTTCCATACCGTAGGGATGGTATACTCGCCTTTCACTGAGGATACTGACCTGGACTGGGATGCGGAATTCAATGTCTCGGATTACACCTTCGCCTCCGCGGTGCATACCTTTGCCCGCGCTGCCTTCGCGCAAACTGAACTCTCGCAAGAGCACGGGATATCTGCGCTCGAAGACTTCTGAATCCGTGATGCGGGTGTTCGTCATGTGCGTGTGGACGCCATTTGTGCCGTGCCATGTAGGACCAGCACCAGACCCGCCGGCAATAGTTTCGTAATACCCGAACCCTTTCTTGCCGTCTTTCTCGCCCGAGCCTGAAGATCCACCGAAACCGAACGTCAGATTGTTTGTATCTCCTTGACTCGCGGCGCAGGCTTTGAAAGCTTTGAGGACCGTATCAGTGACACGTTGGGACGTCAGGACGTTTCCGCCGACCACAGCGGCATTGTCTGAAGGCGATAGGAAGGACTTCTTGGGGATGCGAACATGTATTGGTTTCAGACAGCCCTGGTTTAGTGGGATATCTTCGCTGATCAGGCACCGCAGGCAGTAAATGATGGCGGAGTAAGTAACGGCTTCTGGTGCATTGATGTTTCCATAGACTTCCGGTCCCGTACCACTGAAGTCAAAGATCGCTTCGCCCTTTTCTGGGTCAATGGTGACTTTCAGCTTAATTGGACTGCCGTCATCCATGAACTCTTCGGCAGACAGGTCTTGACCTTCGAAACGCTTGTAGACATCTTTGAGCAGCGAGCGCACAGATTGCTCGGCGTTGTTCTGGATATTGGTCATGTAGAACTTTACAACGGACTCACCATAGTCGGACATCAAGGTGTTGATGAGGTTGATGCCTTTTTGGTTGGCAGCGACTTGCGCTTTGAGATCATTGAGGTTGTCGCTCAAACATCTTGTACCAGAGCAACCGGGGTATTGACCAGGTTCGTCGAGCAGAAGCTCGGTGATGCGCTTTTCGTTGAAGTGCCCTTCGGATACAAGCTTTTCGGACTTGATGGCTGCACCTTCTTGGAACAGCTCTTTTGAGGCAGGTGGCATGGACCCAGGAAGGATACCGCCAATGTCTGCATGATGCGCACGAGATGCAACATAGAAGATGATGTCGTCGCCAGAGAAAGCGGGGGTGATACAGGTAATATCTGGGAGATGAGTGCCGCCAAACATGGGGTGATTGGAGACAAGAACGTCGCCGCGCTTAAGCTTGCCTTTCCATATCGCGGCTTGTTTGCGTACGCAGGTGGACATACTACCAAGATGGACTGGTAGATGTGGTGCTATAACGCTGTTAGCAGTCATAGACAAACATATGTGCACGACTTACCATTTGCAACCAGGCCACCTTCTGCGTCGAACAACGCGCAAGAATAGTCGAGTCGCTCCTTGACGTTAGTAGAGACACTCGTCTTCTGCAGTGCGCGACCCATTTGCTCAGCAATGGCCATGAAGCGATGTGCAAATATGCTGAGCAGAATAGGATCGACTTCCCTTGTACCAATCTCTTTCTCCTGGCTGTCGTGTTCTCCAATGTTGATCACAACATGCGTATTGATCAGAAGCGCAGATGCGCCAGGTGTCACAACAATGGTTTGCGTGCCATCCGCAATGATCGCGGGACCCTTGATACGATCTCCAACTTCCAGATCCTCGAGCTTGTAGATCGATGTGTCCTGGCGACCACCTTCGAAGAAGACCTTTCGCGAGTCGTACCGTTTAGCATTGCCGGACACGTCATTTGGTGTAATTTCCTTGAGCTGTTGATCCACGCTCTTCTCGAGACCTTCGAAAGTTTTACCAATACCTCGTGCCCGCACATCGTCGACGATAATGTCGCGGTCCGGAAGCGTGAAACCAAACTCTTGCTCATGCTGCTTGATGAAAGCTTGGCCGAAGGCCCACTCATCCCCACCAAACTCCTTTTCTGCCTCTTCTTTGGTAGGTTTAATTATCATGAGTGCCGACTCAGTGCCACGGTATCGCAGGTTGAGGTACTCTTCAAAGTGCACGTGCTCTTCATCAAAACCCTGCTCTTTAAGTGTCGCCGTTGACTTTGACTTCAAATCCGCCATCTTCTTCTGCAGGTATCCGCGGACGTCCTTCTCATCTGACCAGACCCTGCTTTCCGGTTCTTGTCGCTCATCCACAACATCAGCGAGCGCCATACCGTAGGCTGATAGTACTGAGGAGTATCGATGCACGAGTATTTGGGTGATGCCGAGCGCTTCTGCAATCGCAACGGCGTGCTGACCTCCTGCACCACCAAATGTCGCAAGCCGGTGCTTGCTTGTGTCGTGTCCTCTCGCTTCTGTCAAGCTGCGGATGGGTCTCGTCATTGTTTCATTCGCGATTTTGATAAAGCCGTTTGCGATGTCATCGATTGACATTTCCTTTTCCTTATTGCCACCTGCAACCTCTTTATTGATCTGCTCCGCCAGGTCGTTGAACAGCTTTTCGCTCGCTTCCGCATCTAGACCCTCATCCTCATTCTTGCCAAATATTTTCGGAAAGAAGTCCGGCAATAAGCGACCAAGGAACAAATTCGCGTCTGTGATGGTCAAGGGCCCACCCTTCCGATAGCATGCTGGGCCAGGATGTGCGCTAGCAGATTCCGGACCTACCACAAACAATCCGTTTTTCCAGAATAGTCGCGATCCACCTCCTGCGGCAACGGTGTTGATATCTAGCTGTGGCGACTGGATTGTGACACCGGCAGTAGTGGTTTCAAAGACATGATCGTAGCGTCCGGAGCCATATCTGCTCACGTCCGTACTTGTGCCGCCCATGTCAAATCCGATGACTGGGATCTTGGTCTTGGGATCATAGGATGTGAGCGCGTAGCCGACCACTCCACCAGCAGGTCCGGATAGTATCGCCTTGAGCCCAGAGAACATATCGACATCCACAAGGCCACCATCCGACTGCATAAACTCACACCTCGCGCCTTTGGAGCCTTCTTCCCGCTTAACGCTTTTCGAACCAAGCCCACCTTCAAAGCCCTTGGAGAAGCCATCGATGTATTTTCTTATTGCTGGTGTAAGATATGCATCCGCACATGCCGATGTCGCTCTCGGTACGAGCTTGATCATAGGCATGAGCTCGTGGCTCAAACTGACATGCTCAAACCCGATTTCCTTTGCGACCTTACCGACAAGTGCTTCGTGATGCGGATATGTATAGCCGTGCATCAAACAAACCGCAATGCTCCTGAGTCCACCGTCATATACCTCTTGCAGCTGCTTTCTTATCGCATCTTCTCTTGGTCTTTGTAATATCCGTACAGTCTCGCCCGATAAACCTTTGACCAGTTCCGCATTCTCGCCCACATCGTCTATTGCTTTGGCTTCTGTTTTTGTTCGCTCTGGATCTTCGGCGTAATCCTCCAATGTGACGCGCTCATCGATCTCTACGACCTTCTTGTACAGAACTTCCGGCTTCCGGATATCAAGCGCGAAGATATTTGGCCGACTCTGGTTGCCAATCTCTAGACAATCTTTGAATCCCTTCGTCACCACCATAGCAATATCCTCTCCCTTCCGCTCGAGCAGCGCATTTGTCGCGACGGTCGTGCCCATGCGTATACTTTCGATCTTGGATGTATCGAGGGGCTGGCCGCGTGGTATATCGGTGCCGGTGAATTTGGAGAGCAGCCGTCGAATGCCTTCAAGGGGCGCATCGTCGTAATTCTGGGGATCGACAGACAGGAGTTTTATCAGCACATCGTCTTTCATCTTGCCGCTACCGGGGTTGCCGACGCAGTCTGTGAAGGTGCCGCCGCGCTGGACTCGTCAGCATGGGAAGTCTCACTATATGGGAGGTGGTGTACATCAATGGCGATACGAATACCACGCTCGCTGATATGTGGTGTGTCCATTTTGACTTATGCCTCACGCTGAGGTATCGGTGTGGATGATCAAGACCTAGGAGTATGCAGCCGTGAACAGAGCTTCACAGACACGTCAAATACCTAGGTACAGATGAAGGGCAAGAAGTTTAATTGAACGAAGACTTAGCCCAGCATGAGTCTATCACAGCAATCATCAGGCAACCCACGAAAATGTCCCGTTCGAATGATAGGCAAAAGTGGGGTAGCTTGTCGCATGCCCCGCGAACATTTTGTCATCTGCGTTGCGTCATCAAGAGAAGCCGCGGATAAGTCCCTTTCAGGACTAGCGCATTCTAGCCTAAGCAGACCTCACGTCGCCCTATCTGCCTTCACTCTTGTTCAAAACCTTCATCTTGACGCACTTCATCACAAATTCCCCTCGTACACTGCCTGCTGTTCTATCAAGATTGCAGAAGCCATTCTCTAAATGCTCATAAAGCCCACGCCACATTTTCACGAGCAGACGGTTGCCAAACATGTACTAATCCAAACAATTTTGCATTGACAAAACTTGTGTTCACGTATCTTTCCCAGTGGCGATTTCCCTCCAGCATGCACCTTTTCGAAATCCATCTTGAATCAGCCATACCCAGACCGCGCCCATTCATCCTGAGTCCACTTCATATCCACTCTCGTCGTCCCAACATCTACCGTGGTAGCCCGAGAAACCCTCTAAGCCCCATTCGACGACTTAAATTCCTTCTAAGAACCATTTCCTCACATATCTGACCCAGTTGTCGATCGCGTCGTGTGGTAAGACCTGCGGATCGATGGCATAATGCTGCCATGAAGCGAACGCTTCCTGTCGGAACTGTTCTTCGTCAATCACGAACGCTATCGGGTGGAATCTCAGGTTAGGAGCGAGAGGGCCTAGAGTCTTGACCTGTTCGACATCGCCTTTCAACAACGGATAGATGTACGAACTGTCAATCTCGTCGAGGGTCCTGTCCTTTGACTCCGGGATCATGTCCGTCAAGTCTCTGTCCCGGAAGAGGCGCTCGAAAACTGCACCCATAAATACAAGTCGATAGGCGTTGTGGGGTCCGCTCATGTAGTCGGGCCAGCCAGGGATATGGAGGTGTAGGGTCAAGTGCGGGTTGGCGATACAGAGGTTGATCAAAGCGATGACATGATGTCTGTTATTGTACATCCAACCAAATACGTCTTCATCCTTTGGTGAGAAGGGCGGTCCAAGTACAATGTGCCTAAGCCACTTCCACTTGCCTGGTGCACACTCTTTGACGAACTGACGAAATCGATGGATCGGCCTGTATGACTTGACGCCGACTTGTATACCACAGCGAATCCTGTTGAACGAAACCTCCATGCCAGCTGTCTCTGCGTATAGCTGGCGGTTGACAAATTTGATCTGGTTGAACTCTTGCTCTGGAGTGTCGTAATCAGTCAACCTGGGTTTCTTGCTCCTTCTTGATGTACCCCGGACCATTTTGACCAGCAGGTCGCTGGTTGCGCTCAACGCAAACTCGTATATCTTGTTACGAAGCTCCGCGGGAAGGCTGAGGAAATGGGACGGTCTCGCAAGTTGTTGTCGCTTCCTCGCGATGTTAGGCGTCATCCTTTGGCGCTTCTTCTTTTGGATCGCCATCAGGCGAGGTTGGGGCGACTGGTAATGACACTGCTAATTCACGTAAGAGCAGTAAGCTGAAAAGTCAGTCAGGCCGGGCCAGCGGGATCGTTTGTCAGTTTGCGGCAGCCCGATTAGGAGTGCACGGGCCAACAGGCACTAACTTAGCGCCTCTGCCCGCCTCGTTAAGCACCCGCCACCTCACCACCCATTATTTCTCTTACCTCCCACTCAACCCGAAAATTCGACAGATCGACTAATCAACTATCCGCCCATGTCTATAGCGCAACCAGCTCGAGCAGCGCGGTCGCCTTCTCTAATCATTTCCACCACTACCTTCTTCCTTCGTTCATCCAACATATTACGACCAGTATCGAGATGGCATCAAACACCGCTCCACATGATGCATGGGTTTGCGATTGTTCTCGTCGCTTCGTGCAGGAAACGAGATCTCACCTCATTATCCTGCCAGAGATCTTATCCTGGCGCGCTGCAATCGCTTACCGGACCGGAAGCTGGGGACGGCCAAACCTACTTTCGTGTCTCGAGGTGTTTGGAGAATCCATTGATCTCTTAGCCGATATGCTTGGTCGAGTAGTCCTAGTGACGTCTCCCAAGGATGCGAATGGCTTTCTGCGCGGGCGCCTGGGCAGCAGTCCGCTCGCTATTCGTATCTGTCATGTGGGGTCGACGCATCGTCGACTTTGCGGTGATGAAAGAGTTGCCCGTAGGTGTGGAGTAAAAACCCAGGTTATGCTAGTTCCAAGCTGTTCAGGTGCACAGTCAACCTACAGTCAGGACATACGAGATCAGTTCCTCTGTTGTCGTATGTCTGGGCCTCTGACCGCCTTTCAAGGCCAGGGACGCTTCCCTTCGCTGGATGACATCTCGATCCTTCCTCCGAACCTTAACTTTGCGAGCTGCGACTCACTATCGCATCTGCAAAGGGTGTACGTCGTGAGGGTGGCAAGTTCGCCCGCGACCTCGCACCATCGATCTCGGATTTCCTCACTCGTACACGAACAGAAGGGCTGATCACGCGTCCATCACACCTGTACTTCACAGATTTTTGATGAAGAGCGATCTGCTTTTCGGGTTCATCACATTCGCATCTGAACAGGTATTTTCATACCACGCTCATTGGATGTGCCTGAACAGAGATCTTCATCTCGGGTTCGTTACTTCTGTGCATTAACAGGAACTGTAGTTCCGAGTTTTTCGCAATTGTATACGAACAGAATGGAGCGCTTCGAGCTCGTTGCGAACTGATGGAAAGTCCTTGGTCATTCTCGGACCCTGCTCATCTGCAGCCCTGCGAAGGCGGTGGTTACAGGCGGGCTTGGGTGACATTGTGAGCGAAACTGGAGGTTGCTTACTTGTCTTACAGTGCTGAGTTTACTCATCCTGTCACCGAGCTCCAATTGATCTCCCAACATCCCCGTTGAGTCGATCAAGACTCTAATCAGTGGAGTCCGTGCGTGGGCTTCTCTTATACTCTGCTACTTGCATAGAGTATGCCTTTGGCACCTATTTTTTTCATTGAGAAAACTCCCATCGGGAGATACTCGAGGAAGAATGCTTTTGGCAGGCATCGCAGGCCATGCCCACATCTTGAGTGAAATCTTAATTTGGATCTTCAGTGACACCAGACGTCAAGAATTCCAGTCTGACCCTTCTTGATGCGAAGAGGTGAAAAGGTAGCCTGGATATCTCCAAAGATTTCTAATAGAATTAGGTAGAGTATCTTAGAGCTTCGTATACATTCACGCTCTCTTAATCTTATGACAGATGTACTCCTAAGAACTATCAGCTTACATCGCGTAGGTGCTGACTGACACAAATCTCGCTGTTGTTTAGCAGCATATGATTAGATGATGGAGGCATGGCTTGTATAGAAGACTAACTACATAGCACAGCCTGATGTCCCATGACTGTTCGCAGATCCTACAAAACAGTCTTCACGCCGCTATGTAGGCGTCTTGACTACTTATCGTAAGCACCCCGGATCGATCTGCTTGACACGTCGGCGGCCAGGCTTCGGTCACAGGCGGCGGATGCTAGGCCTGGCGCTTCAGCGTCTTGATGTGCTTCTCTGCAGCATCAAGTTTGTCCTCAAGGCTCTTAATGTAGCCCTTGTTGACGTTGTTGTTGACCTCCGCGCGGTCCATACGGCTGACGGCGGCGTGCAGCTTGTCGTCTTCGCTAAGACCCGCAGTCTCCCTGCCGAACCTCTCAAAGAGCTGCGTCACCCCAGCACGGTTCGCATCCAAGCTCATGATGTCGCATTCCTTGCTTCGGATGCTGGTCTTGAGGTCGGCGATGGCAGTCTCCTTGTCGCGGTTGTCGTTCTTGAGGTTGGCGATGGTGGTACCCTGGTCGCGAACGCTCTCCTTAAGTTTGGCGATGACAATGCTCTTATCCCGGTTTCTCTCCTCGAGGTTGGCGATGACGACGTCCTCCTCGTCTTTGGCATCCTCGAGCACGACCACGTAATCTTCTAGCTCGGTGATCACCTCCTCCTTCTCCTCGAGCTTGGTGTTGAGGTCGGCCAGCTCACTGTCCTTGCGCTCAAGTCGGTCACGTAGCCTCCTCACGGTCTTCTTGTACTTGAGCTCTCGGGCAGACCGGAGGTTTCCTCGCACCTCATGGTTATCGTTGTGGTCCGGCATGTCGAACTAGGCAGGGTCAGACAACGGATGCAGAGGTTTGGGGTAGTTGAGCGTACCGGCGTCTTTGTATGTAGACGGTGGCGGAAGGCAGTTGTTTTGGCAAATTTGCAGTTGTTCCGGCAAATTTGAGGTGGTTGAGTCGTTTGTTGTGCGCAGAAGAGTCGGGGACGAGCTCAAGGCAAGCGATATAGTAGCGGCGCCGACCCTGAAGTGAAAGGCCAAGTGCGGCAACTTTACGCGACAACACCCGTTCGTTCTTTCCCTGATGACGTACACTCATGGGAAGGGCACCCATGCATATGCCGAGAGGTACAAGAAGAAGTCAGGAGGCAGTGCTTGCGTGGTAGGTACCACATAGCTACATATAGGTGCACGAGACACTCCTCATTGTAGCTGAACACTGCATATCCAGTTCTGATCAAGATCATTTGTCATTTCAAGGATGTTCCGTAAGAATCCACGGGTAATGTGCCATCTTGTGTTGTTTCCTGTTACGATCCTGATGGTGGCACCAAGCACGTTCAAATGCTACCATGTGTACAGTTACCACTAGCCAGTAGATCAATTCAGATGTCTGAGAACCATTTCAAGATAAGACTAGAAGCCTGACCCGGGTCGTTATAGGACGGAAAGGTGGAGTAGTAACTTCATATGAAAGTGCCTGCTGTACTTCCCCCGGTACCTAGGCATACAACTTGTTCCGTTGAATGAGCATCTCTCATACTACAAAGTTTAATTGCGGAACTTTCACGGCTGATCATGGAAGTCTGTAGACATCGTATTTTGTTTGCTGCAAGTCTAAAGATGTGCTAAAAGGTCGTCAAAGCTGTTCAGGTATGTTCCTGGTATCACATGCAGTTTCTCGTGTTTCTCGTCCATGTCGGATTGCAAAAAGACATTGCACATGTGTCTATCATCCGCTGCATGCTCGTCCCCAATCCATTTAGGCTACACGCCCTTTTCCATCCAGGACTTGGCAAACTGCAACCACTTATCGCAGCCACCAGGCGGCAGAAGAGAAGGGGTATGTGCTACATGACTCCAGTTTTGCAATGTCTGACCCATAAACTCGTTCTCCTCCCAAATGTCCCAGCGAGGCATAAGGCAGAGATTGTCGGCCCGGCCATGAAAGCCGATAAAGGCAGCGCGGGAACTTCCCAGTGTTTGAGAAAGCAGTTGGTCGTATACCTGAGCATTGGAACTCTTATAGCCCGGTACGAGCGACAAGTAATCTTTTCCGTGAAAAGCGAGAGCCAGAAATATGCCGGTATGTAGAAATTGAAGTCCATGGTAGCACTCGTTGTGCTCTGGTATCGAGCAGAATATCTGGAACCGAGGGATACGGTAGAGGACGGTGATTTGAGGGTTTTTCGAGCAGAAATCGAGTAGCGTAAGTATGGAATGTACGTTGTCCCTCACCCAGTCCATTGTCGACTCGTCTTCCTTGTTGGACTTTTCTTCTATGACTACTTGCCGTAGCCATTGCAGCTTCGGTGCTGAGCACGACGTGACGAATCTGAAGAAGCGCTTCGTTGATGCCGACGGGCTCGAATCGTCGAACACGACGCGGTTGTACTTCAGCTCAGTGCCAGCTGTCTCCTGATACAGCTGGCGGCTTACAAACTTAAGCTGGTTGATCGAGGCTTTAGGGTTCGATGACACTCTCAGCTCCGGCTTCAACCTCAAACGCGTTGTTCCTGTCACCCAATGTACGCGGACTTCATCCCTCGTGAGAGCAAACTCGTAGATGAGGTTCCTGATCTCTGCTGGTAGAGCTAGGAGCAGGGGCGTTGGGGTCGATTGCGCTTCGCTGTCTTGTCGGCGCTTCTTGAGCCGTTGTAGCCGGCCCAAGGTCTTCGCCATGTTGTAGGTGGAGGATTCGGGACTCTGTTCGTGGTGTAGTCGGTGATTGTCACCTCGGTGGCTCGAGTTGAGGATCTGGCGGATGCGGCGGTGATTCGTTGATTAGATCTTTATGGTAGAAGCGCTCAGTTTTGTGTTCATAGCATTAGTAACTTTATCCAAGGCTTGGTGGGAGTGATGCTATGTCATCAAAGTGGAGTGTCGTTCTCCACCTCGAAGAGCCTGCAAGCTCTTTCACTCAAATACTCATAGGCCGCGTTCGGCCGCTTGATCGGGTCGGGATCCATGCACTCAGGCGTTTTACGATGCACTCATAATCCTGGATACAGACCTTGGAATTTATATAAAAGTACGGACATCCAGAATACTTTACTACTAATTTGTATCTATCGAAAGCATAAGCGAGCACGCACTCAAACACCCAGTCTCGGCGCAGCCCACACGAGCGAGAAGGTGTTTTATCTCACATTTCTGGGGCAGGGCCCGCAATGCTTCCGTTCACGTCAACAAGAGTGCGTTTGGAGAAGCAGCGACTGTTTATGGCAACTTGCTTGGTATGAGAGGCATTCAACAAGCAAAAAGATTGCAGCATATCTCAGAAACCACAATTCATCGTAGTTCGCAGAAGTGAGGTCGTACACTACCTTACCCCTACTGCATTGACTGTCTAGTGTGCATTCTCAAAGTATCCCTTGTGGGTGCTACTTACATTACTAAATAGTGAGGACTATGACTATGAACTTCTGATCAGCCAAGTTATAAAAGTCGAAAATGTGTTATACAGCGTCACGGATTTATCATGTCTGTCAGCCTGCAGTGTGAGCAGAATTTGGGAGATCGCTGCATGTCAGCCGTGTGCGCATGCGTTTGTCTATATCTAATGCGTCCCCATTTTGTATTCGATAAATCTTTAATGAGGGCGGCTTCTTGCATAACTAAATATCAATCTTGATTCCCTCCTAAGCTAGGCCAAAGCAGCCACAAGCCAAACCAATAGAAACTGCAACACCGGACGACACTGGTGTTGTAATACATTTTATTTGTTGAGCACGCCACCATCTCAACGGTGCGGAAATTCGTCAAACTCAAAGCCACGGACCCTTTCCATCGACAAAATGCAGCTAAATCGTCATGAAACAATGGCCTCGCGCGCGCGCAAAACCTCGAGACGAACACACGCGAACGTCGAAACTAAGTGCTGACTCAGGGTCACTTGATAGTTCTTTGCACTACGCGCGAGCACACCCTCGCTGCGTTCACGCCACTGTGTGGAAATCTTGAAAAATTGGAATTCGTTAAAGTTGGTATCTATGGTGTCGAGCTACATGCGATTCCTCTCCTCCGCAAACTCCGCGCTGCTGTACCAGTCGACCATTTCCTTCCACCCCCTCTCCCACTCCTCGCCCAACCAACCTCCCTCCACCCAAATCTTCTCGTGCACGACCCTCAACTTGCCCTGCTCGTTTGGCTGCGGGAAGAACCCGCCCCACGTCCTGTCGAGCCGCGTGAGCGGGAACGCGCCGTCGACGCCAAACTGCCAGTTGAGAAACGCCTGCTCCGCCATTGCGCAATCATAGTGCTCCGCTTTATTAAAGTTCTGCAGCAGGCGGCGATGCATAGTGGTCGAGGGCGTGATGACCATCGCGCCGACGTTGATGTTTGGCTCAGTGGTGGAGAACGGGTCCTGCGGAACACCCGCGAATATATAAGGTTCGCAGACTTGGTCCAGGCCTGGGAGTAAGTCGGTCAGGACCAACTTCTGCTCGATGCACATTTGCGGTTGGGTGAGTTCGAACATGTCGTCGATGTTCGTGAGCGGAAAGGCGTCGGCGTCGAGGAAGATGATGCGTGAGAATTCTGTTTCAGCCCACATGTTGAGTTTTGCGAAGAGGTCGACCCAGCGCTTCTGTACGCCGGGCTTGTCGCAGTGCCATTCGAGTGGTGCAAGTTCGCGCACGATGGCACCTGTGCCGCGGAGGACGGCGCGTTGTTCAGCTGTCACGAAGTCGGCGACGAAGACGATGAAGGGATAATTCTTGCGCGTGCGCGTGCGAGGGGACCATAGTACGCGGTGGACGACAGATTGTATGGCGAGAAAGTATGGATCTTTCAGCGACGGGTTGCGTGTTGCCATGAAAGTAGCATACGCATATGTCTTTGGCCCATTGGGCTCATAGTGGAGCGGCGCATGGTGACTGAATTGGTCTAGCTCTGCAAAAGGAAATTCGACATCAAGATCCTCTTGGAAAGAAAATTCGGGATGCGACGAAGAAGAGCCGTCCGATTGTGTAAAGCTGGGTGTATCATGAGCTACCTCGGCCGGCGATGGAGTGTGCTGAGGATCTACACCGACACGCGCTTGGTCGGTGTCATCCAGAATTGCAAGGGCACTGTGACTAGGGTATGGTATGCCGGAAGAATGCGCTGTTGTGGGTGCTCCTTTAGAGCGGTAGGATTGGACTCGATCCAGCAAACTGCTGTCGGATGACACACTGAGGTAGATGATGCCAAATATGAGTAGCGTTGCTACTAGAACATTATGAAGTCTTCTCATAGTCGCTCGGAAAAGATGTAAAGGGTGGAGTCTGCAAAGAAAGCGGTCGGGTACAGGTTAGGTCGAGTGATGGTGCGTCTGTGGTAGGGGCCGTACGCATGTCACATGCTGTTCACCATCGGCTCTGGATATGCTGCGAACTGATAAGACAGATCCTCACAATGCTTCGCGATCGCCGACCGAGCGAATCGGCTCAAGGACAATTGTGTAGCAGTAATCAGTGTTCAATTGCGACTCATGTGAAGACTGCAGCCACATCACACCTCTCATCTGCATCCAGGACCTCCCTGGACGGATTTTATTGAACTTGGTCCAACAGAAGATGCAAGGTACGGCCCACATTCCACTTCTGGTCGCGTGGAAAGCGTTGAAGTGATGATCGACACGGCACGCGAGCAGGGATTCTGCTTACCCCGCATATTATGGTTCCCGAAGGGTAACCCCACGAAAGCTAAGAGCGTGCCAACGCGTGCTAACAGGCAACAAGCGTCGGCGACTGGATCATTCCAGGAACACACCAATGATCGACGGCGCATTGCTGGTACTGCGCCGCTTAAACCCGACGATAGCGTCATACCAGCCTCGCAGTGCGCGTCAAGGAGGGGAATATGATTTCACATGATGCCGACCGACGTTACATACTTTCGTTCAAGTACGTCGATCACATTTGTAGCCGAAGATGAATGAAATGGAGATCGTTTCGTGAATTGCGATAGTATTATATTGCGTTGTTTGTGTCTAGCACGCTGAGCTAAAAGCCCGCTTGTGCATTGGCGGCGGCTGCAATTGCGCTTGTGGCAAAGTCTTCTTGTACAGCCAGTTGGTAAACTTTACGCTTGGTTCGTCCGCCAGTTTCGTGACCAGCTCGGCCATGTATAGCGTAAACGGTAGAAGGAGGATTTGTGGAAGCCAAAAAGCCAGCTCCAGGCCCATCGGCCCTTTCTTCGATAGCGGAAGAACGCCCACCCACTGAGGTACGCCCATCTGGTGCCTCGGTCGAGAGAACCCCACTGCAGCGTAAATTCTGTCTGCTAGTGACCAAAGGACCAGGCCATGGACCAAATACAGCGCAAATGATATGCGCGCGAGGTACTGGCAGAAACGCGTCTCGAAGAAGCGTTTGAGCACCGGCAAGCGGGGTATGGACGCTACAGCCATAATCGCTGCCCACGTGAGGTAAAACCATTTGGCATCGAAGACAGCTTGCGGCTTGAGGTGCGAAAGCCACTTCCAACCAGGCGACTTCCTCAAGACAGTGACGGGATCGAGCTCAGCGTGGGTGTGGGATGGTACGCCACCGAGGTACATGGCCAAGACGAATAGATGGAAGAATATAAACTCTTTGAATCCCGACAGTGCCGTGAAAACCCGCGGGAGTCGTCCTTCTTCCGAGAGAAGATCAAGATCGCAGAGCAGCATGCCGCCGATGAAAAGAGTGCCGTAGTATCCGTCCACGATGTAGAGAAAGTACACCATCAAGCCCGCCTCGCACCAGAGACGAGCGGATGTCGTGCATCGAGACAGCGCCGACAGGGTCGTGTAGATGATGATGGATCCTCGAAACTCGATTGGAATGGACCAGAGATGCACATGGTAAGTGAAAGGAAAGTCGTAATAACTGCCGGTAAACACGAAGCTGTAATTCTTGAACGTCTGATACCAACGCACAACGTCCTCCCCAAATGTGGCTGCCATGTCGCGTTCGTCGGTCCAGATCTTGCTCCAATGTCGGAAGCACATCCAGGAAAATGTGACCAAGATGATCGGAATGTATAATCGCATCCATCGACGGAAAAGTGCCGAGCCCAAGGTTTCAGCAGCGCTCAGTTGTTTCCCGCTCTGTATTAAGCTCAAAGTTTTGAGTGAGAGAACGTAGCCAGAGATGACGAAGAAGATGCCGACGGCGAAGTGGCCGCCTGAATAGAAGAGACGAACAAAGGGAAGAGCGGCGAAGTAACGCCTGCCCTCAAATCCATATGCATTCTCGTAGACAAGGTTCCCTTTTTCACCGTGTGCCCACAGCTGGTTGTGGTGTATGTACACAATAAAGGCCGCAAAGCCTCGTAGACCATCCAGCCAGGCTGTCTTCCTCAAAGGCTTCTTGGGTGCGCTGGATCGCAAGGCCATAAACTCAGGTCGAATGACATCGAGACTCCATCGTGGGGCTCGCGAAGGCTTCCAGGAGTTGGCTCGGAGATCGATGTCTTCAAGCATGCCGTGATCGAGTATTCCTTCGGCCTTTTCTGGCATTGTGGCAGTCGTCTTTCAGTGATTGATCAGTCAAGGTTTTTGCGAATTGCTATGCATCGAGTGATGGAGACGAAAGTAGTGGCTGATAAAATGAATGCATGCAGATCTTGGCAAATGTGCGGCTTCAGTATCAGTGCGCCCTGAACGGAAATTCCCACAGGATCACAAGTAGTCGCAAACTAAAAAAATGGGCGCGCAACCGAGGGACACGGCCGTCGCATGAGAAATTGACCCGTTAGCACAGACCGAGCGTGGCAGCGATCCGCTACTCATGCGGGGACTGGTGCGGGTAGGTCCAATTGTTGGCAGTAGTGTGTTTCTCCACATGTTACCTACTCCTCGCGCTCCAGTCCTTCGGGATCCGAGATTGGTAAAGTGGCCGCTACCGCAGCAGGGGTGCACGATGCAAGCCTTGACCGAAAATCTTAGCAGTCCAAAAAGGCCTATCTCCGAGGCTGTCTGCACTGGCAGGGTGTCGCAGTGTGTGTAGCGTGGTTTGCACATGAACGGGATCTTCCTATGATGTGTAGGTGCAGTACGTACCAAATGTGCCGAGGAACAGCCCCTCGCAATCGTTAGTCTTTCTGATGTCGAGCTACTAGCTTTTTATGGTCAGCGGCCCGGAAAGGTTGAAATGAGACGTGCCCATCTCTTAACTCCTCATATCCTCAGCATGCGCAGTCGCCCGAAGCTACCTCCCAATCTTCGCGTCAACACCAACATGCCTCCACACTCGCCCATCGCGAGCCACTTCCGCAACAAACTTACTTGTCAAGTACGGCGTGTGCTGCCCGTGTACCTTGTGGTACTCTTCTTGTTGTTGTTCTTTGCAAACACCCACTTCTTCACCACACCCATACGGGCCGCGCACAGGTATCGGCGGGAGCTCAAGTACCAGCAGCCGCTCCAGATCACGACAGCGACAATACCGAAGAAGATATGGCAGACGTGGAAAGTCGGCCCTCTTGGCTTTGAGCAAAGAGATTCAGATAGCGCGAAGACGTGGCCGGCGAAGAACCCAAACTATCGTTATGAGGTCCTCACTGACGACAATGCGATTGAGTACCTCAACTTCCAGTACGGCCCAGAGGGCCTAAATCGCCAGGATCTGATCGACTTCTACCAAGAGCTCAACATTACTATCATCAAGGCAGATTTGCTTCGATACCTTGTTATGTACGCCGAAGGTGGTGTATACGCTGACATCGATGTCGAAGCTCTGCGTCCGGTCCAGCGCTTCATACCCGAGCGGTATAATGAAGCGGAAGTCGACATGATCATTGGCGTCGAGATCGATGAGCCAGCCTTCGCTGACCACCCAATATTGGGATCCAAGTGCATGTCGTTCTGCCAGTGGACCTTTGCAGCCAAACCTCGCCTGCCTGTAATGATGCGACTGATCGAGAATATCCAAGACTGGATCCACGAGCTCGCCGGAGAAAAGGACGTGCCATTGTCTGAACTGAAGCTCGATTTCAACGAGGTCATCAGCGGCACCGGTCCATCCGCCTTTACGCGAGCAGTCTTGCAGCAAATGACGACGCAGAATAATGGAAAGGAAGTTACTTGGGAGCCATTCCATAACCTCAGAGAGTCACGCCTGATAGGCGGTATGTTGGTCCTGAATGTTGAGGCGTTCGCCGCTGGTCAAGGTCATTCTGATTCCGGCAATCATGATTCACGAGGTGCGCTCGTCAAGCACCACTACCATGCCTCTGGCTGGCCGGCGTTACATCCACGGAAGAACCACCCCATGTTCGGCGAGGTTGAGAAGTGCAATTGGAACCCTAGCTGTGTTGCTGAATGGGTAAGCAAACTCCGCCTCCATCTCTGTCCGACCGGCTTGCTAACTCGCATTAGGACAAGAATGTCGCAGAATGGGAGACATTATCAAAAGACGAGCAGGACAAGCGACTGGCTGAGAAGCCCCATGAAGGCCTGTGATCACTGTCTAATTAGCATGAATAACGACCAATCATGGTGGTGCCGGTGTGCAGCCTCGTGCAGCGGCGCGGTCTCCGTCGTTCGCGCCATTTTGCCGGTCGCGGCGCTGGTGAGCGATCCAGACCTCACGGCAAGTCGCGCGGTCGCAAGCAGTGTCTGTATGACGCGCAAAAAAATGCGCAGCTCTCGCAAGCGTTCCACGTCCTCGTCGACGTTGGGTTTGGGTGCCGGTGGCTGGAAAGTGTTCAGCTGAAGAAACAGCGGAACGGATGGCGCCGACACCAGCCGATCTCGGGCTAACCTACCTAAGCACTCATTTCACGCACACAAACCTGGCGACTGTTCCACGGCCTCGTACATAAACTTATACCCATAATACATAATGAACAAGACTACATGTTTCACGATCTTGCCCGACGCATTGGTGTTGTGGTCGAAAGCTAAGACCTTCAATCATCACGTGATGGGTGACGTACATATACCAAGGTGGGCAGTCCTTAACGTCATAGGGTCATAAGGCTAGAGCAACTGAACTAGGCATTTTCTTCAAAACATACGCCTCACCACACCTACCTCGCCGTATACCTGTATGCAAGCTAAAGCTCACCACACGCGCCGAAAATAGCACAGGGAGCATTTCTCATGGCGCAGATTGAGACGGAAAAGGCACTCAGTCCAAAGATACGTCCACGATGCCATTATGACCTCATAATTATCATAATTGCACAGTTCCGGTTGGCTGACTTTGATTCAGATCATCGACCTTTGCCACACCAAATTGTATCGTTCTTGTATCATAATTTACGAATACTGTGAACAGCTTCCAGTTATGTCCACAATCTTGCATTGGGCATTACGGGATGTGGGGCATTTTCAATGTCATGGCTGGATGCATCTTGAATGGATTCTGCCATGTATGCGAACTCTCTGTGGTGCTTCCATCTTCTTCAACCAGTGCGCGTCTGCAACATCCTGTAATCTTCCTTCTATCATCCATCGAAGACGTGGAACATGCGAGGCAATGTGGCAGTCGATTGAGTAATAGACAGCGAGGTCCGATTCTGGATTTGGCTTGGGCTTGGCCTTTTCAGCTTTAGCATACACGGTGAGGAGCGGTATTCGTAATCTTGTTGGTAAACGAGGAATCGGTTTAGAGGGAGAGCAGTCGGGTTGGTGGCGGATCAATATAATATGCGGGACCTGACGTCGTCTTGCACATTGCTTTCTTCGCTGTATTGTTCCCGAGGTCGCTGGGCAAATTTTTCGTGGGTCTTTGTGTGTTCAACTAACAGCTGTTCAATTCGCTGGGACTACTCGTCCGCAACTTGGCTAATATGATAGCTCTGTCTACCCTGTTTCAGATGCATCTACCGAGTTTGTCTTGCGGGACGTGTAAGATGAAGCACATCACTCAGTAAGTATGTCGTACTGTTCGCGCAATCTCTCGCAATGAAAAAAGTTGTATCATGCTTCGGGGACGCTGATATGTGCGTCCAATCTTGAGTCCTGATCCTGAGATCATATTCAGGCAGTGGCGGATGATCTTGGAACCAGTGCTTGAACTCGTTCGACATAGTAAATGGTACGTTTATCTGATCATGAGGAATGTAGATTCGTACAAGTAACAGAAAGACTCGAGCGATGTGAGACTGTGCATGGGTTCTGAAATCAATGTGATTAGGTATGTACAGAGTGTCTAGCCTCGAAAAGCTAGCATGAACGCTTAAAGAAAATCAAATCCAACTCCAGAAGTTGGCAAAGAGTACGGAAATAGGAAACGACATACTACTAGAAGACGAGATACCGGAAGCCCGGTCAAGAAAGCATCCTCTCGCATACCTGCGAGAGGCATAAAAAGAAAATGCTGCAGGAGCCTGCAGCCAGGATAAAACTGAAAAGTGAAAAAAAAGCCTCTGTCGAAGATGACAGGCAGGACGAACAAATTTATCTACTTGCCCTGGTTACCACCAGGGCCACCCTCCTCGGTTTCCTTGCCCATATCATCAGCCTTGAGGATCTCGCCACCGTCCGAGGATGATTTGTAAGAGTCAATCGATTCTTAATACATTGCTCACTTTGCTGCTCAGCACAGACTCCACTGTCTGCCACTGGACGTTGGAAGGCTCAACTTCGAGATCGATGACTTCCTCGAAGCGGGAAACTTCAGGCTACCCGCGCACCTACTGCGGAGGTTGTGTGCGGAGAGCTAACCATCCCCTTGTGCGACCACGGCCATGCCGAGTGCTCTTTTTGAACGTCTCCGACAGTACACCACGTGTGCCGATCTGTACCGAAGACGATGTCAAAGTATCAGCCGAATATACCGACGCGGGACGGGGTGCGACAGGTGTTGTTGTCGCTGGGTCGACCGTTGGGTCTCCAGTCCGGCGCTCTTGTTCCCATTGTTGTAGCTTTGCATCAAGTTCTTCAGTCCATTTTGCTACCAGTGGCCTCTCAGCAGCACCCGAAGTGCCACTCAGGGTGTCCACAGGCGCGTGTGGGACTGGTGGATGAACATGAGTCTGCTGCTCTGAAGGAGGTGCCCAAGCGAACTCAGTACCGCGATCTACGGGCTCGGGTGCAAACTTCACAGGAGCAGCGGCATATAGTTGCGCATACGGTTGTTGTGGGGCAGGAAAATCCAGCCCTTGAACATAGGATGCGCTTGGATGTGTTGCCATTGGGCCTTGGCTTGGATATGGTTGGCCATATCCTTGCGGTATGGTTTGCAGTGGTTGATATCCTGGCTGTACATACCCTTGTTGGCCATGTCCTTGAGGATAATATCCCTGTTGGACGTTGCCTTGTGGAGCATACCCTGGTGCAGCATACCCTTGCGGTGGATAGGCTTGTTGAGGATAGACTTGCGGTGGATAGGCTTGTGGAGGATAGACTTGCATTTGATAGCCTTGTGGAGGATATCCCTGTGGAGAATAGCCTTGCGTGGGGAAAGGCTGCGGTGGCTGCGCGTTGAACGTGTTGTACGGCGCAATCGGTTGCATTTGCGGTGGCATTAAATCTGTCCAGATATTCCAGTCCCGTAAGAGATGAGGTTACAATCTCGTATGTACCATCTACCCGGTAGATGATCCGTTGCGCACATGTAGTCTGGCAAGAACCTTGATTAGTGGGCGGGTTTTGCGATGCAGTGCTGGTGTGGCAAATTACCGCGTACTATAGATCAAAATAAGAACGATGTGGACACTGCGAATTGCAGACACATTGACTTCGGAAGGTATACGAGAACACTTAGGTAGTAGGACTGGCTGATGCACTGAGCGCGAGCTACTGTCATACATGCTTTACAATGACGTAATGGTGGGATTGGCCTACGTTTGAGGAGGCTATAGTGAAACGAATGGTAAGATGCGAAGGACGACAAAAGTTTTAGAATGAGGTGGTCGATAGCGGCGAGTGAGACCTACTGGCCGCGCAAAATCCGGATGAGTAACAAGTCTTTGAATACACACCAACTATAGTTCTGAAGGGTGGAAAATGCACTTGATTACGTGAAAGCCATGTTACACCGCACTTTTATTGAGTCGAGGGCAGACGGAGTTTGCACACTCCTCGTATCAGACCGGCGCAAAACGTGGTGCCTAGAGCTTTCCTTGATTATATCTCGACTACATTGAGGTTTCGGTGCTCTAGTAATGAGCAGGAAAGGTGATAAAGAAAGAGGGTATCAACAAAAGAGGACGGCCTAAGAACATTCCGGTTATATTGTAGACAAACTGTCCGAACAGATCACAGCAAGTTGAGGAGCTGTACCTTTACGGAAATCCTTATGTGAGCTTAAACTACTATTGACAATTCCTATCAAAAATTAGCTGTCATGTCACAAGCGAGCCTGAAAAGGCTCAGTGGCTTATTGAAGTGTGACAATATACCTAGAAATATTCAAAGCTTGACGGTATTGTCCTGCGTGCAACCAGGTATACCCCAAGAGTGTTCCTACTCCTGGCACAGCACCCGCAAGTTTTGTAGCGCCTACTAGCGATCATCAAGTCCAACACCTCGACGGTGACCAGTCGGCATGGCAATCTTCCACTCCGCATTTGCATGATGTCACTATTTCAACCTCGTTGAGATCCACATTCCTTTAGGTCGAACTAAATCTATATTTCGTGCAGACCATGGTGGAAGGGCGACATAGCTACTTGGCAAAAGTATATCATGCATTAGGCGAAGGGCGTAGGTAAGATGCTCAAAGGTTTTGGAGAGTCTAAGGGTTGAGCGCAAGATGGAGTAAAGTCGGAAATGATGATCGAAGAACACGGGTATTGTCTTTGGTGGAAATGTAGAATAGGAAAGATTCATTGAGATGTGGGCTTGATGTTCTTAAAAGTCTTAGTGATGTTCGTGATGGCCTCTTCAACCGGTAATCGCTCCATAGAACTTGCGCCATAGAAGCCTTGGACGCCTCTGGTTCTACCGATGACATAATCGGCGTCGTCGGGCTTTGCGATTGGTCCACCGTGGCAGAGCACAATAATGTCGTCCTTGATCTTGATAGCGGCGTCTCGGATCTCTTGTATAAGATTCACACAGTCATCCAAACTCTTGCCGCTTGTTGCGCCAATACTTCCGGATGTCGTGAGTCCCATGTGCGCTACGAGAATGTCCGCGCCAGCATCCGCCATCTTCTTAGCTTCTTCTACGTTGAAAACGTACGGCGTCGTAAGTAAATCCAGCTCGCGTGCCTTTCGGATGACTTCGACCTCGACATCATAGCTCATGCCCGTCTCTTCAAGGTTCTGGCGGAACGTGCCGTCAATCAGTCCGACAGTGGGGAAGTTCTGGATCCCGGCAAAGCCAAGATCTTTGAGCTGGACAAGAAATCTGTCCATGTCCCTGAAAGGATCTGTTGCGCACACGCCCGCCAGAACAGGAGTATTCTTTACCACTGGCAGAACTTCGTTGGCCTAGGTCGGGTTAGACCGGATGTTGCAGGAGCTGCTGAGGGATGAGTTGCTGACCATGTCGAGAACTACATCGTTCGCGTTTCCATAGGGCATTAGGCCAGCCAGAGATCCTCTACCAGCCATTCTAAAGCGACCACTATTGTAAATAATGATCATGTCGCCGCCACCTTGCTCGATGAATTTTGCCGAAAGTCCAATGCCAGCGCCTGCGCCGACAATGATATTTCCATCTTTAATAGACTTGCGAAGCTTCTCGAGGATAGCTTTACGATCTGTTGGCGGGCCCATCTCGAAGAAGTAAGATGAAGAGAAGGATAAGGGTTGTGACTGCTGTCTAACTGATCGGTTAGGAAGTATGACGTAATAGCGGGGATGTACCTCGAACCACACCAGCACTGCTCCCGTCGCACCACGCTTCATCGTACAATTCTTGGTTTGGTGACAAACATGTCGGCAAGGTCATGTGTTGTGCTCATTGGCACGTGCGATACAAAACTCGAAGAGCTCCTGTTCCTGCGAGATGAAATAACACGCGCTGGGACCAAGGTCCTGTTCATTGACGTCGGACGCAAACCAGTGCAATATGATTCCATCGACATTCGGCAGGATCAGCTCATGCGAGATTATGCCGACGACGCAAAAGTCGATGGCTTGCCACGAGGGGAAGTGATAAAGATGATGGCTGGATGCGCAACAAAAGCTGTCAAACAGCTGTATGACCAGGGATACATACACGGGATCATATCAGCTGGAGGCTCAGGTGGCACTTCACTCGCAGCAGAAGTCATGAGAAATGCTTTGCCAATTGGGTTCCCGAAGATGATCGTTTCTACAATCGCAAGTGGCGATACTGGACCTATTGTTGAAGAGACGGATATTACTCTCATGCCATCTGTCGTCGACGTGTCCGGCCTGAACGAGATCCTGCGAAGAGTTCTGAGTAACGCTGCTCAGGCGATAGTGGCCATGTCGCAGAGTTATCCGTCACCTTCTCGGAACCCATATCGACAGACAGCGAAGAAAAAGCGGGTGGGCATTACTATGTTTGGTGTGACCACTCCAGCTGTAGACGCCATCCGCAAGCACCTCGAGGAGAACTACGATATCGAAGCCTATGTCTTTCACGCCACAGGCCATGGTGGCAAGGCGATGGAGCGACTTGTTCGTGAGGGCGGGCTGGACGCCGTGCTCGATCTAACCACCACCGAAATATGCGACTTCTACACAGGAGGAGTCATGAGCGCAGGTCCGCATCGACTTGAAGCTGCTGCTCAAGCCGGTATACCTAACATCATCTCCGTGGGCGCAACTGATATGACCAACTTTGGACCAAGAAATACTGTACCAGAACGCTACACAGCCAGTCGCAAACTTTATGAGCACAATCCTGTCGTGACGCTGATGAGAACTTCGAAGGATGAGGCGGAGCAGGTGGGCAAGTTCATTGTTGACAAGTTGACGAAACACGCAAAGGATCCAAGCACGATCCAAGTCTGGCTACCAACCGGTGGCATTAGCATGATCGCAGTTCCCGGTGGTCCATTTGAAGATGGGGAAGCTGATAGCATTCTCTTCCAGACACTTAAAGACGGGTTGGCGAACAGCGGTATCGAGGTCGTCGAGGACAAACGAGCTGTCAACGAGGAAGGCTTTGCGCATGACATTGCTGAAGCGCTCGTTCAGAAAATGGGCGTGAGTCGGAGAGTCGCTTGACATCGTCTGAGACGACGCGACTCCTTTCAATATCCGTGCCTGGATCCGAAATTAGTCGCGCACTACGCCCGGGTCAGGCGCCCTGCGCGAAAATCCACCCTCAAGATCATGGTTGGACAAAGTAGGTTTGGTGGCGCAGTTTGCCAAGGTCTGGGCGGATCCTTAGACAACCATCAAAAAGTCACGATCCCCACAAGGTTGTTCTTGTCTATTCATAGCAGTTTGTTATCGTCACTCGTTCAAATCTCTCACAATGTTTGCACGCAAAAATGTGCTGTCGTTCGTTCTTCCCTTTTTCATTAGCCATGCTCTTGGACAATCCGGAGGAGAATATGGGCCAATCCAGCTGGACGTGAATAGCCAGGACTCCATCAAGTCAGCCGCCCGATCTCTTGCTGGTGGCATTATTGCAGCGTACAATGATAGTTTGGCCAGTGAAGATGGTGGTATTCCAGGTTTGTTCGACGGCAAGAATGAGATCTATTTCTGGGAATCTGGTACTCTCTGGAACGCATTGCTCGGATACTCCTACCTGACTGGCGACTCGCAATACGACACAACCATTTCTGAAGCTTTGCAGTTCCAGCTTGGAGACTACGATGCTTTCATGCCTCCAAACCAGACAAAGTCCCTTGGCAATGATGATCAAAGTTGTTGGGGTTTGTCTGCGATGACAGCCGCGGAAATTGGACTCCCCAAACCAAAAGACGCCGAGTGGGTCGACTATGCGAGAAACGTGTGGCAAATTCAGTCCGAGCGACTCGAATCTGGGGAGGACAAGTGTGCGGGTGGTCTTAGATGGCACATTTTCACCTTCAACGCTGGGTACAACTACATGAACGCTTGGTCAAACGGAAACTTCTTCTTGCTTTCCGCACGTCTCGCCAAGTTTACCGGCAACGCCACCTACTCGCAATACGCAGACAAGATCTTCAAATGGTCACAGACGGTGGGCCTTGTGGACAAGAACTTCAGCGTCTACGATGGAACTGATTCAGTTACGAACTGTTCAGAGGTTAGTAAACTTCGATGGACTGCTACTCATGGCCTCTACACCGAGGGCGCGGCCCTCATGTACAACATAGTAAGTTTTCTGCTTGCAAGTCTGTGGTCTCCATCTTAACATTTGCAGACTGGCGCACAATACTGGACCGATGCTGTCAAAGGCTTTGTAAAAAGCACGTCTGTCTTTCAATGGTCGACGGGATCCGGCATTCTCACCGAGTACGCATGCCAACTGGCAGGCCAATGCGACTCAGATCAACGTGCCTTCAAAGGCATTTTCGCTCGCACTTTCGCACGCGCCGCGCTTGCAGCTCCAATTGCGGCAGACTCCATTAACAAGTTACTCATAAACTCCGCCAAAGGCGCTGCTATGGCATGTACCGCGGGTGATGATCCGCAATGCAGCCTCAGCTGGACCGCGGACAACGACACTGACTGGGATTGGGCCACTGCAACTGACGGAAATATTGGTGAAGTCTATGCTGCTTTGGAGGTTATTCAGGGTCTGCTGTACCCATTTGCGAAGGGATTGAAGGGTGCAAGTGCATCGAGCAGCGCGAACAACGCGACCGGCAACTCAACACAAGGTGCTGGAGCTTCAGGCGTGTCCGGCGCCGGAACACCGCAGAACACAGGAGCCGCTGGCACGCTTGTCGCGAGCACCATTACGGTTTTCGTAGTCGCATTTGCAGCTATGCTCAGTTTCTAGACCTTTCTATTTGCATGGCTGAACCTCTCAACCACCTATACACCATGTAACCCCTTCTACTGTTTCGTCACAGCGACTCGAGCCTCAGCTGGGCTACCCCCAATACCATATGATATCTTCAACCTGTATGGTACTTCCACGCCTTGTTCACTGTCGTCATGAACCATGGATAGATGTACCACTGCTCTAGGGTTGAGGGTGCTGCGCGACACGACAGAACAGGGCGCGATGCTATCTGGAAATTGAATGTCCCAGCACAATGAGGTACGTGCGTTTTATTGTGATACCTAAGTGTAGCGATCTAGCTCCAGCTGGTAGCGATACTAGTTTCGTTCATTAAAGTGGGGTAACACATATTCCTGTTGGACAATAATATCTAGTTAACGTGCATTGCACTTAGGAAGTCTGCATATGTCTTCGATAACATGGTACTGCGAACCAGAGACTTGTAAATTTTAGTAGCGTACCCAAGAAATAGATTATGGCAAGCAAACATTAAAGCTAGATCGCTGCACTTCAAAAAACACATCAACAGCTTGGGACTTCAAAACCCTTGCCAGTAATCGCAACCATCTGACCACACCTGCCCACTCGAGGACGACAATGGAATCAACCGGCGAGTTCGCGACACTTGGTTTATGTCACTTATTCCGCCTTCCAGGCGAGCTCAGAAACTACATATACGTATACGCCTTGACTGAAGAGCGCCCTCTGAAGGTCGAGCGCCGTAGCAATGATACCGCATTCAAGTGCTATAAGCAGCCGCTCGCGCAAGGCGGAGGTCACCATGAGATGGGAGCTTTCTCGAAATCGCCAAAAGATACGCTCGTTGAGGTCAATCAGTTGCGCTTGGTCAATAAAGAGCTTTATGCCGAAACACGGGCTTTGGCGCTACGATACAACAGCTTGGCCTTTAACAATATCGGCGACACCAATGAATTCTTGAAGAATTGCGCGCTTTCACAACAAGCTCACCTCCACACCCTCACTATTCACTGCACACGTATTTCAGGCCATGGCAATCCACCAGCCATGAAGTCCATCATGCAATTCTGCGGGGCCCATCCTGGTGCGACTATTCGCATCAAGCACAGTTGCAACAATCCCAACGTACCGATATCACTCATGCGCATTGCCTCACGCGAATACCGGATGCGCGGCACGCATAAACTGCTGAATGCAATTTTTGCTCCAGGATGTGGTCAGCGAGAAGCACATATAGAATCTTTCGAAGCCAAGTTGAAAGGAGCTAAGATTCGATCACCTCCCAGGAATTTTCGATTTTTCCCTTGCATCACCAGCTTTGATGAGCCTACATTCCGGGCTGGAATTGAGGAGGATGATGAATTGCTTTTGTGGCTAGCCTATGGTTATATAAAAGGGGGCAAGGATGGTTTGGTCAAGCTGGTGAAGCAGGTTATAAAACATGGTATCTGATGCGGGGTGTGAGGTATAGGACGTGGATGGCGAGCGAGGGAGTATTGGTGCTGCGGTTCATTTAGAAGGTTTGATCATGCTCAAGCGGTGGAGCAATACTGAGCGAGTTGGTGGCGCCCGTCTATAACAATTTGCTGTCTTACACATAATTGAAATTCTCATCATCCAACAACTGTCTCATAGCACGTTAGTACCTTCAGGAGACTCTCAAGGTCACTCTCACGAACAAGATATGACAGTACCTTCATATTTCTCTAATTTCGACGTGGTTCCTGCCCCCCAGTGACATTAGATTGTCCAAGCCGCGACTGTACACAAAGTACATTTTACGGAAGAAGAGCTAAACTTACTATAGCCAGGCGGGCTGTAGATCTCAAGTATCATTTTGATTTTCGCGTAATGTTCATTTGTGTCTTGAGTGTACCATGGTTTGCGATAACTATATAACCATGGTCAAGTGGGCGAGCGGGTGCCAAACAAGCAGCACAAAATTGTATCGTATAAAATGTAATATCTGTGCCTCGTCCTGAAATTCATACGCAAAACGCAACCACTATTTCCACAGCGTTCATCACAGGCCTCATCCGCTATTCAACTGAAAATGGAGACAGCTGGCAATCTTTTCATGCGCATTCCTGCCGAACTAAGGAGCATTATCTACGAATACGCTTTGACAGAAGACCATCCTTTGAGTGTTAAGAAACCAAATGGTCATGCCATCTACGCAGCATTGCACCCGCAGCTTCGAGACCGGCACCACCTGCAAATTCTCTCAACAGGCTTGTCACATCCCTACGGCGTTCGTAAAACTGCTGAAGCGAACCAGCTGCGCTTCACTAACAAGCAAATGTACCACGAGACACGCGGGCTTTCACTGCACTACAACGCCATTGAATTCACTAACGTTGAAGACGCGCATTACTTCCTTAAACGCTGCGCAACCTTGCACCTCAGCAAGCTTCGACTGGTCACCATCCGATGGGCGGATCAGAACACGTTCGGCGTCCCTGATCCCAAGATATGGCAGAATATATCGAATTTCTGCCAACTCTATCCAAGCGCCATGGTGCGCGTCCACGTCTCGGATCGGTCGCCGAATACACTGCACACTCTTCTCTGGCTGGCCAGATACGAAGCGCAAATACGCGATACCAGGTCTCTTTTCACTGCGCTTATTGAAGAAAATTCCGTGTTTCGAGATGTCGTCCGTCCTTGTCTACCACTCGCGCCCGGAATGCCTGTTGTCCATGACAGTCTTCGCTTCTTCCCTGCTGCGGAAGTTTTCGATGAGGAGGAGTTCGTGCGCAACGCCGATAATCGGCATTCTTTCCTCGTACTCCCTCTCGCATTGAGATTAGGTGGTTTTAGAGGAGGGCTGGATGGCTTGGTGAGCTTGATGAAACATGTTGTCGAGCATGGTGCTTGAGCGCGTGTTGGAGCGGCCTGTAGATGTTCCACCGACCGTTCTAGCATCTAATGGTACCTCTCGAGACATTGAGACCATCCAGGTCATTGTATCACATTAGCCAAATGAAGGAGAAGGAGTATCAAGGCATGGCACGATCATGTGGAAGCAGGGGAGAACATCTGCATTCGATGCCTTTTAGGAGGAGGCAGAGCTGGTACAGTCTATCTAATACAATCGTTGAAATTTTCGAACCAAAACTACCACTCTATCGCTTTCTCACACCAAACGAGCCAGGCTTCTTGCCCACGGCGAAGCCAAGGGACGCGGCCTGGTTCTTGGCCGGCACAGATGGTGCGGCGGGAGCGAAAGCAGGCGCAGCAGCGGGCGCGGAAGGACCAGGGGCGAGCGCGGCGGGGAAAAGCGCGAACAGGTTTGGAGGTGGCCCAGCAGGGCGAGCAACGCGGGCGGGTGCAAAGGGACCAGGCGCGGAAGGGGCGGGCGCGGAGGGAAGTAAGCGCAGAGGGGACAGGCGCGAGGAAAGCCGGAGACGGACCCGACGGGCGTGGAGCGGGGGTAGGTGCCTGCTGCTCAGGCGCAACGAAGTCGAAAATCAAGGACGAGGGAGTGGGCGCAGAGGCGAGGGCGACAGGAGGAGGAGAGGCGACGGAGCCAGCCGCAAGGAAGGTCGTGAAGGGCTCCACGATACGTGAGCCGACGACACGGAGACCGGAAAGCGGATACTGGATGCCTTTAAGGCGAAACCCTTCTGTCAGAGAGTTAGTATGATGGACCGAAAGCCGACAGGATCGTGCATGACGACATACCTTGAGGGAAGAGAGGGCATGGCAGCCCATCTGCCAATGCCCTGGCGTACGCGTAGTACGATTCGAGCTTGAGGTGATCAACCCCCAAGCCCGCCAAATCGACGCCACCAAAGAGTGCCAGATGTCCGACGAAAAGAGAGGCCACCACCATCAGGAAGCCGCCAGCAGCGACCATCTGGTGGATGAGCTCCTTGACGTGGTTGAACTGGTCACTCACGACGTTGAGCTGCCAGAGGCGGGTGTTCTGGTCGCGGATAGTAAGCTCTAGGCGTGCTATCTTGGCCTGCTCAACGTCTATGGCACTCGATTTGGACTTGCTGGTCGACGAGGAGGGCGCGAATCCAAGCTCGATTTCTCGGCACACGTCGCTCTACTTTGCTTGAGCTCGCGCTCAGCATCAGCCAGCTGGCGCTGGAGCGCAAAGATGGTTTGCTGCAAAGCAGCCAAATCGTCGTCGTGGTCGCATGGGTGGGCCAGTCCCTCGAGATGCCCGATGGTGCGGCGAAGGTCGTCGATGATGGTACGAAGCCCGCGGATGGTGTCTTTGGCGGCTTCGTAGTCGCCACGGTAGTCCGTGGGGATGCCGACGGGAGGGAGAGAATGGCCAGCAGCCTCCAGGGCGGCTTGGGGAGTGGAGACGCATTGCTCCAAGGAGCAAATGCGGGCGACGAGAAGCATGAAGATGAGGAGGGCGACAAGCGCCAGGAGCTCGAGGAGGAACATCATTTTGATGCGAGAAATGAGAGAAGTGTGATGTTGTTGAAAGCTTTTGTGTGTGTGGAAAAAGCTTTCGGACCTGAAGAAGAAAAGAGAATGGACAGAGGAGACGAACGGTTTATATGTATCTCATACTCGCATGGAAGCAGGATTCTGCTGCTCTACAATAGCTACGGCTTACAATAGCAGGTGCAACAGGCAAACTCATCTTTACCTTGCTGTCGTGGGTGAATGACGAAATTCCGCCTTCACCTCAGCTCTGGTGACAGAGAATTCTGCAGCAACGTCTTGATGCATGATCAATAAACCTGTATAGCCTCAGGTGCCAAGCCTGTAGCAGATAGAGACTGATTGAGGGTTGAGAATACTCGAGATGTCGTGTAGTTGCGATGAGGTTGTCAAAGACGAGTGTTGCGGGTCCCCAAGATGTCGCATAGTTTGGCTAAAAGCGTGCGCTACTCCCGATTGGGCACACGCGTGTTCTCTTTCCTGACGTGACAATGCGCTCTTTGTGACTAATAACACCAAATGCTCAATGTTCGACAAAATGATTGCTGCGAACTATGCACACAGGGTATAAAGCACCTGAACTCCTTCCTTTTGAGAATTGCAACCATCTGACTATATACCATCAACGCCCCTGACACGATGGCCTCTTGAAGACGTCACTCGAGGACTGGAACGATTACGGATCTATATACAAGCACAAAAGAGATGGAACCTATTAGAAGACATAAGGCCCGTGCCTTGAACTTGGACGGCGGGTACGTCGCGAGACATCTTTCCATGCCCGCTTGCAGCCGTCCTGGACTTTGACCTGCTCAATTCACGCTTGTGTCCCCACGCTGGGCTACTATGCCCCATCAAAACCATTTATATCAGTAAAATTTATGGCTCTCTCCCGGATCAGAGGTCCAGCTGCGTTCAGCAATCGAGTACGCATTACCGTTGTCGTCACGTATCCGACCTACAATCTCCAAACTCGGTGCCCCATTAGTGTTGTGAAAGCATCGGGTCACTCTCCTGGGTGCTTCTACATGGATTATGTGTGAAGGGGTGAAAGCTATTAGGCAGATGGATGCAGGTATGGTCAAGGCGTATTTTCAGTACGACCTCTGGCTTGCACTCCTGTAGCCTGGTCACGGGAATCTCCTCACGACTCGAGCACAGATCATGTGGTCGATCACATTAGGCACAGCATTTCTCTCAGGGCATTAAGTATCCTCCTGGGAACCATCGTATAGAGGTCAACAGCTCGACTCCGCATCAACAGACGATCAGACTACGCTCGATCAACTGCCCTTAGCAAAACTCCATCAAAGCAACGCCCACCCCTAATTCTACACTATCACCATGCCACTCCGCAAGAATAACCCCAACGACCGCATGGCAGCTCAGACGCCACCTCCTCGAACTGGAACGGCAGACTCCGGGTACTACGGCAACGATCAAGACGAAGATGCCGCGCGACCTCAATCTAGTGGGGCGGAACGAACCTGGGCCTTCAATGGAGCTCCGTTTCGTCGACGGTCAATCTTGGACGTCAACAACCGCCGTACGGCGGAAGTCACAGAAGAAAGCCGTCGTCAACTCGCCGAAAATGTTCGAGTCCAGCGGGAGCGTCAGGCCGAACTCCAGAGAGCTATGGATCAGAGGGACTTAGCTGAGCGAGACGCCGCCGAGCGATGGATAGAGGATGAAGAAGAGCGGCAAGCAATTGCTGCAAGCGCTCGGGTCGCTCAAGAAGAAGCTGATCAACGCCAGGAGGATTTGGACTTGGCTATCGCCATGGCGAACAGCGCGGCAGAAGCGGAGGAGGCAGAGCGTCTGGGAGCGATGGAAGCGGCTTTGGAGGCAAGGCGAGCAAGGGTCCAGAATGAGTTCGAGGACAGACAGAGAGCTGCTAATCTTCGTGCCACCCAGGCCGCCGCCCAACTGTCGCTCCAGCAAGAAGCCCAGCGCAAAGAGCGGGCGGCACGAGCAGCTCAAGCGGCTCAAGAAGCGGAGCGACAGCATCTTCAGGAGGAGGCTGAGCATCGTCGGGTTGCTGCCGACGTCAAGGCTACTCAAGAATTGCTCCAACAAGAAGCAGAGGCTCGACGATGCAAAGAGCGCGCCGCACAGGCAGCTGAAGGGACTCGGAAACGACAAGAAGAAGCAGAAAGGCAAAGTGCAGCTGAACAGCGCGCATACGACGAAGCAGCTGCCGTCCTCAAGAAAGACCAAGAGGACTTGGACTTTGCCCTAGCGCTGAGCCTCGAGGAAGTCCACGAAGAAGCGGAAGTGGACAGCCGTCCCCAGCATGCCCTTCCTACTAGTGAGAGTGGCATTGCTCTGCAGCTGCTTCAGGAGTTCAAGCGTCTCCACGACAGCGTAGAGCGATGTGAAGCGACTATACTGGCATCCGAGCAGCAAGATGAGTCTCCTCCAATCGCCCGGGTAGGAGATCAAGCAGACATCAGCTTCCAGAAGACTCAGTCACGCTTGTGCTCGCAAGATGACGACGACGATGACGATATGTTTTTCGATGCGCCTGAGAGCGCTGCTCTAGTCGACCAGAACGTCGTGCAAAGGCACCTAGCACAAGCTGGCGAAGATTGGTCCGATAGGGCCGTGATGAATTCGCCTTTGCTTGCGCCCATGCCACGACCTATCCCATTGCAAACTCAGCTAGAGCACCCAGTCCAACCATCACCTGCTACAGTGAACGAGGAGGACATGAGGCTGGCAAGGCCTTATCTGCCAGAGCTGCCTCTGAGGGGCGTTGGAAGCCCATATTATGAGCCAACTAGACCATCTCGCCAGTCGAATCTCGTCTCAGAAAGCCCAGCAAAGCTCAAGCACGTACAGGATGTGAGTCCAGCTCCGTCCTCGCCTCCGAGCACGACGAGCGGCGTTGTCACGCACAGCAGCAGCACCAACCGGCCCATCACCATCTATGGGAACGTGAACATCAATAATGAAATCAACGTTGTTGTGCCCGCCGAGAACTCGCGAAGTCTGTTGAAGAGAGCTCTGAGTCAGAGTATCAACAAGGCACGAGGCAAGACGACCGGGATAGCTACAGTGACGAGCGTAGCTCGAGGACAGACTGAGCAGGTCGCAGCGCTCATACGGTCAGGCGTGGAGAATGCAATGGACAACCTGAACATCGGGGGTAGTCTCTATGTGACAAATGCTGACAGGAGCCTGCGCATGATTGATGAGGCGTACGAGACGTCCAGTCGACCTGAGAGCCGGAGCTCGAATTCGAGTCTGGTCGCTGATCTCGAAGCAGTGCAGGAGCGTTTGCGCACACCTTGTGCGCAATCGATGCAACAGGCTCGTTCCGAAGACAACGGGAGCCCAGTGTCTCTGCCGGCACGGCCGTTGCGAGTGGTGAACACCTCGTCGACACCAAGTCCATTGACGCCAGTGAGCACAGCCACACGACCTGCGCCTTCTGTAAGAAGGTCTTCACAGTCACACAGTTTTCCCTCGCCAGCATACAGACATCCTTCGGTTCTAGAGTCGTCTTCTGAGGGCAGTGAGTTCCACGACAGTGGAGTCTGTCAGTCAGACGTGCAATCGAGTCCCTCGGGCGCCGCTCCCTCTCCTCCTCGCCCTGCAGTGGGAATTCCGCCCCACAGCGCTTCGGTAACTCGAAAGCCGATGCCTGATCGTTTCAACCGACCTTCGAGAAACCAACTCGCACCTATCCGCGAGCCGTCAGCCGATTCGATGCGCGCTCAAAGCGACTCGCCTTCGTACATGCAGCGGGTACTTGGGAGAAAGCGCGTTCATCCACCTGTGAACACAGAGTGGGCGAACGTGCCAGCTGCGACGCAGGATCTAGAGTTCACGAACTCTCACGCGATGATGGGTGTCAATCGCTTCGATGACAGCAGGCACGAGATGCCCATCTTGCCGCAGAGGACGGGTGATGCCGCCGCGCCGACCATTGATCGGACCATCACGCCAAACACGAAGGCGAAAAAGACCGAAAAGGACGCCCAGAAAAGGCTTCGAGGCTTGATGTGATCGACAGATGAAGGTGACGAGTCGGGGGTGAATGAGCATGGTAGAAGCTCAAGCGAGGACGGGATTTATACGAAGCTTTGGAACGCTATTTCAGCTAGGGCAGCGAGAGCGCAGCAGGATGTAACATATACGAGCTGGACCTGACAAATATAAAACTTTATATTCTTTCAACGTGCTTCTCGGTAATAACCAGTGATCACCCAGAATCTTTTCACAATGACGCAACAACTGAGAGGTCTTTGGCGCATTATTAATTGCTAATGTCAGGTAGTATAATATTGCATGATTAGCTTCGATATTTTATAAATATGCATTGTAGAGGCTGAGATCGCGCGAAACCCTCCAGGTTGATCGTTCATCAATTACGGCTCAATGGCTCATGGGTAAGGCTGGTGACTTTGGAGTTTGTGTGGCATTAGCACGTGCAGAGCTCATTTAGGGATTACACGATTCCACATAACATTATATTACTGTATTTAAAAATCGTTGTACAAGAATCTTTTTTGCAACGAACCCAGAAATGAAGAGAAGAACCATTCTAGGTACACTTTCCATACAACTCATTACATCCCATCCACTGCCCACAAGATAAGAACGTGTTTCCACACAGTCCGTTCCAGGAGCAGCACTGTCCGAATCTGGAACCAGTGCAGGTGTACTTCTTAGAGCCACCACACGTGCCGTTGGGTGAGGCCACAAGAGCGGGGGTGGGGCTTGGTGTCGGTTTGGAGGACGCGCGGGTCGATGTTTGGATAGTGGTGCTCGGCTTGACGGTGGAGCTTGATGGGACAGAAGAAGAACGAGCGGCAGAGGAGATAGTGCTCGACGACACGACCGTCGAAACAGCAGGGGGTAATGCAGAGCTTGATCGCGGTGCGCTTGCGGACGAGGCGGCAGGGGTTGAAGCAGAGCTTGATTGCGCTGCGCTCGCAGAAGAGGCAGCAGACGAAGCAACGACCGAAGACGAGCCCGACGATGAATCGCACTTGCCAAAACCGCTTTGACATCCAGTACCGCAGTGGCCTGCAGTGTTTCCACAGTAGCCGTACTGTGAACAGCACTCGCCCTGGTCAAACCCAAGACAGGTTAGGCCGACAGCTGATCCACAAGAGGAGTCCTGGCTGACACCAGTGGGTGTTGCAACAACGCCGCTGGAAGTACGGCTAGCGGCTACCGAAGACGAAGCACGGGTGGAAGCGCAAGCTGGTGGTGTAAATACGGAAGAGGTAGCGACTCTGCCGCTTCCGCTGCTGCGGTACCAATTGGCTTCCGGGTCACCTAAACACTCGCCCATAGTGACACCCTTGTAGCCCTTCTTGACCATCAAGTCAAGCATGTATCCAGTCAGATTGTGCACAGTCTGGTAATGGATGTCGTGGGCGATGGCCAAGAAGTCGTCAGTCGCAGAGTTCTTGGCATCAAGTGCTTTTTTGACGTTGTCCTTGGGAATCTGAGCCTTGTCTGGGGTGACGTTATTGTAGTCTGTTGGTAGTCAGTACACGTTTCGTAAATATAGGTACATTTTGGTGGTGCATACCATCGGTATCGAGATCAAAGTAGGACACGTGGTACCCGAGATCAGCCATGTCCTTCTGGCATCCAGATGCTTCAGAGCAAGAAGAGTACGGCGGACGCATGTAAGTCGGGAATTTTCCAACTACGTTGCTCATTGCCATCTCGAGTTTGATCATTTGCTCGTAACGCTGCGCCGAGGTAATGGCGCTGAGATCTTGATGAGACCAGGTGTGGCTAGCAAGTTGGTGTCCGTCGGTGACCATGCGTTGCATCATAGCCGGCCACTTAGTAGACGCATCATCGATTGCGCCTTTGTAGAGATTGATGCCGGTCATAAAGAAGGTAGCCTTGAAATTGTAGGACTTGAACATGTCCAGTAGGTCGTTGGTGTAGATGTAAGGCCCATCATCATAAGTGATGGCGATTTGTCCGGCTTTCTCGCAGACATAGATTCCTTCTCCGCCGTATGGGACGCTTCCGAGCTTCGTCCTGGCAATGTTGCGTGTGGATCCACCAGACGGTAGTTTGTTCGCATCGGCACCTGGACCGTAATCAAATTGGCTGTCGGGAGCCTGACAGTAATCTTGGCCCTTGCCACAATATCCACCAGGAGAACAGCAGTAGCCTTCGTCGCAAGTTGCACAGCCGAAATCTTTCCCGCATCGGCCGTCCGCACCACCTTGACGTGCTTGCAAAGGTGAACCATGTCCAGCAGCGCGGTGGTTATGACCTCCAAAAATATTCCTTGTCTTCAGATCCGCAACATCGCGTGCTAGGCCAAAGATCTTTGGTGCTCCGGGAGTGCCGCCGTGGGCTGCAACAAAGGGCGCGACGAGCGATGCCGCCAAAACCTCGTAGAAGCGCATATTCGAAACGAAACGTTATGAGTTAGTCAAAGAGTGTAGACTTGAACTGTGAATATGGGGAAAGTGAGTGTATAGGGTATTGTTCAACAATGCAAAGCGAATGAGGTGTTGACAATAACGAGCGGCATATGCCGAAAAGACACTAAATTGAACAAAGAAGTTGAAGAGAAAGAACTGAGAATAGGAAGACGATAGTGATAACTTAAAGGAGCAGCCCACGCTACCAAAGCGTATCCAAGACATTCTAAAAAGTATTGAACTCGGTCAGCGCTAGGTGTGGCGTCTTGGCTCTATGTTGTTCAGCCGCGGCGCGTGTCAAGATATGGCTAGCGACGCAGGGGTAAAAAGCTTCCGACAGTGACAACAAGCGACAGGGCTGAAGTCTTTCGATATGAACGCTTTTCACATTTTCTGACCGGCAGCTTGCATGCTGCAATGTGAAAAGATTTTCACCTGAGCATCTGTCTGTAGAGCTTTCATGGGGAGGCCATTCTGGAGTCGCGGGATACTGCACAACATTCATCCCAGCAGAACACAGGTTAAAATAGCAACGAAACATGCTAGACCCTAGTACAGCTGGATTCAGGTAGAGTACAGTTCTGTACGGTAGGCTCCGCGTAAATCACTCCGGAGGTTTGGCAGGCTGGTCGCAACAGCCGCGATGCTTCCCTGTCTTCATAGGTAAGCGAGAGCAGCAGAACTGCCAGTGTCTCGACCCGTGTCGGTGGTCCCGGTAGCGAAGGAAAAATAACTTTGCGCCGGTGCGTTTGTGTCATTGGAACAAAGCCTCGTGGCTTGGAAGAGGTGATGTGCAAATATGATCCCCTGAGCTAGCGTCGGGTAGATCCTTGGCGAACTAAGTTAACTTCCGCGGTTTCAGATCGGTCTAGGCACGTCCCACGATCTCATTTTTGGCCATCTCCACGGCAGATCCCCACGTTATAAGTGCCTTGCTTTTCGATCATCAGACAGACGAATTTCGATGCCAACATTCCCCGAAGTCCAGCACAGAGCGTAAGATACAGGAGCAGGTACGACTCAATGCAAGATGCAGCAATGCAACACATGTACAGCTCCAAGCGATCGTCTTAATAGCGAAGCAAAGCCTTGAAGCCATCTACATCGCCTCATGTTTCCCGAAAGCAAGATCCGTGATTCTCCCACATCAACACAAGCAGAAAGTTCAACGAACATCGATTCAGATAGAATTTCCCTTTGTGTGCCACAACACATATGATTCCCTGATTTTTACTATTTTTTGTTATAGGAGCGAAGCACAATGGCAATGAAGCGAGGTTCAGAGAGAGCGGCATAAGATCGACATTGATACACCCGCACAGCCGAGTTTGAAGACATCGACAATATGGCAAGTGGTTTGGTGTATCTGTGCTCGTGGTAATCGTTCACGTCTGGCATAGCGGGAAGAACAGCACGTGCATGCGTCCCTCCGCTTATCCGCGAAAGGACGCTCATGAGGAGATGCTGGTAAAATTTTGGAAAGATGCAGGAGATACAGGGAACAAAGAAAGGCATAGGCAAGATAATTGAGTGTTTGGAAAGACAGGGCGCATATAGCCTCGTCCACGGGTAATTTCGGTAACACAGGCTTTGGAGAAGTGTTCAGTGAGGACGATGTGGGCTTTATATTTCCACTCTTCTATTTAGCCACGACGCTAACACTCTACACATGGTGCACGTGAATGTTGAGTCTTGCAGCAACAGGCCGCACATCGCGCACTCTCCGAGGTCCCTTTGCAAGCGCAGAACATAGGCAACCTCGTATAGCAGGTTTAGTATACTTCAACGCCAAGTCAAGAGCAGAAAATCCAATCATGTAGCCACCGGATACAACTCTTCTGGAGACAGCAGAGCGGATACATGTACAGGTGGACCAGGAAGCTTTTGTTCTTCTGAGTTGCACACTGGAAGCTTGTGTTTATATGAAGAATGCACTGCAGAGGGAGATTTTATACCATCGATCCTGACAAGAAGACGTACGGGTGATGCGTGGGGTTTTTAGAACTCGGCGCGTCTTTCATGAAGCTCATTGCACATGTTTGGACAGTAATAACTTGCCGGTAAAAAGACAGTTTGAAGTGTCCAGACACTCATAATCCAGGGTGCAGTCGGCTTTTGGAAAAGAACACAGTGCACATGTCCATGTTACCGATCGATTTTGGTGTTGTATGATGAAAAGAACAATGTTGAGGAGAAGGACAGTCGGCGGAAACATTTATACCCATATTTCTTTTAGTGTACGGCTCGTGGACTGTCTGTTAGTCCTCTCAAGCCTTGAATGTTGCCTTTCCTTTTCTTTGCGCACATATGGGCAGCAGATTTTGTAACTCAACCGACAGACAAGACATGCATTGCTCTGATACACTCTTTTGTCTAGTTAAGCTGGAAGACTTTACACATACCTTCTCTGCTCGTAAGCCTTCAATCGAGGGTCGAAGCAGAGACATTTACTCTCCATCTTGTATTTTGGAAAGCCAAAGCGCAGCCAGACAACCATATCTCGTAATTAGTTTGCGTTTTGATTGGAAAGAGGTGCTTTTGGTGTATTTGTGAGAAGAAGGTTGAAGACGCGACAGTAGTCTTTTATACATCCAAGTATCTGGCGGAAAGGCATAAAACTCGGATTTGTCCGTTTCAAGCAGCTGGCCCTGCTCTCAACAGCAGACCTAGGACAGTAGGCGGGGTGGCATTTTGAGAGGACGCGGCTCACATGGCACGTTTACCCGGTCTGTTTTCGATAAACATGATTCCAGTGTAATAAGCAGCAAGAAAGATGGTCAGTTGCTTGAGAAGCAATCATATTCTGCACGCAGGCGGTGACAAGGACATAGAGACCACTGACTTAATTTTTCGGAGCACATAGTCCTGGTACGAGTTTGTTTTGGAGTCTCTGCGAGTTGAAGTACCAGCAAGGGGGCTCCGCATCATCAGCATCTGGCGGCTTTTTGGACAGATATATTTTTGGGTGTGAAGTGATAGAAAAGGATCGGACATCTACTCGAGAAGTATCTCGAACACCCCTACGGCGCAGAGGACATATGTACCCCGGGCCCGTGTTTTAGAGCAGTGTTTTTTTGCACGTCCAGGCCACGCCCCACCATATACAAGCTGGCCAGTCCCATTATTTGCACCGGCACAAAATCTTCACATAGAATTGGTGTGTGCTGGAATTTTGATCAGAGGCAGAGAGAAAGACGCAGACCATTAAGGCTTGCTTAGCACATTTTCTTGGAGAGAAGCAGCAGACATATTATTGTTAAACTTCTGTTTGAACATACACAACATATGAAGTGTATTGTAGAAGTCAAGACCACAGCTCACGATGGATATTTTGTATCTCCCACTCGTCGTGCCCTGCACCATCAAGGTAGCGGCAATGAACTTTCGTAGGTTCCGCTTAGCTGCGTTTTGACTTGTGGTACATCGGGGCGTTTTGGGGAGTTGAGACAGCGCAGGATGCACATGCGATCTTCTCTGCTATGCCTTTGGTCCTACAAAATCTCGTACCGGTCGTCGCATGGAGGGCAGACATGTGTCTAACGGAACATGACTTCGGGTCGAGCAAGAGTCGTGGACATGCATCCGTACAGTACTGACTTTGAAGAAGCCGAGCAGACATGGGGTGTAAAAGTGTACTTTTTGGAGAAGAGAGGGGCAAAGACATACTGTCTGACAGATCTAGTTTTAGAGAAACAAGAGATACTTGATGGTGTCATAGAGAAACAATGGGGAATTCGAGGGGGCTCTTTATACCTCACATAGGAGCTAGTGGCAGGTCATGTGGTTCAAAGTATTACATTTCGTACTCAATGTGTAAATCGCAGCGCCGAAGCGGGCTATGTGCTTTTCCCATCCTCTTGAACACCGAACGCCATCGACGAAGTGGTATCGTAACCAGGATACTCATAGAGACAAGAAGTTTTATTCTCATTGGCGCAATCATGACGCAGGCTCCTCCGTCTTCGCTCTCTTGCCATTCGCCTCGGCACCATCGACTTCAAGCTTCCTCTTCCCACTGCCTGACGCTTGCGCAGCTGCCGGTGCCGGCTTCGCCTTCTTCTTGACCATGCCGCTCACGTCATTTGCGGACTTCGTAGCTTCTGCAATCTTCGCCTTCTGCGTCGCTGCATCCGCGCCAAGGAGACCACCCAATAAGCCTTGGAAGACCGATGGGTCGAGGCTATCAAACTCTTGCTTTGTCGGATCGGCCTTGAGATCAGTCACTCTTGTCGAGAGCTCCTCCAGCATGGCCTTCTTCTCCTCGACGATGGCTCGCTTCTCCTTGATCTGCTCCGGCGTCAATTTGTCGGACGCTAACGCATCCTCCTCCTTCTTCAGCCGAGCTTGCAGACTCTGAACGGCGAGCTCGGTGTGCTTGGCGGCTTCGTTCCGCAGATCCCAGTCAATGCCGTCTTTATTGTCTTCAGTCTCTGCGGTGGCATCTGCTCCTGCGTCGGCCGACTTGCCTGTCTGGTCCTCGCGGACCTTTGTGACTGACGCGAATTCTAGTGCCAGCGAAAGCGAGTAGTGACCCTCTGTGACATTCTCGTGCTCGAAGGGCTTGAGCTCTTCTTGTAAGGCTAATGCTGAGCGCGCATCTGTTATCGCATCGTGGAACCGCTCGTTCTCCAGTGAGATGTCGACTAGGAAACCGTGGCAGTCGGCAATTTTCTCCTTGATGGCGCGCGCCTTCGGACTGAGCTCAGCTTTGCCCTTGCCCTTATCTGCGGCATCTCCACCCTCCAACGCCTCCAGTTGTTTCGAGTATAGGACGCGCGCGAGTTCAAAGGTTTCGTAGGCGTAGCCAAAGTCGTCGTCTTCCTCCTCCTGCTCGCCTTCTTCGTCATCCTCCTCCTCTGAGTCGGTCCAGTTCTCGTCGCCTGTGAGCTGGAAGAAGGGTTTTGAGTCGACTGATTCCTCCTTGGGCTCTGATTTCGCGCCATTCGCTGCACTGGATCCCTCCTCGGCTCCTGCCTTTGCTGCCTTCTTCGACTTTTTCTTTTTCTTGTCTTCTTGTGCCACCTTGTTGCCTAGGACGTCGCTCTTGGCGACAGCGACCTTGTACAGCGCGCGACCGTAGTAAAACAGCAGCTCGGCATTCTCTGGGGCCATTTCGCCGTTAAGCTCGGCTTGTATCTCCACGGCGTTGGCATAATTCTCGGCAGCTGCAGCGAAGTTCTTGGTGGAGTAGTGAATCGAGGCGGCGGTGGACAGCTCGTCCAGCTTCTCTTTCGTCCTAGGCAGCTCTTCGTGCTCATTGACGGCCGCAAGGATTTGATTCGCAGCGTCGGCCATGGTAATCGATTTGCAGGATTATAGAATATTCGTATGATAGCGGCAGATTATGCGATCGTAATGTGGCGTCTGCTGGATTGTGTATGAGTCGTGAAGTAGGTTTGATGGTGGTTGCTGGGAAAGTAGAAGACCTGTCGCAAGCTTGGACCACCGTGATTGCGCGCTTGTGGCACGCGACGCGCCGTAAAGTGCTTCTGCACATGACATGCACAACAACTTTCAGTACAACACCAAGATAAGATATCTGCACTGTAGACACAATGGCGACAACGAGAAGACCAGAGAAGCCCTCGGCGGTGCCAGCGAACCCGATACCCTCGTCATCACCCGCCTTTGGTACACCCGCGCATCCCATCAACCCCCGCAGAGTGACAGCAATTCGCGCCCCTCCTGCACTGCAGCCAGTCTCCAAAGCCACAGTCCTTCCCATATTACTGCCACCACCGACACTTCGACCACTAGCATTTCGAACCTTTACCAAGAAGCACAACCTCACACTCACTTCCTCGGCACTCCAAGCATTAGCGACATTCATAGGGAAGCATTGCGGGTCCGGATGGCGGGAAGAGGGTCTGGCAGAGAAAGTGCTGGAGGAAGTTGCGAAGAGTTGGAAGAAATGTGGTGGTCAAGTCATTGTAGAAGGCGACAATGAGACGCTGAAAGGCATACTGCGGACGTTGGAGGGGTCAATGGTGGGTGGGAGGATAGTGCAGGGTTCAAATTTGAGCAGACAAAGCAGTTTCAATTTTGGCTCCGAGACAAAAGGACTCCCTTCACGGCCAGCACTGGACAGCAATACTAGTTTTGGCATGTCAAGTCTGGAAGTCGAGGATCATGAAGACGAAGACGAGCATTTGAAGGACCCAAGAGACTGGCTCAAGGTCATTGGGGCCTTCGAGCAGCCGAAGATGATGTACAATGCTACTCAGAAGCATTTCGACAAGTATGAAACTCCGACAGCTTCGAAACATCATACTAACTTTTCCAGGTCATCTTCAAAACCGTCTCTATTCCCAGACCCATCGCACAAAACACAATTGTTTCGCCAACGCTACCACATTGTACACCAGAGGATTCTCCGGAACGAGACTTTTCAAGCGCCAACGTTCTCTACTACTCGGTCAGCAGCGCTAATTCGTGCTGGTTCAGTGGCAGCAGCACAAGCCAACACCATCACACCCATTGCCAACTTACTCGGCCGAGGTGGTAGTACACATCTCCTTTTGGGAATGCTCACTGTTTCGCCAGCAGGAGCATTATCACTTTCCGATCTCACGGGCACAATCGTGCTGGACATTCAGCATGCACGGCCAATACCAGAAACTGGTGCGTACTTTGCACCAGGCATGATTGTACTGGTAGAAGGGAGCTACGAAGAAGATTCCGGCGTGTCGTCCACCCTAGGAGGTACCGGTGGTATTGGAGGTACGATTGGCGGAAAGTTCCTGGGCTTCTCAGTCGGACATCCACCATGTGAGCGTCGAACGGCCACTTTGGGTGGCACAGATGAGATCGACAAGAGCTCTCTAGCCGGCCCTGCGTTCGGCTGGACCGACTTTCTCGGTGTCGGGTCACAGCGAGCCACTGGCTCAAGGATGAATAAGATCGGCTCCAAACTCCTCGATCCTGAACAAGCACACAACATTGTCATAGCATCAGACCTCCACCTGGACGTACCAGCAACCTTGACCGCACTTCGAACACTACTCCGCACACATACACCCGACCCCACTGCTGCGCATCCCGTCTACCCCCTCGCCATCATCCTAATGGGCAACTTTAGCTCCAAAGCCAGTCTCGCCGGCGTTCCCGGTGCAGGCAGCATAGAATACAAAGAACACTTCGACGCCCTCGCCTCCGTCCTCGCCGACTTCCCCCAACTCATCGCGCACACCACCCTCGTCTTCATCCCCGGCGACAACGACGCCTGGCCCAGCGCCTTCCTCTCCGGCGCCGCCACACCTCTCCCCCGCAAACCCGTCCCCGCCCTCTTCACCAACCGCATCCGCCGCGTCATCGCCGAAGCGAACCGCGAAGTCTGGGGCGCCGGCAAAGCGAAGGGTAAGGAGGGCGAAGTCATCTGGACCAGCAACCCCAGCCGCCTCAGTTGGTTCGGGGTGAAAGGCGAAATGGCAATTATCCGCGACGACCTCGCGGGCAGATTACAACGAACGAGCATCCGCTTCCCCAAACCTGACGAAGAAGTCGACGACGAAATGCCCTTCGCACCCAGCGCGCAGGACGCCGACGCCGACGCTGATACCATGGATCTCGACCTCCCAGCTTCTCACCACGCCCCAACCCAACAAGCACTCGACCACGACACACTCACTGCGCGCTCCCTAACACGCACAATCCTCAGCCAGAGCCACCTCTCGCCCTTCCCGCTCTCAGCGCGCCCGCTGCATTGGGACTTCGCGCATGTTTTGAATCTCTATCCGCTGCCGAATAGTCTGGTGTTGGCGGATAGCGAGGCGCCGGCGTTCGTGGTCAAGTATTGTGGGTGCACGGTTATGAATCCGGGGAGCCTGGTGGAGGGGAGGAAAGGGGAGAGGGCGAGGTGGGTGGAGTTTGATGTTAGGAGTGGGAGTGGGGTTGTTAGGGTGGAGGAATGAGAAGAGTGCAGTCATGTGATTTTAGGAAATGGCATTGGGTGTGTTGTTGGGGTGTGATTGGTACGTTGATGCTGAGATGGGTCGTTTGTAGGGTGTTTGCGATTTGATAGATATGAGACGCCGTAAAATGCGAGATATGGGGGATTCACGAAATGCATTTTTGGCGTTATTTGCGTCAAGTTTTCCGTTGTCGATATGAGCGATGAAAAGAAACCAAGATCGCGAAGCCTGAACTGCCTCTTACTGCCGTCATCCTCGACTCGAATAGCCCCCACCGATAAGCTGCCTCGCTAAGTCTGGTACTACACTTCACTGCGTGTAAGATTCACCCTCATCGACCTTCATGTATGCTAGCTCTAGAAACCATATTGGAATGATGTATCTGATTATGCAAGCCCTTCCTTCACTACCTACTATGTGGGTACCTAGGTACATACTCAAGTATCTGCTTCTCACACCACCGTGCATCGTTTATCTGAGTGGCCTGGTGCCTCGACTTCGAATGCTGGCTCGACAAGCTATTCCATCGATCATCCTCAGAGCCTCCCTCGTTTGTTCGTCCCTTTCCTCGCCTGCCTTGTCGTGAGGCTGTGGTGATGCCCGTCGGCACCATGGATAGTTACCTGGGTGACTGCGCGCGCAAGGCTGAGGCGTGAATTTTCAATGTTGCATATGCCATTAGGTGATTTTTAGAACCAGTGTTCACTGGTCTCGAACATGTTTGCCTTGTCGGCATTTTGAAGCTTCCAAGTCTCGCTCGGTGGTCAGGTTGAAGACGTGGGGTATCCGCATCCCAGCATTTAACCCCGGCTCCTAGCACATCAGCCCAGACGGCTTCTTCCTCATCGTCATAGTCACAGACCATAACTGCATCTTCTCAGATGTATAAATTGTATCAACTCAACGTTTCGGACTCTTTCGGGCAGGCTTGATCCTTGGCCATACACCAAATGCCTCCGCCACCCGCTCAGCCTCTCGGCGTTCTGTACGACCGGGCTGACCGGTTACCAGGCTCGGCGTAAATGTGCAATAACTCAGCCTGCCGAACTATCGTCCGCTCACTAGCTTTCCGGCCGGAGACAACTTTCAAGGTTTGTGCTTGTTGACGTGCGGTTTGATATATGCTACTTTCAGCTACGTCATCCACTCACGAGTCTACAGATACCTCCAAATGCGCCTGTCAGATGGTCTTCGTACCAAATGGGCGAGTTTGCGATCGAAAGCATCGACTCGAGATACACTTTGTGATATACATATCGGTCCGGATTCGGGCCATCATGTACCCTCCAAAACTTGCTCCGGGCACCCCTCTGGGGTTGCAAATCGCCTACAACGACGAGAAGAAACGCAACCAGATTCCCAGCCTCCACATGGCCTCTGCAACGGGTGTGAATGGCTGTATTTTCACTCTCATGAAACCGTCAAACTATACTCTCTACGTTATTCTGATGTCTGGTCAGGACTACAATGGGAGGAGGAAATGCGGCCACACGCATGTCAGTTGTGCAGATTCCGCAAGGATATTCTTTTGACGTGGTTGAGACACGTGTACCGCTACGTTCCTCTGAGAGCCTCTACTACAGGCAGCAATACTGCGTGGCGCAACGATCAGCAACCTGATTATGAGGACATCTACTTCATCAAGGCCGGACCGCATAAATCAAGCTTACTCACCGTGAAAACAATAGCTGCAGCCATTGCTGAGCCGCACATGAAGCAACTCAGTATTGAAACGGCGAATCTGCCTCTAGCTCGGGCATGGTACCAACACTGTCATGACCACCATCATACCTGCAGGACAAGCCAAACAGCACCTATTCCATACCTTAGATTGATCGATTGTATGAGCGGACAGATCTGTGAGGCGATCAGTGGTCACAGTTACGTAGCGTTGAGCTATGTGTGGGGGACATCGGCCACAATCTCTCCGTTGATCTCGAACAGTGGAACACCCACATACCCAAACACCATTAAAGACGCTATCAAAGTGGCGATTAACTTGGGCGTTCCATATCTGTGGGTCGATCGGTATTGTATCGATCAGGACAATGAAGAGGAAAAGCACAGTCTGATTTCTAATATGAATCGTATATACTCAGGAGCAGAGATTACAATCATTGCTGCGGCTGGACCGGATCCCCACTATGGTCTTCCTGGGGTATCTGTAACCCAACGCAAAGGATTTGACATAACGACACTTGACTGTGGCTCTTTGATCCGCTATCCGGACCCCAGCGACGAACTTGCAGGATACCCTTGGACAACAAGGGGCTGGACGTGAGTTTCAACGTACATCTCAACTTGAGATAGCTATTAATCTGGCTCACCCTTTGGCAGGTACCAAGAAATGCTCCTTTCTCGTCGACGCCTCGTGTTCACGGACTCACAGATGGTCTTTCAATGCTGTGAGCAGGACTTCCGCGAAGTAATTGGTTCACCGGCTGCGCGCTACACCTATCCGAATACAACTTCGCAGGCTACAGCAGCTTCTAAAGTTGCAGCCCATGGTTGTATTAGGGAACTGTTCCATTCCTCCAGGCCTGATAGCATTTTCCCCGAGTCCGGAGTCGGTTCCATTCCCGACGACATCTATACCCGGATAGAAGAGTACTCTACAAGGACGCTTTCATACCCGCAAGATGTATTGAACGCCTTCAATGTTATTTTCAGCCAATTTGAAAGCGAGGATAATGGTCGAGATCATGTTGATCAGCTCTACGGCCACCACTTTTGGGGTGTCCCTATATTCCGCTACGACGGAGAAAATCCTATGTGCGAAGCGGTGTGTTCTCTAGTTGCCGGATTGACCTGGCGCACGGGATCACCAAACTTCTATGAACGCGACAGTGTTTCGCGTCCAGGCGAATGGCCTTCGTGGAGTTGGACTGCAATCATGGGGGATAGCATTCTCTTTGGTGCCACCAATTTGGAAGATGTTATTTTACACGAGCCGGGAGCCTTATGGGCCACTTTGAGGCGCAGAAGCGGCCATATAGTGGAGATTGAAGACTTTGTGGAAGGACATCAAGACTCGATGGACTATCAGCCGTCCATCGATCTCTCTACCTGGGTACTCTCCGGCGGAAAGCTGATACACGATCAATCGGGATCTGTCATGTTTACGCACCACAGTTTCCTTCAATCCGAGAAGCTCGTACAGATCGATGCATTTCTAGATGTGCAGGGAGAGGATCTAGAACAAGATGTCACTGCCGCATATCTTGGTCTCTTCGAAAGAGGCTCAAAACCCAAGCCATGCTACCTGCTGGTGATAGTAACAACTTCTGGGGCGCTTCGCAGGATCGGACTGGGCATCACTAGTTTTTCTTTTGCAAAGCATTCTCGTTTTTCGAGGATCGAAAAGTTGACGTGGCTTCCGGGTGGGGTGGAAAGCAATCCTTTCGGTGGATGGAAGTTTGAAACTATCACCTTATTTTGACATAATACTGGCGTTAGACCGTAGCATTGTTCTGGAGTGTGCTAAGAGTTGTGAATGTGGATCGAACCGGAATCTCGCAGGCATCGTCGCACCGTCTATTACCTTTCTACACAAATTCTCACAACTAATACTGCACATCAAGCACGATCTCAAAGTGCAAGACAATTATAGGTTCGGCTCCATGAGCTCTTCTGTTCATGAGACGTGCTGACACACGAAAGTCATCTTTCCAAAGCAATACATGTAGACATTGCCGTCGTCCGAGCCCATGCTACTACTATCATTAGCAATAAGTAGGTTCTAAAAGTTAAACTATACATAGCTACTATATGCCTTATATGTCTTTACTCTAGTGTTGTTCAATTCACTAGATAAGGTTAGCAAAGCAAACAAGAGATATTGCAGGATCTGTCGCTGCAAAAGTTGCCTGAGAGTGCGTTCCAGGATTTCCTGCAAGCCTGCATTAGCACAGACTGATCTAGGCGCCAACTGAGGGGTCAGTCACGTGCATTGTGCCGTGCCACATGCCCGCAGGTGTAGCCTATACCAGCACTGGTCACTTCTGTTATTAAGACCGCGCCGAACAATGCCCCTGCAGCAGCATCGGCACCGACTCACAACAACACCAACGACGACGAAGGTGAGTGGGCCAAATTCTGTGAGGAGGTACCGTAAGCACCTGATAAATTTGGTTGTCAAACAGGATACTGATTCCTTGACATTGCGCAGACCTACGCACGTTCGCTCCATCTATCAACGTCGCAGGCAGAACGGCTCTTTGATAGTCGGACATGGTTTCACAGGAGTCTAGTCAGACTAGTACTGCACCCGTCTCAGACTTAGATGATTCCAGCATCTATACACCTGCCACGACCACCGGTAACGTCACTTCAGACCTCCTCACAGACCACGCCTCGCCGAGCTGGGTGCCTTCACATGGATCTACCGTCATCATTCGCTCTACCTCATGCGGCAATGTGCTCACATTGCTTGATGGACACGTCGTACTAGCCCCGCCTGGCGGTCGTGGATCCATCTTGTGGACGTGTATAGAAAGTGAAGGCTGGTTTGGATTTCGAGACGCAGTCTCGGGTAAATTCATATGCCATGGGTGGGATGGGAGACTGAAGTGCTCGGCACAGCAGCATGATGGTTGGAGACACTTCACTATTACCCCGGTACCAAAAGGAGGCTACATTATGCAAATGCTGGATTGGTGGACTCTCCGTCCTATAGTGATCAATCCTCTGAACGGGTTACAAATGCTAGGGAGGACTGGGAACAAGCTGTCAGAAGGAGTTGTATGGAACTTTTTGGAGAGTGGGGCCGTTAATGCTTAACTTCAGGACTTCTAAAATGGACAATGCCCTAATTATCAAGTACAGTTGATGGTCTCAGATATAGCAAAACGACCGCTTACCACGGAAGAATTATCCTGCGAATTGACAGTAGAACCCGGTAACTCAGAGCTCGACACATCAAACGAGCCTATTATCAACGACAAAGTATCTGTATATGCTAGGTTTGCAATGGCGGACGAGGAAAGTTCGATCGTTTGTCTTGCTCACTACACAACTCAGGGCTTTTTAGAACGCGATTAGTGTCTATTAGATTCCAGAAGCTCAACTATATATAGCCACCACATGCATCACATGCCTCTATCTGGAGACTTTCCGGAACAGCCAGTGGCAGAAAAACGGTGCATACTGGCAGATAGTTCAAAAGAATGCCTTGCTTTGCCATGCAGCCGATTGGTGGGGCCCGTGTGCAGCTAAAGTTAAAGATGGGCTGGCTGACTTCTGTTAGGACTTCCTAATGGAATCTCAAGCGCTCAATCTCGTTAAATGATTTAGTCGTAGTGGTGGTTCGAATTCCGGCGTGAGAAGTGCAGAGAATATACACATCGCAACACATTACGGGATGACGCGAGTCCTGGAGCGTCTTCTATCTAAGAAACCAGAAGAGGAGGTTGCTGTTGTGACCATAACGGACAGCCCAGATATCTCGCTGCTTTTTCTCACTACTGCGCGTGGGCACAACGACACAAGGAGATCATTGTTGGACAAATGCGCGGGTGTAAGGGCGCCAAACCCGCACAAGACCTTTTGCGAAGCTCTTTGTACTGCTTCAAAGTTAGGCTTAGTTGACATCGCCCAGACTCTGCTTGAGCATGGTTCAGCCGTGAGCATCACCAGCCAGGAATACGATCGCGCTGTCGAAGAAGCCAAGGCAGGTGGATTCGTGAGTGTGGTAATATGCTTGCTCGATAGGCGAATGACGGTAATAGCGTAGCGTACATACATCGTCCCTCACAATCGGGGTTGCAGTCGAAACTTAGGGCCTGCAGCATTTCAAACAGGTCTCCTGATCGATTGCATCCAGGTACCGCATGGTGCCACTTCCATAATCAAGATCCGGAACAGAAGCATGAACATCACCAGTCCAACAAAAAGGTTGAAACTTGTCATCGTGTAGCTGCTCCTTGTCGCACTTTCTGAATTTCAGCAGTAAGATAGCCCTAACGAAATGCCTTCACGAGTGTAGCTGTTTTCATACACATATATCCGCACAACGCTCGTTGACATTCCTTCACGGGAGATTTGACAAAGTACATTTACATTTCTATATCTCATCTCACAACAACATGGCATCTATTTCATAGCCTTCGCAATCTTCAATAACGCATCCTGATCCCGAATACCCGCAAGCTGACCCTCCTTCGCACGCTTGACAGTCAGTGCAGCAATGAGCGCGGCACCAACACCAGATCCGTCCTCGGCAGGAAGAACCTCGATGGGATCGCCACGACCCTTTCCGTACTTGGCGGGCCAGTCCAGGATCTCCTTGAGCGCCTGTGCCTGGCGGATCTTGAAGTGCGGGTACTTGGTGAACACGGAGCCATCAGCGCCTACGTGCACCTTCTCCCACTGCTTGTGCTTGCAGATAGCAGATACACCGCAGGCAGTCAGACGAGCAGCGCGGGTGCCGATCAGCTCGGCGAGGCGGCGGATGAGTTCGAGCTCGGGCTTGGTGCAGACTATGCCGAGCTTGTTCTGGAACAGGTCGCCAGTATCCGTCAAGTTCTCGAATCGATCCTCTTCGATGGCAGCGAGGAAGCCGGCGTCGAGGGAGTAAGGCTTGTTCAGTTTGCCAATGTCCTGGCCTTCGAAAACGACGCATTCTTGGCCTTTGTGGAGATCGACGAGCACGAGACGGAAGAGCTCGCCGAGGTACAGGCCGGCGATCATCTTCTCGAATGACTGCTGGCCTGGGCGCGGAGACTCCTTGTCGATGATGACATCGTAGGGTGTGCGGGGTAGGACTTGGTGCTCGTTGTCGAAAGCACCCCATTCGCAGTTGATGGCCATGGGCAGCTTCGGGTCGAGGTTTAGAGATTCCAGCTTGGGGATCGCGCCGCATTCTTCCATGTATGCGGCGTTGCAGCCGGTGCCGAAAATACACCCAACCCTCATGTCAGTGTCGGTGTAAGCGGACGCAATCATGGTTCCAGTGGTGTAATTGACCAAGGCGACCAGCTTGATGGGCAGTTCTCGCTCTCCAGC